CTCATCTTTAGTAAGACTATGGAGGAGCATCGCCAAGTTGTAAAACAAGTATTATCTATTCTCCAAGAACACAAGTTGACGTGTAAACCGGAAAAATGTGAGTTTCACACTGAGGAAACTGAATACCTCGGACACATCATCAGACATGGACAACTACGTATAGATCCCGCCAAAGTTGCTGGCATAGTGAAATGGCCGGAACCCCAGTCTAAGAAAGACATGCAACAGTTTCTCAGATTCTGTAACTATTATAGAAGATTTGTAAAGGGATTCGCAGCCCTATCTTGCCCACTTAATGATCTTATGAAAAACGGTGAATGGGAGTGGTCTGAATACCAGAAGCAGAGCTTCAAAGATATCAAGGACCTACTCACATCTGCCCCTATCGTACATATACCTACAGATGAGGACCCTTACATGGTAGAAGTAGATGCCTCTCAGTATGCTATCGGAGCCTTATTAATGCAGAAACATGACAACTTGTGGTGTCCTGTATCGTACTACAGTAGATCTCTCAATAGTGCAGAAAAGAACTACCAAGTGTATGACCGGGAACTATTAGCCATTGTCGACTGCCTAGAGGAATGATGGCACTATTTAATACATGCTTGACATACTGTACAAATATTTACGGACCATCTTAACTTAACGTATTTTAGGAAACCTCAGAAAATCAACCCCCAACAAGCACAATGGATGATGTTCCTCGCAGAATACGATTTTGAGCTCCACCATATCCCAGGCACAAAAAACAGTGTAGCAGATGCCCTCAGCAGATGACCTGATTATAACGATGGCATCGACCATTTGGATTCACACACAGTACTACCCCCGAAGCTGTTCATATAATCCATTCATGTCACCAGATCCAATGCCATTTGTGATCTATGTGCCACACATTCATCAGAATATACCCTGTGGAAAACTTTGTCACAAAAGGACCTTGAAACTGCCAAGGACAACACACTCTGGAGGGGAGGTGAAATTCTCATCATACCCAAGAACGAGAATATAATCAGCAAAGTAATACAGTCCCACCACGATGCCAAATTCATGGAACACCCCAAAATAGAACAGATCATCAGACTAATCAAGCGATCATACTGGTGGCCTGAAATGATCCAAGATGTAACGGTGTATGTGAAGGGTTGTGGGACCTGTCAAAGGACCAAGCCCAACCACCAACACAGATCAGCACCCCTAGAACCCAACCCAGTTCCAGACCACAACTGGCAGTACATCTCCATGGACCTAATTGTAAAACTACCCACCATAGATGGCTACGACTCAATCTCTGTATTTGTAGATCTAAAGTCCAAGGACTTCATTGCTATATCCTGTACAGAGTCTATTAATTCCAAAGAATACACCAATCTGTATATTAACAATGTAATGATGACACATGGACTAGCTGAACAGATATGGTCTGACCGGGGACCACAGTTCATATCCTCATTTACCAAGAATGTATACCAACAGTTGGGCATCCAGGGAAATCCCTCCACTGCCTACCATCCTCAGATGGATGAACAGACAGAACGGATGAACCAGGAAATAGAGACCTACTTGAGGATATATACTTCCTATGAACAGAATGACTGGCCATCCAAGATATCACTAGCAATGTTCGCATACTGGAACCATAGACAAGCCAGCACTGGATATACCCCTTTCTACCTTATGCATGGATATCACCTCTACACGGGAGTCAAAACCAGGAAAGAACCTCACAATCAATCAGCCGAAGAATGGATGAAGGAAATGGAGGAACTATCCAAGGATGCCGCTAATCACTTAATGAAGGCCAATGCTGCAATGAAGAAGTACCACGATGGCAAATATTAAGCACACACCACATATACCAAGAGAGATCAGGTACTTCTAGAAGGCACCAACATCATGACCACTCGCCCAAGCAAGAAGCTGGACAACAAGAGATACAGACCATTTAGCATAGTCAAAAAGGTTGAAAAATTGGCCTATCATCTCAAGTTACCCCAGAATTGGAGACATATACACCCCATTTTCCATGAATCCTTACTATTACCATACCATACCCCACACTTTAGCATACAAAACAGCCCTAATATCATACCAGTTCTGAAAGGTGAATCCCCTACCAACGGACTATTATACCTAGTCCCGTGGAAGGGGAAGGATGATACCGAGAATACATGGATACCCTGTAGTAGCATAGCGAAGGACTGCATCCTTCTACTTAATAATTTCCATAAACAACATCCCAAGGCACCCAAACTGCCTAATCTCCTTACTATACCTGGTGGCCAGAAGATCCATGCACACGAGGATGAAGAAGATGAGCCTGACAGTCATAACCAGAAAAGAAACCCTCAGGAGGAAGAAGAATGGAAGGAGAAGATCTACTGGGACAACAAAATGATCTAATAATATAAATGACGATTCCAAGCCCATGTCGTACTTCACGTATCCCCAAATACCCAGCTCGATCTAGAAATAGGGATACCAGAGAAATCTGACATTGTGTCAATATGGCTTGCAGATCCCGACCACTATATCCACACTATCCCATTTGTCAGGACTCCCACATCATGCAACCATCAATTTGTATACTTGATCAATGCCCAGTGGACAGTAGAGGAGAGGAAGGTCCAGTGTCTGGAGCGTACTCACGGATACTATTACCTCGATGATGCGCCAATACCCTGGCAATGCATGCAGTTCAAAGATACCCTAGTGAAGGAAGAAGATGTCTCCACGTATACCATCTATAATCTGGAGCGTCTTCAGACACCCATACCCAAAGATAAATGGAACCTGCAGGTGATGCATGTCACGGTTTTACCTGACAAGTCAATAAAAGGAACATACATGTTAAAATGTATTTTTTTTGTCATTTCAAGTCAAACAAGTCACGTGACCTAATGGGAGATAAGATAACCGATCATCTAGTCACCTGACCTCAGATCTCTCTCGGCATAGTCACGTGACACTGAACTCCTCGGCATGGCGTCATATGTCGCAATCACCATGACACCATATTACATGCTCAAAAGGAGCTCCGTCTCTGCGGGATATTATTAAGCAACCAATCAGGATAATTGGGACAGGTCGTACGATTGTAGCACAGTCCAGTAGCACAGCGTGTGACTCACTTATGTAGTACTGTACAGTAGCTAGGCAATCATGTATATAAGGACCAGCCAGACGAGGAGGAGACCTCAGTCTTATTCTCCTTCATCCACCACTACCATCACAGAGGGGTCTTACCAGACACTCTCAGTGTGCTATACATCTGTTTTCATTCTCACCTTTGTGATAGCACCTCTCGCCTCACCAGTAAGTCTCACTCCGCGAATCGTGACTAGGTCTCATCAGTGAGCACGTCGACCTGCCACAGCTCATCACTGTAGGCTTTTACCAGAGACCCTCAAGGGGACTCTTTGTTTGGTTGTCTATCTTTGTCATCGATGTGCCGTGACAGTGCATCTATGCATCTATGAGTAAGACAAGCACAGTGGTCTCATGAGGGCACTTTGACCTGGAGGGGGGGTACTATCACAGTTTTTCCATGACTCAGCATGGAGCTCCGAAGGACCTTGTAGTATAACACATGCATCTGAGTAGACTAACACGTGTACCTAGTATCAGGGGTCTTACACCCAGTCGTGGGGTACTACCCTAGGCATATATATATCAGCTCGACTGAGGGGATAGTTCCTCACTTTCGAGTTGGCTTGTTCACTGCAATCTTTCTAACAAGAGTGGTACCTTCATGGGTAGTTTCTACAAGGAAAGGATAGCACTAAGTGCTCATCTGGTCACAGATTGGAGAGAAGTGCTTATCACAAACCGTAATATTCCACATTATTTTATTGCTTGCTTCGTGATCACGTGACTACCCACGTGCTCACTCACGTGTATATCTTGAAGCGCACATATCACGTGCTAAAGCCCAGACCTCATACGTCATAAATAAGGTACTAACTATTTTGCCTAAAAGATAAGGCACCATATCCGAAGACACAAGATCCGGTCGCTTATCCACCAATGGGATAAGCTCCTACAACACCGTGAGACCCGGAGCTCCACTACCTGGGAAGGTGGTCCTATAGTTAGAGTAGTTATGCTCAGCAGGCATCGCCTGCTGACTCTGTAGCCGCATGGCAAGGTCTCCTGATAGCCTCGTACGACTTCGTAGATTAATGCTATTGGCTTATCTCAAGATAGCTCACAGGTAACACCGAGCTTCGCCTATATTTAGAACATGTGCTGAGTCAACGTTCACATGGACCCACTGTAGGTGTGCCCATGATCCCGGTAGACAGTGTATCAGGGGTCTGACCCTGCCTGTATATATACTGAGCTCGTCTGGATCTACACCCCCAGACTTATCTACCTTCGTCAATACTCGATACACTTGACTGTTACTGCGACTTCCCCTATAAGTCCAGTACACCTCTTATAGTCTGCGATCTCCGTCACTTCGCTTCATCCAACATAAGCAAGTAAGACCTTTCGGACTTCGCCTGATATTGGATCTCCGTGACATTTAGATAAGTCTGCTAATTATGCCTGTAGTGCCCCGCACACAGCGCGTCCGATCTTTCAGCATCCACCTGCACGATAGCAGTGTTATATCTTCACCTGACGTTCTGTCAGTCGCTGACTCTACCCGTGTAAGCCACCCTCTGTGGCGCACCCGAGAAGTTGGTACTATCCGCCAACCTCGAAGCCAAACACTGGACGAATTCTACCACCTAGCACTATTGCCAGGGACTGACTTCGTATCAGAGGACTTCGAAGAGAAGGAGCAGAAGAATCAGGAAGTTCTTCGTGCTCAATACCCTAGGCCAGGACATATAGGCACAGGGGGGCGACCGCCGCGTTCATATCGAGAACGCTTTCCACCATCCACAGCTTCCAGAGTACTCAGCAGGGGACCCGTCACTGACGTCACCCTCAGAAATGAGTACAGCAGATTTAGATACATTCCGCCTATAGCCCTTACCGTTATCAGCATGTCTCGCGTCATCAGCACTCTCCATCAAATCCGCATTCTTACCACCAAGCGATACGCATGCAAGCTTGAAAGACAAGACCTTGACCACCTTTCGGAAATCATCAGAGGACTCGAAGGTGTAAAGCGGACAGTTGCCACTTATGCACTATCTACAGTACATCAAGCCGTAGTTAAGGAGTTCTGCGACTTCGTCGGATACCGAAAGAAGCAGAAGGGATCTGTCAAGCAGCTGGTAAAGGAGATATACGAAAAGTTTGAATTGGGAGTAGCACGAGTCGGACCAAGTGCGATAGCAGTTACTGTATAACTTGTACATGGAAAACTTCGCTTTTGGGTTTGAAACCGCACCAATTAGAACGGCCGCAGAAATACTTGCCGAAGTTCCAGGACCGGAACTAGAAAGAGCAAGAATAGCCTTCGATCAATACTATCGTCGCACAGGAACCAATTTCTTCAATAACTACACCGTCGAATTCATCCTCATCCCCTTCAATCAGTGGCACAATGCTGTCATTCGTGAAACCAGCCTCATAACCTCACTAGAATGAATCTACGAAGATTGGTTTGAGTGGCTAGAGCTTATTGAGGAAGCACTGGACACGCTTGACGAGGAGGACGAAGAAGAGGAGGAACGACAAAGAATAGAGGACGAAGAGATTCAGGACCGGCTTCGAAGGATCGAAGCCCAGATCGATCAGCTGGAACAGGAGCATCGGTGAAATTCATACACCTACAATCTCCTGATATCCAGTATTCGCACAAGGCGGTCACAGGCCACACTAGCAGAAAACACTAACTCCCTCGACAACATCCTCGACTTCAATTGGGAAGAACGTCGCGAAAGACATACACATTCTCCCGAACTTAATCTCAATTGGGATTCATTGTGCGAGGAAAGAAACGATCGAGGAGAGCAGAGATATCCGCCAATTCTGATGCCCTTTAGGCAAAGCCCAGCCTATTACGAGGAAGAAAACGAAGAATCTAGCGACGGGTCAAGAGTATCTGAACCCGAATCGTACAATTCTTGGGAAAGAACATCTGAAGATTCTAGGGGTTAAAAGCTGTGAATGAGCTATGGCTTAACCGGTGATAGCACCTACTCATCTTCGTCATCATGATCGTCCTTGTCAGAATCGGAATCTTTGGGCCTTGGGCAAACATTTCAAACACCACCAGAAGAGGAACCTTCAACCTCTTCACAAGTTATCACATCCTCAATCGCACAGCCGCGATTACCTTCACCTATACCTCCGACACACATTATGTCTCTGATGAATCAATCCAGTTCACTGAATGCCACGTACCTGGCAGTGTACAATGATTTCGTCGCAAATATCCCAGCGGACATTACGGGAGCTGCAAGGGATTGGCTGCTAGCAACACACTCTCAGTCGCTGTTTACTCAACAGCAGCTAGGTCAGAGTGTAATTGACCTAGAAACCAGGCAGCGAGTGGTACTCGATGCCAATACTGCAGAAATAACCCTGCTAAGACTAGCCATCCAAGGCTTGCAAGCAGGGCAAGCGGCAGCAGCCCCTCCAATACCTCCATCCGCAACCCGGCCAAAGCAGAAAATTGCTCCACCCAAAAAGTTCTTGGGTCATGGCACTCCAAAGATAAAGGAATGGCTCGAACAGGTCTATCTATACCTGGACAATGTTGTGGACGAGCAGCTTCGCATAAAGCTGTCTCTGTCATATCTGGAAGGAGATGCCCATGACTATATGGACAATTACTACACTTTGGTACAATCAAATTCTCCGCTCGGGACGTGGGCCGACTTTGTCAACCGGCTCACTACATCGTATGACACCAAGGACAAGCCATGAGAGGCACGGCTTGAGGTTGAACGCCTTACCAAGAATCCCTGGACAGACATGTCCAAATTTGCCGAAAAGTTCAAGAAGTGGGCCAACAAGTCCAACTTATCTGACGTGGATCTCATTGAAAAGATCCGCCGCATCACGCCCGACAAAATCCTGCAAGTACATGCGAGAACTGACGAGGCACAGTGGCCTACTACATGGGAGGCTTACCTCGACTGGGACTTGGATATTGAACGTCGCATGAAGCATATGTTCACTACCTCAAGCTCGAGGAAAGACCCCGACGCCATGCAAGTAGACAAGGTAAAGAACAAAGGCAAGGGAAAGGGGAAAGTGTCAACCAAGGGGGAAGTCAATGCTACGGACAAGAAAACATCTGTATGCAAATATTGCAAGAAGGAGAGGAAGTATGGTCACCGCTGCGAAGAATATAAGAAAGCAATGATCAAGGAGGGCAAATGGAAGGAAAAGGAAGGAGGCGGAGGAACGAAAGGGTCCGGACCAGCGATGCAACGTCAAAAGAGATATAAGACGGTTGTCAGGCGCATCGAGATGCAGGTCACGGATGATGAAGAGGAGGAGGCAGAATCGTCGAGACTCGCAGTGGCGCGAATTCGCGAAGTAGTCACTGACGATGAAGAGACTGACCTTGAGATGCTAGCACATCTCGAGGCCAAATATCCTCACTTACGCTCGACATCCTCAGAGCCTGACATGCTCCAGGCAAACAAACCAGCCACATCAAGGCTGTCGTCTTTTTGGCAGGGAGCACTGTAATGCGCGAAACAGTGACATCCCCTGGTGCCAATAATTTTTCTGATATCCATCTCTGTAATCCAGTGAGGTCAAGCCGAGGACATATGTCATCTACAAATATGTATATGAACCACGTTCCTGAAGATGTAATGGTACAAAACAGCTCCTCTACCAAATCCATTTTCAATTTACCTGTGGAACTGTGGGTATCAGGAAAAGCAGTACGCGCCGAGGCCCTAGTGGATTCAGGAGCATATTCAATCTTTGTGAATAAGAAGTTCGTTAGGGAACACAGATTGAATCTTCACAAGCTGGAAACTCCATACAACGTCTATAATGCAGACAGATCAATCAACAAAGATGGTCAGATCCTATATTATCTTCGAGCCTATCTAAAGGTCGGAGATCATGGATCGACTCATCGTTGCCTTGTCACCAATTTAGGCGATAAGGATATGATCCTCGGGATGACATACTTACGTATGCATAACCAGAAATTGACTGAAAATCCGGTCAATGGAAGTTTACCAGGTGCCCTGAATCGTGTACCATTAACGGGTCGTGTAAAAAATTTATACAAAGAGTATCTCAAGAGGAGACAGAGGAAATTATTGATGAGGAAGGTTGCGATGAACAGCCAGTTCCACACCAATCAAAGGAAGGAGGAGGTGATGAGAACAAATTCATCAACTGGGTCGAACTAGGAGACCCAGAAGCTGAAGAAATAGCCCGTCTGGTAATGGCAATTACCGACACGGGGAAATGGACAGATGAAGAGGACGAAGAAACCGCAGATTACAAGGATTGGTCGAAACATGTTCCAAAGCATTTGCACGCTTATGGAGATGTATTCTCTAAAAAGGCTAGTGAGCGAATGCCAACACATAAAGCCTATGACCATTCCATCGAATTCGAAAAAGGTGCACCTCTTCCAAGACCTGCAAAGGGGTATCCTATGAGCCCTGCTGAGCGAAACCCACTCGATTCATGGATTGATGAGCAGTTGGCAAAAGGTTACATCAGAAAATCAAAGAGCCCAGTAGCCGCTTCCGTATTCTTCGTAAAAAAAGAAGGATGGAACTCTACGACTAGTGCAGGATTATCGTAAACTCAACGAAATCACCACAAAGAACCGTATTCCTATTCCTCGAATTTCCGACCTTATTGATCAACTCTCTAAGGCCTCCATATTCACTAAATTGGATCTTCGATGAGGATATAATAACGTCTGCATTAAAGAGGGAGACGAATGGAAAACTGCCTTTACCACACATCGTGGTCTTTTTGAGGCGAATGTTATGTTCTTTGGGTTCTGCAACGCACCAGCCACGTTCCAAGCGATGATGAACGAGATCTTAAAGGATCTAATCCTTGAAGGCCATGTAGTGGTCTATCTCCATGATATACTCATCTTCACGGATGATATATCAAGTCATCGCAAGATAACCAAGGAAGTGCTCAAGCGTCTCCGGGATAACGATTTGTTTGCTAAGCCAGAAAAGTGCTTCTTCGAACAATCATCTATCGAATATCTCGAGATGATTATTTCTAAAGGCTCTGTATCGATGGACCAATCCAAAGTCAAAGCTGTATTGGAATGGCCTGCACCGACAAAAGTCAAACAAGTACAGGCATTCCTAGGCTTCACCAATTTTTATAGGCGCTTCATCAAAGACTTTGCGAAAATAGCCAAGCCATTTAACACGCTGACCAAGAAATCTCAGGAATGGATCTGGAGTGATGCAGCGCAACAAGCCTACGAATCACTCAAGGAAGCCTTTGTAATGGCTCCAATCCTTAAAATACCTGAAGATAACAAGCCCTTTAGGTTAGAAACGGACTCGTCCGATTTTGCCACTGGTGCTGTTCTGGAACAACTGTCAGACGATGGATTATATCATCCCGTCGCCTATTACTCCAAGTCCCTAAACGAGCATGAACGTAATTATGAAATTTACGATAAGGAAATGCTTGCCATCATTCGCGCACTCGAAGAATGGAGACACTATTTGGAGGGACACCCAGAAGTTGTTCAGATCATATCGGATCACCAGAACCTCACTTATTTTAAGTCAGCGCAAAAGTTAACCCGCCGGCAAGCAAGATGGTCACTATATCTGACCCGTTTCAACATTAATCTGCAGCACCAACCTGGAACAACCATGCTGCGCGCGGATCCTCTGTCCAGGAGACCAGATCATGAAGAGGGGGTAGAGCACGACAACTGCTCAAAAACAATGCTAAAGTTCGAATATTTTGCCATACGAGCAATGCAACCCTCACATGAGGCCCCGATAGATGATGACAGACTCCTTACCAGGATCAAAGAAGCACTAAAAGATGACGAGGTGACCAAAGGTTACAAAGAACTACTCAAGAAAGGAGAAAGGGAGTTCTCAAAAGGACTCGAAGACTGGAACTTTGAAGATGGACTATTGCTTTATCGAGGAAAAGTTTACGTACCTAAGACAGACAAAGAGGAATCACTAAGGCACGAGGTACTCAAAATACATCATGACTTACCATCCGCCGGACACCCTGGCAGGTGGAAGACATATGAGTACCTATCCCGGAACTATTGGTGGCCTCAAATGACGTATTATGTCAAAAGATATGTTTCGGCATGCGAAACATGCCAAAGAAACAAGAATATCAACAAGCCACCGTATGGTCCCTTACAGCCCAACGACGTACCAGAACATCCATGGGATATTATAACGGTAGACCTTATCACTCAGTTGCCAAAGTCAGACAAACACAATGCAATCTGCGTTGTGGTGGATAGATTTAGCAAACGTGCTCACTTTTACCCGATCACCAATGAATTTTCGGCAAAGGATTTAGCGCACCTCATGTATGAACATGTGTGGACCCAGCATGGTCTTCCTAGCCAGATCATCAGTGATCGAGGACCACAATTCACTAGCAAACTATTCCAAGAATGGTGCGAATTGTTGAACATCAAATCATCCATGTCAACGGCCTACCATCCACAAACAGATGGACAAACGGAGAGAGTCAACCAATCCCTGAAACAGTACTTACGCTGTTATTGCAACTATCGTTCGAACGACTGGTCAAAGTTTATACCAGCCGCCGAATTTGCATATAATAACCAAGCGCACGAAAGTACTAAAAGTTCACCCTTCTTTATTGAATATGGACGTCATCCTAGAGCTGGACCCTTTGTGACCAAGTTAGTGTCACATCCAGAAATTAGCGATTATGAGAATGCACGAAAAGAAGCACAAGAGCAAGCCAAGGCAGCACTCACTCTAGCGGCAGAATGAATGAAATGGTACTATAACCAGCACATTGCCAAGGTACCCTTTAAACAAGGAGATCGTGTCATGATAGACACCCGCAATTGGCAAACGACGGAAAGGAAATTGAATCCTCGTCGTGCTGGTCCTTATACAATTAAGGAGCAATTAGGTCTGGTCACTTTCAGGCTGGACCTACCCAAAAACATTTCAGTTCACCCGGTGTTTCATGCTAGCCAATTGGTACCCTTTGTGGAGGATACTATATCCAGACGGCGACACACGCAACCAGCAGCCATACCCATCGGCAAAGAACTCGAATACGAAGTTGAACAGATACTAGACTCAAGGATTATGCGCAAGAAATTGCAATACCTTGTCAAATGGTCAGGATATGGGGATGAAGAAAACTCATGGGAACCGGTCACTAATCTGGATAACGCCACGGAATTAATTAAAGAATTCCACAAAGAACATCCAACGGCTCCGATCATGGCAATTACAATGCCACCTGATCCCACCAAAGACTGGAGTCAGGAGATTCAGGATGCTACAGATAACGTTGACGACATGAGTCCCAGAGAAAGAGAACTTCATGAGGCAGTAACATCCGGAAACGGATATTTATCGACACAGCGACTAACAGACGAAGCCCAACTACCATTACGCGCTACTACTGAGTCGGCTGGCCTCGACTTATATGCCACCGACCGTGTAACTATACCACCACATTTGCGTGCTCTCGTACCCACGGGACTCAAAATTAAGCCACCACCAGGAACATACTCTCGAATTGCTTCAAGGAGCAGCATGGCACTTAAGGGGATAGATGCCCAAGCAGGGGTAATAGATCGTGACTACCGCGGAGAAGTCAAAGTACTGCTCTCCAACGCAACCGATCGCCCCTATACGGTCGAGATTTCTGACCGAATCACTCAACTTATTTGCGAGCGCATTTTACTACCCGTGCCGCTCCAGAGATACCTCTTTGATAAGGAGGAAAAGGAGGCTTATGAACAAGCATGATGCAATGCAGCACGTATTTGTGCGAGGGGAGGTTTTGGTTCAACTGGCAGATCAAATTCCAAAAGACTCCAAAAAGGAACAAACCGGTACGCGAAGTACTGAGTCTCAAGAATTATTGCTATAAAACCAAGTTGGCCATGTCACTGTCGAACAAGCTGCCACACAAGCACATCACGCTTGAAACCCAATCCTATTTCACCATTGACCTTCTGAAGATGATCGAATCATACCAATTCACTGGTCATAAATGAAAGTATCTGCTATTCAATGGAGTTCATACCAAAAGAGGGGGTAGTGTCACAAACTGTAATATTCCACATTATTTTATTGCTTGCTTCGTGATCACGTGACTACCCACGTGCTCACTCACGTGTATATCTTGAAGCGCACATATCACGTGCTAAAGCCCAGACCTCATACGTCATAAATAAGGTACTAACTATTTTGCCTAAAAGATAAGGCACCATATCCGAAGACACAAGATCCGGTCGCTTATCCACCAATGGGATAAGCTCCTACAACACTGTGAGACCCAGAGCTCCGCTACCTGGGAAGGTGGTCCTATAGTTAGAGTAGTTATGCTCAGCAGGCATCGCCCGCTGACTCTGTAGCTGCATGGCAAGGTCTCCTGATAGCCTCGTATGACTTCGTAGATTAATGCTATTGGCTTATCTCAAGATAGCTCGCAGGTAACACCGAGCTTCGCCTATCTTTAGAACATGTGCTGAGTCACCGTTCACATGGACCCACTGTAGGTGTGCCCATGGTCCCGGTAGACAGTGTATCAGGGGTCTGACCCTGCCTGTATATATACTGAGCTCGTCTGGGTTTACACCCCCAGACTTATCTACCTTCGTCAATACTCGATACACTTGACTGTTACTGCGACTTCCCCTACAAGTCCAGTACACCTCTTATAGTCTGCGATCTCCGTCACTTCGCTTCATCCAACATAAGCAAGTAAGACCTTTCGGACTTCGCCTGATATTGGGTCTCCGTGACAGTGCTTGCATTTGGTTCAGCCATATGAGCAGAATCAGAAACAGAAGTACAAGTAGACTATGAGAGAATGAAGGGCATGTTCAGTGGGTATATGCTGCAGTGAGCCTCAGCCACCGACATGTCCTACGAGATCCGATCGATGCATTTCGGAGATGAAAATGCTTATGTAACTTCGAAATTGCGTACTACGGTGTCAGGGTGAGATTTTGAAACAGACTAGGAGCACCATGGACAGGACATGAGAACTCGACTGCCTTTACTGAAGAGACCTCCACTGTTCTCAAGCTCAAAAATGAACATGAGAAATTTATGGTTAATTGCTATCCAATGTCATCACTGACAGAAGATATCATGTACAGCGAAACTGTGGGATAAAGCCACAAAGACGCAACTGCCTCACACGACTCAGATACTTGTCTGCGTGAACTGCCTGATTCTGCAACAGCTGTTGGCGGGATGAACGTGGACCCTTCCAGACCCTCACAGTGAGTGCGCTCTGTCGACAATACCCTCTGGGTGAGCTGGAGTTCTTGGTTCAAATGAGCGACTCTGCCATCTCACAGCTGGATGCAATGTCCAGTTTGGCTCTTAATGATGGTCAGCCACACTTCTTCATCGAAGGGGGGAAATAAGTCTATGGTCAGGGAGGAAAGATGTAGCCAAAATGTGAGGAGGCTGACCTTGGAGACTAATGAGACTGACTATTCATTGTTGAGCTCAGACCAAATCCAGATTGCATTTTTCTTCATGAACTTGATTGCAAGAGATGCTTATGTACGTAAATTTCTGAGCAGAAAGTCATCAGAGCATTGCATGGATTGCTGGGAGAATGCAATGATATTCAAAGCCTCATGTTGAATTACCCTATGATTGCTTTTTCACTATGCGTGTGAGCTTTTCTTTCCTAGACATCAAATTGTGTCTTGCTAACGTTCACGAGGTGTATGGTTCTGCTGTCTTCAAGAAAGGCGGTCTCAGAACAGCTGTATGAGAGACTGCAGCTTGTAAGAATCGAAGACTCGAGAAGTTGATGTTCTGATGCTCAGAGGACCATGGTCCAAGGATACAGGTATGGATGCTAGGCTTTCCATATAGTAGGTTGAGCAAAGTTATGCCTTGTACCTTCTAGTTTTGAATGCTGGTGATGGTGTTCACCAGAAATCTGAGGGAACAATCATCAGGAAAACCCCAACTTTACCTTTTTCCTCGCTTTGTCACCTTTTTCGAGGATTAAGGAGAGAAAATGTTAAAAAAGCATGAGGATCTCCTGAAATTGCATCTTTTTCCCACCTTATGAGAGCTTTTTACTCGAAAGGGAGCGGAAAGGATGGTGAAAAGGCATTGAACCGCCAGCGGCATCAGAATCAGCCGAAGCTCGGCTTTCCAGCTTAATGTCTTTATACAGATTTCTCGTGACCTTTCCGGCGCTTTCTGTGTGACTTTTCCATGAAAAAGGATAAAATAAGCGCAGAACCAGGAGATCCCCACGCTTTTCGGGCTTAATGCCTTTATTGGACCAAAAAAGCTCTAAAGGGGGCTAAAAAGCAATATTTGAGTTTTCCTGATGATAGCATGAGTCTGCAACTCCAAAGACTACCAGGGCAGAGCTTTATCTTTGTCGGAAAAGGAACTTCAAGAAGGATGAAAAGCATCATGGCTACGTGATGATCTCCAGATTGTAAGCGCTCGATGTCCCACGTATTTCTGGGCACTTGCACAGCTGCATGTTGGCGACAAAGAACACAAGCAAGTGATGAGTCGTGATAAGCGGTCTAAGATGATCAAGGCAGGCAGTCCGACACATTTCCGTCCAATCAACTTAGGAGCGTTCAGTGCGGACCCACAACACCAAACAACCACATAGTATACTATATTGGCCCGCGGTCTCATGACTTGGTGCAATTTTTGGCCTTGTTCAATACAACACCCATCTGCGTACGTCCATTACAACCTTGTAGCGTCTGCGTGTAATAATAACATGGTGTATCATCATCGTGTGTTAGAATGTCTTTGTGTTGTTCTAACTTCTGAGCGAGTTGAAGATCTGCCATGATTCGTGAGACCGAATCGCTTTCGAGTGATATACGCGATGTTTTTCCATCAGGCCTCGCTTATCGATGAGTCTTCAACGCTTGACCATATCGTCTCGCAAATGACACAGCAGACCTACTTGCATCTTGTGAAGCACGATATGGCGCTGCAGCGTATGATTATCCAACAGCACGATGGGATGCAGCAAGTTATTTTCCGCTGTCTCGGATAATCCGCACACGTGTAACACTTGAGATTCTAGGCACGGTCCGTGATGGAGACGGGTTGCAAGCGAGGAATAACGGCATTGTGCTTTGAAATTCCGCTAGCGCGAAGTGCCAGCATGCGAAACCGCAGGCCTTCTCGTCGGCTGGCAGGAACCACGCACTATCTGAACAATTTGATGCCTCGCTTTCTTCTTTATCAGATGACTTAGCTTTCTGCTATACGTCAACGCAAGCCCCCTCTTTTCTCCCTGGATCCTGTCGGTGAGCCCATAACACGCATAATGGTAAGCGTGAGCTCAAACTTCATCTTCTTTCACAGCGCTGACAGGAGCTTGTAGTCGACAGTCGATATTGAGGCTCAGCATGCGCCTGCTGAAATGGACGGCTATGACTCTGGTGTCAAATGGACAGGTATGAGAGTGTTTCAAAATCTGAACTGCTCTGACTTCTGAATTTGAGAACCTACTGCAGATAACGGAGAGAAGCAGCATATCGACGGTGGTGCCGGTGAAAGGTTGAAACGAACCCGGTCTCGCGTCGCGGAGAAGCCAAACGTCGTGCCCGTACGCAAGGATACCGCGCAATCGGAAGATGCACGAGAGAAACGAGTTCGGGGCCCAGCACTCGACACATCTACATCGTGGGCACGGTGCGCCGAAGAGCTCTGGAAGCATGAGAAAGACGTCATACAAGATCTGAAGGAAGGGATAGACACACTTCTTCTCTTCGTGCGTGTTCCATTTGAACGTATTCGCGCTATGATTAAAATATAGAGCTTGGGATTAGGCGGGTCTGTTTTCAGCAGTTGTCACCGCATTCAATGTCGAGTTCTACAAGACACTACAGCCCCAGCCGACAGATTCCACCGCTCAGATCCTCATGCACATATCAGCGCAGCTGAACAGTTTTACTGTCAATTCAGGCTCCATTAACTCTACGATACTCGGATACCCAGTAAGATACCCGGAGTCCGTTTCTCAACTCGATATCGCCACCAATACACTCTGGTTCTCGGCACTTGTCATAAGCCTTGCGGCCGCATCCATCGGGATTACGATCAAACAGTGGCTTAACAACCATGTAGCCGGTGTGCCATCGAACCCACGCCAGAGCGCGATTGCCTGGTATCTTCGCCACACTGGCTTTGATCAATGGCACGTGGAGGATATAGTGAACTTGATGCCGATTCTGCTGCAGCTTTCCTTGATGCTCTTTCTAATCGGTCTGGTACTACAGTTCTGGAAGACCAGCGCTGTGGTGGCTGGTATGGTGCTTGGGCAAATGGTCATACTGATGGCTTTCGCTTTCGGAACGGCTATCACTCCGTCCCTTAACCCTCATTCTCCCTACAAGTCTCCGATGTCCCGTGCATTCTATAGACTATTCCGTGTCTGGAGAGGGAACTATGGGATGAGCGTGCGGCGGTTAAAGCGGACGTTCGCGAAATGGCGTGTTCACTGGTCTTCCACCATGCCACCGATTGTCAGACAGTATACGTCCGACTTCAGGCCGATTGAAAATCTGCCCTTATGGGAAGATCGGGAAGACTTGGAGCTGACCGGCTTGGTCCCGAACATCGAGCCCGTTGTGGTCTTGGATGCCGCCTTCAAGACGTTGAAGGGTGCTTTTCTAGACAGGGTGCTTCAGCCGTTCCTGCGACTTGCTCCTTTTGAAATCGCACTGGATATTTTTGAGCATTATTGCAATAAAGAGGTGCCTTTCATGTAGAGTTTCGATGTCGTTTCACTAATTGGAGTTGCAGGATGTGAGCTCCACACCAACAATAGGGTATATGGCTGTCGACATTCTATCGAACCTCCATTCCAAAGAGGTCTCAATTTTCGACCGTAATCGTCCCGCTTCTCGTTCTGGAAAGATATTTCCGACGCCGCTGTCGGGGGAACGTGTACGTATCATCAAGTTTCTGCAGATCCGACTCAGCAACATGCCTTCGGGGGAACGCTCCCTATACGATCGCCTTGTGGACTACTACAGAACTCTGGCTGTTTCGTCTGAACACCGTCTTCACCTATTGCAGCTCCTCACATACAATATGAAGAACTTCTGCTATGGAGAAGAACGTAAGTTGTTGCTTCCGCGTGTCAACTCGGTACTAATAATCTTGGGCAGTCGCAGAAGAGTGCTTCTATTTCGGGAGAACTGCTGTCGAAATGCTGTCAGAAGACCTCAAGCCCCACGTCTTCAGTGGGTCCGATTCTCAATCTCCTTCGCAAGATATTCTCGACTGTCTCAGACGGTTGCTTCAACTCACTCCTGCGAACGATACAAGACTATATATAAGTTTGATTGATCTTCTCGGTGCTGTCGATCTTCCTACCAGTGAAACAACGCCGAGTAGCATGCGGCGTGTGATGGAGTGCGTTTTTAAGTCGAGTACTTCAATTCTGGCCAGCTGCGAAGGTGACGTCTTACGACACATTCATGGGAACACTATCATCATCCTGACATGCAATGTAGGAATTCCGACTCTATTGTCACTATTCACGCAATTAAGGGAACGTAACAGGGCGGACGAGACTATCCTTCTGGTCAACGTGGCCAGATGCATTCTGCGTCACCTATGGCGGTGTTCTGGGCACGAGCTTCGTGTTCTTCGATCCGCTGTCTTGGATAAAATGCCAACCTCTCAGCTACAAACTGTTATGGATACCTGCACCGATGTGAAACAGCGTACTCCAGATCAATCAGGCAAAGTTGGGACCCGCATGGGCGTTGGTAAGTCTCTCATTGCAATAACGAAAAATCCTGCTTATCCGCAGATCAGGCCTATCGGGCGAGGAAGACTCCGAAGCGACTCTTGATGCAATTGTTTACGGAATCCATAGACTGTGTGTCTATTCATCGGCTGTCAGGGTCCGCTAACCGATTGATCTGAAATGCGCACGACAGATTGCTACTCCCAGAAGGTATGGCAATCTCACTGAATAGAGAGAGAGACCCAGGTATGCCGCAAGCACATCTACGCCTAGTTGGAACAAATTTCACATGCATGTTTAAATTTTCAGAGCAGTGGGCACTTGAATGTGCCTATGAAGCGCAACGCACGGTTTTAGGCACGTGTGCTGGGCATGCTGGGTTTGATACGCAAAAATGATATCCTTACATTCACGCTGCAAGACTTGAAGCCAAAAACGACTAGATAGAATGGCATATACAAATACGTGGCCATAGTGTGATCGTGGCTTCAACCTCTGAGAGATGAGAAGCGAGACGATATGATTACATACAGTGTTGCAATCTCGTCACTACTTGGTTCATCAACGGACGTTCTCCAGGGTTCTTCCGCCAGCAATCGACCAGGATGCCCCAAATCCCATCCGTAAGCTCCTTTGCGTTCTGCGGCCTTGCAGGATGTTGAGCGCGGTAAAGGGCATCGGCGACAAACGTATCATCCTGCAGCTCCACGTATGGCACAGATGAGGTGTAGCACTCGAGCATCGCCATCGCGAATGACCAGACATCGCACGCGAAAGTGCACCCAGGAAGGCTAGCATCTTTGACAAATTCCGGTGCCAACCAGCGCGTCAACTCTGCCTCGTATAGAATGAGCGAAGCTCGCTTCTTGGTTATCTCCGCGACGACCTGTAGCATGCCATAGTCCGAAACGCATACGTCGCCCTTAAAGGCAACAGGGTCAGCCGCAATCACCATCAAGAGGCCTCAAAGACCGACCTTCTCGTTGATTAGGAAGTTTGTCTACAAGGAGATTGTGAATGACTAAAGGAACGGAACAAGCAGCGCGTACTTACGCATTTTACTGCGGTCACAATAGAATCAGTCAGATGTCTATTTAATGGAACTGTGTGATATAGAAGCAAGTACTAACCATTACCGTGGACGATGTTCTCCTGATGAAGGTATCTTAGACCTTGCGCAGCGTCAACAAGCTAGATCCGTGCAAACCCTGTTCAGCATGCCTTTATTTCCTATACTGAGAAAGAAATACCAACCAACTGTGTTTTATCGGTGTCGGGATTGTTCTTCGTGTAACTGGAGAATTTTCTCAGGCTCCTCGACGGAACGTTCCTCAAAGTAAACGCACTCAAGGATATTTGTGTGTTCGCACCATGGAGTCGCCTTGACATCATATCAGCGATCAATAAGTTGCACTCTCAGACCGACTTACACTGTGTATAATCGGACCCAGATCTGTCACTATGCCGTAAAAAGGGAGAACGTTCGGATGCTTCAGCTTCGCCCATTTCCTGGCTTCCTCCTCAAACCGCTAGAAGAGATGTCAGTGCACACGTATAGCTAGAGCAATGAACGCGGACTAACAGCAACAGCTCCTTGAGAGACGGTAATATCCTGTACTCGTAGAACGATCTAGGCACAGACGGGAAGGGTTAGATATGAACAAGAACGATTACGATATACCAACGTCTATCTTCTCGAGCCAGACACCGTTCCACACTTGACTATAGCTACCCCATACCAGAGGTCTATCACCGAGTTTCTTCACTTGACCATTCAGAATCTTGATGGTCGGTGGTACGCCAGTGAGACGTTGGAAGTTCACTAGCTTTTCCCGATACATTTCGTGCTCCTCCTTCGTCAATTTCTCATTCGCAGCCTCTTTAGAATTTGAGGACTGTATTGGTAACTGCAGGAGCTGTTAACCGTGAATTTGAGAGGCTGCAATTACTAAACAATCCGAAGTTTAAAGTACCAGTTGGCTCAGTTCCATCATTCGCTCTGCTGCCGGATGACCGTGTTTCTGCAATTCTGCAGCCTGTTGCACGAGCTGTCGAGCACGAAGGAATCGCTTGGTGAATGTGAAAACTTCAGTTCGGTGTTCGACTATATATTTCTGCCATCCCTCTGCATCTTGTCGCACGATGCGCACCAACGGACTTCGGACATTGTTGAGCGAGATGGCTGCCACCATCTGCTTATAATTCTCGTAAACTGCGATCACACGAGATTATATGTATATCGCGCACCTCCCATTTGTCCAGAGCACTGTTGACCTCTTCATTGCACTGCTCCAGACCATATCCAACTTGTCCGTTTCGCCCTACAAGGAATATTAGAGCAAGTTGCACCTATCAAGGCTATGCTCACAGAGCGCCTGTAAGAGACCGTATTGAGACCATTCGCGAACACGAGGATAGACTGATTTGAGAGTCCTGTGGATAATCAGGCCGGATTGTCATCGCTCAGTGTGGAAGACCTACTTGAGAATCTCGTCTAGCATTTCATCAAACTCCGCAGGGGTTACAAATTCAACATTATCCTTGAGCATAGAGAAAAGGGTCATAACACCCGCGTTTAGTTGCTGAGCTTGCCTCTGCAATAAGAGCAGCCTCAGAATGACGTGGAGATATCAACGGTCAACAATCACTGACCCTGTGTACAATGATATTAGCGCAGCATTCTCGTATTCCAGTCACCATCGTCGTTCCCTCAGATCCTTGGCTAGAAAGACGTTGCTCATTCGCAGTGCGGTCTGCATCCCTCGACGGAGTGGGTGGTTGGCTCATAGTTGGGTATGTGAAGCGTGGCTGTGGGCCGGAAGACACATGGATTGACGGTAATCCGTGAGAACAATGGGAAGCAGCAACTGATTGGCAGTGATCTCCGCTCAGAACGTCGAATGAGCGGACCCACAACCGTACACAGCAGCCATCATCATGGCAGGCAATCGGAATACTAACTTGGCGGCGAGTGCGTTACTAAGCCTTGCATTGGTTCCGCGGCGGTCTTCTGGCTCGACAAGACCTACAAGAGATCCGGACAAATTTCTTCCTTATACCTCGGAGGGGTGCAGCAATATTGTCTCCTATGGCCGGTTAGCTCCGAAGCGGAGTCTGGGAATAGGTCGGATGTGTGGCACCGCTATATACTCTTGCTACTAGTAAATTCACGACATTTGCATACACCAGCATAATCTGCGCCTTGCGCGGGTTGGCCTTCGACCACGCCTCTATCAGTGCTGCTGTACTCCATGGCTGGAAAGAACGATAACCCCGCCAATCCAGCCAAGGAGGATTCCGAGTCTGAAGACGAGAAAGACGTTACGGCGCGAGTCGCGCAACCTACGAGCGACACACACAAGCTACAAGGCAGACCGGCGAAGAATCCGCGCCTCAATCCTCCAACACCGGCGCGGTGGAAACGGATCTTGCTCATCTTGTTCTTGCTGTTCCTCTTCTGGCTGGTCTTGCGTGTGCGTGCACGGGCGAAGAAGCCTCAGATTATCTATGCTAGCAGGCGCGTCGCTCAATTTGGCTATGCAATATCGACTCGTGCGAGCTCATGCCTTTGTGTAGGTATTCGAAGGAATACAAATATCGGCCTGCTGCCAGCCCTATCATCACAGAGGCTCTGAAGGATGGGCGGACACGCTTGAGAGGTGCGCTTCCGACTGGCCTTTGAAGGTAAGAATATCTACGTTACTAGTCATGCAGCATGTAACCGCTTAGTACAAGAGACAGGACACCTCGCTACTGACGTACGAAAGATTGGACTTCCGACTCTGCTGTAGTAACCACGCGCACCCTTTTGCTACCTCATAACGGTTTCGATCAGCTCGTTCCAAAGTTTTTTGATCATCAACAGGATTGTCGACTGTGTCAGTCTTCTGACCTTCTCACTTCGTATAAATATACTTCTTACGCACTCCCTCACGGTCAGTGGCTCTTTATAGATGTGATACCTGTCAGAAGCAACCTCTCTATGCTCCCTTCATCAACGTCCACTTTAGAACTCAGTATTGACTTGCAAAACACGTAGAGCGGTTTATTGACGCTTTCTATTTGAACAATTTACACTATATGGTGCCGTCCGTACGGCGATCGCCGGTTCATGACACCTGTCGCCCGGAATGGCAATCGTAGAATACTCGCTGTCCTAACACGAAGGCCTTTTTTTCCCTCCTCGACGTCTTTTCCCTGTACGCCTGCGCCGTCTTTCATGCGCGAACGCTACCTCTTTCCTGCTTCCGTTTAACGCCTGTTTTCCCTATCTATTCCCTCGGGTTATCAACATCGAGTCCCGCGGAATCGCGACCAGTTCTCAAGCATAGCGGGTCAATCTGTCTCACGCATGCCGCAACAGTAGCTGTATCAAAGCCTTAACTTAAGCATAGAGCATCCATCCAAGTCGGTACACGCTCAGTATCCAATCAATCTCTATCAACTCGCCTTTCGTCTCTCAAGTCCTCTTTGTAGCTACCAGTCTCGCTTTCGCATTCATCGTCACCACAGGATCAGCACCATGCATTATACAGTACCTATTATAGACGAACAAAACCCATTGTACTGCCCTAACATAGATGCCGCGGCTTTTCTGGAGAGTCTCCGCCAGCACATACGTTCTGATCCTCCTCCCTACTCCCGCTTACCTGAAGAGCATATACCCTCCTTCGCGGAACGCCTGGATCAATCCCTCGACGAGTCCGATATTTATCGCCTGCTCTACCGTGCACTTCCCCATGTTTCCAAACTCAGCAGCAATTCTTCCGTATCAAGCTCCATTCGCCATTGGGAACAAGAAACCCCACTGCCTCGTGCCGGACGTGACCAGTATGCTCGCAGCCCGCCTGGCGTCAAGGTGAAGCGCAAGCGATCGGAGTCGATGGAGACGTTCAGCGACTTGCTTGCGCCGCCCAAAAGGGAGCGTTCCTTGCAGAGCGTGAATGACAAGTCATTCGAGGTCAGCGGGAAGGCGGATCGTCTGTGCTATTTTCGTGAGGCGGACGGCGGGTGGTACTCTCCCTTCGAGCCTCCCGCAAGCCAGCCGGAAGGACCGTTGACCACATCTGAGATGGAGCACAGGATATGCGCGTTGGAAGGTAGGCATCAAGAGCTGTTGCATGCAAAGGCTTAACACTAAATCTTTCATCCTTGCCGAACTACCGTCTCTCTGCAGGTATGTGCGTTCATGTCCATTTGGCAGTATGAGATGATATATGCGCTCTTGTTGTTAACCAATAGATGAGTTATATGGACCTCCCGTCGGTACGGAGAGCCCCCGAGGCATCAGTGGGCTCATATCCCGCCTTGACGCTATGCTGCCCGGGATGCGGCTGAAAGAGCGATTATATGCACTCGAGGCACTGACTCATCAGCGAATTGCGGATATGCTGGCTATTGACGGTCAGCCTTCACTTCTTCCTCAAAATCATAGTCAGAATTGACACTCCGTAGGTCATTTGAACGCGCGCGTCCTCAACATGCTGCGCATGTCCGAGATCGAGTGTCTCGACTTGACTGCGTCGCTCATGGACGAGGAGGGCTTGAACATGGGCGGACGCGAGCTTTTACGCGGTGAGCTCTTTGAGCTGCAAGTCCATTTGTAGCTGGGCTGATTAATTTACGACCAGTCTTTGCCAAGCCGAACAGTTTCCTATTTCTTAGCCAGGTCAGCCTCAGCGGCGCGGCGCTACAGGACAGTGACATTATCAATATACATCACCTTCCGCGACTGTCGCAGCTTTGGCTCAGCAACACTGGCATCGGGAACGAAGCGTATGATTCGCGTGTAACCCACTTCACAGGTTATCGAATTGAAATCCCTTTCACAGCATATTTCACCTCGTCGCCCTGAAGCGCACACTTACCGAGCTCGATCTTGCGCTCAATCCGCTCATCGACGACGATGCGATCCCGCCTTTGCTGGCGTTGCCCAAGCTGCAGTTCTTGTCAGTGTTTGACACTGGGGTTGGCATGCCTGGATTGCGCCGCCTTGCAGTCGCCGTGCTGGAGAGGGAGAACCAGAAGACAATGGATATCGAGGTTCCGAGGGATTGTGAAGCATACCTCGAGAGTATGTATTTTGCCTCCAGCATAACCCCGACGAATTGACTCCATCGCTCTTCGCGTCAGACCTCCACCGAAAGTACATGCTGCATCCTCGACCGCCGCTCATCACTGACCCTGAGGCGTGTGCTGAGTTGTCGACCGCTGCGCTGCGCCGAAACCTCTCGGAGCACGCTGCGTTCAATGCTCAGATTCTGGTTGGAGGATCGCAGGCGGAGATGGCGGAGCGGCTGCAACGTATCCTACGGATGCGTGAGATGGACCTCGCGGCAAGGGACCTTGTGTGGACGAGCTTGGACCATGGCCACATTGACGAGAAGCCGACGGAAGAGCAGGTCAGTGAAGATGACATGGAGGCGTTTTGATATGTGGGACGCATCGCATTCCGTTGTTATTGTCAGTTGCATGTCGTGTTGTTATCCATGTATTATTAGCTGTCTGTAAAGCTCTGAATGCAGTTCACAATCCTCTCGTTCGGCGTGGCTGTGGAGACAGAGGGTCGAGTCTCATCAGTATGAATTGCGAACTCATCTAATGTTATTTATCGTGTTTTAGCTGCAATCTGCTGCAATGGTAAAAGAAGAGAAGACCTGGGAAAACTAGAGTTGCCTTTTGCGGAAGCCCGCTCGGCAACGGGCGCTTGTGCCACAATCACAATCCACCCGCCGCTCATCTCCTTCCGCCTCCCTCCCTACCTCGCTTCCGCATCATGACTTCACGCGACGAAACTTCACGCGACGAAACGAATCTGCAAGAATCACTGGAAGAGCTTTGGTATCTCAAGGAAATTACATTCAAACCCGACGCAGAGTCACCATCAAGGGCGGTCAAGATCATCACACAGAACTTCAACGGGTCAGTCGGGTCCGCGTAATCGAGCTTTGGACCGGTGTTCACGGGCTTGCAGGCCCTGCTCGTTTATTGCGATATGTAGGTTGCTATGTGCTGTTGCGTGGCCAGCTCAAGGCGAACACAGCTCGTCATGCCAGGCAACATACTCATCCTGCGCGGGCAGATCGAGATCCTGCCGCCGGAGCGGACGACCGTCTCCTACGACTTCCTGGCCCACCTCGTCGGAGACTATTTGCTGAGCTCGCGTCCGGACGAGGACGTGTCCTCCGCGCTGTCGGTCATGCCTGCTACACGGAGTACGTCTTTCGCTACTCGGCTGCTCAAGCTGTCTGGTCATACACCCGTTGCTTACTGCAGCTATTATATGAAGAGGGAATGGACCTCAACCCGCTGTTCACCGGCGCGACGGCGTTTCGTCCGGGAGGAGCGGGAGGAGAACTCAAGCTGTTTGAATATGCTGGGATCCAGTTAGTACATGGGTGGTTGGTTGACCCTGACAGTCCCGAGGCAAAGATCCTTGAGAAGACTGAAGACTACGACACATCGATAAATCTCCTCGTTGAGGCAGATCACCTTACCAAGGGGCAACTACTGGCTACTGAAGAAAATACAGGATCATCCGAAGCTGGTGTCACCGGGGTGTACGATACACTGACGAGCGAGCAACGCCATAAGATACAGGATGGTGAGATGCTTCCCCAATTCGGTTCATGTCTATCAAGATTGTGACGATTACCCATCAGGTATCATCATCCGCGATTTTCTCGACAAAACACAATCACAACTTACGTACTATGGCTTGTTCACCCTTGCCTCGACCATCACCCCAGGCAAGCTCGTCGCGCTCTTTCGCAACTCACATCTGTCCGTACTCTACAAACCCATCGGAGAGGACACCGGGCTGTACACGCTCGTTACTGACCAGGTGTTCCTGCACGAATCGTCCGTAGTGTGGGAGCGCCTCGAGGACGTCGAGGGCGGCAGCTCGTCGTTTGTCGATTCCGACTTTGTCCGCTCCAGTCCCGCAGGGGGTGACTACGCGGGACACACAGCCGAGAGCGCGCTTCGGGCCATTGAGGCACAGACGAACGCTATGTCGCTGGAGCAAAGTGATGAGTGAGTGTTTGAGTGGGTGTTCGGTGAATCCCACGCTGACGCGAACCCCCCCTTTCCATCGTCCAGTCTCGCGCTAGCAAGGCAGCTGCAAGCTGAAGAGGACGAGCATGCGCGCGAGGTTTATGCACGGCGTCAGAGGGAGCGGGCGCAAAGAGGAGAGCAACCGCAGACGCTTGCTGCACAGCATCCGCCCTCGCCTGCATCTACTGCAGATAAGCGCAGCCGGAAGCGAAAGCTGAAGAAAGATGATTGCATTGTGATGTGAGGCGGTATCGTGATCGCCTTTTTGGGTGCAGATGCTAGCTGGATTGTACAGTATGAGATTTCTTGCATAATTCTAAAGTATCAGAATTATAGCTGGAGCCACGTTGAAGAAGCTGATTTTTATGTCGTATACAGACGTGTACCCCGGCATAAGTGACGATTGAACCACAGGCTGTATCTTCTGGGATTCTACGACGGTTGGTTCAGATAACTTGCCTCACAGCACGTAGTTTGAGCCTATAACCCAGCCAAACTCCCGATTCGCTGCTACATGATCATGATTCGTTCTGCAATGCCGCAGTAGTACGCGTGCCGGACCTCTTTTGATTTGATAGGCACGTCCCATATACATTGTTGGTGCTATGAGACCGATTTCCTATAGAGAACGTACGTCTTTAATTCTCAGGTTTGTGCAGCCGCCATGGAACCGTAGAGGCATCGGACGCGCTAAGAATTCTTGTCTTCTTGTTCAGGAATCTCGTCATCTGCATCAACACAAGTATCACCGTCTTGGATCTTGATAACGCCCGAGATGCTCGAACCGTACATCAGGCCGGCGAAGGTGTTCTTGTTCTCGTACAGAACGACGCCTCGTTCGCCGCTCTCCACACCGCGGAGCTCTGGGTGAAGGGAGGCGGCAGTTTGTTGATGCATGAACGAGCCTGGAGGTCAGAAGTGCTTGTGCAGATTCTGGACTGCACGACGTTGAATGCTCATCCAGAGCTGTGCGTACCACGCCACAGGCAGAATGCAATGTATCAGTCTGCATCGGGATTGTGAACACATAACGAAAGTCAGATCGCGCTTGGAACTTTATTGAATGCCTATGGTGTACGGTATGCCTGTGGCTGCTATGTACAGCTTATCATGCCAGCTCAATCCGATACAGTGTAAATTAATTGTAACTCAATATCATCAGGCAGCAAGCGGACCTCATGAGACGAACGACAGAGTTTGATCCTGCCTGGCCAGCTACCAGCGGCTCGTCGCCTAAGGTGAGTATTAACGTCTGTTCAAGAAAGCAAAACCTGGTCCCATCCATCGCCCCCATATCCTCTGCCAAAGATCGAGAGCTCTCGCTCTGTCCACGACTTGATGTCGGGAGTATGACCGCATGGAACTTTCCTCGCGGTTCAGGATCCTCCGGGACGTCCGTATCATCGGGAATCAGCTGACTATGCACGACCAAGCCCGTAAAACCCCAATCTGAGCTCGTTGGCTGCCCCATCTGGCACAATTATCAGCGGCTCAGAGTCGAGTCCAGCACAATGCTCGTCACCTCTACAAACAGACCGGGGAGAAGCGGGAAGATGGTCCTTTCGCGAATGAATGGATATGTTCGGCGCATCGGCAAGCAATGGTATACATGTGGATATACTGCGTGCCAGCTCCGCATCATTCCACCAGACAGGAGCTGAAGCCTCCAGTCAAAAAATACTCTGCCCCACTACAGTGAGTGCCACCGTGGCGAGGACTGCGGCCAGACCGATCTGCATGCTAACCCGCGCCGACGACGTTACGATGGTTTTCGGCATCTGCGCTGCAGCCGCCTCAAGCCTTGTGAAGTTCGGGGTACCGAGGCCAGTGATCTGAGGGAGAAGCTTAGCGCAATTACGACATATAGAGTGTGATACTCACTGGGTCCCACCCGCTCGTGGCATAAAACGCGGAATGGTTTGCGAATCCCAGATTATATCCAGAAACAATATCATGAAACGCCGTTGATGCGTTGTAATACAAGAACGGGTTGAGGAAACCTAGCGTAGAATTGCCTGCCGCAAGGCGCCGATCGTTGATCAACGCAACGATGCTGGCGAACGTCGGCGCCGAGCAGCTGGTGCCATAAATGTGATGCAGCGAGCCGTTGATGATCACCCCGAACTCCTCTCCGTAAGCCGCGACGTCGGGATAGGCCCTTCCGGACTGGTTGAACAGCCCGCTGTTGTTGGTCCCGAGCTGGGAGAGATACTGTGATACGGCGGACGACTGATAATCGGGTCGGCTCCAGATGTTTGAAAAGCCCCCCGATGAGAAGTCGGCGGTGACCTCGACGGGAATTCCGGAGGTGGCACCTACTGAGGTGACGCTGCAATGTGCTCGTCAGACCCTATATCAAGAATTATTTGTGAATTGAGAGGCACTTACTATGGGCAGCCGGAAGGGAAGGTTGGTACAAACACCGTTCCTTCGACCATAGTAGAGTTGAATTGGATGCCGGTGACGCCTCCATCTCCAGAAGCGAAGATTAAACTAACTCCGCGTGCTCCCAGCTGAGCATACGAATTGCACAAATTTCTGCAGACGAGAGCTTCAACTTCACGAATTGCAATATCTATCATACGGAGACTCACTCGGCCAACTTCTGTGAAATAGTGTCCTCATTCATCCCATAGCTAGTGGAGAGAACCTGAGGAGGGTGAGCCTCGCCGAGAAGGTAGCTTGCGGTGTTCAGCAAGGCTTCCACGAACTCGCCAGTTGTGTTCGCATACGGACCAACTGCCAAGAAGGTCACCGGCACGTTCGTCGCAAGGCCTACAGTATACTGTAGGTCCAAGCTCTGTGAAGCGGCGATGAGTGACAGTCTGTCTGGAGGAGCACGTGTGAAGGCAACAACGTACGGCTTCACTACCGGCCTCTGCGGGATCGGTCGAATAAAGACCGCCATCAGGTTGCTGCAAAGTGAAGTTCCCACTGCTGTTCATGTCTGGTCGAAATAGTTTCAAAAAGGTCTATAGTGCGAAGATGAGAATAATGCCTCTCTGATCACATTGTGCGACTACCATCAGATCCTCATTATTTGCACTCTGGTTAATGTATTCGGCAATGGCAAGTGCATTCGAGGAGGTGGTGGCAGGGGTGGTCGGGATAGCGTAGAGATGCTGCAGGCAAACAGGATCAATAAGGGATCCGTTTCCGCATGGCGCAGACTGATTGGCAGTATCTCGAATAACGTGCCGTGAATTGCCGGTGGTCCAGAACGAGGCAAGCGTGCTGGCCTGCTTATATTGCGGAAAGCTACATACAGCCGTGTCAGCACTGAGCTCGTAGATCATCCACAATCCTGCACGCACGTAATGGTGGGATGAACCAAATCAAGATGATCCGCCAAAGCTACCGGGATAGAGTATGCGAGCGTCCTGATGGCCTGGCGTCCAGTGGCCGTATGCGTGAAAGTGGTGAAGTTAGCATCCAAAAGAGTATTTGCTTTGCTGACGGGCACTTCGACTTTGACCCAGTCGGCTGCATGAGAGATCGTGGTCGCGTTCAGTCCGTTCTCGGCGAACCATGCATTCACTGCTGTTACGCTCTCGGGTTTCGGCGAAGAGAACACTTCCACCTATTCACACAGCATCACCCATGTGAAGGAGGACACATTTGATGCCGCTAACGTACCTCTTCCATAGTCAGATGGGAACCGTACCTCCCACTAGACGGATTGCTAACAGCATGGAGGGCGTCCACCAATCCATCTGTGTCATTCCCGATGAGAGCGAAGCGGAGAGTCAAGACTGTATCTGACGGAGCAGGACCGTCGGTTTTCCAGCCATTGGGAATTGATTGTCGGGATTCGTGCAGCTGAAGCGTCCGCGATAAAGGTTTGCCGAAGCTTGCTATGAAATGGATGATGAAGAATAGAAAGACGAAGACCATTTCCACTGAAACGGGGAATAATCAACAAGGTTGAAGGTGGAGAGCGGTATGATTGAGCTCGGGATGACTGGCATGATTGTACTTATAGTGAAAAAGCAACGAGAACAGCGCGCAATGTCAATCTGTCAAGCGACTGCAGGAACAGCGGTACGGGCAAGTAGACGTATTTAGAGACGCCACCACTTAGTACGGTAATCCAGCCATCTTTGAAACGCGTACAACGGCTGCAACGTGGTGCCATTGCGCTAGCTGTCAACATCCTTCAAGTACAGTCACTCGTGAGGTAGTGCGAGCACGACAAATATGATGTTGATATATACGTACTAGAAAAGTGAAGGCGAGTAGCGTCATATGGATTGGTAGTCCCATGGGCAATGTACGGTTGTGTATGAGGCGAAACGGAGATTAATCGCCACCAGATCGTATCAAGTCATCATCATCGCCATTAGGCGCTAGAAATTTGCCTATGATGGTGATCTTACAATTCTTGGAGACGAGCTAGCTGTACATAGCCAAACCCCGCTTGCGGAGCGCGCATGATGCCAAATTCAAGTGCAGCACCCAAGTAATCTACGCGCGATGATCGGAACGGGACATTGAACTCCGACATCACGTGAAACTACAAACAAAGCACAACGTTGTGTCTGACGCTCGGATGCGCTTTGCTTCTTCGCATCTGTGCCCACTTGCATTGTCACTCCCTTAGCTGTACATTCTACTATGCCATCTAGCAAATCTCCAATAGGCTCTGATAGTCTACAATATGATTGCACTTTCGGAGAAAGTCTACAAAAAGCTGAAAAGTATCCTCCGAGCACATAGATTCCATATTCCTGCTACGACAGTAGTTGGTTTCTTATCACCATGAAGTGTCGAAGGCTCTCTGCGAAAATTAGCGATTGGGGGGCATCACGGCTGCCCTAAACTGATTGCTCCATTGCTCGTCATGTCAGTCGTCATCTCTCATGATCTGCTCCTTCTCCTCTGTGGCTCCCTTGCCCCTCGTTTTCATCTTTTTCGTATGCTCGGTCATTGTCGATCATCATGTCACGAATCGCTGTGCAGGGCTCGTACACTGGCATTCCTGCATCCATTGTTGTCGATGCTTGTCTGGATCGCTCGTGTATTTCTTCTGATTCTTTTTAATCTGTCGTCTTCTTAATTGCTCTATTACTTTCCGCTATAATTCTCATTGCGAGTTAATCTCTCTGCTCTCATGTCTTTGCAATTGTTCCTTCTGCTTAGTATATTTGCAACTTGTAATGGTCTCACCCACCTCCAATACTACCTTCTACCTAATGTACCATATTTGTGCCTCTCAAGTGCTCGCTCTCCTCCCGCAAGCGAAGTCAACGCGCACCAACAACCGCCCGTACACAACCAATTGTAGGGCATTTTCCGTCAACTGCAATCACTTCAACCAGCATGAAAACCTTTCACACGACATCCATCGCCCTCCCGAAATATTTCACTTCCCTCCAAACACTGCATATCACTGCCGCACTTTTTTCCTGCGCCCCCATCGTAAATTAAGCTTCAAGCGCCGGCTACACAATGCGTGACCATCGTGTACAAGCGCTCATCGTAGCGGGCGCTGCCGGCATCGGCCCTACCACCTTATGTGCAATGTGAGCAAACAGCCAGCTACCAATAATCTTGTAGAACATGATGAAATGAAGATTAGATTGTGAGCACTCATCGAGAGAAGGCTCGCAACCATGACAATCTTAAGACGAAAACTTAGCAACTGTCCTGGTAGATACCGACAGCGTGCGTATCACAAAGGGATTGCGACGATTCTGCCCTGATCTGGATGGCAGTGGACGTGCGAAGTGGCCGAAGTATGCATGATGATGGGCCTTCGTGCTCGTTTCTCCATGAAGAAATTTCGAGACCATCTAGATACGAAGCTAGGATACTAGCGCGATATTCTTGTCCTTTCGAGAGCGCGGGGGCAGAGTGAAGAGGTCAAGCAGAAAGGAGCCGATTGTGGATCTCAACGAGTATCCTGTTCATGTGTGCAGCCCTAGTTGAACCCCTGGGTTGCCATAGGAGCTTCGTAGCTTCGTAGCATGACAGATCATCGAGCATGGACCCAGAGCTAGTAGCATTGAGAACGGCGGCAGCAGTCATGGCAGGAGAAGCAATGGGGGGATACAATATAAACGTAACTCTAAGAATGGACATTACACCCGATTACAAAGTCCGAAGAGCCTGCTCCTAATAGACTTGAAACTCCGCTCGAAAAACCCGACCTCTCGACAAGACCCCCCCGTCAAAAAGCAGACAACCTGCTCCTTCTGATGTCTGAACAACATCGCGCGGATCTGTCCGCTTGTTCCTGTTGGTGGCGTTTTGGCTTTCATTTGGTGAGTTAGAGTACATCGTTCGACGCATTCGTTCGCCCCTGACCGTTTATTGTCAGAGGTTATGTTCGCTGTGGCAGCGTCACAGTGGGTTTCATTCTAGGACTTGTGCGATCGCGATGCCCCTCTAGCCGATTCTGCGTTGTGGACGGTGGTTCCCGACGTTCGGTCTCGATCTTGACAATGGACCTACAAATGTATCCTATCGTTTTGGGCTCTCGTACATTGCTCTCTACGCATTCCTGGGTGGTGTATCTCAGCCAGCTCTCTCGTGGAAGTGCAACGTCTTTGTGGGAAAAAGGGGTTACATCTGTCGCAGTCGACGTACCGTTTCATTTCCTCGCTTCTCGCTTTCCTTTTCGCAGCACTGAAGGTTTGGCCCGGATGCACAACATCACTGTTGGTTGCCAGGAACGCTCTTTGATTGGATTGTTCAACGCGTGCACTGCTCATCACTGTTGATCTAGCTGTCCTCAATCCCTCTCTGTGTTTGATTTTCCGACCGATAGGCTTCATCGCGTCGGTGTAGATTGCAATGACTGGTACGTGTCTGGATCGTTTTTGCAACGCTTCCCTGCTGTTTCGAACGTTCGTCCTGTGTCGGACACCCTGTACGTTTTTGCTAGCGTGGTCGACTGCGGAAGACGTCTACGTGTCGTGGCGTATGGACGACAAACACCGTTGCGACGAATGTACTGTGACGCTCCAGGGGCCCGTTGTCTCCGCCGGCGCACAGTGAGATGGCGGCCTTATACCACGACGTAATACAGATTACCCAGACGAAAACACTCCTCGCTCTGATTGTCACTCACCTACATATCGCGTATATATCCCGCTACGTATGCTCTCCTACCTGTGATTTGGAACCGGCGCTGCCTCTACCCAAGTAGCTACGCGATAGTACGCGTGCAGGCGCGTCGCATATCTATATTGAACGCGGTCACGTGCTAAATACAAGCCGGGCCCTCGAACACCGCGGAGCAAATCCTCTTTTGCTTTTGAGAGCAACCACTCCCATTCCCTCTGATGAACGCCGGCAAGTCACCTAACCCGCTGTAGCTTCACCAGAACATTAAGCTCTTGCGAACAAACTCAACGAGACCAACGTGCATTTCTCGGCGTTCTGTGCGGACAAACGAGTTCCCGATGTATGACCGACGAGCGAAGCGTTTGCGTTGGGGCACCGTCGTGCAGCCACGACAATGCCAAGGTCTCCATAAAAATCCCTCTTTTCTGCTATCGAATGAAGCCGGCTCTCCACCTCCACTAGCATGGGCTCATCGACATCGCTCGACCAGAAGCTCCTCGCCGCCCTCCGCTCGCGCGAGGAGCGTCTGATCCGTCGACGGCTGCCGGACCCAGCCGCCGACGAAGGCCTCGCAGACTTCTCCACAAACGATTACCTCTCTCTCGCCTCCTCGCCTGTCCTACGCTCACGCTTCCTATCCAAGCTCGCCAACGCACCTGCCATCCTGGGCTCCGGGGGCTCCCGCCTGCTCGTGAACGGCCCAGCGCACGCCGCACTCGAAGCGCGCCTGGCGACGTTCTTCGACGCCCCCGCTGCGCTGCTCTTCAACTCCGGGTTCGACGCGAACGTCGGATTCTTTTCCTGTGTGCCCCAGCCGGGGGATGCGCTCGTCTTTGACGAGCACATCCACGCCTCCGTACACGATGGTGTGCGCGCATCCCGCATCGCGCCCGCGCTCCGGCGACCATTCTCGCACAACTCGGTGCAGGCACTGCGAGAGGAGCTCGTGAGGCTCCTGCGGGAGCAGCCTGCTCTGCGCACGGGTGCGAGCAGCGTGTTTGTCGCAGTGGAGAGTTTGTATAGCATGGACGGGACCATCGCGCCGCTCACGGAGATGGTGGAGGCGGTCGAAGGACTCCTTCCTGCGGGCAACGGATATGTGGTGGTGGACGAGGCACACACGACTGGGGTGTATGGTCCGCAGGGACGCGGGCTGGTGGCGTTGCTGGGGTTAGAGCGGAGGGTGCTCGCGCGGCTGCACACGTTCGGGAAGGCGCTCGCTGGGACAGGTGGTGCGTGACCGTGTCCGCCGTCCAAACGTCAATCGCGCGCCTGCTGACACTGACGGGGAAATTCAGCGATCCTGCTCACGACCCCGCTCGTCCGCGACTACCTGCTCAATTATGCACGCTCGCTGATCTACACGACTTCTCTGGGCTATGCGAACATCATATCTGTGGATTGTTCGTTTGACCTGCTCGAGGATGGGACCGGGGCGAAGGTATGCCGCGCACGAACTGACGTGAGATCCAAATTGATCCTCTAGCAGTTATCGAAAAAGCTCCTAGAGCTGAGCACATACTGTGTTGCCCAACTACGCCTGCATCTCCGCACCATTCCCCTCTCAATACTTGCTCTACCTCCACACCTCGCCTCGCCGCCGCCGTCCTCTTCCCAATCACCATACCGAACGTTCCCTACGCCTGTCGTTCCCCTACTAACACCCTACCCGCGGCCGCTGTCCGCGCATCTCCGCTCGCGTGGGCTCAACGCACGCCCGATCGTCTGGCCGACTGTGCCGAAGGGCCGTGAACGCGTCCGAGTATGCTTGCACGCTGGGAACACAAGAGAGGAGGTGGATAGGCTTGTCGGAGCAACGGTGAAATGGGCGGAAGCGTGGATGAGGGAGAATGGGACGGCGGAGATGTCAGTGGCTAGCGGTGCTGAGGAACAGACGTTGTTGGCCAAGTTGTAGCTGAGGAGCAAGCTGTGATTCCTCGAATCCTGGAAGTCGTGCATTTGGACGAACGGAGAGAGCATGGTGTGGATTGCTCAAGCCAACTGGACGACGAAACCATCTCAGTCCTGCAGGGCTTCGATTTGCTCGGCGGTTGTCTGCAAAATCTCATCATATGAATCTTGGTAACCGACTGAGCAAAGTGACGTTTGGTCAACGTATATATTTGCACTGTGTGTGCAGGAAGCACGTACCGGGAGTCTTTGCCAAGGCACGATATCGTGCGATCACTTCTCTGTTATGCCGGATCGCAGCGAGCTGAGCTTGCTTGATCGTGCCTTCATTGCAATTTGAGATGAAAGACGACGTAGAGCAGTCGAAGAGCATACCTGACACATGCACGACGTTGGGCAGATACCGACGTCCTTCAATCGTGGTGATGAGCGTCAAGCTTGCCCACGCGACGTTGTGCGATTCGCGTCCGACACGAATGATGCATACGTTCGTCTGAGGAGAGAAGTACTTGACTGTTGCGATGAGACGGCGCGAGAATATGCTCAGCGGGACCTCATGGATGGATAGAAGTGACAGAGACACGCACCGTTCAGGGACGCGCCCACCGCGCCCCAGCCAACGTCTCCGAAATGTGTGATCACACTCTGCTTGAGCGCATTCCGGATCCGGTTGCTGTCTGTCTCGACATCGCTCGCACCTAATCCTACGGAGGGACTGGACTGAGAGCGCGTGGCTGGTCCACAGGGGATGAATTCCACGAGAAACCAGCGATTCTGGAGCCAAAGTCAGTCGACGCGAGCCGGCTCGTTGCTTTGCACTCACTTTGAAGCGGACCATTCGAGACCACTGCTGTGGGCACAGGCACAGCTCTGAGCAAGCTGAGCGAGGCGGCAGCCGCTGGACAGGCGCCTATTATTGCTGCGTACACGTGATCGTGGCCGAAATGTTCGGGCATACTGATCTGATCGGCGTGTCGCGTGTGCACTGTGGGTGTGGATCTCCCTCAGAGTACTTGCATTTCTGCGACGCACTGGTCTGTTTGTTTATGACAGGAACAACCACGACCATTGCACAGCGCGCTAGCCAGTCTTTTCAACTCTTACATCTCGACGGGCGCGTCACGGTCAGTTCGGAGTCTCACCCGAGCCGCAGAGTTTGCGGAGCTCCTACCATCACTCGCACACTCGCGGTGATACCCACCGCCAGGGCAGCATCAAGTCGAGGCCTGAACTTTGCCTTGCTATATAATCCTCCTGTTCCTGCCGTGAGAGCAAAGGCCTCCTGGATCAACTCGACTTTGTTGCAGCCATGTCCGACTCCAAGTTGACGTACACTCCTATCGAGGATATCCCTCAGGTACGTACCCTGAAGCGCGTGGCGTGGACTGTGATCTGAGCTGCCAATTGTCGTGGTCAGATCTATGAGACACTTCAGAAGGGTTTCCGGTCTGGCAAGACCAAGTCCATCGCCTACCGGAAGGAGCAGCTCGCCCAGCTTTCGTATCTCATACATGACAACAAGGCCCGCTTTCGGGAGGCATTCACCGCTGATCTTGGACGTCCGGCGGAAGAAGTCGACATGTACGTCCCGCGATGTCGTTTTTAATCCATGATTGTTTGAGCTTCGTGACAGGCTGGAGCTGAGTGTCGTGCTTGCGGAGATGAATGATCTCTACGACAACGTTGCGAAGTGGTCCGCGACGGAGAAGGCGCCATTCGACGCTTCGTGGTTCCTCATGTCTCCGGCCATCCGCAAGGAGCCCAAGGGTGTGGTGCTCATCATTGCACCCTTCAACTATCCTGTAATGCTTGCCCTGGGCCCCCTTGCGAGCGCGATGGCCGCGGGCTGTGCCGTCGTTGTCAAACCGTCGGAGTTGACGCCTACTATAAGCGGCCTCATGGGGGAGCTTATGCCGAAATATCTCGACCAGGACATGTACCAAATGGTCAATGGAAGCATCCCGGAGACTACGAGGGTAGGCTTGTCATATATGTTTGCATGTAGCGGTGATTCATGACGTTTGAGATAGCTCCTTGAGCTCAAGTGGGACCACAGTATGTCATTCGTTTGTGTGTGGTGATCATCTACTGACGAATCGCAATGTGCAAAGTCATGTACACAGGTAGGGCTGTCTCAACAGGTCATATCGGAAGCTAACTATTATCGACAGGAAGTGGTCGTGTGGCAAAGATTATCAGTGTCGCCGCAGCGCAGCACTTAACTCCAGTCACGCTCGAAGTAAGTGATTTATACTAGGTCTGAAAAGAACATATGTGCTTATCAACGTCCAGCTCGGCGGTAGGCATGTTGAAAAAGCTTTTCCGATGGCAACTCACACGATTGCGTCAAGGCAAGAGTCCCGTGGTCATAGACCCGAAATGCGACGTCAACACTGCCGCGAAGCGCATTTTGTGGGGCAAGATCGCCAACGCAGGCCAGGTAAGGTTGATAATATATGGACATCACAGTACTGCGCTCATCTACCGCTGCAGATCTGCCTCGCCCCCGACTATGTTCTCGTCCCACGCGACTTCCAAGACACTTTCGTCGCCGCGGTGCAGCGCGCGTACGTGTTTGTCTTCGAGCGCACGCTGCTAGCCGCACTGATTCCCACTACGCAAATGTCATTAGCTACAAGGAGTTCTTCGCTACGGGCGCAAAACCGGATGTGATGTCGCATATAGTCACCACGGCGCACACGCAGCGCATCAAGCGCTTGATCGACGAGACGAAGGGCACTGTGGTGTTTGGCGGGAAGGTGGACCTGGACGGACGGTGGGTCGAGCCGACGCTGGTGAAGGACGTCAAGGGAGACGATTCCCTCATGAGCGAGTCAGTGTCTTGTTCTGAGATGAAGTGATTTTTCTTTTTAACTTTGGTTCCACAGGGAGATATTTGGTCCCGTGTTGCCGATCATACCGGTCAAGGACGTCGACGAGGCCATCGAATTTATCAATGCTCGGTGGGAATCCCCTCCTCTCTCTGTGCTGTGTAGGTAAGGTGCTGAGTGCGGTGCAGGGATGACCCGCTCGGCCTGTATATCTTCTCGAACGATTCGGCATTCAAGGCCAAGGGCATGTAGTTCTCAACGCATCTTGCATTCTGCATCTGACTCGGAATTGGCGCAGTTATCGACAACACCAGGAGCGGAGGCGCCTCGGTGAACGAGGTCGTCGTACACTTCGCCAGTACGTGCGCTGGCCTGCATCGTCCTCGACTTTACTGACCGCGATGCGCCGTGTCAGCTCATGGTCTGCCGTTCGGTGGTATCGGCCCCAGCGGATGTACGCGTCCCGCGTCATATAACCCTTCGTATACTCACATCGTCGCCCTTCAGATGGATACGGCCATGGAAAGTACGGCTTCGACACCTTCACCCACTTGAGGTCAACCTTGGATAACCCCAACTGGTCAGCATTCACGTGTATGAACCTACCTTGACAGACTTGAGCTGACGACGTGAGCTAGGATTGATACTATCTTGATGTCGGGGAGGTATCCTCCTTACAAGGTACGCGTCTGACTATCTATCTTTGGTGAAACGGCGCTCAAGAGGTCGTACCTAGCGGGCAGCGACGGAGAGGCTCAACTGGTTCATGGCACCTGCCTTGCCCCCGCGCCCCGGAAGCCGCCCTGGGATCTTGCGGAGGTTGCGATTCCTGTTCGCCTTTGTGGTGATAGGGCTGCTTACGAGAACGGGCTGGCGTGCGCTTGCTCGCTGGGGCTTGTATTAGGTGAAACACGAGCTGTGAAGACCGCCGCAGTGCTATGCCCATCTAGGCCCCGAGGATTGGACGATTTTAGGTTTGACTTATCGATGTATCAAAGAGGGTGTGCGCGTGTCGGTCCTTGGTACCGATGGTGTGAGCTCCGCTTGTCAGCCTGTCCGAGAATATCATCCATTAATACATTCAACATCCGAGCAATCGAGGCCCGGGTTGTCGTGTACAGATGTAACAGTATGAGCAGTAGCGTATCTATGCGTCCATAACGTTATGAATGAAGAGATGATGAAAAAACGTGTCATGCTTAGCATATGAGTCAAGTACAGAGCACCGATCAGAGCTTGAAGTAGAAGGAAGATTTAAAAAATACAGAAGGGACGGGGAACATCAGAGAACTGATGCTTCAAAAAGATGTGATGAGGAACGAGCGGTCATCTTGGAACGAGCTCTCCGTTCCCTGGCGCCAATTACCCGCCACGTCGTCGCCGCCCCACCGGCCGACCTCGTCAAACACGAACGTCGCAGCGACGTTGTGCCCAAACACGCCCTGCTTTTCCGACAGGGGCGACAGATCAACGCTGACCACCGAGCGACGCTTGTGTGCGTGCGACGTCTTGCGAGGAAGTGGCATTGTCTGGATGGAGATCCGCCGTTCGCGCTTCGGGGCGAGATCCACCGCGCTTTCTTCGGGTGAGTGGCCGAAGGAGAGGAATGATGTGAGAGGCGACGGGCAGCGCTCGGTGTGATCGCTCGCTAGCGAATCCGTCTCCGGATCTCTCGGGCTGGAAATCAACGCTCAGTTGATCTGCATCGTCGTTGGCAGATTTTGCACGTACCGATACGTAGGAGATTTTAGGGAGGACACAGGGGCGTTCTCCCCGCGTCTCGTCGCGTCTGAGTAACCGCCCAAATTGCCATCTGCACGGGCACTCGTTGAGGCGCTCGCAGCCCCCTTTTGTGGTGTATCTACGGACTGCATGGCCGGCTTGACGCTCGGCAGCGGTTTCTGGGGAGGATCATGGTGAGGAGCAGAAACGGTCCTCGCGTGTTTTCTTTTGCCTGGAGTGTGTGGCAGTGGACGAGACGTGGAGGACGATGGGCCCGCAATCATGGAAGACGGTCTGCTGCTCTTGCTCGCTATCGCCTGCAGGCCGGCGAAGAAGAGGCTGGAGTACTCTGAAGTGTGCTGTGGCCACATGGGGGTTAGTGATGAGGGTACAACGGAGGGGCACGCCTGGTGGACTGAGGTCTTATGGACGGCTGGGAGCGCCGCGGCGGTGTGAGTATCGATCAAGATACCGTAAACATGAACATATAGAAGATGGAGAAGGCAATGAAGCAGGCGCCGACCGCAGTGAGAATCTCACCCGACGAATTGAGTCTGTGTCAATGGTCCGTAATAGCCGTACGTGGCAGGGAAATCAGGTTCGCGGAGGCGCCTGATCACGAGATACAGAACGTTTGTTGGTCCGCACTGATGTCTCCCTGAAACGCATCTGTGCGGGGGGAAGTCGGTCGGGTAGGTTTTGGACCGGAGGCTCGCCCGGTCGTGGTGAATGACAGCAAGACCCGACGTCGGACATCAGTGCTGGGCCATAACAGTGAATTGTCTTTCGCTCAACGCAACAATGTCGTGAGGCTCCATTGACAGCAACAATGGGGCTCCTCCCATGAGAAGAAACGGGGTCAGACAGCATGGGCGAGTTCTACATGTGGCGGTTCGAGCCTAGGTGGATATCAGTCAATCAGCCTGGGGCACAGCGCGAATAGAACCCGCAACGGGACGGAGCCGTGCTGTGTGAGATGTATGACGCACCATAACAGATTATCATGATGGGCGGCGTTCACTCGGGAGCAGGCTGTGAAGTAAGAGCAGTCCTGGGCGACTGTGGCGAGACGCGCACGAAGCAACCGTCGGCAAGTGCGTTGAAGCGCAGAAATGGCAGGTTACCAACCGCATCGGGTGACTCATGAAACTCGCCGCACTACTCCATGGACAACACCACCTGACGGCACCCACAACTCCTTTCATGGAAGCATCACAGACGGTGAGCCATGCATCGGGCTCGGGGTATAATCATCCTTTGTGTAATGTTGCTCGGGCTGTTCGGCCCACGTTTCCGCAGGCGTTAGGGAACACAGCATACCGCTCTTTGATCAGTTCATCAATAAAGTGATGGTGAGCTGTCTGCTTCGTATACAATGGGTCGATTCCAGTAGATTCCGATCACGACATGGTGACTGTCTTGTAGACAATGGAATGTAAGCCGAAAGTCACGATGCATGCCCGCGTGGTGGAATGGCCGGTGGCCATGCGAGTCATTCAGGACGTACAATGAAAGAACCCAACTATCTCAGTCGCAGCACGATCGCATGTGTGTGATCGTAGCGTACAAACAGTCATGCGTGCTATTTCCGAGCCGCGACTTGAGCTTGAACGTTCGCTTGTATAAGGACGTCCTTCTGCTGTTCCTCCAAAACTCGGCGTTTGTTAAAATAGTCGATCTGAAGGTAGTCAGAGATACTAAATATCCCAGACAGAGAAATAAAACTTACCCAGCTCTTTGCACAATCCTGCTCGTACGTCGTCTTCGCCTCTATGCAGGCCTCGCCTTCGTCACCTGGTGTCAGGACGCTAGCGCGATCCAGGCAGGCGAAGTACGCGTCCCGACTCTCCCAACATTTTTTTCTGCTCGTCCGGGATACAGGGTCAGGCTTCTCCTGCTTCGAGGAGCCAAACCAACCCATTGCGAAAGCGAAAGCGAGGACAGCAGAGAGAGATGCACGCGACGTGAAAGTATGAGGCTGCGTGTAGCCGCCGTTCCAATTCCGTTTATGGTAACACCTTTTGTGGCCAACTTCTTGCTCGCGACTTTGTTCGACTGCAAGTGTCTCTTGTTTCGTCGGCGTGCTTCTGTTGATGGCGACAACGCCCGAACCTCCTACTTAACAAACAGTTACTCTATAATTCCTCGACTTTCTCTGCGCTGTGCGTCCTATTCACTACAACTTCATCTGGCACTCGATAGTCTGGATAGCTCGCCGACAGACGAGATCTGGAGGGTGCTTCTGGAGTGATAATACTATAGGTGAATTTGTCAAAGCTCTCCAGGTCTCTTAAGGCTACTGCCGGCTCTCCTGCCTCGCGACCATGACATCGGCACCACCGCCACAGGTCTCGACTCCTACGCATACGCACCCTCTGCTCCTAGACGAAGCTCTTTCTCGAGGGCGCAAGCTGCGCAGTACGCAGCTTTCTGAGGATAGAAAGCCTTCTGTAGACTATTTCTCGCTCAAGGCACAAGTAGAACACAGCATCGAAGAGCACGCGGGATATAACAGCGACAGTTGGGATGGTAGCGTCCGCGGATTTGGCAACGGTGGGAGGCGCAAGTCAGTGAACCGACAGTGCTTTACGTCCATCACCCTTTGACTGAATGAGGTGGTGACAGGACAGGAAAGCCTGCACCTCTGATTGTTGTCGAATCCTCCAGTGGCAACCTGGTGCCCTCCGTGTCCTCCACTGATAATGGTCCCGACGCCGAGTTCGCTGTTGACGCTGATTCAGGATCTGCTGCCGATGCACGTATCTTGCAGACAAAATGGCATGAGATGCCGGGCGACGCGATTGAAGACGCCGTGTCCAAGTACCGCGATACAACTCCTCAATCAAGTATCCCTAGTCATCCGTATCACTCTGTTCTGAGAGTATTGTCGTCTGCGGTGCACAAGCTGTCACGAATGCACAGGGAGCTAGAGGAGACTCGCAGGCTACTCCAAGAGAAGGAGACTGCAAGGCGCGAAAGGGCAGAACATCTGCTCAAGGAGTTGCCGCCATCGGAGAAGGTCGTCGCTGAGCGTATTCTTCAGTCTCTCTTTCCTAACGATGACGAGGAACATCATCAAGTGGAGAGGCGTCATAGTGAAACTGTGGGTCTTATTCGATAGTATATAATATCACACTAACATACTGTAGTCTCTCACACAGTCTCTGACTGAAGCCATCGAAGAAGACGTATCATTATCAACAAACGTTCCACTCGAGTTGAATACGCCCCTGGCACCGATCTTAGCACCCATGGACATGGATGCGAGTGTAGCCACTCTCCAAGCAGACTCCGACAGACTGCAAAACTCTGAACCATCACTGAATCCTTCCACAGTCAATGTTCTCATCGACTCCACACAGATTGTTGCCTCGCCTTACGAGGATGCTACGAATGGCCCTGACGATAGCTTGAAGTCTGACCGCGTATTATTTGGTGATTGGATGGGTGCATGGTGGGCCAAGAACAAGAAGAACAATGGTGGAGCTTCTCTTACGTTGGATGATGACGCTTCAGCATCGATCAGAAGCAGTCCTTCACGAACAGTATCATCACAGAATCTCGCCGACGACATCGCCGCTGCACAATCGGTTCCACAGACGCCTAAAACCAGTCGTCGTAAGGCTGCACGCAGCGTTTTTGGTTCTCTGGGGCTCTCCATCCTGAATCCCTCCACCTCCTCTTTCAGTTCTCGAAAGCGCCGCAATCTGTCCGTTACGGATATACATGCGTTTGCCGCGTCCGCGGATCCGAAGGAATCCAAGAGGGAGACCAAGAGCGTATGCTCCGCCGCTTCATCTCCTGTGCGAGGTGACCTCCCATCCCATCCCAGCGGCTCATCACAAGTCTCAGAGGTAGCATCATCATCAAAACCACCGTCTCTGTCGACAGACCCGTGCTCCACGGCTGACGAGAAACCGCCTCAAGGAACGTCTCTACGTGCCATCATACAGGCAACGCGTGTGATGACGTCTGACCCTTCCAGTATTCTGGATGACCAGGGCCACGAGACGAGTACGTTCATTGCGGAGAAGGCCATGGAGTTGGTGCGAAACGCGCGAGAGGAGGGGCTGGAACTACGGGAACGACCGAAGGAGAAAAGGGAGCACCGACCTGAGAGGTCAGAGGGCCATGGCCAGAATATGATCAGTCCTGCCGGGGAGCTTACACCCTTTCTCGCTCACCTTTCTCCATCTGAGAGCGGTCAACGGCCCTCAGATCGGCGAAAGCCGAGTGTCAACTTTACATCCTTCGCATCGCCACTCTTCGGATCCTTCATGGCTCAACAAGGAAAGGCGGTATCTGTTGTAGTCGGTTCCGTGCAAAGAGGATATCCGTCAGCCCAGTCCTCTCAATCCATCGCACCAAGCGGTGGCCCATCTCAGCAGGTGGCTGCAAATAGACCCGGCTCAGTGCCATTGGAGTCCATCATACCCGTAGATGCCAAGCCACCGACCCACTATCTATCGAGAACCTACACACCCTTGACATCTCGCGACTTCCATTTCTCGATCCCTTTGCCAGATGCGGCGTCTGCTTTGTCGGTACCATACGACGAGCTCAGCCACGAAGGCGTGACTGACCGATATGGCTTCATCTATGATGTGTCAAAGTACGATGCTCTTCTCCTCGTCCGAGCGAAGGAATGCGGCAACACTGCACCTGCGTGTCTCACGGGCATCAAGATCGCCGACCGCAAGGAGGACAACAGTTGGCCCGAGGACGAGGGACACTTGGACGACAATATCGAAATCGTGAAGGAAGCATGTGAGTGCGATGGAGTGGACGAGATGGCTGATACGATGAGCATCAAGAGTTCTGGCACGCGTCGAACCAGTCATAGCCTGCCTACAGCAGACTCCGGGCCCAATTCGTCTCAACCGTCGCGCGGCACTTCGCCCTCGTCCACGAAGGCCAGGAAGCGTGCAGGTACACTGCATGGCAAGCCCGCGAGATTGCTGACCTCCATCCTGAGCGTCGATGAAGACACCCCGCGCCATGTGTGTGCGAAGACTATCCGCCAGCTGATTGCACAACTCGTCGAGGTGCATGATGAGCGGGAGGCTGCACAGCGCAAGGAATGGGATACATTCTTGAAGCACAGACGGGCGTCCAGAAAGTCCTCGGGCGGGTCATCCTCGCGAACACCGAATGTGGGCGGCGGAGGCGCAGCTGCGATTCTGGGACTCGGCACGGAAGTCGGAGAAGAGGAGCTTGAGCATAGCGGAGGTTTGGTCGGCTTCGCGCAGCTTGGGCTTCCGGCATACCGAGATGAAAGGAAGGAATTTGTCCGGCTGGTCCGCCATGGTATACCCTTGGTTTATCGATCAAAAGCGTGGCTGGAGTGTAGTGGCGGGCTTGATATGCGCGAGCCCGGTATCTTCACCGATCTGCTGGCCCAGTCGGACGATGAGTCTGGAGTCGTCAGGGAGATTGAGAAGGATGTTTGCAGGACGATGCCCTTGAATGTCTTCTTCGGCCGGACAGGCGCAGGCGTGGATAAGCTGCGGAGAGTTCTGACGGCTTACAGCAGGTAAGCGTCTTCATCCACCTCGAGGATTAGTCTATTGACGCGATTCTCAGGAGGAACCCATCCGTTGGCTACTGCCAAGGGATGAACCTTGTGACGTCCACGCTTCTGTTGATTCATGCAGATGAAGAAGAGGCATTCTGGGTCCTCTCTGCAATCATCGAGCGCATCCTGCCGCCCGACTTCTTTTCTCCGTCGCTCCTTAGCTCCCGTGCGTGTCCGCTGGTGCTGCAGGACTACGTGCAAGAGCACATACCGAAGCTGTATCACCACCTCACTGAACTGGGAGTCGATCTCCCTGCCATCTGTTTCTCATGGTTTCTGTCATTGTTTACTGATTGTCTGCCTATTGAGGTACGTTTGCGCTTTACCGCGTCGCCGCTCCATAGGATGCTCATGGTCTGCAGACCTTGTTTAGAGTGTGGGACATCTTCCTGGTTGATGGCTTGGATGTCTTGTTCCGCATCGCCTTCGGCATTTTGCGCATGAACGAGCAGGAGCTGTTACACTGCGGGTCCATTCCCGCAGTTTACGTCGCACTAGAGAGCTTACCCAACCGTATGTGGGAAACGGATAAGTTGCTTCAGGTATGTATGTGCGGTGTATTTACATGACGAGCGCTGCTGCTCACATGGATCTGCGTCCGGGTTGCAGTACGAAGGCGAGCTGCGCTCAACGATGCACCATGCTGATTTGGTGAAACGCCGCGATGCCCACGTCGCTCAGCTCAAGGAGTGCATGCAGACTTGAGCATCCGGATGGACTATGTATTCTCATCGACTCACTCTTGTAGCGGATATCATGGGACTGTTAGAATTCATTATTTTTGTATTGGTTGGAAGCATGTGCATATATTTGTGCATGGAAGAGACAGTCGCGCGATTGGGAACTCCTCGGAGCGAGCAGCTGACGCTGCCGGACGTCCTCGGTTACACGCCATTATCCCGCCATATACACTGCAGAGATAACATGGGCAGAAACGAAGCCCGCTGTTTCTCGTTTCCACGAGCTATCTTGCTCAGTAACGTCGATGTCGACGCCAATCAAGCAGACCATCGCTGTTGGCGGCATTACCGTGCATGTCTACTCACAGCCGAACGCAACGAATGCAGCGGTTCCCGTGGCTGTCCTGTTCTTTTTGCACGGCAGGACCGGCTCGGCGCAGGAGTGTGAGTGGGTCGCACAGTCCACTTTGAAGTGGACGGAAGAGCAACGCAAGTCTACTGGAAAGCAGGCTCAAGATCTACTTATTGTGACCCTTGTATGTTATTAATTAGCATAGTCTCTGATCTCTGAGCGATACTGACATGGTGAAGGATCAACGCAATCATGGTGCGCGCATTATTGATGTGCAGGCGAACAGCGGGTGGAGGGAACAAGCACCCGCGAAGAACGACCGCCACGGGTGAGTCGGAGTCACTTCCGTCAACCCTTATGTTCTGATAACTTACCCTCTCTATGGGTAATGCTTTACAGCTTAGATATGTACGCAATATACAGTACGCCGTTCAGACCCTCTGCTGGGTGACATGCACTGAGGGACTTCCGACGGCAGCCGGAACGTCGAAAGATGTATCTTTCCTGATTGATTTCTTGCCATCGTACTTGTACCCGTCCGGAGAGCGTGCTGTTGCGCAGTGGCTCGTAGGAGGGATCAGTCTGGGAGGTCATGCTACCTGGTATACCTTGCGTAACGGTGAGCAACTAGATCACGTCCTCGTATTTGATAGACTACGACGCATCACAGAGCCAAGGGTGAAGACCGGCATTCCGATTATCGGTGAGCAGCAGTATCTTCTGAAAGGATAACAGATTGCTGATGAGGAATGGTTATTGTAGGCTGTCCGGACTACATCAAGCTCATGGCCGAACGAGCGGAGAAGAACGGTGTTCCCTTCGTGCCACCGTACATACCCAAGTCACTCCTGGACTTCATCCAAACGCACGATGCAGCTGCGGCACCGTACACATCCACCGACAGCTCTAACCCGTTCCTCGGAAAGAAAGTGCTTGTCCTGTCAGGCGCGGACGACAAGCTGGTGCCCTGGACGGCGTCACAAGATTTTGTGGAGGGTTTGAACGTAGGGGAAAGTGGTGTGAAGCAGGTTGTTGTTGCGCCGGGAGTGGGTCATGAGTGTACGCCAGACATGGTGAAGATCATGTCAAATTTTATCTGGGATCAAGTACTGGTTCTTTAAGGAGCTACATCCGAGTTCACAACTGGCATAGCGATTATGGTGAGCTTGTCGGGGTTCCTCCTCACACAAGATACATGTGCTTATTGAGAAAGCTTGGTAGAAGGCTGATGAGCATAGTAGTAGGCGAGAGATCAGGGTGGATAGGTTCCCAGTCAAGGGCCAAGGCCGTATTTTGTTCTAGACACCCAGTCACGGTACGACGGCCTTGCAACGAATGATAGTCGCGGCGCGGCAATGTAGCAGGCTTAGTCACAACTATTCAGCCATCCTCGTACCCAGAAGTTAGCAGTAAACGACAAGAATTAGGATACGTGAAATTGGTCTGCCTACAACATGCCTCATGGACCTGGATCTTCTGGGCCGGTTAGACTGTGATCGTCGAGCCATCGTCCAGGCTACTAGACGGCAACAAGTACTGATGCAGACTAGTGTTGTCCAGAGCGCGATGAGTGGCTGATGGTGCCGTTTATGCGGCCATAATCTATTACAAAGATCAAATAGGCAGAAGCTCAAAACCTCCTAGTTTTCGTTAATAATTTGTTCAACTGCACCCATGTCGACGGCCACAAAGCAGACACTTGCTATCGGTGGCATCACAGTGCATGTTTACTCACAACCGAACGCGACAGATCCTGCCACACCTGTCACCGTCCTGTTTCTCCTACATGGCAGGAAGCGCACGGTTAAAGACTGCGAGTGGATCGCAGAGTCTACTTTGAAGTGGACCCAGGAACAGCGCAAAGCCAGCAGAAATCAAGCCCAGGATCTGCTTATCGTGACTTTTGTATGTGCCTGGCCGTCATCGTGCAGTTTGGGGATTCGACGATACTGACGCGTTGATCTTCATGAAGGGTCTGCGCAATCACGGCTCACGGGTTGTGGACAGGCATGCAAATAACGGCTGGAAGAAAGAAGCATCCGAGAACAATGCGCGCTACGCGTGCGTTAATAACTACTCTAAATTGCTCGGAATCCGATGTTTTGCTGAATACCTTCCGGTCCTTACAGAGTGGACATGTATGCGATAATCGGTACATTGCTCAAACGCTCTTCCGCTGAACATGATCCACTGAAGGATTCTCAATGGCAGCTGGGACGTCGAGAGACATTTCCTTCCTGATTGACTTTCTACCGTCGTACTTGTATCCGTCCGGAGACCGTACCATCGCGCAATGGCTCGTGGGGGGCCTCAGCCTCGGAGGCCATACTACATGGTATACTTTACGAAATGGTAAGTGGCGTTGTACGTCACGTCCTCGTCTATGCAAGACTGAATGACACGTTCGCAGAGCCAAGGGTGGTAATCGGCATTGTGATCGCCGGTCAGCAACCATATATAATCAGGAAGAAAACAATCCATCGCTAACGAGAAGCATCCATTACAGGCTGCCCGGCTTACCTCAAGATGATGGCCGAACGAGCGAAGGAGATGGGCATCCCATTCACACCACCACACATACCAAAATCGCTACTTCACTTCATCCAGGCGCACGACGCAGCCGCAGCGCCATACATGTCCTCCGGCAGCTCCAATCCGTTCCTCGGCAAGAAGGTGCTCGCCTTGGCGGGCACAGCTGACAAGTCAGTTCCCTGGGCAGCATCGCGAGGGTTTGTGGAGAATCTGAACGTGGGAGAAGGTGGTGTGAAACAAGTTTTTATTCAGCCCGGAGTGGGCCATGAGTGTACCGGGGAGATGGTGAAGGTTATGTCCAAGTTCATTTGGGAACAGGCGCTGGCTGTTTGACAAACTAGAACAAGGGCCTGGCTACCTTAGCGATTGCGTTGAATCTCCCATACGAGACCGTCATATCGAAAGAAAACGGTAGAAAGATGACGAGCGTAGGGTGAAGTGGGGGAACGTGAACAAGATCTGGGTCGTCGTTGCGATATGCTCCGAAGCATTTATGAGCTTTTTGAAGCTTGAAGAATCGGTGGCGGAATTTGTCGAGAATCTGGTAGCAGGTTGCCCCTTGGGCATTCTGCGCCGGGTCCGCAAGCTGACGAAGCAATTGTGGAGAAACAGTGAAGATATGGGGATATCGTTAAGACTGCGAGGCGGACGTCGTGGTCTTGAGAAATGCGGGTGAGAATGTGAGGTGGAACATGGGTCATCGACATCGAACGATGCCACGAGATTGGACACGTGAGAGGCGGTTACAAGCAAATGGTGTGTCGGGAAGCAGGCAGCATTGCTGAAGCGTGCATGGGTGCTTGGAGATTGTTCATGTACTCACACACCGTGACTGAAGGAATGGTACCATGACGTTGTCCTTGAGGAAAAACGGTCCAAGTGTACTTCGCGAAGCCATCTCGATCTAGTGGGCTCGCGAAATGATGCATGGGATCCGAGATTCAAGGGATTAACGAGATTGCAGCTCTGACATCCTCATGGAGATAGAGTTCCTTGAGAATTATAGAAGATTGGGCAGGCATGAAAGCAATACTAGACCTCGTTCGCCGAAGCACAAGATGACAGTCTGGGAATTGATGCAATGCGAACAGTGACAGCTAGAAAAGTGTGCGGATGAAGCTTGAGCTTGAGTTAGTGCACGACAATTGGCAACCACATGCTTACCAGAATTGCAACATCCAACAAGATTAGGGCGCGTGTAAATAGCCACCGTTGACTAGCCAGCCTTAACTTACCTCAAATTTTGGGCCAGAATTGTAAGTTGGTTGTGAGGAAAATCCCAGGTCCTTCCAGATGTGTCCATAAGTTGATTGAGGATTTCATAGAGAATGTCATGAGTGAGCAGCCTGAATGAGACTCCAATGATGAAGGCGAATGACTCCTGCCATTTCAGCCACCGGAAGCACCATATGTCAGACAATGAACACAAACTGTGGTGCGCACTTGTCTGGCACCTGAATACGGGACAGCAGGCGTATATCCGACGCCGTAGAATGCAGGTGCTGCGTGGAGGACGCTGGGCAGACAACGACAGTCTAGGAGAGTAACTGGGATGTAACGAGCTATAGTAGTGACCGTGTCAGACGAATGCGGATCGAGACGGTCCGCTACCTGGGGCCACAACTCATTAATTCAGTCGGCCACAGTGATTAACATTGCAATGACCAGCGGCTCCGACAATCTACCAGAGGCACAAAAATCCATGAAGGGCCCATCAAAATCTCGTTAAAGGTTAGAGGGAAAGGCGTGCAACACATAGACGCTGGCCGACGCGCTTTCATTTCCGCGTCGCAGACTCTCAGCCTAAACTCACTGATTCCCTTTAAGCTTCGTGCCTGCCAGGATACCCGAAACACTGTGTACCTTTGGCAGTATGCAGCCGCCTCCAATTTCTCAATTACCCAATGTGGCTCCAGCAAGCAGCTCAACAATGCTAATCAGTTTGTTCGGAGACAAGTGCGTACTTTGCCGTTTCCTCTGTGATGTCGCTGAACGGATGTGCTTCTCAAGCATAGTCCATATTTTCAGGCCGGATTTGGTCTGATGGTACGTTGTCATTCCGATCAGCAGGATTGCCATCTCTCATGACGGCTTTCGTCAGGGCCTAGGGGTTGGCCTGAGTGCGCTCCGTCAAGCCCTCATTATCTCGTCGGTAGCACTCCGTCGTCGCATGCTTGTGTCTCTTGAAATCAACAACAAGGATCCGGCATATGACTGGTTTCTCACTTGGATGGCCCAGCGTAACAGTGAGGCAGCAGCACAGCCGAAGAGAATATGGTCACCGGAATCATGGATCCGTAGCCATCAGATCAGCGTCCAGACCCTGCATGAGCAGCGGAAGAACGGCAGCTCCTCCGTGCTCTTCAAGCTCGTCGCTGGACCCGGAGTGCACTATTTGCGATACCGTAAAGCTTGGATGCAGGCGCGTTCTCTGGATAATGCTCATTCTACATCATCGCGTCCTTACCTTAGCATTTGCGTGCTTGCAGGTTAAAAGAGAACGAGAGACGCGATCTCAGCAGCTGATGTCGGGTATCCCCTGGGAGACTGTCACCCTTACCACGCTCTCGCGCGATCGCGACAAGTTCCGCGAGCTGCTATCAGAGGCTCGTGACATGGCACTCCGTGCGCAAGAGGGAAAGCTGGTGATACATACAGCATGGGGAATAGAATGGCGGCCGTTCGGCCAGCCACGACGGAAGCGTCCGTTGCAAAGTGTCGTGCTTGCGCAAGGTGTCGCAGAGCGCATCGAGGAGGACGCAAAGGCGTTCTTGCAGAGGAGGAAATGGTATGAGGATCGAGGTGCGAATGCTCTCTACCGATGCCTTGCGGCGCCGGTTCTCATATGAAATCTAAAAGGTATCCCATACCGCCGAGGATATCTCTTTCATGGTCCGCCAGGCTCGGGCAAGTCCTCATTTATACAAGCTCTTGCAGGCGCTCTTTCGTATGATATTTGCCTCCTCAATCTGTCTGAACGCGGGCTCGCCGACGACAAGCTCATCCATCTTCTCTCCAACGCCCCGGAACGCAGCTTTGTGCTCATCGAGGATGTCGATGCAGCATTTAACAAGCGGGTGCAGACCACGGCAGACGGGTTAGTGTTTACATCACGTCTTGGGGGCGTGCTCCTGAGCAGAAATCTCTTGCAGGTACCAATCTTCCGTGACCTTCTCAGGATTCCTCAACGCGCTCGACGGAGTCGCGTCAGGGGAAGAGCGCATCATCTTCATGACGACCAACCACCCGGAGCGGCTCGACCCCGCGCTCATCCGGCCGGGACGCGTCGACCTTGCGGTCCTTCTGGACGACGCGGCCCCAGAGCAGGCGCGCAGGCTTTTCATGCAGTTCTATCGAGGCGCGGATGGTCACGAGCACATAGGCGAAGAGCAGCTCGAGAGCATGGGCCGGGAGATCCAGGAGACGGTCGAACACGACATGAAGCTGGGTCTGCGGACGAGTATGGCTGCGCTCCAAGGTCTCTTCATCAGGAGCACAGCCGCGGAGGCCGTGAAAGGTGTCAAAACGCTGATAGTGCCACATGCGTCGTGATGCACTGCCTGCAAGATTTAATAACACATACGTATGTTCGACAACAAAATAATTGATGACAATGAAAGACCCAAAATCTCCAGCAAATTGAGACCATAACGTCTCCTTATCAAATAGCCGCAAGGAAATGAGCGGCTTGAAGTCCTGGGATGTATTAGAGAAATCATATGATCGGCACAGATTGGGAACGAATGTTCGAGTGAGTCGATCATCTCCCGGATGATTGGTGGTAAATCCTTCAAAGAGCGTTCCAAGACTCATGCTCCTATCCAGGCGCGTCATCAGTCGGGATGTAGCCACCGGTTGAATTCATACATACCCCAGAAACATCAGTTATGGTGTCCACGGTCTTTATGTCACTAGTGGACCGGATGTGAATCTGGATACTCTGCGAAGTCGATTGCATCAAAGCTGATTCAAACCGAGGTGAACAGTAGGGTTTGCCCACCCGCTCTCCGCCGCTATGTTGTTGCTCCGTTTTGTGATTGTAACTGCTGCTGGATACCACGCTGTGGCCTGGTGGCCTGGATAGAGGGATCGACACGACGCCGTCCGCGCTGTAAGTTACTGACCTCTCTCGGAGACCCTGCCTTGCGTTCAGCGATGCGAGAAGGGAGTTGAGGAACACTATACAAGCGTGGCGGTGAGGCGAAGGTGACGTTCTGTTTGAGATGAGTCCCGCTTACGCTTGGGAAGCACAAAGTAGATGGCGATGAATGTGAACTTTGTAGCGTTCGGCTCGGTTGCGTACTGCACTATCCTCAGAGCAGCCACGGATCATATTGCACAAGCGAACTCACGATTATGAGACAAATTATGGAGCAGAGACTGCAGAGGAACAATGAGTCATTGATGAAATCCATTGGGGATTCGATGATACCTTGTCAGAGCACCGGTGTTGATGCTATATATCATTAACACGCGGACCACTGAGTTCGTTCTGTGGTGTGAAAATGAACGTCAGGACTAGATATATACCAGTAGTCATCGTACCTTGCGAAAGCCGAGCGACGCCGACTCAAGAGGATGCAGAGAGAACTAGCGATGAGCACGTCTGCAACCACTGCAGAGATGAGGCTTGTATATATGAACCACTGATACACGCATTTATGCTTAGCAGGAACGCGATGCAGGACCAATAGGAAGCCAACCGTGATGCTCGTGAGGTCAAAATAATCGGACAAAGAGAGCCTGCCCACGAGCAACATGTGAGCACGATCCCCTCGTGAAGATGAGCTTGAACACGTACCCTTTGATTGCGAACGCTAGGCCGCATACAAATATGTGAGTATCACAGGCACATATTGTCCGTTATCATCGTAAATTGATGCGCACCCCAGCTGCTACCTATCGTACATATTTCATATTTGTGGCCCTTCTAGAACATGGTGAAGTAGCACGCACCGAAAACCACCATAGTGCTGATGGCCTGTGCCGATGGTAAGCTACCAGGCTACGGCTATGCGTATCTGCGAGGCTCACGATCGCAGTGGTGATGACCCAGTTTCTGTCGCTTACTAGACAACACGTTAGAGAGCATACATCAGATAAGTCTGCCTAGATCTCACACAAGTACACTCGGTGGCAGAATAAGCTGTTCAGAGAGGTGGCATCAGCAACCGCCGTCGATCTAGTAGTTGTGCTTCGCTTACCCTCTCACGAGCGTGTCGCTTGTACTCTAAGACGCTAGCTTAAGCGGGAGAAACGTATGAAGGTTTCACAGAAGGACTCACAGCAACGAAAACATGCGCCTATCAGCGTCGTAAATGTCTCGATACGGATCTCAAAGTATGCGGATCTGACTTACCATGACGCTCCTATTTATCACACGTCAAGATCAGCTGTAATGGATAAATCGAGGAAGAAGATAGACACACCACTCTGGTGCCAAGAGTGCGAGCACGTTCGAGAAGTCAATGACGGCGTATGTGTAGAAGGCATGTGTGATGAACGCTTGGTGCAAACAGTCCAGTATCCTAGACCCAGAACCCAATGATTACTGACTATGGAAGTGAAGGCGCCACACTTGCCATAGGCAAAAGACCTGATATTCGTCAAACAAGTCTGTTTCTTTAGAAAAAGGAACTTCTGCGCACCAAAATCTTCATCAGAAGCGGATCATTTTTGCTGCGCTTGTAGTACATGTATGTTTGAACATTGGTAACACCAAACAGGCTGTGTTTACAGTATGAGCCCTGCATGTCTTCGGGGCTATAGAACTCACATTGCGCCAAAGATGGTTCCTGAACTTACGGTCAGCCATTCGTCTTCTTTGAATCGGTCAAGACCATACCGATGTAGGTTGCGCCCAGCGTCGGAGCGAGCGCAAAGTTACTACCAGAAGGTGACATTGCTGCTGTGCCGCCGAGTCTCTGTGCCGCGTGGGGGAAAGTGTCGTTTCAGCAGATGACTGTCGTCGTTCGGACAGCTTTATGTGCTATCAAAAGGCACCGGATCTGTCGAAGTTCCTCCGCACAATCTTCCGCGTCAGGGCCCTTGCTTAGATTATGCCCCAGTCGCCAGAAGCGGATAGTCATGAGTAGTTTGCCGAGCCCAGGCGTCATGTTGCCCAATCGCCGCGAGCACGCGATGTTATAGTTTCTGTTTTCGCATGCCTGATCAAGGGAGACGCCACATCTTCTCACGTTGCAGAGTACAATTCATATAGAGAGTCGTTGCCTATGAACTTCGTACCTCTTTTGCCAACGTTCACGAAGGAGCTATATGAAATGGTCGATGTATCGTTCATAAGCGCGTCTAGATCCTCTAGACAGTGAGATTTTCTTGATGAAAGCCTTTCAAAACGAATAGTCGAACTTACTAGCGCGGAGGGATCCAATCAAAGGATAAGCATGTCTCGTCGATTGGTGCGGTGCCAAATCCGCATGGACGGGACCGCAAGCAGGATGTTCACAATGACCTCCGAAGAGGCACATGATTCCCGGCCCCACTGGAACTATAAAAAAGCGCAGTCTGGACTTCGATATTATATCCACACAATTGGATCTTCTTACATTAATTCTCCCATGCTTCTGCCCTATTGTTCCTGGGGACGAGAATTTAGAATCACTGAGATATGGGTGCACAAGGAGATGTTCTCAGCGCGTAAACGGTCCCACAAGGTGGCACGCAGTACAGAACATCGCAACGATCAAAGGTGCGGGCGACGGCGAATGAGAAGACACTGCTCACAGAGCACTCTCAGCGAGATTAATTGAAGTGAGAACCTAGCTATGCCTCACGACAGCGCGAAAAGATTGTGTTCGGCTTTGAGGGTCAAGTCTAACGATAGCAGCCTTGTGCGGGCATGGCCGCAAAGTCAAATTTCATCAAGCGTTTTGCTTATGATGGGCCGTGCTCGCTGCTGGATAGGCTATATTGGCTGATCTTTCAGACCAGAGTTGGTGAGTGAGGCTTTCAGGTGCATCAAAGCATGAATTACTAACATAGAACACCTACCTCGTGTAATATGTTGCGTTTACTGGATGATTTGGCATGCACGAAGGAAGCTTGATGATATTTTCACGAACGAGGGAAAAAAGGAGGAAACTTCCACGATACGCTTGCGCCCGATGAAAATTCGCGACACATTCGTTTGGCTGGGAAATATGGACTGGAAACATTTCACAACGTTGACATTGATGATAAATTGCACAGAAGGACAAGGATGACTGATCACTGCTATTGAAGGCCTGGGCCTGCGATGCAAATCGATCCCTTCTCGAAATGTTAGTATCGACGGAGACAGCAGAAACTCATAAATAACACGAGAAAGCTTAGTGTTACATCGGAATGTCTTTCTACATCAAACCATGCTCCTCCAGCATCTCCAACCTCGCTACCTGTCTGTATGCCTCGATGAGGTTTTGGAGACGTTGCAGAGGTAACAGAAACCTTACCTCTCTCGAATTGCCTCCTGCCACCTCTGCAACTTTGCAATCTCGTTCACCTGGAAACCAAAGATCCTTGGACGATATCGCTCCGCCTTGAGCGCAGCGCTTGCTGTGCTGAAGCCCTCTGGTACAGTGTCTGTGGGAGGCTCCTGATCTTCCCTTGCTCTCCTAGCTCGCCTGCCGCCTTCGACTTCCGAGCTCGCGCGCAGTGGTCCAAAGTCAACGGGGCCGCTCTTGGGCGGAATAAGGGTGGGGTAGACTAGGAAAAGTAGGTGCGGGAATGAGGTGCCGAAGTATGCACCGTCAATTGATCCATGGCGGGAGGACTTTGGAGAGTAGATATCCTCGCAGCGTCCGCAATACAGTTTGACCGACTTCTCGTACGGGACATCCGTGAGTCCAACGGGTAGGAGAGGTTGCTGTTGGCACAAAACACGTGGGCACCGACCAAAGTCGGCCTTTTTGTACTTCTCAAGCTGTCATAATCACCAGATTATAGCGTGGCGAGACCTTGAGACAAGGATGGAGAGTTATCGTAGATCGGCGACGAACCATTTTGGCCAAGCCCCTTGAGGTAACAATCCATCGTGCGTGAATTAGCCCATAGAGCAAGCGAGCTTGGATGTCAAGCGTGCCACGGAACTCATCCTGGACCTCGTCGTCCTCTACGAGAAACAATTGGTATGTGACGGATGCGCTTTGGATGCACGAACCTAGATTGTCCGTGATGAGGTCGAGCGCTTGTGAGTAGTGCTGAACCTCAGTGTTGAGGCCTGTGAGGTTGAATCGGTCCAAAATGTAATCTTCCTCGACTTCGCAGAAATACTCGTTGCCCTTGGAGGACAGGAACCAGGAAATCCACTATCACGGGTGGTCAGAAAGAGAAGACAAACTGATATCGAAGACATCGATGTACCGAACTAGGATCCTGTTAGAATGGGGGGAGACAGGGCGGGATAGTATGCTCACTTGGAGTAGTCAGAGTCTGATCCAGTCGATACTTCATCCATGACTATGTCATCCACCATCTTGTCAGTTTGGTTGTCTCGAAAGGTATCTTACTAGCGGAACTAACTTTGACGCGAACGGCAAAGCGGAAGAGCGAAGAAGTCGGGTGAGAGAAGATGGTCAAGTCGATGCAGCCACCATGCGGCGCGGCCACGGAGCGCCTTGGGCGTTAATGCGCGTTGCTTCACGCTCGATCCAAGTCTCACATCCACCTGCGTTTTCAGTCATTTGCGGACTCGGAATTACCTGCTGGAAGACAGATATATGCGCATTGGTCCTCTCGGATGCTAGGCGACGTGGTACTACAGATGCCGACTGATTTGCGCCCAACTGTCTCCTCCTTTGAGCTGGCCCAAGAGCCGACAACGCGACGAAGGGGAATTACTACGCTCACCGTTGACATACCTTCTTCCCATCATCCCCAAGCTAAAGAGGCCCATCATTCGCCTGCGCGATGGAAATCTCCCGAGTTCATTCTGTATGCAATAATCTTCTGTGTCGTGGTGCCTATCATGATTTGGATACCCATGAGACTCAGTTCACGTATGTGTATTTCGCCTGCCGATTCTGCTAAGCTCAAGCTGTGGACGCAGCCTCACATCGCAATTACGTCCAGTATAACCGGAGATTGTCTCCAGGCTGGATGTTCGGGCGTCGAGTCGTGAGTCGCATCGTGATTGCAGCCTCCGCTGGATGACATTGATCGACAATGCAGGACAATAGTGACGCCCAGTATCGCTCGTTTCGTAACAATATGTTCTCCCTAGTTCTTCTTGCTGGGGTGTTCCTTGGCGCCAAACTAGTGTATACAAGCTCTATTCGACGGTTATGGTCAAGGCCGGCCTCTGATAGGACATACTTGGTGCCATTTTTATGCATGTTTTCTGTGCTAATGCTGGCTGGTCTGCATGGTACAAGCGCCATCAAAATTATTGCCATACTCTCTATGAACTACGCTATCGGGAAGACCTGCAGAGGATCCAAGCTTGGGCCTACGTTGACCTGGCTGTTCAATGCTGGAATCCTATATACCAGTGAACGCGCTGAGGGCTACCGTTTCGAAATCCTACACAGCTCACTCGGGTTTCTTGTGCGTTTTAATTGCTTAGTTGCTCAGGGTCGCTCATTTACACGACGTTGTGCATCATATTGTTAGGATAGTATACCGGGTATATATCCGCGTTGGCATGTTAGTTTCAATATCACCGCGCTGCGGCTCATATCGTTCAACTTGGACTATCACTGGGCATGCAATGGAGTCGGTACTGCTAGTGTATGTACCGCCACCAATACATCGACATTTTGTTCACTATAGTGGGTTAAGTCAGACAGCACAATGACGGAAAAGCAACGAAAAACCACCGCACATCCTCTCGAAAGATATTCATACGCAAACTTCTTTGCCTATGTTTTGTATCCTCCTTTGTACATCGCTGGTCCGATCATGACCTTCAACGACTTCGTATGGCAGGTTGGTCAGGGTACCATCGCCAATTTCGTTCTGCTGCTAAGCGCGTACCTCGCATAGCTCCATCGCCCGGCCCCGGTATCTCTCCGAGGAACGCTCAGCTATCTATTCCGTTTCCTCGTGTGTTTCCTCACACTGGAATTCATCCTACATTTCATGTACGTCGTTGCGATCAAAGATACGAAGGCGTGGGCTGGCGACTCTGCCGCCGAACTGTGCATGATCGGCTTTTGGAATCTGATCGTCGTATGGCTGAAGGTACGTGACGCTGCTGTGTCAATACTCTTCGACGATGCCAACATTCCACCAGCTATTGATTCCGTGGCGGTTCTTCCGCTTGTGGGCGCTCGCCGATGGGATGGACCCACTGGAGAACATGGTTCGATGCATGGCGAACAACTACTCCACCCTGGGCTTCTGGCGGAGTTGGCATCGTAGCTACAACTTGTGGATTGTCCGGTAAGTTGCGCGTCTGCTAGCCTATAAGATCTGTCACGGTTTTAAACTTTCACACGTTATACATGGACAGTTATATCTACGTCCCCCTCGGCGGTACAAATAACGTCGTGTTTGCGACCCTTATCATCTTCTCCTTTGTCGCATTGTGGCATGACCTGTCCTTCCGGCTCTTGGCTTGGGGTTGGCTCGTCAGCTTGTTCATCCTACCAGAGCTGATAGCGAGATACCTCCTCAGTCCTACGAAGGTCAGTTCAACAGTGCCATTAGCCTGCATTTGGACAACTGATCGGTCTTCCTGGTTGTCCCGATCGATGCGCGCATGAACAATCTTGCAGTATGGCTCAAGATGGTGGTACAGACATGTCTGTGCCGTCGGTGCAGTGCTCAATATCCTCATGATGATGGCCGCCAACCTCGTAGGCTTTGTCATTGGGATCGACGGTATCTCATATATGCTGCACCAGCTCACCGATACCTGGGAAGGCGCGTGCTGACCATTTCACTTGTTTCGCGTAGTAATGTTGACGTTCATTTCGTGCTCGTAGGGTTAAGATTTCTTGCCTTCGCGTGCGCATGTCTTTTCGTGGGGGCGCAGATCATGTTCGAGTACCGGTGGGTCGTATCCACTGGTCTGCCTCATTTGGCTGATCGTATTTCCAAAGGGAGGAGGAACTACGCTGCGGTATCGTACGGCGATGTTGATCTGTCGCACTACCTTGCATCAATCCGCTCTTTGGGCCATTCATACGACGGTACGGAGACGCATCCTATTACGCTGAACTCCTTCTAACGCGCGATGAAATTTGGACTTCTGCCATTCGGCAGCTGTAAATGTTACATTGTCGCTTGAACAGCAAGTGACCCTTCCATCGCACCACAACGAACCGATACCGTGGACTAGTAGCACACTGAGTCCCTAATCATTATACGCCCATACGATCGTAGTTAGCTGTTACACCATACAGATATGTGCCCATATGTCAACGGACGAGGGTCAGTGCAATGCAGATTGCCCTAACGTAGATCCAAATAATCCAAAAAATGTCCGTCTAGATGTTGCTACACTGATTGATCGACAGCTGTAGCAGCCGCCGTGCTTTCATTCACCTGAATGCTCATCGTCGACCAATCGAAACCGCCATCTCCTGGTGTTTGCACGCTGGCATTGCTACCGCCTCTTGCGCGCTCCCGCAGCACGCCCCACTGCACCCACCAGTTATCTGCCTCGTCTTCGCAGTCGTAGCCAAACGTGTTTCTCAGCTCCTGCCACTGTGGACTATCGTCCTCGCCGTCCTCGCCCTCCATGACGTTCTTTCCCGCACGGAATTTTTCACGCATGCCATTGTCTCGCGAGCTCTGCGCCTCACCGTTCTCGAGCGTCATCCAGAACATGCTGCTCATTTCTGCCTCGCGCGCCTCGTTACAGCGTTTATGCCGCAGGTCCTGGAATGCCCATAGGAAGCTGCCGATTTCTTCGGGACTGCTGAGGTGTGCGAATAGTTTGGCCAGAACGGCAGCGTCCTCGACTGCCATCGCCGTCCCTTGCAAGCTCGCAGGCTGGGAATATACCATAAGCCACATTTATAGGTCACGAGGTGGAAAGATCTTACTGGAAATGGATGCGCCGCTTGCCCGACCAGCACCATCGTGTTACTCTCATGCACCCATTCTTCCAAGTCACCGTAATCCTTCACAGCCACTCGAACCGCGTTCGATGCGTTGTCTGCCACTATCCTCAGCCTATAAGAAGAGCGATGAACGTGCCATCCCCGCGCCGAACGAAGGCACCCACCTCGCATCGCATGGGCTCGGGACAAGGCGTTTTAGGTCTGCCGAAGGGGGATCGCCCCATGCACCGTCGGTCCGGTCGTCACGGAGCAGAAAGTGAAATGCGATCTCTTGATGTGCGTGCTGATAGGCCGTTCAGTCATCATAGCGCATGATAGCTGGGTAGGCACACTGACGATCGGATACCCGACTGCACAGCACCCATTCCCGAAGGCAATGAAAACCATGTTCTAAAGGCGAAGAGCGGCTCGTAAGAAAAAGTGGCGAGAGCGAGCAATAAAAGACGCCCTGCCTGTTGGACGTTCACAAATTGCTTGATGTCATCCGGCATGTCCTTCGTGACAGTTGCTGTGTTGAATGTAGCGCTGCAAAGCCACAACATAAGGTGGAAATACGTGCAAGTGAAAAAGGTAACATACTCGAACATGGTCAACCCGACCGGCGTGCCGTGATCCTGCCGCCCAATGACGATTCGTCTAGCCAGCCCGTTCTCTCCATCCGCGCCAATTATCACATCCGCCGTCAAAACTTCTCCAGAAGCTAGCTTCACCTCGCGCTTGTCAGGATGAATCTCAACAACATCAGCGTTAGTGCGTATCGTGGCGCCTTGTGAGAGTGCTGTCTCAAGCAGCACTCTATGCAAGTCACTGTGCTGCGCGGCAATTATGAGTTTGCCGCTGCGTAGCCCCAGTCTAGCGAAAGGTCCCTTACAGTCGTTAACATGAACTCCCCGCGTGTCTCTCTTAGCAGCTCGTTGTCCCAGACCTGTGTGCCAAGAAGCTCTCCGCTCTCAACTATGGGGGTGATCAGTCGCAATCACGTGCGAGAGAACAAATTGCGTACATCTCGAAAACAATATTGGTTGTGATGTCAATGCGATCTTTCGTAGCTTCTCTTTCAGCCCCCAATGGAATAGGATCTTTGACATGTTGGGGGGCATGCGAACACCGCCACCTCCTCGCTGGATTCATGAATACGGCGTATGACATCGTAATTTGATCGTACTCACGTTTTTGGTCCCATCACTCTTCTCTAATACTTGCACACGATGACCTACGCGAGTCAGCGCTACAGCAGCAGCAAGCCCAGCGATGCCTACACAATAATTCTTGATCATCAACCAACGCTGTCACATATAACGATCATACCTCCGCCAATGATGATGAAGTCAACAGCCAAGGATGCCTTAGGCGCTGATGTATGTGGCTGCAAACGAAAAGACGCGAAGAATCAGGATCTCTCCTCGAGGAGTGAGTGACGCGTCTTACTTCTCCGTTCATCGAGGTGGATAGTAAGAGCAGACGGGACCTTGACGCAGGCGATTAGGAGCTGAAGGGAACAAAGACCGGCAGACGGGACAGCGAACAATAACCATCATCGAGATGCTAGTTCATATTTATGGAATCGTTACCGAAGGCGAGGCAGATCTCAGCTTTGTGCGGAGATTTCGATGTCACCCCGCGGCCCCGGCTAATGGTTATGATACAGTGGTTACCCGATCTTTGGCGGAATTTTTTAATTGATTCTGTTGCTCACTTTACTACGTAATAGTGGTACTGCGCTCATTCAGGGTGCTGGCCCTGCGGGCAGGCTAAGCGCATCCAAAAAACTAGCGATGTCCGAGCTAGAACCTGATGCGCACTCACTTTGCGACTGCAAGGTCAGAATATTTGTAACGCGATTTTGTCCCATCTATTTGTTCTTGTTTGTCTCAATCGATCACTTACCCTTTCCAAACGAGTCCTCCCCTGTCCTACATTCGATGTCGTTCCGTACGTTAACTCAACAGGTTTCTACGCCTCGAAACATGAGTCGCGCATCACCAAATCGCACAATACTCGCTCACTCATTCACGGAGCACCGTCGAATTTCACGATCCCAATGCAGGGGAATGCCACAGATCACCACTCTCTGCGTGCCATCCGAGCAGATGCCGTCAAGACACGGCACGGCTACCGATTAAGCTACTCGTGAACAACGCAGGCGTGATGATAAGCCACCAGACGAAGCTCTCGAAGCCCGGGGAGGCGAGCAGCTTAGAGTATCGAAAGCTCGTATGGAACTACAAGATGGATGAGACGTTAGCATGGCGTCAGTCATCACAAGTCCGGTCGTCGCGATCTCGAGCCTTGCATCGCTGCGGAAGAGTTCGTATTTGTTCAGCTTCTCGTATAGGCTTAGCAAGGCAGCCGTGACGTACCTGGGTTAGACGATGGCGCACTACTTTAAGCTTTAAGGACTGGCGGATCCGGAGCAATGTCTTTTGCCTATCTTCCTCAGGTGCATTGTACTGCACAGCTGAATCATCGTGAAAATGACCGCAAATATTGGGGACAGTGATATTCCGCGGGCGGGAATCACGCTCCAGTAAGTATGTTCGTCAAAAATCACCGACCTCTCCATAATCTTCCAACTCGATCCAGTCGCAAGGTGCCAAATGTGGTGTACCTGAACAAGTCTGGGCCGTCCATCCCGTGATCACCGCGATTCGATCTCGGCCAGGATTGGTGCCCCAGATGCATCGGCAATGGATAAACGTGGTGAATCATGTCATGCGAGCCGATCGCACTGAGCCACGCCGACGATGCCTGGCATCCTCGCGGCTCTTGGATTGACCTCTGTTCAAGGAACAACGGGCCAGAAGAGGTTAGTGTATGTGCATCCCTGGCCTGGGTCGAGGCTTAGATGGATTTACAGAACATTATTATATCGCGATTTTATCCTTTGTTCTCTAATGATCGTGAGCATTCTGAGGATAGCGTAGCACCGACGTGTAAATCAGCACCATAATCGGTGCGGGTACAGACAAATCTTCGCGGACGCAAATGATGCCAGAGCCAATCTCAAACTGGCAAGAGTGCGGGGGGACGATGCATAGCAACGTGAGAGGGAGGGCGCTTAATCCTTGATGCGTATTTACCTCCTTCCAACCGCGCATAGCGCGGTATAGAAATAAATGTACAAAAAAAAAAATCCTTGATGCACGCAGCGAGCTCAGAAAGGCAGGGGAGGCCTGATCAATATCAATATTTACAGCCTTCGGTGTGCTTCTCAACTTCTCTCATAAATGTCGGTTGACCCGCTTCAGAAGCAGCGGCGGCGCTCATAAAGTTCGGGACTGCTCATCAGAACATACAGTTTGTAAAAAGCTCAGAAATGCACATCAGAAACGGCCATGCAACGTTTACGGTCCCTCATATTGTGGCCTAGCACGATTTAGGAATGTGCGAGCCTACACGTTCGTACTCGCCTAATATGGTCTTCTCGCGGAAATTCCGTGCTGACAGGATTTGCTGGTCCGTCCAGCGTGAATTTAGAGGGTGGTGCTGCGCATCGCGGGATGCATATGTATGGAGCGTTGCGTTATCCGCAAGGACGAACTCTATCAACGCATCTCGGCGGTTGCACATTCTGGACATTCTCTTGGAGGGCCGGGCGCTCCGGATTTCGCCAATCATGGGATTTAGAATCGCCTTGTGGTCGGTTTAGATTATAGGCTAGACGAGACGAGGTAGTCGTTGATGCACATCAGAGCGGACGAGAAGATCCTCTGACGCGCGCGGCTAGTCCGGGCTGGAACGTATATGGTCGCAGGCTCGCAGCCAGCCCTTGGTAGCGACCCGCGAAACGTTACGGTTTTCTCGGGTGGCCGGACATCCTTGGATCAACGGCACGGCTCGAGCCCCTTCGGAAGCCTCGCTTGATATCGTGCTTGTGCTTCATCAGGGCTCATTCGGAGGTAGGACGAGAAGAGATGGTGCCGCTTCTCTGATCGTCAAGGATGCATGAGGTGCACGGACGCTTTTAACGGCAGGACACCTCCAATCGGAGTCTGGCTGACAAATATCAACTGGTGCAATCCGCGGTGTCAGATCTGTGCAAGAAAAAAGCATAATCCCAATGGGTGCAAGCGCATATGGGACATATTCCGCACGGCGTGGATATGTTGCGAATCGGATGGAAGGTCTGCAGTCTGCCGAGTTGTTAAGTCGTGATACACGGAGAAAGGAGGGCCGACAGTTCGCCTGGATCTATCGCTTAGAGCGAATTCCGTGCGCGGTTGAAAACAGATAAGTGCAGCCCTCACCTTCGCATCCGCTGCGAGCTTGCCTGGAAGGAGGTAGACGAACATGGGATCATCACCGGCGTTCAGCCAAGGCCGCTAAGATAGAGTCCAGCTAACGGGGAAGGCAGACACTGGTATACAACGGCAATGTTCATCCACAGGAAAGGCTTCACGGAAGGAAGCCGGTTGTGTTGTTTCAGCGGCAAGTCGTGTGCGTAGCCGCTATATGGTCATTCTGCAGAAACCTATAGGCCCGGCAGGGCGGATTCAGTCAACAATTTCGAGTAGACAACGGTCTCATCAAAAGCGTTGAGTTTTCGAACCAGGAAAATCTCTAACGGTAGTACGCCATTGTTTGTAATTTGGGAAGTTTACATAGCATTTGTTGCTATGTTGTTAAAAGTCACAATTCCCCGTGCCTATGCTATCATCGAGATAACCTTCGTCATGTTCTCACGTCCGTGATCCACACATAAACTACTTGGGCGTACTGCTGGGCCACACCCAAGGCTGCTTGATGGCTTGAGGACTTACTTCGGATATTGACCTCCTAATTCCAGATACGAAATTACCGGTACGGCTAGCTACGATGGTGGCACAGTCTCGATTGGAGCCGATGAACGCTTCGCCTCACCATGCTAAGGTGAGGGTGTCGCTGAAGCTCGCGAACTCCTTGTTCGTGGCGGGAGGGAACATCACCGGCAAGATAGAGCTGGAGTGCAAAGCGGACAAGGGCATGGGCATCGGAGTCATCATGGTCGAGCTCTTCGCTGTCGAAGGTCCGTACGCATCCTGCGTCTCGTCTCGTAGTGGCCGGTATATATGAAAATTTGGCTGTCGAGCAGAGCTCACTGCGCGCGACCATTCCGGCACATCGACGTTCTTGCACGTCAAGCGGTTCTTCCAGGGACCAGGGCTGCCCCCCTCGAATGCTGTACACCCTCCTACTGTGGTAGGAGATTCTGCCCTTCCAGCTCATTATTATCCTGCTCGCCGCGGGACGACTACGTTTCTCTTCAAATTACCACTGCCAGAGTCGTCGCCCTCGGCCATTAACTTTGCCTCTGGCCTTGCACAGGTCAGATACGAGATCCGAGCGACAGTTGGCGTCGCTTGGAGAGGGGAGAACAAGCTTGTGTTTGACAAAAAGGCAGTGGATGTCGTAGAGACACTTCAAACAAATGCCTCTCGCACGGACCCGGAGGCAGTGGTTGTCAGTGAGAATGGCAAGATATGGGTGCATGGCAGACTTGCCGGTGGAGTCATGGTTGCTGGACAGCCGGCCTGCATCGAGCTGCAAGTGAAGAATCACTCGACGAAGAAAGTGAGTGTATGCGTCATAAATGCGCAAATCATCCTAAAGCCGGATACTAGAATACGGGCCTTTCGCTCTCATTGGCACGCGAATTAGTCATACCCATGCGTTCTGATCCTCAGAAGCGCCCTCTGCAGATATCGGACACTTTGACGACAGTATCGTTCAATGGCCCTGAATACATTATCCATCCCGGCGCAGAGGGTGTAGCCCTCCTTGTTTTCGATCTGCCTGAGCACGCGCGGAGTGTTCATGGACGGAGTCGCGAAGGCGACGAGGAGGGAAGCAGACATGTGGACCCCCTTTTCGAGGTGAGATGTCTCGTCAATGTGAAATTGTCGATGGGCATTATAAGGTGAGGCATCGGATGGTATATCATTTTACATAAATCGCTCAGTACGGCGTGTAGCAAGGACATACTGCTAAGCATCCCAGCGCCCATATTGCATCCAACTGCTGCATCTAGTTTGCCTCTCCAAGAACAGCCCAAGCCCGCTGTCCACGCAATGCCGATATATGACCATATGTCGCCCATGCCATACGCTTCTTACGCTCCATCCAGCCCCCGCGTGGGGCGCCCTTTAAGTCCATATCCCTATTCTCCGCCAATCTCCCCGCCTCCTGATCCTTATACAGGCTATGATCAGGCTTGGCCACCACCATTGATACCTGCGTCACCACTGTACCACGCTTTCTCTCCTCCGCCAATGTCACCTCCACTGCCATACCAATACTACTACTACAACCCCATGCCACACTCCCTCGTCACGCCGTATGCCCCGCCACCGCGTCCGTCCAGCACCGAACCGGTTCCGTCGCAGCCCTTCCACGGCTTGCCGCCACCTCTTCCTCCAGTGCCGTTACAGCAACCCCTGTCACTTCTCCACGGCAGCAGTTCATATGTTGCGCAACGCGAGGAAGGCAAAGGCGAGCGCGCCTCACGCATATCACTCCATCTCCGCATGTCGTCACGCCATCGTTCAGTTTCACCACCGGCGCATCGTTATTCTATACCCGCCGCATCTGAGCCTGAGCCGCACGCACTTCAGCACCTCACGCCACCATCAGCCGCGATTCCTATACCCGGGGCTTTGACTTCACCCTACACCAAGGGAAGCCCAGTATCCTCAGCTGGGACTCGTCACTTATCACCGTCCATGCCCACATCCCCTGTGCGCTCGCAAGGCTCTGTAAGGTCTCCGCGTCCTATACTCTCTCCGAAGCATTCATTCTCCGATGATCCGTCGATGCATGGAACTCAGGTTGAACAGCTTGAGCGCATCGCCGCGGAGGTGGACGATGAGAACGCAGACATGTCCAGCGGAGCTCTTCATTTGGAGCTGGGGAAGAGGGATCAGGCGTTACCGCGGGTGCCTGATCCGAGTCAGAAGCCAAAGTTGCTCTCTGCGCGAGCGGCGGTGGATACCATCTTTTCGTCAGATGGCCTCGACGAGACCCCTCCGACGCCTACATTAGCTGCGGTGACATCGCTGAAGGTAACTCGTGCAACTGCGCATGGCGGCCCAAGTGGTCTGGATGCCCTGGAGGCGAAGCTGTTAGCAGAAGTGGGGACACGCAAGGTCGAACGGAGTAATGGGCACGCAGACGTGCGCTCTGTGATGCCCATCGCTATTCCTCGTCCCGCAGATGCCGATCCTGCCCTTGAATCCGCAATATCGAGCCTTACTCTACCTGGCCTTGATGCTGAGGCCAGGACGCCGAGAATTGGGCCGCCGGACGAGATCGATCATCTGAAAATAGGCCAGGAGGAGGAAGACGATGACTATGCCCTCACAGAGCGAAGGCGATGGAAGGGATCAGACCCAGGAAGCCATGAGACACGGAAGGATGGATCATCCATCGGCACGAAGAAGTCGAAAGACAAGGAGCGACCAGGCAGGAAGAAGAGCTTCGAGACGGCTAGTACGGGGAAAGGAAAGGAGATTCGTCAATTGAAAATTACGGCTCAAGGACGAGTGGCAGCATGGCTAGGCAGCATCGAGCCTGATGTTCCGCCTCCATCTAGTACCCCGCCTCCTGTGAGCCCATCTCCGGATATAGGTGATCAGAAAGATGTGTTCCGCGTGAACGCCAAGGACCGAGTCGCTGCATGGTTGGGAAACTTGCGAACAGAGGTTCCACAGCCCTCTGATCTTACTCCTCCAGCCGGTCCAAGAGCTCCCATATACAAATATATTGACGACGTTACCCGTGGAACTGAGGATGATAAGCCAATCTTGAGCGTACAAGATGCGTCACAGGAGAAGCTTGACGAAACGGTTGAGCCAAATGTGTCTGCTGCCCCTAATCCTCGCTCGTCTGGTTTCATGCCTATAGGGACGCTTCGCTCGGAGAACTCGCAAGTGAGAGGTGATAGTAAGCGGCTTACGGCTGCTCAAATTGATAGACATCACCGGAAGGTAATGAAGGCGCCAGTTATATCCCCCCGGTTGACGGTGTACCCTCCTCGACCCGTCGATCCTGAGGTGCGCTATGACATTCGTTCTGCCCGCGGCGGGCGAGGTGGGAAAGTGACAAAGGTAGCTTCGTTATGGGCATCTGCATCACAGCAGAATGAGAAGGGGACAAGCTCGCCACAAAGTCCCGCGGCGAAGAATGTCCTCCCTAAGGTCAAGCGGCCTGCCAACGGTGATGCTACGCCTCGAAACCCGCGGTCTCCTCGCTCTCCTAACAAGGCGAACGCTGCCAGTACACCCGGTGGTAGAAAGACTCCTGTGAAAGATGCAAAGCGTGCGATGATGATGAAGTCATCCTCAGTGCCTGCGGCTGTTTCTTCCTCGTTGGCCGTCCCTATGTTGTCGTCCATGGCTTCTCTGGCTCGTCCTGTCTCTCCTCCGAATGATAGAGTCAAGGCGAACATTTCTCTAGCAGCTGTTTCAGAGCAAACCGTGCCTGTGATAGCAGCCGCGAAACGACCTGTTTCTCCTAAGGGCGAGCTCGCATTCGGTCAGGCCCGCCTCCGTGAACTCATCAAGCGATACCAAGGACAAGCTCCCACCTGAACTGCATCGTGTCCGTGCTCTCATTAATCTATTCTTGCTTTCCATGCTCCACCTTGTTCATCATCTCTGTCATACCCATCCGGACATCGCTACGTTCACCTCACGACATCAATCGCCTAAAAAACATCCTTGCCAGGAACATGACTAGCTCAGAGGAGAAGCACTTCTCATGCCCTCTCAAGCACCTCTGTCTTCGTCTTCTTGGTGCTATTCAGAGTTGCACAAGCACTCACGTTGGCTTTCTCGAGGGGCTTCGCCACTAGTGAGCTGGTCGACGTCAGAGAAGTAGCCTTTGTTGTCCTGCCATACAGCGACTGACGGTACTGTAACTGCGCGCGAGAGCGCTTATCCAGCTGGCGCTGCCGTTACGTCTTACGCATGTCTGAGCTCGCTCTTTCCTTGGGCGGTCTCACGGTTTCGGCCGCGATGCTGGGATCCATGATAGCTTTGTCACCTTGATTTATTGCTCTGTCGAGGACCTGAGGTCGCTCTTTTTCTCTTTCGTATTTTAAAGTTATCAGGTGACGAGGTTTTGGATGTGTTTACGACTTGCTTCTCGCTGAAACGACCCCCTCTTGTCATTAGTCCTGGATGTTTCACAATTCGATATGTTGTACAATCTCCTTAGTAAAGTACCTGCTTGTTTATTCGATCAGCAATATCGTGGACAGTAGTGTTATTGGTCCTTCATGTGTAATTCTAGCTCCTTCCGGCAGTGCTAACCAATCTGAAAGGGACTCCACTGGAGTCCTTTCGATTCCATGCGAGCTGAGCGCCCGTGGAGAACACCCGAGCCTCAATTCTTGACTGTTCTGGGCTCAGGCGACATTACAGGGAACTCGTTACATGCATTTCCGATTCAGAAGCTCCTCTAGATCTCGGAAGTGCAATAGAAACAACAGTAATCTACACGAGGCACTATGCACAACAGTAAGGTATGATGCCAATAATTAAACAAGGATACAAAAGCGATTCTCGCAAGGTACAAGATACAACACATGTTTGACACTGAAAAAGCGCATGAACGGTTCATGCAAAATCGCCCATCTTCGGGCACTTGATGCTCACGAGACGCGCGTCGAGGCCCGAACCCTTGTCGCCAAACTCCACGCGTCGCGTCTTCCGCCTTCTCCTTCTGCTCGGCATTTCCGGCTCTTCCCACTGACCGTCAGAGCGCGCAATGCCTGCACTGTACCAGTTGTCCTCGTCCTGGTACACTCCATCATCATCCACTTCGCTTTCAGGGTATCTTGACTCGATGTCACTCCCGTTGGGGCGCTGCAGGATGAGCGTGGTCAACCGCCACCCGTACAAGCAGCCCGTATCAATACCAACGCTCCAGCGCTTGACGTCCAGTCCTCGCGTGGCAGCGTGGCCATACACGACGGAAGCCGGCTCGCAGGGAAGCAAGATGGTCTCGCTGTCAGAGTCGTCGCCAGGGTTGGGCCGCGTGAAAGGCCTCTTTATGTCGTAGATACGAGGCGCGTCGGGCATTGACGAAGACGAGTTGTCAAACCCTCGACAACGGCCGATCTGGTTGTTCCAGATTTTGCTCCATGGAGTACCCTTGTCGTTGTTGCTGCGACCACCGAGTCAGAGTGCAACGAGAGTTTGTGCATGAGAAATATTTACCGAGTGACCTTGCCCGTCTTGCGGACGCCACGCATATTAAGCAATACCCACGGATCACGGTTCGTCGGGATATCCGTCATGATCGCTTTTTCCTGGGCAGTGCGCAGCTCCTCGAGTGTCTCATTCTTGCGCGGCGAACTGCGAGTAAGCGTCGACGTGCTGAGCAGTTGTTGCACATGAACAATGCGAGAGATTATAGTAATGTCGTCGTCATCTCCCTCAATGTCAACATCGGCGCCGGAAACATCCAGCACCGGGGGGTGAGCCAAAGGCTGATGCTCATCCAAGAGCGGAAGGGTAGGATCCGAGGGCAAGATACCGGCGTGCACAACGAAGAAATGCTCCGAGGGGGCGTGGATAACCAGCGGTAGCGAATACAGGCATTCTCGCTGTGCCATCGTCATCTCTCTGTAACATGTAGCAGATCAGGGCCCGCGTTTACAGCGTCCATGGCTCCGAAGGGGCGTTGCTACTTACCTCGCAAGCCAATAGTGATCCCCAAATATTGCCCAATCCTTCTTTTCGCGCCCCTTACCAAAGTGCGGGATGCGGCGCCACCATTCCGCGCGCCACGTACCCGCCGCCCGCTTGCGCGCCGTGTCGGCCCATGCGTTGGGATCGGCCGAACTCTTCGGGTCGGTCCGTACATCGTGCATCCACTCGTGCTCAATCAACCGAAGAAACTCGCGCCCGGTACGCACAGGCCGATCAGGCTTCTTGTCCTTGGCGGCGTCGATGCGGGATGGCTCCGGGAACGTCAGCTGGAGCGGCTCAAACCAGTCGCGCCAGGCTCGCCACTGAACGACCATCTGATCGTGATTTCCGCGTACAGCATACACTGGCCCCGGAGTGCCGCCACATTTATGCTGAGTGATGAAGTCGAGGACGGCGAGCGAGCCTGCGTGCGTTGACTTCGCCATGATGTCACCGGCGAAGATCAACGTGTCCGTCTCAGGTTTGTAGGATACCGCGGAAAGCAGGTCGCTATGAGGGACTTGTCAGTAGATGCCTTTCATCACTTTGCGAAGTGGCCACGCAAGAGGAGAGAACATTGCCGCCAATTTCACAAGGCACCAAACTTATACGCGCATACGGCGAGGCGGCAGCCGCCTGTCTGTGCGAAAACGAAGGAACTCTCGAAGGCTTCCGCAGCACCGCTCGTGCTCTAAGCACATAATTCCATAGGAAAATCGCGATCCTCCGCGAAATCTCCGAATAGAGGACGTGTCATCCTATCCTGACCGTGAAACATCGCTCCGTGATCCGATTAAGCGGACTTCAAAAGCTCAGAGAAACGCACATGCAGGCCAATACTAAGCGGTCAACTTGAAGAACGTCTGACTGCAGGCAAATGACGCGCACCTCGAGGATGGCGATGACACAGAGAGATGACATACTGGAGAGACTTGTTCATCCCATGGACATCGCCGACGAACATAAGGCGTCTGATGGGATTATCTGCAGGGTTGTGAGACACGGAAAAATGAGATGAACATCGTATGAAAACTCACCAAGACCAATCTCGCTCTCCGAGAGTGTGTAGTGATGTACGATTTTGTTGAAGTCAGGGAAGTCTGCCCCTGGACGTTCAGCGTATCCTCTTCGTCTTGAGAGACTCAAGAAAAACACACACCATAGTCCACAGTCCCGCTATGCGTTCCAAGGGCAGTTGTATGCGGTCGTGGGAAGAGGTTGAACTCGGTCGCGATTCCCAGTAGAAACACCAGAGAGAAGAGGAGTGCGGTAAGGGCACACATTATTCGAGAAATGTCTCGGGTACCCTTGTGACGACTCAGAGATTTCATCCTTCAGGGCGAAGGAGAACGTTTCCGACGTGCAGGGGAGGGGGGTGGGAGTCAGAACAAAAATGCAGCTCGAGGGACAAGTGGTCCATTTCGCAGTGCTTGGAGCTGCCGCCGGCCGGTCGCTTGCCGTCATAATCCGGAGTAAACCTACCTATCTAATCTGATAAGATGGTAAGATAAGATAACCACAATCAGGGTACCGCATCAGCAAAATGCTGGCCGCGTCGCCCTGACCTGAGACCACCTCGAGCTTGTCTGGCAACTGTTTCACAATGCTTTGCGCAGTATGCTTTATAGACAAGTCCTCAATATGAACACAATTAACAAAACATAAGAATCTCTTCGCGCGTTGTCTTTCGTGTTCGTTTGGGGGGGGGGGGGGGGCAACTCCGAGTCTAAACATCGGTTCTTTGATTGGTGAGTGTCATCTCAATCAATAAGTTTTAGTCGTACCATGGTACGTCCTGGTATTAATACGCCTTCATTCAGTCCGTAGCTACTCGAATGCAGCATGAGTTAGGATATGTGACAATAAGTCGTCGTCCATCTCGTAAAGCATTAACTTCATCGAACTATTGTGCAATCCAGATGAGATCTCCCTTCTAACGTCTCTAGACAACGAGCATGCTAACCGTTGCTCCTTGTGGTAAAGGAATGATCTGACTGCGTTTGTTTTCTTCTCGCTCCAGCACGACCATCTCTCCTTCTCGTCTCTCTGTTGTCTTCGTGGTTTGCCAACTCACGACTATATACTTCGTGCGAAACGTGACGTGCATATCCTGCTTTCTCACTCCCGGAACGTCAAATGTGGCAATAACCTGCAACTCCGTCGTTCAGTGCACATCCGATGAACTATCCGCGACAAGGAAGTCGTACCATACGACCGTCTGCGGATTCCCTGAATGTAGCACTAGGAAGATTGGTACACGTCAATGACCGGCCACCACGACAAAACTATCAGACTACCTCGATGGTGCGCGCTTTGCAGACCTGCGCAAGCTGGGCTGCTCCCTCATGGGCGACGTGGCAACCTCAAAGGAATGAATATTCGAGGAAGTAGCCCGCTCGAGCGACGCGACTTTCGACGGAGACATGGACAAAGATCGCTCCTTAGCCTGCCTCACCTCATCCCACAGTGAATCTGGTGAGCGTGGCTGCGGCGGATCCTGCTCACTTGGTTGCACGCCCGGGGTTAGCGGAGTGGGAGGGGGTTCCGGTGCCCCAGGCCGTTTCAGCTCCGCAGGTGAGCTTAGCGATTCTCGACGAGCGAATGCTTTCCCGAAGATGCTATCAATGGTGTCTATAGAGCAGCGAGGCCTATTCGATGAGCGGGGCATAGCTAAGGGAGACAACGTGTCGTAGGGGAGGAAATTCGCGGACGAACGACGCTTTTACATACTTCAGCAATGCTTACTCCACCGCGTGCTACGCGTGCGATATGTGTCGATTCGAGAAGCCAGCGGATCATAAATTGTGTGACATGTCGATGTGATTAACAAGCAGATTGTCTTTGCTGCTCTCCCCATGACAAGTCTCTTTGATCAAGGAGCAATCCATGCTTCGATCGCGACAATACCCTTCGTCGATCAGTGCTGCTAGCTCACAAACAGCTAGTATAAGATAACTCGCTATACCTGGGCAACGCTTGCAATGTAGCCTCGAGGATCCCACGAGGATCGCGTAACAACAGGAACACACTGAATGACTGGATGAAGGCCTCCTTGCGGCCTTCTGACGGGCTTCTTTGTGAGAAATAGACACAGAGATGCCAAATAACATCATATAGAAGCATGAATGAGATCAAGTCAATAGCATCTATGAGTACAGAAGTAATAAATTATCAATACCATGGTGCAGCCAAGGGTCCTGCAAAGGTGCGGAGTATCGGTCATACGCCAGGAACTTCATGGCAGTCCGCCGGGGGGCTTGAATTTCTTATTGGGGTACCCGACGGCCGTGCGGCTCATGCCTAGACGTCGCTTGCCTCCTGTGAGCGTAGCAGTAGAAGGAGCATTCGGCTTCCCATGCGCAGATGGACCTGCTGCAGAAGAACCTGTTCTTGGAGGTGCACGTGTTTGATTCGTGGTGGCCAATGGCATCGCAGGCGGGATTTCCTTCGCAATCGCTGGCTCCGCGTTGCCGGAGCTGGAGAAAGTCTCTTTGCGAATGGCCTTCATGGCACTGGGGGGCACCTCCTGCTGGAATTGACTAGTTGTGGAGGATTGTGGTCGCGAAGTCAGCAAGGCAGATGACGAGTCAAGATTGGGTCTTCGCGAAGGTGACAGAGGCCTAGAGTTTTGCTGAGGGTGCGAAGGCCGTGTTGGAAGCCTCCCTTCCACAGACGCTTTCGCAGAAATGAACTCCGTCGACGTCCAGGCATTCAGTGGTAGCTCGGATGAACGACCGGCAAAGAAATCTTGGTGATCACCGGTCGAGCAAGGCTCCATGGCAGCGTTACTGGAAACGATGAGTGAGACAAATCAGCCGTCAGTAGGGAATTGCTTACTATGCAGCCATTCTCCGCTCTATCTCATGTTTGTCTGGGACTTCTCTACCAAGCATTTGAGCAAGCTGTTCTAGGTCGCTTCCCAAGAATCTCCCTTGCTCATCGGTGAACAATTCCTAGGTATGCCGTTCAGTACTTCGCCTCTCGTTGGAAATCGCAATCGTCTCACTGGGTCGTTCTCAAGTACGGTCGATAAGAATCGTGACATCCTCTTAGTTTGATATTTGCCGGCTATCATGCGCCTGTCTGCATGCGTAACGTATAAGAGACATTGTGCGCGTGTGCATGCAACGTATAACAATCGCCTAAATACGGAGGTAAATTGTTTGAAAGAGACTTCACATTGTCAACTGCATCAAACGTACCGCTCTTCGTCACGATCGTCGCTATGTGGTGCGGGAAAGGTCCCCTCTTCCACTGTCATCACGCACGTGAGTACTGTGACCGGTTCCGCACCATGGCAGTGAGGGCTTACTGGCGGGTATGATAACCACAGGCCATTCGAGCCCCTTTGCCGCATGACATGTGGCAATATTCACTTTCTGAGATCCTAACGTGTCAATAATCCCACCAAGACCTATCATCAGAACTCGCCTGGTCACGGATATCGTCGTCTCCCGATTCCGCATCATTGGAGATTCCCATCGCCTGAATAAAGGCACGGAGAGGGGGTTCTCTTCAAGGACTGGTGAGACGATTGTTCGATGTACATCGCGTGAAGACCACGCACTCAGTCGAAGCGAGGCTGTCCTTCTCTCCAGGCACCTGTCGAGCCTCCTTCAAGTGTGATTCCTTTGTCTGCGTCAAGTCGGAAGAAGATGTCGGACTCTCTGGCTGGAATTCGGCGGCAAAACTGATCAACTCCTGCACGTTCTCCCAACGATCTTCCCAATCCGGCTGAGACCTGAGGTGTTTTCCGTAGTCGGACAATTCGAGCATTGAGCGAATAAGGTCTGAGGCTGATGCACCCTAGACGAATTCATCAGCGTATGACGCCACGGATTTCATGAATCAACGCACCTTGTTCGCCTGCCTACGTAACTCCAGGATGATTTTCACAAATGACGTGACCTTCTGTCTCAGAGCGGACTTCGGATCACCGACGTGTCCAGCATGCACGCATTCGGCGACTTCCATAGGAGATATCTTTTCCTGCGTAGCCAATGCGTATATTTCGGACAGAGCCTGCAAACGACCATAAGCAAAATTGAGTCTTTAGTAGACCGAAAAGAAAAGGACAGCCGCCTCCGTGCCTTGTTTCCAATACCCCGGCGTGGAATATTGATTATTCGATCGAAGGCAGGCGAGTACTTGGGATTGTCGACCAGCTGCAGGTAAGCCACGATATCTTTGACCTATGACATCCGTTATCACAGCTTGCACTTCATGAGATGGATTGCATCCCGCACCTCTGCTCGGTCAGAGAACTTGTAACCCCTTAAGACCCGGCAAGGGATACCTTGACTTTGCAGCGCACTCTCGAACGGCCGCGAGTATGCATTGAAACGTACTGTAATAACCACCAGGAGCGCCAAAGACCATCGAAAATTTAAACTTTCAATCAGTAATCGACGATGCAGGCTATTACAAAATCGGCCACTTACGGAGAATCGCGAAGTCTCCCCATCGCAGCATGCCCCCTGTAGCGGCCACCAGCTTCTTGATGATGCCCCTTACAATGAACGCGGATTCCTCGCGACCATCGTAGAATCGTTGCAAGACTGGTTTGAGACCTCCCGCATGAGTATGTCGCAATGTCTTGGGTATCCGATCTTCCACTGCAAGGTAATTAGAGATCAATAGGACCACTTAGTCACCGCTATATGCGCACCTTGTTCCACAATGGCCATGCTAGCGTTGAGAATAGATGCAGTTGACCTGTAATTTTGCTCCAGGAATATCTGACGAGTGAGCGGGAAGGCTAAACATAAGCATGGGTTAGTGGTGGGAGGGGCAGAGCATACAACTCCACAAGCAACTTTAACGCGGTACAGCACCTTTTTGCATCTTCGAAAGATTCTCCGTATTGGCAGACCGCCATCCATAGACTGATAGGCTCAGTCAAAAGATGCGAGAAGGCTTTGAGGTCATCACCCACTAGACTGATCTGGATCGCCTACGATTGTGACGCATCTGCTTGACGTTGCAATATGTTGCATCAGTTTGAACTGTACGTCGTTTGTGTCCTGACTTGAAGATTTGGCAGAGTTTATTGAAAGCGGGATACATAGAAGCTATCACTTACAACTCATCGACAAGGATATGTCGACACCATTCACTGATTGTAGGATCTCGCGACAAGAGTTCAACGCCATACATCAGGAGATCATCAAAGTCGAGACTGTTGGCCGCTCGCAGATGATCCTGGTACTTTTGATAGACCTTGGCGACAACAGCGTGGATATTGTCGATCTTACGCGTACCAGGCGCATTAGAAGAGGATTTCCTAATGCTTTGAGTTATATGACGACATTTTTTGAGAAAATCGGCAGCACTGTGGCCTTCTGCTTTTGCCTTGGATATGATTGAGGCGACAGCAGCTTCTGCAATGACAATTCCGCTGTCTTCTAGCACATCTTTGTATGTCTCATAGCATGTCTTGATCATCTTTTTGCTACCGTAGCGGGGTCATGATCTAAATCAGGAGATTGCCGCAGATGCTGGAACGCACCTTTCGTCCGCGTCACATACCGTGAAGTTATGCTCGAGCCCAATAACGCTTGCATGTACGCGCAGAAATCTCGCGCATAGAGCATGAAACGTACCCATCGTGACTTTACTGGTATTATCTTCTCCGATCAACCTGCTTAATCTCACCCTCATCTCCGCTGCGGCCTTGTTGGTGAAAGTGACTGCACAGATCTCATGTGGAGAGAGCCCATGACCCATTATCAGGTGAGCAATTCGTGAGGTTAACACCTTTGTCTTTCCGCTACCAGGACCGGCCAAGATCTGTAGTGGCACATTCGGAGGGTGTCGAACAGCTGAGATCGCGGGTTGCTCAACCGGGTGAAACAAAGGAATCCTGCAGACTAACCTTTTCGTTGAGCTTCATTCAGGTTCTCGAGGTAGTAATGCGCCATCATTCGTCGCGGGCCAGCAAGCTTGGAGAGCTGCCTCGCGTGGAACATCAACGTCAATTTCAAGCCGTTCGAGTTCGCGTTACGGCCCACGCGACGCGTTCGGTCTTTGCATCAGTCACATGATGTGTGGCGCGACAGTCGAATCTGGTCCGAAATGAATGAACGAAAGCGAATCCTTCAATAACAAGTACAGAAATATTATGAAGACAGGACAACGTAGCGAGGGCCGTTAACGGATACATGCATATGTTAGTGTACACGACTCTTATCCTCCAGGGTTTTACCCCTTCATCTCTACATCATGCTTTTCAGAGCTGCCTCCATCTGACGTAAAGTTGTATTGATCCAATCCGATACGCTTCTCGATCGCCAACTGGCGCTCTTGATCCGCCGCTGCAAGTCCCTGTGCGCCGAATACCTCGTCCATTTCCTCAAGAGTGAGGCCTTTCGTTTCAGGCACCTATCATGACATTCGGTTTCAATTACGTCATGAATGGGCATCGGCATCATTAGATCACTGACCAGAAATAGGATGAACAAGCCTCCCAGGAACGTGAAAGACTGCAGTCGATTGTCGGCGTCAGTTCTGTTGATACGCAGATAAGCAGGTGGGAAGCGATTGCCTACCCCGAAGAAGACGAAGGTCCCAAATCCGATATCAGACAACATGGTTGGTGTAACTTGACCCACGATGAAGTTGTTCATCTTCACATGGATAATGTCAGTGAAGCGTCTTAGAATCGCTGTTGCAGGCAATACAAACCCAGTTTGACGAAGTCGCGATCGACATTCCCTTTCCACGTACGGAGAGGGGCCATATCTCTGAGACGACAATCCAAGAGCAAGGACCTAGCGGAAAAATCATTATATCTTGGAATGCAAGATAATATGAGATGGAGGGGCTCACCCCAGCTATATCCGAAGCCCATGGCAAAGATCCAGACGAAGGCACAGGCAACCCAACCAGCCGTTCTGTGTCTGGACAACGGGTGTCAATATATTGTAAGGTGCAGGACGACGCAAACATACTCCGGCCAAGAATTCGAATACAGTCCAGTCAGGACAGCGACAACTAGGTGGCATCTGGTAAAGATCCTCATTAGAGCAGCGCCGACATAGGCGGTACAGCAACGTACGCGGCCATGAGGAATGCTCCGGAGACCAATACAGGTTTGCGTCCGACATTGTCCACCCAAAGAACCGCCGGAATAGTCGCGACAAACATTCTGCAGTGTTGTTGACTCGTCAGCGCTTCTCTCCCTGAATGCAGATGACTCGGATGTACACAATACCGACGACTCCTGTTGCCAAAAGTGAGGTGGTTTTGCCGGTGAGACCTAACTCCTCGAATATCGACGGCGCGTAGTACAGAATCGCATTGACACCCGTCCATTGCTGGAAGAACATCGTCAAAGTGCCGATGGCAACGCGACGAAGCAACGCTGAAAGGTTCAATCGCGTTAAAGTGAGATCTCGGATGCATCGATTGACAGAATACTGACTGCGCGAAGTGAGGAGACTTAGGTATCCATAAAAACCGAGCTTGAAGTCCGACTTCCACGATCCGTCCTGGTATTGTGGGAACTGAATCTCGGAAGTCTGCTTTTCGAACAAGTATTGTGCTTTGATTTCCCTACATCGAGCCTTCATTAGTCTCCAACCAAGCTATCAGATTATTTGTCAACTCACAGGAATTCAATTTGAATGACCTCTGAATCAGGAGGCAGATTCCGAGCTCTACTAAGTACAGCCAATGCTTCTTCATCGCGACCATTGTTGACAAGCCATCTGAACAGCCGATATATGTCAAGCACTCCCCAGAAATTGTTACCCACGCACCTTGGCGAGAAGGGCATAAAGAAAATTCCGACACCCAAGATCAGGGCTGGAACGAGCTGAAGCGCTATCGGAAGACGCCAGGCTGCAGGAGACTGGGTCGAGCCGATTCCGCCGATGTAGTTTGTGCCGTAATCGATCCAGAAAGAGATCATGATACCGAATGCGATGGCAAGCTGCTGCAGTGCGACAAGGCTTCCACGTACTTCCGGTGGAGCAAGCTCGGCACTGCGGGGTAAATGAGTATACGCCCACACTTATCATGGAGGAACGTCGCATACTTGTACAGTGGAACGGCCATACTCAGTGATCCGACTCCCCAGCCAGTGATGAACCGCCCTGTGATATGGGCCATGAGCTCATCAGCAAGCCAGCTGAGCCGCAACACACACCTGCAAAAATTGAGCCCGGGCGGAACGCGGTGTCTTGTACAATCACTCCAATGCAGAAAACGCCGACAGCTGGTTATTGTACTCAGCGATATTCCACATGACCACTCATTTTGGTAACGCACCGAGGACAATGGTGTACTTTCTGGACAACCTATCGGCAAGATATCCGGTACACAGAACACCGAACCAAGCACCCAACTCCAATACTGAGACAAACCATCCCTTCGGACCTGGGTGATCAACCACAGAGGCCATACGCTGATCGAAGTTGTACATGCTGTCCGTGAAGACATTAGTTCCGCCACTCATAGCTTTCGCACGTGCACTACCCACTCGAGCACACTTGAGAACACCCCCTGAGAATGAGTCGTCAATCTCCTGCGAATATAAACATACTCTGATACAACTCACCTGGTTATAACCTGACCAACGCGCAACGTGGTGAGGCATCGCTGCCGGACAAACCGTTATCGTGCTCACCATACAACCTGGGCAGATAAATTAAAATGGCATTTGCAAATTCTACGCTGTGTCACTTACAATCCTCCTAGCGAAGCAAAAACTGCAATGGCAAAAGTCTTCCGATTTGCGACCAGCCCTGCCTACAATACGAAAGCTTTTCGGTGAAGGGGATATCAGACAAATGCGGTATCGGCTCACCCATCCTGACTTTCCCTGGAGCGTCCTACGACGACTCGCAGTGTGTGCGACTATACCTCCAGCCATTGTGTAATCAGAGGGATATGGTGTTCAAGGAGGAAGGGTATAGGTCGGAACACCCGCGGTAGGTTCTCTACTTATGTGTTCCGGCTGAGCGCGCGTAGGTTCATGTCCAGACCAACCGGAATTGCACTGAATGTGTTGGTATTGCGGTCACAGACGCCCCGGATTCAGGGACCATACTCCAGACGACGCTCAGACCGATCTAGCACGATCAGAATCGGATTCATCCAGGGTTGCTCCCTCCGCGATGGGGAGCGTATGATCGTTCTGCCCGGCGTTGAAACCATCGCTGCGGCCAATGAGAGCGTGAGTTCTCCCACGTCCCACATCTCGTTACGTTGGCCGGCCCGGGAGGGCAAACCACCCCACTAGCGCATGCGGGGCTCCATCTTCAAAACGCTGCAGTTGCCTCAAGCGCCCTTAGGCCATTTTCCTTCCTTCAGCGTTCGCAGAACCATAGCAAGAACTTCCGAGACGTGCCTCATCGACGGAGCATATCTTGAGCTTCTCTTGAACTGTTCCCCCTTTAACCACGAAACATTGGACGGAACGGGAGATCTACCGACGGACCTCTGACGCATTGGCTGAGGCGTGTAACATCATTGACGGAAATTTATCGGATCTGCAGAGTGCTCTTCCCTCACCAAGTCCACCCCCTTTGAGCTGCGGAGAACAGGAGAGGAATTGCGTTGAACCATGGTACTTTGTACCAACCAATGGGGCGCATCATTATGAAGGTTCGAGGCATTGCTAGAGGCACGCTTTTCTTGGTGGCCAGGGTGAGCGAGCCTGAGGCTGGATCGGTGGTAATGAACGTGCTAGATGTTGTGATGCTCGGTGTATCGTCGGCCGCCGCAAAAGTCATATGCGGGCTTGCGTGTCGGCACCTTTGGTACCAGTAGGTGAAAACGGCGATGTACAGCAACTTGTTTCTGCCCGGCCACAGTATACGCACGCCGAGGGAAGCAGCAATGACTCATTTTGATTGTGAAAGGCCACAAAAAAACTCGTCTGCCCAATTTACCTGCGTAGTGGCGGTATTCAGAACGTCTGGGCCCGAGTAGGGCTTGCCTAGTGGTGTGCGGCGAAACCGTTTTCATTTGATAACAGAACCATTACGAAGCGCCTCAAGCTCCGTGATAGAAGGAGTCCCCTGTATGCCATCATCCAGGCTTCTTCTGTCCCCTTCCGTTGCTCCGTCCTTCCTCTCGTCGGCGAGAGAGATTTTTCTTGCAACCTGACTAAAACCCTACAAATGTCAGCCCCTGCTACTGCAACGCAGACTTCAAACGTCAATCCAAGAATGCTCCAGTTGCTATTCGACGCACGAAGGACCGTTTGACGTACGATCTGCGTGAACATTACAGAGTATCTTCACGAGACCAAGCCATTGCGGTTAATGATCATCGGTGGCGTCACTAAAACGCACACGGATGGCGTGTCAACGTCACTCGTGCCGACGACGATCAAGGATGCCGCCGACATTAAGCTTGCACCCGACTTGTATCCGGGCACTCCGGGCCTACCTCAAGCGTCGCCTTCCTCTTCCTTTCCCCGCACCCACATACCCCACATTGTTCCCAACGACGAGGGTGCGGGGCCGGCAACGATCTGCGCTGTCTTTATACAGTCGTCGATGTCACTCAGTACGTGTTTCTGAATACTGCCGAGGAAGTGCCGGCTATACTTGCTCAAAATATCCTGCAACAGTGCCTCGACATTCGTCTGTCACCGAACATTCATAAGGAACATCCACCACATCATGAGGGATATACAAGTTCGCATTGGTGCCAAAAAAAGTCTGGATTTACTGACTCACAGTCCCGACTCCATTTTCGTGCTTGACCTGGTGGCATGATAGAGTTTAGCAGATGAACATAAGAGACGTGTCCTTTGAATAGCGCCGATCAAGTTCAGTCTACTGGATGCATTGCAAAGTTCGGAATGGCTTACGATCGGGTGGGAGCTGGAGAGCTGAGGTTTCTGGGTGTACTTTCCATACAGGATCTCGCTGGATTGAAATGAAGTGATCAGCAAGTTCACGCATTCAGAGGCATGTGGCAGGTGGACATGAACTACTCACCGGACGTTGACCAGAAGTTGCTGATAGCTCTGCTGTTTGTTTTGTCCTAAGTCAATGGGATAGGTCAGAAGATAGGGGCAATAGGACACCCCCGTTGTAGACGTACGGATGCATGTCGTGAATGCCTGAAGAGCAGTCATTACATGAGTTATTACTATGTAGAGCATGCAAGGAGGCTTACATAGCTCATTGCGCCCACAGCTTCACCTCCCTCAAACGTATCCGCGCTCGTCTGCTGATCTTTGCATCCGCCCCAACAGATCTGACAACGCGTGCGTGAGACGTCTCAATGTCCGTTAGACAGGGCAACATACCACGTCAGCGGGGCTCGTCTTCGTCTCCCGTTTCTTGTTCCGAATAGTCTGATTATGACCCGTGACTTCCTTCACGAGACCAGTCACCGAGCCTATGGCTCCCATCTTCGTGCGATGGCTCAGTTTTGCACGATCTGACGCTGAAGGATGGAGCGGCTTACGATATCACCACGTGCATACGAGCTGACAGCGCCGAGGAGGCCCTGCGCCGCTTCTGCAGCAAGGTTTGGTTCTTTGATTTTTCCTTCGTGGGAATACATCCATGGCAGGTCTGCACAATCCCGCGCGTCAGCGTCTCAGGATAATTGGGAAACCGCATCCACCATGCTTACCCAGGACAGACCCTGAATGGCATGACTTATCATGTAAGAGGGAATTTAGCGGGGGTAACACTCGGAAGAAGCGATTAAGGGCATACGTCGAAGAGCGCAGTGAGACGACAGCCGGGAGGAAGCGGCTTCACGAGCATATCGTGCAGTTCCTGCGTGCGCGGTCAGAAGTGTGGCAGACATCCATGAGAAGAACGGGTCGGTACTGACATCATCGACTATCTGTCCGTTGACCTTGAAGTCGAGCGGATAGATTACCTCATCATAGCCAGATTCTTCGTCTCCATCCAGGTCCTTCGTGAGGCCGCCGTGTCCAGAGTCTGAAGTGCACAAAACACCCTCAACAAAGCTGCAATGCATACACACATGAAAATGGCTCGTACAGTGGAAGAAAAGGGAATCGTTGGGCCGCGCATCACGCACAAGCCATTGCATCGCTTGTATCTGGAATATGTATAGCGATGAGCTATGTCGACCCATTCACCTGACTAGCTATCCAACCGTGCACTTACCATATTCATCCTCGTCGGGATTGCCCTTGGGTTGGCCTGGTCATCGGTCAGCATGACGATGTCCTCACCCTTGTATCCGTATTCGGCTATGCAAAAGCATCCTTTTAGAACGCTCGTGCGTTATGGCGATGAGAGCCGACTCACATATCAAAAAACTCCGCATGTTGTTGGCATCATTGATGCACCCTTTCAGCTGCTGAGACGTTCCAATGTAATTGATTCCAATCTGCAAATCTCCTCTCAGCATTTCATCAACAACCCATGACAGGAGTGCACACGTACACAAAGTGCCTTCCTCCTCCCGGTACATTGGGAATATTGGAAGTACGGCTGCTGGCGCTGGTGGTTCGGCCCTTCCCACACAGGCCCATAGTGCTGCTGCTCTGCCGGAGGCCGTGGCGGCGGGCCAGCTAAGATTGCAACTCTTATGAGCTTTCAGCAGAGATCCCAACGTGTGCGAATACATACGCGGAGGAGCATATCTACCACTTGACTGAGCGGGGGCTCCATAGGGAAGTGGGCTATGGCTTGGAGGCGGCCCTGGGGGTGGAGCGTAATGACTAGAAGGGATACCCGATTGCGAATACTGCGGCGGAGGAGCTCCCGGAGGCGGTGCATAGTGATGCGGCGTCGACGCGCCCTGACGATTGATGCTTGAGGGCGATAACATCTGACTGGGAGGCGGGCAGGGAGATGCCGCATACCCCGCGGAAGCATAGTTGCCACCAGGCCTCGGAGGTATAGCTGGTGGCGCCCCGTATGACGTCCGCGGAGGTATGGACGGCGGAGGTCCCGGGGGAGGGGTGAAACTCTCGGACGAGGAGTACCCGCTGTGGTGGTGATGGTGATGGTGGTGAGGGCGGTCCTCTCCCGGGAATCCCTGCCCAGGGTAGCCTGGTTCTGGGAAGCCGCCAGGCGGGGGACCTGGAGGAGAGCCATATGGGCTGGCATGTACGTGATCATCAGAGCGATCGAGCGATCCGAATGAAGAGCACTCACTCGAACGGTGGCGGTGCTGGTGGAGGGGCGTATGAGCCATAGTCAGGCCGATAGCTGGTACGCGAGTCGGACGATGGTGGCATAGCGTCACTAACCAGGATGTCCAGACTGAGATAGTGCAAGCAGCAGGAAACTCACGGAGAAGGGAAGCCATAGCTACGAGGAAATCACACATCAGTACAGTTTTACCCTGTACGTGGAGATACATACGGTTCACCAGGCGGCCCAGGGCGAGGAAAGGGCGGAGGACCAGGCGGAGGAGCGTAGTTGCGGCGCTGGTTGCCCGGGTATTCGTCCCACATGATGGTTTATCGCAGAGTTCGGCTGCTCGTGCGTGCTGTTCGCTAGCTCGTTGCTGATGGTGGGTGATGAAGGAAGACTGCGCGCCCATCGATGCTCATTGACACACGTCGCGCAGCACGCGCTTGTCGCGGTCACGAGACTTTCTCCGACGTGGTGAGAGTGCACGCGTGCTGGTTCCATGCACAAGGTTGTAACAGTATTCAGGGTGATACAAGGCAATACAATACATGACAATGATCAACTATATCCTGCAAACAGGTCTACGGAACGATCCAGCATGTCAGCTTCAAACCCGTCGACATTGTCCGTGGCAACATCATTACGGAACTTGCCATAGACAGATGGTGGCTCGTTCTCGTGTAGTTGAGTGATGCCACCGGAAATTTCTGCAGCATCGCTGGAAACATCCGAGGGTGCCGATGCTTGATGACTGACAACATGTACATCCTGGGCAAAGGGAGATTACTTGTTAGAGCGCTCTACTTGCGAGGCGGCGGCCGCATGAATTTGCGCAGCGGCACGAGCCCTCTCCCGAAAGGCGTCCAAGAAAGAAGCCAGTGGCCTCAGGCGCCGCCCGCGAGGGCCGTTCGATCCTGACTTATCGGCAAGGTCAGGAGGTTCCGTTCCGATACCACGTGAGATTAATAGACCCTGGCCAGGATCACGCTGCAGGAGTACAGAGGTAGGAGGCCGGTTCGAGCTTGAGGAAGATGAGAAGTGAGGTTCATTACAAGCAAGAACAGAAGCGGGATGGGTAGACGTAGCACGTGTTGTGTTCGGCAAGACAAAGTTTGAATTCGCAAGTTCATTGTGATCGATGGCAATGGCACGAGGGGCTGGGGAGGAAGCAGAAAGAGGGGCATCTAGCATGGATGAGAGCGTCATACGTCGCGAGGGGTCTGCTTCAGAGCGATCGTCGGGTCGTTCATGCTTCTTGCATTGTGTCCTGGTGCTCAGTGCTACCATAGGCAGTGGAGCATGGCCAGATTGTTGGGGGCACTGATATCGACGATTGACGGTGTCCAGAACGTCATCCGAAACACGTTCAGTTCTATGCAAGTCATACGTTAGAAGTTTTTAATATCGCAGTCAAATCGGATGAACCGGTAAAACAAGTTACTTTGTCCGGAGCAAGGCCTCATGTTCCTCCAGAGGTATGAGCGTAAGCGGTATAATGTCCGTTCTAGCGGCATCGGCTGCATCACCTTCATGTGTGATAATTCTAGTTGTCGTATTGGTGTGCTTCACGCCGAAGCCAGCAGGCATCCGAGGCTTCCACCTGGATACCGGTTTCCTATCTCGCGTCGAGCCTGGTGACTCTGGAGCTAATGGGATAAAAGCAGATCGTACGTCGGGATACGGAGCGGTCTTGCGCGGATCAATGAGCTTCCTCTTCTTCGATCTGGAGATTGTTCCGGGTGGAGAGAGGTGATCATCGTAGAGGAACTTCAGCGAGGGTCTATTCGGTGTATGCGCGTCACTCGACTGCAGAATCCCGTTTTCGTCCGGGTCGACGTGCGCTAGGATTGCAGCATTCAGCAGACGGGATGCCATGGAACCCCGCCTCGGAAGGCACTGCGGCACGCGACTCCTCTTCACCATTCCTCCGTTCCCATTATGGACAGCTGCTACGAGACTGATGAGCAGCCAATGCCAATCAATAAATCTGGTGCTCACCTCGTATTTCAAAACTTTTATTATTTCTGAAATTATGGCCATCATCATGAATTATCTGCGTTTCAAAATGCACCCGATGGCGTTTGCTCTGACCATAGCGACTCTTGGGTGTTTGCGCTGACCATCTCAGGAAGTCATCCACAGTGATGTGGCTCTTCAATGAGTCAGAAGTAGGACTCCTATGATGTTGTGCACCAGGATTTGCTTGAGCAGCGGAGGAGACATGAGGGGCAATACACTGTGGGCTAATGGCACACAGAGTTTCTACTACCACTGGCCCTTGAGCCCCTTCGTTCGGGGAGGCGGGCCTGCCAGGCAGGACAGAACACTTCATCTCTTCATCGTCTGTGTCATCGTCGACGTCTGCGCAGCGCTTGCGTTTCCTCTTAATCTAAACGTGGCCGTACATTGTATCTGCATCCGGAGAGGATGTGAAAGTCAAATTTCTCACAATGAAGTCCGGCACGTAAGTAAAGGCCATCAGGCTCTTCGTAGAGAGACTTGATTATCAGCAGTACTTCCTCAGTCGGTACGCCACGTTACACGTCAGCGTAGTTGTGGCGATGCAAGCTAGCAAACTGAGAATCAAGCAAGGGTTTTGCAGCCAAGCCTTGTGAAAGTTCAAGTTCAAGAGCTAGTGACCCAAAGACAGGTGGAAGTTGGTCCTACGTTGACGCAGGGGAGAGCAAAGCACTGGTAATAGCTGGCGGTGGTTGGGCGGTGGCACGCGTTGCCGTGGCATGTGACCGCGAAGCGCGACGCGTTGCAATTTCAGGTTGCCTCTTCTTTCTTGCAATCCTCGTGCTGTCTTCGAACGTATCCAGCTGTTGCGAGTATATCTCTGGCTACCGAAACGCGAATGAAGTGGCGTCCGACTCACTTGAAGACCTCTGGGTTGCAATCAAGTCAGGTTCAATCAATGGGGAATTCGCGAATGATGTTCGGGTACTCCTACGCCGCGTCTCGGTGCCGCTCTTCTGCGGCTTCTATGACACTAACTGTGAACCTGGGCTATGATAATTCGGAGGCGATATGCCAGCAAAGACCCGACATGTGTATCTTTGCGACTACTTGCGCGGAACTTACGATCAAGACGGGCCAACCGAGTGCGCCACCTGATGGCTGACATGAGGCGATACAACGATTTAAGGTGGGTGACTGCATGAACATGGCGCCGTCTTTCCTCTCTTCGATAAACCTACTTCCCAGTTGTAGTTCAGCCTCCATCGCCAATTCTACGGTAAGATGGGCAAGTCGCGGCTCCCGATTGTCTCGCTGTGCTTAGTGGCCCTCTCGTCCGTGGTGACATCCGCACCTTTAACTTCCTCGTCTTCGACATCCGGTTCGCCTTCACCAAGTCCAACCCTCCCGTACGCAAGTGACAATCCGAACGTCGAGCTATGGAACCAGGACTCCTACATTATTCCTGAACCGATCCGCGGTTCTCTCGGTGCTACCATTCTCGGGCCCACCAACGTGCTTCTCGACTTGCAGAATCCCAGCCTTCTTGCACCCCCGAGCACCGATCATGGAACTATGTACGTTAGTTGCTCTTGCAGTAGATGTATGCGCTTGACACCTGTGCTGCAGACCGAACGCAAAGTGGCCATTTTATCTCAGCCACAACCGCTTGCAAACAGGAGGCTGGTCTCGCCAGCAGAATGGTGCGCACACAACTCGGCATATGTAGCTCCAATAGGGCTGACGGCGAGCCAGTCAACGACATGCCCATTAGTATCGGTAGGCAAATAGATGTCGGGCGCCCAAGGATACGTATTCATGTACTGCCACATGTGTAGAAATGGCTGGAGTCGACATGCGGCTTGAAGCAGGCTCTATTCGGTGAGTGATGTCTGCATGTATCCGTCTGCATGGTTCTTATGGTTGTGCCGCCGAAGTGAACTGCACTGGCATACAACGGCTGAGGTACGTCCTGCTATTAATTACAATGTGCCAAAGTTCTGATGTGCTAGGGGACAGTGGGCATACGTTCTGAAGGTCTGTGCAGATGCAGCATACAAGACATTCTCTAATTCTGGTATAGGGTACAACTCAAATCACAACAGTTACACCGGATGGCCAAAACTACCTCGCCAACGTCAACCAGGGAGACATTTGGTACTTCCCTCCTGGCCAACCTCACTCTCTGCAAGCAACTGCAGACTGCCCTGAAGGAACAGAATTTCTTCTAGTGCGCTTGCCCTAAAGCCTGACAATCGTCCTGCATTTTTCATAATTTATACATTATCAGGTCTTTGACAATGGAAAGTTCAGCGAGGACTCTACATTCTTGGTAGGATCATCGTGATTTCTCCTCTGATCGTGCAGATGCTGATTGGAGTTGCAGTTGACCGACTGGCTCGCGCACATACCCAAAGAAGTGATTGCAAAGAACTTTCAGGTGGACCAGTCTGCATTCGACCATATCCCCGATCAGGAGCTCTATATCTTTCCAAGCAGTATGTGATCGTCTACATAAGGTTTATATCGGTATCCATCATCTCATTTGATGTAACTGCTGTAGCTCCTCCTTCGGACAATGGGGACCTGCCCATCAGTCCTCAAGGGCAATCGTCCGAGCCCTACTCGTTCCCGCTGTCTCAGTACAATGCGACGCAGCTCCCCGGTGGCACAATCAAGATTGTTGACTCGACCGTTTTCAAGGCGTCGAAGACTATCGCCGTCGCTGAGATTACGCTGGAACCGGGCGCGATGAGAGAGCTGCATGTTAGTGCTGTCTTTCTATGCTTGTAAGCTTGCGTTGACGTATCGGCTGGGATCAGTGGCATCCGATACAAGCGGAGTGGGACTATTTCATGCGAGTGAAGATGGAGCAGGTCTCTGCATTTTTACTCAAATTAGCCATAGCTCCGGAAATGCTCGTATCACCCTGTTCGCTGCCAATTCCGACGCTCGAACGTTCGACTACCAAGTGAGAGCGTTCAGATTGTTACACAAATATTTCAATACGCCTTATCAACGTATATTCTTCGCATAGCCTGGTGATATTGCCTACATTCCTCAGTCTTACGGTGAGCAGCGCCATAATTGCATGTGACAATGACACACGTTCTGATGAATGTTGCTTAGGGCACTATGTCGAGAACACAGGCAACACCACTCTCCACTATCTCGAGATCATGAAGACCGGTAAGTCGGATATCGTTGCATCCGCGCTCAGCTTGTTGAAGTAAGGTGATTTTCCCAGACAAGTTCCAAGACGTCAGTCTGAACCAGGTGTGAATTGGTGAATGCTCGCAACGCATAATGGCTCATGAGTAACGTGCAGTGGCTTGCCCTGACGCCGCCTGCCATCGTGAAGGCGCATCTCGACGTCTCGGATGACACAATCAGCCACTTCAGCAAGACGAAGCCTATCATTGTTGGATGACACGTTGGTCGCGGTCCTATCATGTCAGTTTCAATGATGCACCTAATTCATATCTACTACATCTGTACAATGCGAGGCACATCGGACAGTTTCAATTTGCAACGCCGAGTGAGAGATGGGCGTCAGTGATAGAGCCCCGCGATGCTCCCTGTACTAGCTTACACCTTGTTCTACACGTTCATTCAGCATCAGTTGCACCACAAAAGTGTCGCAGGCGAGAACACGTTTGGAATGAATTCAATATTCAAACATGCATGTTGCATGCCGATACAGTTGTGTCTGTACACCATACATGATAGCATGACACACTTTAGGCATTACACCTGGGATCATTGTTGGTGTTTCAGCTGGGCCATGACCACGATGCTTGGGATGCTTATAGTACCAAATTTGGCCAGGGGTAAGAATGTAATGCTCTGTGAGATGGTGAAACCATGGGATCCTATAGCCACCGACAACTGCACCTCCATTGACTAACGCCATCGTGACAGGCACTTGTATTCCTGCCCCGATAGCCTGATGCAACATAAGTAGAAGAGTCAACTTAAAACCGAACATATGAACACACAGGAACAATAGGAGTGTCCAAGCCATAATCCAGGAAAGTTATATACCCCAGATTTTCAGGTTGATATGCCCATGCTGCTCCAGGTAAAAGACACCACTCGGAATATGCAAAAGAGACACCAATGGCAAGACATTGAGTGTGCTGCCTGGTCTTAATCACCGGTCTGGCTGCACCAAAATCAGTGAAGAGTAGATCTGTCATGTCTGGCCTGGGAAGCGACTGGCCTCAGAGCCAAGCCAATCAGTATAGATAGGTGCCAGAGCAGCCATTGCTGAAATGAAAAGTCAACAACATGAAGGAAAGTGCAGCCTCATCACCCCTACCGTTATGATTTTGAAAGATTCAGTGTGTTGAAAAGCAAGTTAGTGTGGTCTTTTATGTACCCCACACAAGGCAGACAAATTTCACACAGTGGACCTAGGAGAGAGTTAGACCAAACCAAAAGAAGAAGCACAAGAACAATAGCCAACAAATACAGCACAAGGAAGAACAATAGTGCACAGTCTCACCATGCAGCTCAGGCTTCTGACTAGCAGTTTCATTGAAAAAACGACATTCACAGCACCCAAGAACAAAAGAACAAATGAACAGAGAACAAAGGAGGGATGTGAACTGGTGAGAATAACAACACAATACTATATAGGAACAAAAGGGCAGTGACAAAAGAGACCTGTGCAAGTACACAATTTGAAACATTCCCTTTTTGACTCTTAACCACCACCATCGCCATGGACGGCTAAAGCTGTTTGGAGAATCCAGCCCCCACCTGTACCCACTCACGACCATGGAGGACCTGAAAGCCCCTCCAATGACATTTCATGCCCACCGAGATCTTCCACGACAAGGCTGAGCACACTGGTTGCCTTGTAAGCCCCCCTCTCGCACTTTTCAGCACCAAACATGCATGCCCAGCGCCACACATTGGTCCTTCCCCCCTCCTTCGCCCACCGTCTTTGTAACCTTTGCCGACTCCTTCATTCAGTTCCCATAATGGGTGGCCCCCCAGGTGCTCGATGGATGGGCTACGGCCTTCGTCATTCCCAGTCTTCTCCCCCTTTCCCCCTTTCCCACCACCTCTACCCTGACACTCATGGACCCTGGACCATCTCCTCAATGTCTGCAAGCAGCCTCTGCTTTATGCAGAGCATTCAGTTTGCCGGCTGTGCGGCTGGCCTTGGAGTGCGACTGTGATTGCCTGGATCAGGAAAGTTTTTGTCAGATTTGTGACGAGCTCTGTAGATCACCACTAGCTATTTGGGTGAAAAGCCCAGGAACAGGTTGGGGCCAGGTCTGACCTCACTGACATTAAACTACTATGCTTCTATTATCGGTAGTCATATGCTCAACTTGTTCGTTTACACATCTTCGACATGGCCTACAGCCATGTATAAATAATGTATTTAAAAAAATAAAAAAATACACAATTTGAAAAAGGATCTGCCTTCTTGGACTTCGCAACTTGCCGGTATCCGGCGAGCGACCAACTAGGCATGTGATCAATAGTTAACTTATAAGAAGTTGGTCGAACAAGCTTCGTCTAGAGTATGGCAAGAAACTCCTATGTTTTTTTACATCAATGTAATTTACATATATTTTACATGTAATTTACAAGGTATTTTATGTAGTCCCAAAATACCCATGTTAAAAATGTCAAAAAAGGATCATCATGTGCACCTTCATATCGGTGACTGGGCAGGCAAAAGCTGGGCAAAAGCCAAGAGAAAGAATCATAGAAAGCAGGCCAGGTGCCAAAATGAAGGGAGAAGCTGGCCACCTGCTTGAAACTTTGCTCTGATGATTAAATCTGATGCTTTCATTTTTCATGCAAGCGAGTGGATTGGCTCAGGGAAATCCTATGACAGTGCATCTTCCTATGTGTATGATGCATTCCTCAAAGTTCTCAATATACCAGGACCACTTGAACATGCTTTATTCCCATCGTCATCCACATTTGTCCTGTCATTTCTTGCAAATGCTCTACCACCAGTCTCTGACAGCAAGATTTGTTTTTCCCCTCACATGACATTTTGCAGCAGTTCTTCAGTCTCACGACCCTCACCCTTCCTCACATGACACAGTGGAGCAATGGTTGAATGAGCCATCAACAATTTGCAGCTCTGCTGACCAGTGTTGTTGTTGACCCCAGTTATTGGGTGATAACTGGGGGTAAGACACTTTAATCTTGACCTAGAGAAAGGGTCAAGCGTGATATGCGTGTGACCCCGTGGTGGTGCATGAACGTTGATATGCTCAACCACGTCCTGGCCGTGAGCAGCGCTCCTAACCAAACCCCTACTGGTGGAAGGTGAGCTGGGGCTCTGTCTGTCTGCGGTCCCTTTGGACTATGGTCACAGAAAACTTTAGATGATAATGCAGTGATGGGCGGCCATGAGTCGTTCAGCTGTGATGCTTGAAACAGAGTCAGATTGTCAAAGGTTCTGGATCGGTGAGTGTCAGACTTGACTGTATGAACACCTTCGACCAGGAAACAGTCGAAAGCTGGAATGCAGAGGTGTGTGGGTGTAGAATGCGATTGGCCACTTCTGTACTTGTGAACTGTGGTGGCTGAAGGTCTGGGCTAGGGCACGAGGACCTTCTATATCTGAAAAGTGCTGGTCAAGTGCCGATGAGCAACCCCTAGCTGCCTCTGAACTGGGTCAAGCACCGATGAGCAACCCCTAACTGTCTTTGAGCTGGAATAAGCGCTGACAATGAAGCTCTGAGCACTTCTGACTGGAACGAGTGCTGACGATGAACTCCTGGGTGTCTCCAAATGGGAACAAGCACCGACAATGAACTCCTGGGCGCTAGCGAGGCTATGGGATCTGATGGGGATAAATCCTGGTTTGAGACTCGTGACTGGTGGCGTGCGAGCAAAATGTGATGGCGTGAGATACGAGAACGTGATAATGTGACTTATCTGGCTGAAACCTGAGTCGAGCTAGAGGCCACTGCTGAGAGTGCTGCCTCTCTCGGTGTCGAGAATCCCAGAAACGTAGAACGTGATCGCAATAGACATAGACGTAGTCAGGCACAATGCCCTAGCATAGACAAGATGAGAACTGAGCACTGCTGCATGGGAAAACTCTGTGTGAAACTCTCTTATTATTCCTATGTACAGTGTAGATTATATAGTGAATTGGAAATGAGCCAGCTGAGTCGCTGAAATGTGTTTCTGATCATACATTGTGTTTCCGATCCATTGAAACCTGTCACAAAGCTCATCCCTGCCCCCTCTCCATATCATACAGTCAGGGAACTGGAAGTTCGACTCTGTCAGGGTCCATTGGTCCACTACCCTATCTTCCATTCAGTTAGTGCACTTGTTCATTTCCGAGTTGTCTAACTGGTCATGTTCCACTCTCGCGCTGCACCTTGTAATCAGCTATGCTTCCTCGTGGCTCGCTCATCATTTCCATACCTCATGTTCACCTTCTGACCCCTTCACGCAGTTCCATGTTCCCAGGCTGTCAGTAAAGTCTTCTTTGCCCACTCGGAACTGTTTCAGCTCGATGTTTGTCTTTCTGGATCGCGGTGACTCGCTATCCGATTATGCGATAGTCGGACACAGTTTCTGACGTTTTCCGGTCACAGAATATCTCAGTGCGTATCAATGTTCATATTATTGTACAAGTTCAACCAAACATCAGTTCATTGCGAGAATGCTTCTGTCACAAAGTATAAAGCACTTAACCCAATTAAGGGCAAGTCTGCTTATGTGACCTGCACAAATGATCCACATATAAAAGCCTGCCACAAGGGCTAGGCTGAGGATGCGTGCAGTGGCATACAACCAATAATCAAGGCAGAGCCCCAATGTATGGCTTTGCACAAGTGGTGGAAAGGGGAAGCTGGCCTGCTAACTGCATACAATAGTATAATGAATCTAAGGTCATCCCTTAGATTCTCATGGGCTCATATACATGTAAAGCTGGACCCTGATCACTCTAATTAAGGTGTACCTATTGGGGTCTTAGCAAGCTACATGTCGGAATATCATGCCAAAATCAGTAAGGGCTCTGGCAGCAACTATGGCAACTATCTACAAAGGCCGTGGTTATGCCAAGGTAATCTTATCTCATCCAATGAGATAATTGCCTGTAAGTGGGCTCACTGTTGAGGGGCCAATGGATGATAACCAACAGGGCACATCACAATGGTTATGACTTCAGGTGAGAGGATCTGTCCAAACTCAGATCAATGAGTGAGACAATCAGTCTTCATCTGATTAAGTTTGTGGGAAGATCCAGCCTATCCTATACCTGGCTATACTGTATGCCAGTTGGTAGGGGAATCCCTTGTAGTGCCTGTCTATTGGCTGGGCAGCAAAGTGAGACCACTATCTGAGTGACGAATTGGGTGCTTGCTAGCTTCTTGGTTCAATGAGCTTGAGTGAGCCTATTGTGGGTCAAAGGTTTTCATTCTGGGCAAGTGGCCTGATGTCACGTGACCAATGCCTGACAACTTCTGAATAGGGCAAGTAGCCAGTGTCACATGACTGGAAGGCTGAATCATGGATGCTTGATGATTATGTGGTAGACATAGTCGTATCTGCAATGTATGTGATGATATTGTGCTGTTTGTCCAAGGATCCACTTTGTGAGACCAATATGAAGGTTGACGTCCGAATAACCACTTGTGGTTGCCAAATGAGGACTTTAATGGTGCAAAAAGAAAGGTGCCACCTAATACTGTGACAGCTTCATGCTCTATCACTTTAAGCCATTATTGCTAATTATAGTAAATAATGGATCATGTGCAGGTCATGCTTGACCTCTTGACCCCATCTTACCCCAGTCATTGATGGGGGGGTCAATCAGTTGACCCCAGTCAAGTCTAAGGAGTTAAGCCTTGACCCCTACATCACTGCTGCTGACAGTCTGCAGATTGAGGAAGATATCGACTTGCAGTTGGCAGAACTGCAGCACATACTATCAAGCACTGCTCTAGTTTCTTCTACAATGGCTAACGACAGTGATCCAGATCCCATCGAGTAGATTCAGAGGGACAGCCTGACACTACGAGTACAGAGGACAATGCAACATCACAGACATGATGGCATTTGCATCTATGGCATATGCTGAGTCAGTCTTTTGTCTTTGTAAGTGATATTTGCAACATTGTTATTTTGTATCTCAGATTGTGAAAATGCAATAGGACATTCAGTGATCACAGATTAGTTACGAACCTTTTGAGATATGCAAGCATCACACATATACAAATAATATATCAAAATTCAGCACTGTGAAATTTGAGTTGCAAAATATTAGATGATAGTTGCAAGTCTGGCAAATGAAAATGCAAAGGGTAGATTCAGTCAAGGAGGCCTATATTCAACATCAGAATCAATACATCTTACACCTCATGCCAGACTGAATCAATGATGTTGCATATGTTCATGTAAATTTCTGCTGCAGAATGTTGAATATAGCCTCCTTGACTGAATCTACCCTTTGCATCTTCATCTGCCAGACTTGCAAATGCCATCTAATATATATAATTTGCAACTCAAATTTCACAGTGCTGAATTTTGATATATTATTTAAATACTATCATTGGCCCTGCAATGCAACTGCGACAGTAATGCAATTCACATTCTCCAGAGCTTTCCTCATCCCACAAAAGTCTGAAAAATTCGCCGTATATGACTGTAACCATGATGACTATGTCTACTGAGTTCTGTGTCCTTTGGTCAAGGAGTGGACAAATAATAGGCAGATTATGGCCTGCATGCTCAAAATGTGAGATTGATCAGGCTTCGAGTCACTGCAGTTCATATCTGACACCTTTGGTCAGTTGGCTATAGTTTGATATAAGGTCAAAGAAGATACATTGAATTTTCCAAGACCTTTGAGCCTCAGGATAGAGAATGTAAGAAATGAGCATCAGCGTGACAAAGTTGCCACAGAGGATCGCTGGATCTGAACTCCATCAGATGCCATTGCATGGCAGCACTGTTCCTGACGCTTGCGTGCCACAGTTCACACTCGTCAGATCAGCATGCTGGGCAGAATGCAAAATACGACATGCTGGCAAAGTGACTGATTGTGTAACATTACCTCAGAGAAAGGTTGCATTGCTGTTGCAGTTCTTGTTGTCTTCCGATATCATGAACATCTCAAGACTGCAGTGTGAAAAAAATTCAGAAGGTACATTAGGAGCATAACTATCTATTAGAATAGCTCTGGAGTCAATCTGATGATGTTATAGACCACAGGAACTCAAAAGGTCAAAAAGTTGCATTAGAGGGCCAGTGTTAGTATGTGTGATGCTTGCATATCTCAAAAAGTTCATAATTAATCTGTGATCGCTGAATATCCTATTGCATTTTCACAATCTGAGATACAAAATGACACTGTTGCAAATATCACTTATAAAGGCAAAAGATTAACTCAGCATAGTTGCAAATGCCATCATGTCTGCAGTGCAATAGTGTGGAATTTCGATTGTAGCACACTCTATTGCTGTGTAACTTTATGTATTTTACATTTTTGATGTGGTTCTGGACTTTTTTTACATGTAATTTACACGTCAGAAAGTCACATTCTGTTCCGCATTTGCATCATGTGTATGAACTTTCTAGTCTCATTCCCAGACCCTCTGTACTTGGTGGCTGACGCCACCAGAGACACCCGATCGGAGATCGAAAAACTGAAACAAGCAAAAAGTACAGAGGGTCTGGTAGGTTTGAGTAGGGTGGGTGTGGGTAAGGTGATCACCTGACTATTACGTGCCAGCCACTCTGCATTTTGACATGTATGTGCGCATCATTCTTACTAGTAGTTTCGTGTTCTTTGTGTATTCTACTGTCTAAGCTTTGCAGCTATCACTTTCTCTCTGTCTGACTTGCCCTGTCTGACCAATGGCTACTGATCAGTTCATGAGTGGCAATACAGTGCTGACACTCTCAGACACTGTCTACAAGCTACTCCATGAAGCTCGCACTGCTGCAAGCTATCAAAGGAATTACTCTTCAGTGGAGACTCGTGCACAGCTGACTGCAGAATTTAAGAGGGTCTTCAATATAAATGCACATCCATATGACTGGCAGCTGGACGTAACTGAAGCAATCTTGGTCAGACTGAATGCTATTGTCATCGCCGGTACTGAGGCTGGAAAGATGATACCTTTTGCGATGCCCCTGCTCCTAGACCATAACAGTTCTAAGATGATTATTATAATCTCACTGCTCAATGAGCTCGAGGAAGATCAGGTAAGTAAACCCAACAATATGCCTATACACAGTGGCTGACAGTAGGGAAGATCTAAGCCTTGAGTGTCAATAAATTTCAGTACTGCCAGCACACATCGAGCAATGTCGCCTTCAGCCTCAAGAAGTTGCTTACCCCTCTGGCTATGTCTGCGATGCGGATCCTCGACGTCTTCGAGATCTTCTTCACTGGCAGACTCAGAGTACAGCTGCTCATCAAGCCCATCAGGGTTGTCGTCATTCACCAGAGTAGCATCAGAATCCATAAGTTAATATTAATGATAAAGCTGAGATGGAGTACTGGGAGTTTACAGTGCATATAACTACTCAAAATGTGTTTGTGGCTTTGCCTACGTCGAGCACGGTCACATGATGCTGAAATCCAGTTAGTACAGATGTTTACACAATAAGTTTCTTATAATAGTTGCTTGCCACATAGAAATAATTTTTACAGCTGGGAAAATGTCTCAAGAAAGGGTTCCATATTTTTTTAGATCATTTCGGTCGTCAGAAATCACCCTACAATCCGATGTATGTGGGTGCTTACAGTGCAAGCCAGCGCTTTGGGCTTGTGATCAGTCACGTGATCACCTTACCCACACCCGCCCTACTCAAACCTACCAGACGTTATAGTGCGTATGCGCATTTCATTTTTTCGATCTCCACTCGGCGCTTTCTGTGGCGCAGCCACCACGTGACACAGCACCTATAACGTCTGAAACTGAGACTATGAACTTTCATGTTTTTTACATTTTTGACATGGTTTTGAATGTTTTTACATGTAATTTACATGTAAAAAATCACACTGAGTGAAGTCATGATTTTTAGGCACCTATAACACATGCAGGGACTTTTTGACGTTAAAAACATCATGTAAAATACTTACATGGAGAGCAAACTTTTTGACATCATGTAAAAAACATTGCCGGAGTTTTATGCTGTACCCTAGCTTCATCCATCACTTCATTCGCATCCTCATCAACTTGAAGGTATTAGTGCTGCATCTGCATGCCCAGTTCTGAATGACCAGCGATGAGGAAGGTACAGATAGCAGTTGATACACAGTCCGCTGTGGTACAGGAGCGAATAATTGTGGTCGTATGTAAAGATAGCGGACAGCTATATAAGCGATTGACATAAAATCCGTGATGTGAGTACATATAAGCGAGAAGCCAGAATCTGAGATGATGCATTATCATAGTAAGGGAGCACCACTCGAATGCTCCTCCACTTGAATCTGTGTAGCGTGAAATATCGGTAAGTGTTCGACATTGTCGCAGGGATCTTTAATGACTACAACAGTGGAGTGAAGGAACCAGCCCTGTAATTTCTAGAGGGTGCTGGAGGTCCGTTAATGTCTTCTTCATCTAAAATGATGAGTTTTCCAATAGTCTTACCCTTGTCACCCTGTTTACAATCGTATAAAGCCACAGGTTGTATACAGTAATGCATGGAAGATATCCTTCAGTAATGCGATGCTCCATCGATAAGCCATTATTATGCAGTCAGGCATGAGATGAAATGTGCTCCATGATGAAAGTGCCGCAGGACAGAAGATGACTTTGGAGTGCAAAAATAAGGGGGACAGATGGAAGCTCACCAGCGTCGAATACATTACCGATGCCAAATTGGCGCTACCACCAAACGAACGAGAATCACCATCGAAAGCATTGCAGACATGCAGGCAGGACGTCGGCCTTTTGCACAGAGCATAAATCGCTGGCAGGGCAAATGGCCCACATAAAGACAGCAAACTCCGGATGATAGAATCTGTACATGGAGGGTGTTGACAGTGTGCACAGACCAAAGGCCCTGCAGATTGAAACTTAAAAGGCGCATCAGGACCGGGTGACACAATTATGTAAACCCCCTGTCTAACGAAGTTACTGATTATGTAAACTCCCGCCATGTAAGAGTCAGTAAAAACCCTAGTCTCATAACCAGACGTCATAGCAGAGTCACGTGGGTGTCAGAGTACAGGCAGAGAGCGAAAAATGCCTGCATGGACTCTGCTATGTCGTCTGGTGAATTTGGTACAGGTGGAGGGGGGATAACCATTATGCCCACATGCATCTAATGCCACCGAGCGTGAGCGGCTAATGCTACTGACACGCCTCTGCCATCATATCTCGCCAAAGACTATAGTGGTACATGGGCTTCTGGCTTTTCCGGGGCCCTCACATTAATTAAAGCAGACATCGAGCACATCGGCTAGTGTACAATGAAAAGAAAGAAACAGAAAAGAACAGAGAGAAGAAAAGCAATGGTACAATTACATGAACACAGGAGAAAATGGGAGAGGAGGGAGGGTGAGCGAAAGAATAGAATAAATGTGCATTTGCTGCTGTGAGATGTAGTGTACTGGCAGGGCAGATGGATTCTTGCAGTCGGGGCACAAATGCTATGTCTGAGCAATGGTGAGTCAGAGCGGGGCTCTGAGGACAAGACACTAGCGGGTACTCACCTGAAGGGAGGAAGAGCGGGGCTCTGCATTACTTCTCCCTGCACAGGGCTTATGAGTATGCTAGCTGTGGCCCCTATGCCATAGTGAAGCCAGGCTCAGCATGAGCATAAGGCATGGCTATTTCTGTCCCTTCAAGGACTTCCGCTGGGCCGCACCAATGTCCTTGAACAGACGACCAGCCTATGCACTCATGCTAGAGTACAGCGGCGATGCCACCCTGTCATGTGGTGAGTGGGGCTCGATTAGGTGCAGAGGCCTTTGAAAAACCTCCTTACCTGTGGAACCCAGTTTTACCCTGACCTCTGCCATTGTATCTCGCCAAAGACTATAGCGGTACATGGGCTTCCGGCTTTTCCAGGGCCCTCACATTAATTAAAGCAGAAGTCGAGCACATCGGCTATTACCCCAGAATGGTGTGTGTGGGGGAGGTGGAGGTGAGAAAGATGAGTGCGAGAAGGCAGTAAAGTCAGGGAAGGACACGGAGAGAGGCGAGCTGGAGTGCAGCATGAACAGTAGGGTTATTGCGGATGTAGATTTTTCATGAAGGAGAAGACCAGCGACTGAGTGCTTGGATGATGTCCTCTGAGAGGCCCATGCTGGCATAGAGGGTTGCGCCACCGGCACGAGCTGAGTGGCCACCAAAGGAGTGGTCGAGCAGGGCGAAGAGGTGTTGATCAAACCAGAGACAGGTAGAAACGGAGTCATCCTCTCACAAAAAGAGAGTGGCATGGGCACCATGACGGTGATCCCGCCAAGAGACATACTGTGACAGCAAGTGCACTGGGCAGGCACGATCCTGTGGGAGATGGATGATGGTAGTTCCCTGATAGAAGCGGTCAGTCTTACGGTACGAAAGATGATATTGCACTCGAGAGCTGAAGAAATGGAGGGATGCCCGCTTGATGATTTTGCGCCAGTCATAGAGCGAACGGGAGTTGGGCTGAACAAGCTCACCAATGCGGTGGCAGGCATAAAAAGCACAGGAGATGACAGTGACGAAGAGAAGATCATCATAGCAACCAGAGTGATGGGCGAGTTCGGAGAAGGCGAGAAGATGAAAAGGGCGGAGAGGAAGTTTGCAAGAGACAGCATCACTGCGAGTCTTGCGAGAACCAGCGATGGTTGCCTGCACGAGAGGATGAGCCCAATTATGAGTAAAAGTTGAGTAAATGTCGTCGAGAAAGTGCCAGGCACCAGATAAGTACTTCGGCGCAGAGCTAATGAAATGGGAGGTGTAGGCGACATAGCGAGCAAGCATTAAGGGTGTCGGATCAAGTGGCAGGTGATGGGACAGACAGAAAGCAATATAATTGTGGGTGCCAGTAGCGTAGCCTTTCTTGGTGGAGAGTTCAGTTGCTGAAGCCTGCAAGAATGCGACGCGTGCATCGATGGAGTGCAGGGCAATAAGAGGGCAGGCAGTGCGTGAATGAGGCTGCCCACCCAGGGTATTCGAAAGTGCGCTCTCCAGCGCACTGGCAAAAGCTCGCGTGGAGGTGAGAACAGGTGAACATGGTCAGCGGGAAACTGAGCTGCGTAGTCATCTAGCAGCAGATGAGAGAGCAGGTCAGCACAGATATTCTGCTTGCCGGGAATGTGGTGGACACGAATGTCGATGCCGGACTCCATGACAATGCCGGCGATGGCTTTCAATGGGGCATTATGGAGGCTCTGTTGAACACTAAGGGAGTTGAGGGCATCGACTGAATTAAGGCTGTCAGTCCAGATAAGCACGTAATGTGGTGGATGATGCAAGAAGGCAATATGATGGATTGCAGAAAGGATGGTGAGCATCTCGAGAAAGAAGATGTCGATGAATGGAGAGGCAGGTGATGGCTGGATGGGATAAATGAAGGCCTGGTTAGAGTAAACAAATGCGAGGGCCTTGGTAAGGGCAGCATCTGTCCAAATGACCATGTCAGCAGCTGAGATATCCCAGTGGCTGTCGTCAATGAAGCGGACACTGGTAGCATGTGGGATGACCTCCTTTAACCAAGTAAGATCTGTAATAACATCTTGATTGAGAAAGATACGTGCAGAATGAAAGAATTTGCCGGCGATTTTTCGATAAACTTCAGTTAACGCTGGACGACTCCAAGGAAGAACATTGAGGAGCCACTTAATAGGCCCAGCAAGACACTGCCATTCTCGCAAGGTAGAACTGCGGGAGTCACCTTCAAGGAATGCAGTGATGTCAATGGCAAAGGTAGCAAGAGACGATGGTGAAAGGGAGATGGAGCTGAGGTTGATATCGACCCAAAAGCCAATAATAGTGAGTGCGGAACCTGAAAGCTGCTTCTTGTCCTCCCATGGACAAGATATCGCATCTCAGAAGATAAGGAGTTGTGTCTGGTGATAAGGGCGATGGCACCCGCGATAGTACACTGTATGACCATCGACATCCCAACCATAGTAGTCGTCCATATAGACATGTAGGCCGACGATATCGAGCTTATCAACCGCGATCCAGCAAAGAAGACCTGAGACAGAGCACCAGATCTGTGGGGATGCTCAATTTCCAAAGACTAACCGTCGCACAATGTAGAGCGTGCCATCGACTGTGACCACCTGATGAAGCTGCCAGATGGGATGAGCTGGCAGGTTGAGAAATGCGGAAGTGACGTTGTCTTTGAAGACAATCAGGCGGCTGCCAGGGTTGCTCCGACGAGCTTCTCGCATTTCCTGGTCAAAGTCATGCATATTATCATAGCGGACCTTAGCCTCCGCTAGCGAGATCCCATCATTGAGACCAGAGGCTGAGTGATCCGTCATGATGTGTGGTTTGTCATCTCTCCAGATGACAAACATAGGTGACATCTTCATGCCTGGTAGAAGTTCTGAGACCTCGGAGGACCATCGGCCTGCAGTGATCTCTTTATCTCAAAAGGCTCGAATAGCCTGCTGATCAGGTGAGGTCAATGGATAATTGTCGGTTACCTCCGCAAGTTCGATCTTCCATTCACCCTCATCAGGAGGCCAGAATCCACGATGAAGGCCATTCAGAACAGACTGCACAAAAGGCCGGTTAGGATGACTGACAAGCATAGCTTCAAGCTTGTCGACATTGAAAGGAGTCTCAACCCGGATGTGCCGTTTATTAGAACTTGAGCACGGCCTGAATAACTGGATCTGACAATAAATGTGCCAGCAGATCCGGGAGTGGTGGTGCACTTTCTGTGGATAGCGTGGCAGGTGAGAGAGTCAGATGAGAAGCGTCAGCCCATCCGAAACTGCGCTGAAAATGTGGAAGCTCGCTGGTGGATGGGAGTTTGTGTTTTCCCAAAATAGATAACGTATTGAGCGACCTAGGTCCTCGCGCTGCTGCTTGAGCCACCTCTGCTGCTTTCACCGCTTCCCTTTTCTTTTTGCGCTTTGAATGTGGCATAGCATGCTGAATCGTCCTTCACTTGATGCTGACCTCTGCACTCACAGCAGACTCCATGTTTGCGCTGATTGGCGCAGTGGTCATCATCATCATTGCAGCGCTCCAAATTCCAGTTAATGCATGGTGTAGCGGCACACTTGGAAGATGCTGCAGACAAGCCAACTGAAGACCTTTTGCCCAGGGCAGAGTGCGAAGATGAACGCATAATCTCAGAGAAAATGTGGACCTGAAGGCGAGCTCGATTGTCGAGATGAAATGGAGATTTATGATATGCATCCCTAGCAGCCCGATCAACACCAATCACAATCGACGGATCAGATGACATCGAATGAAACAGTTTCAAGATAATTGTCCGATACTGGTCCAGTTCATTCGACCGATGAGGGTAGAGGCAACGAACCCCATCTGCCCATGCACCATAGATCCGGATCTAATCAGATTTGAAGCAAACCGGGTGACGAGATGAGGAGTGATCCTTCTTAATGATAGTGAAGCCAGCCGCCAAGTCTTTAGGCTCATCATCATGGTCATAGCCCAACTCCATGGATGCGAAGAGCTTCTCGTAGTTAACATATTGATCCAAAAGTATGTCTTTCCAGATGGATCGTGGCAGTGGGACTTGCAGACCCTGCTGCTGCATGAGGTCGAGGATAGGGTTACTTGCATGCTCGGTTATGTACAGCTGATGCAAGTGGAACATCTCAGCCAGATGAGAATCCTGTGAGGTTGGCAGAATAGTTGCCAGATGTGGTGCGGCAGCGAGGATGGACTGAGGAATGCCAGTAGTAGCCTTATCCTCGGAAGACCATCCCAGAATCTTGGCCAGGTCTTCGAGGAAGAGTTCCTCATTAGCAGACTGGATGCGAGGTTGACGAAGTGAGGCGAGCTTTTGTTTAACGATTGCCCAAGCCAGCTCGTCGGCTGCGTTTGACTCACGATGTGATTTCTCAATACGCTCTCCTCTCTCTCCAGACGATTGAACAGGGCTTGACTCATGGTCACGCGAGCCTCCTGAGCTCTCTCCTCCCATTTTCTCTCACTCTCGGTCAACAAGCTGCTCGATATAATCACGTACTTCTCGATCATTCACTCTGATCTCCTGCAGTCGCTGGATCGTGGAATCGTTCATGATTCGAGAAGCCGTGGCATCTGATATGATCTGCTGCATTTGCCCAGCACGCATCTGAATGGCATCCTGAGACTCCGGACTAGACTGAGTGAATGAAGATGCATTGCTTCCGACCATGGATGATGAGTTAGATGGGTGATGCAGTGTCCCAAACACAAGGTCTAGGAAATCGGGGTGCGGCAAGGGTGTTAACCAGCTGGCACCTTTCCGTCTCATGGGCGCAATGGGAGTGAGAGGCTGGTGAGGCCACAAACGACTGGGGAATACAGTAGTACAGGTGGGTACTTATACGTTTTCTGCCCTTACGTACTCGCCCGCTCTGTTTCCAGGTACCGCCCTGCAACACGTTTCAGCCATCACTTGGCGCTTGTCCCTCCCGACGCATTGAGCGCGTTTCACCAGAAGTGCCGTTGGTCGGCCACTTCCAACATGCCCCCTCGTGCGAGAACATGTAGGGTATTTCGTACCGCACCCCCTCGGCGCCCTGTCCCTCTTCTTGCTGCGTGTGATGTCCATGCTCCCAGTTCCTTTGTGTCGCCCTCCCGGTGAGTGCCCTGTCCATCTTGTATAGCGCCTGGACTGCAGAGCGCTCTGCCACTTGTATAGCGCCTTTACGGTCCAGGCGCTGCCCCATTTGTGTGTGCGCCTGGGCATCAGCACCGCCCCACTTGTGTATGTGCCTGGGCACCAGCACCGCACATCCTTTTATATAGCGTCCGTGCCAGGTCACTCCCGCCCTGCGATTCTGCTGCCAATGCAGCCTGGCTCATGTCGCCAACTGTATCGAGTGGTTTCGCCCCCTCAAGCTGAGTGGCATCGCCTCAACACTGCGCCCATGTAGCTGCCCTTACGTGGGCCAATCGGAGTCATTTGTCTAGGAAATCAGGGTGCGGCAAGGGTGTTAACCAGCCGGCACCTTCCTGTCTCATGGGCGCAATGGGAGTGAGAGGCTGGTGAGGCCACAAACGACTGGGGAATACAGTAGTACAGGTGGGTACTTATACGTTTTCCGCCCTTCCGTACTCGCCCACTCTGTTTCCAGGTACCGCCCTGCAACGCATTTCAGCCGTCGCTTGGCGCTTGTCCCTCCCGACGCGTTGAGCGCGTTTCACCAGAAGTGCCATCGGTCGGCCACTTCCAACACAAGACACCGAGAAGATGAGCGAAAGAATAGAATAAATGTGCATTTGCTGCTGCGAGACGTAGTGTACTGGCAGGGCAGATGGATTCTCGCAGTCGCGGCACAAACGCTATGTCTGAGCAATGGTGAGTCAGAGCGGGGCTCTGAGGGCAAGACGCTAGCGGGTACTCATCTGAAGGGAGGAAGAGCGGAGCTCTGTGTTACTCCTCCCTGCACAGGGCTTATGAGTATGCTAGCTGTGGCCCCTATGCCATAGTGAAGCCAGGCTCAGCATGAGCATAAGGCATGGCTATTTCTGTCCCTTCAAGGACTTCTGCTGGGCCGTGCCAATGTCCTTGAACAGACGACCAGCCTATGCACTCATGCTAGAGTACGGTGGCAATGCCACCCTGTCATGTGGTGAGCGGAGCTCGATTAGGTGCAGAGGCCTTTGAAAAACCTCCTTACCTGCAGAACCCGGTTTTACCCCGAATGCTAAGTCGCTTTCCTCTATCAGAGCCCATCCTGTGCTATCGGCTAGCCTTCGTACTGTATATACCATGCCTCCTATGCATTCTACTGCCAACAGTCTCTCCAGTGGGAGTTCTCCATGTTCGAAGGCCTTTCTCAAAGCTGCATGTGAACAGGCAGCAAAGACACACCAATATTCATCAGAAGCTACTCGGGCAGAGATCGTCCAGCAATTTCGACGTGTTTTCGATGATCTGGAGCCGTATGACTGGCAGGTCGATGTCACGGAGGCCTTGTTGCTTGGAATGGACTGCACGGTGATCGCTGGTACGGGTGCGGGAAAGACCATGCCATTTGTCATGCCTCTGCTCTTGGACCAGATGAAGAAGAAGATGGTTTAGATCATCTCCCCTTTGGATGAGCTGGAGTATGATCAGGTATGTGCCTTATACACCTCTCATTCCTATCGAGAAGCTCATCCATAGATCGTTATCTAACGCCTCAGGAGGCCGCTTGTAGTATCATTCCAGTAAGAATTATCATCTTGTTCTGAGCATGGGGGACACAAGCCAAGGCCCTGAACTACACTTAGCATGTCCATAGTATTCAGAGAGTTCAGAGACTAGCATAGATTAATTTGAGGTGCATACAGCCAGCAGAACAGTGAATGTATGCTGCTACTCGACGTGTCTGAATACTTGTATGCGCGTTCTGACGCACCTGGTCAAGCATACGTCACCAGTGACATCCGTTAGTTTCGTCACTTATCCCCCCCGCCTATACCAAATTCACCAGACGGTATAGCAGAGTCCGTGCAGACGTTTTTCGCTCTCCGCCTGTACTCCGACGCCCACGTGACTCTGCTATGACGTTTGGTCACGAGACTATAAAAACCCGAATGACTAAGGTCATTCGGAACTGTCTGCTTTGAGCTTCATGTCTAATCGTTATATGAGTACTTTATGTTTTCATAGACTTTGTGTACTGAACATTACTCGCTTTCTTCGTGCTACTAGATGACTCCACTACCATCTTCGCCGGCGGGCGGGTCCGACGTCGTGCCAGCACCTATCATATCGTCAACCGGACGCATATGCAGAAACCACTGGGATGCCGCACTGGACGACATTCCTAACGTTGCCCCCCCACTTCTACGCCACCACCGACGAAGACCTCAATGCCCTTTTCCTAGGCTTGGGATTCAAGCAGGCCGAGCTCGCTGGCATGCGTGCGGAATACGACAAGCGGATGAACGCCATGCTTGCTCAAGGTGGGGGGAAGATCTCTGTTATTGGTGTACGTTTTATGTTCATCACCTTGATCCTATCCGCCGACTGTGGGCTGTGGCTAACCAATTGTATTGTGCTGGGGATGTATGTTAGGCCAAACCCGTTCCCGGCGAGCACATCCATATCATTCTGATTCCGAACGACGACAATCTCGCCATCCGCCTGTGGGATGGAGGCTTGGAGGACGACAGTATCTTTCTCTTCGATTTCATCGATATGCGAACCAAGAAGGCCGTCAACTCGCCCGTGGGTTACGAGGTGCACGCCTTCCCCAACCGCTATCACATGCTGAACATGCCCGGTCCGATCATCTCTTGGGAAGCGGCACAAAACATCCAGCGGAAGCATATCAAGCCCGGGGAGGAGAGGTTCAGTGTGCCGGAGGGTACACCGTGTGCACTGCATCGTCATGGACAGGAAGTCTTCATGTTTGCTGCTCCTGAGAGGCCGAGGAAACAGTCAATCCATGGCGTTCAGCTCGCTACTGCCAGGGATGCGATGTGGTGATGGCTACGGAAGGTGTTTGGTGTGGATTTTTGTAAGATAGGCCTCGCTCATCATGGGGAAGATCACTTGAGCTCTCAATATTCAAAAATGTCATCTGATATTCAATGTTTAAGCATTCATAGGTTGCTCCTTGCGGTAACTATGTCAGTGTTTATTATCTACTCTGGGCCTGCAGCGGCAACGCGGTGCAGTTGTTCTCTGCGCATCGATTCGATTTCGTGTAGCGCCGCCGCCTTTCGCTCGAGAGCTATGAACGAATCAGCTACCATCTCTGCGGGCGGAAACGCGTTCGTTAACATTATTTGTTCGCCATTTAGCAATCTTGCTGTCTCCCTGATCGTTCAACAGCCCTTATAGTGGGACCCCCGAGGGGGCGCAAAAAATCCTCAACTCTAGCATGGATTTGTACAGATATCCTTGCAGCCATAAGACTGCCTCTACTATGTACGCGAAACAAATTGTACAAGCCCCGAAGCCTTTCTAGGTTGCTGAGCATTCTACGAAGCACTCTGCAGACCGGCAAGTTCTCCTTTCAACTTCTTCAGCACATCTACTGCGGCTGCGATCTCCTTATCTAGCTCCGGCGTCTTGGGCGTCCGTCCCTTCAACTCCCTCACGGCCTGTCCCTGCTCTGCAACCTTCTGCTCCCATGCAAGCACCTCCGCTGACTTGGGCTTCTCATCCAACGCCGTCTTGTCCGCCACCTTCTTCGCCGCGGTCGCCTTGCGCTTCGACATACCGGGTGCGACGTGGGTCGCATCGGGGCTGGGCAGAGGGCTCGCCTCACCAGGCCTGCTCCCGCCAAACTTCGCGCGGAAGACATCTGCCATCTTCTCGTCGATTTTCTTGAACAGGTGCTCGGGCGTGCCGATCGTGTGCCCCGCAAGAATGTCCGTCGAGAACACCTCGGGCACCGTGCGCGCCGGCGCATTGAGCTGTGCGAGCATCGAATCAGACGTCGACGGCATGAACGGGTACACGAGCGCCGAGAGCAGGTAGATCAAGTTGACCGCGCGCGAGACGACCTGCGCACATCGCTTCGGGTCCGCGACCATCAAAGCCTTTTGGAGCCCAGAGGACTGCAGGTACAGGTTTCCCCGTGCGGATATGAGCATGATGGTGTGCAGGCCGAGACGCAGCTTCACATTCTCCATGGCTTCGATATAGTCCTTGAGGAGGGTGTTGATGTCCGAGATGAACTCGGCATCCACATCGCCATTCGGCGATAGAGGTCCAGGCTCGTCTCCGCTCTCGGGAATGACGCCGCCATACTGCGATGCTACGAACTTGAGCGTTCGGTTGACAAAGTTGCCAAAGCTATGGGACGGTAGCGTGTTAGAAATATCAGGTCTCCGAATCATACAGATGGCAACTTACTTGTTCAGCAAGACATTATTATTGGCAGCAATCTATGGAGAGGGTAAGCGGTTTGTTCGCGAGAGAATTAAATGCACTCACGCAGTCCGCCCATGAGAACATGGCGTCAGCGGTCTCCGGCCTTGTGGAGATCAAATAGTACCTCCAGACCGACGGTGGAATGCCAGTCTCCTTCGCAGCGGGGCCGAAGACGCCACGATTATGGCTCTTCGAGAACTTGCCACCTTCATAGTTCAGGTATTCTGTGACATACGTGGTCAGCCGCATTCAGTAGAAGAGCATAGCGCATCCATACCTGTTGTTGAGATATGGAACAGAGTCGTCCACGGACGCCCGTCGCCTAGTTGCATGGCAGGGAAATAGATGGTGTGGAAATAGACATTGTCCTTGCCCATGAACTGATATAGGCGCACGTTCGACTTGTTGAACCACCATTGCTTCCACTCTGGGGTATAATTTGCTGTTATACTGGGGTACCCGACCGGCGCATCGAACTTATCCACCTTAGGGCACCGCAGCTATATAGATCGATGGACACTACTCACCCACACGTCTATGGAGACAGTCATAAGAACGGCAGCAACACGGATGATCAGAGGGATCACTCACAAAGAACCTTGCCCTTCATGCCCTGATCGTCCTCCCCCTCAACCATCGGCACCGGCACTCCCCATGTCAGATCTCTCGTGATCGGGCTCGGATGTAGACCAGCCCGCAACCGGTCGTCGATCAGCTCGCCCTCAGCATTGATGACGGCGTTTGGGGACCACTTGCCCTCCTTCCATGACTTCTTAATCCACTTTTCCGTCACTGATTGCAACGCATCGAGCTTCATGTACATGTGCACGGACGAGCGCGTCGTGACCTTGTGGTCCTTACTGATCAGACAGCGCGGGTTGATAAGGTCGATCGCATCGAGCGTCTTGCTGCAAGCGTCGCATTGGTCTCCTCGGGCATCCTATGAAGAGATATTTGAATTGTGGCTGTTAGAAGTAGCGGACGAAACGTACATCAGAACCACAGGAAGGACATGTTCCTTCCACAAAGCGATCTGCAAGAAACCTGGAGCTCTGTAAGCCAGATTTCAGCGGCATGAAAGTGAAGCTTACTTTTGGCAGCCTTCGCAATAAGTCTGCTCCTTGGTCTGCTTTTCGAGGTAACCATTCATCAAGAGGTTGACGTAAATCTCTTGGGAAATCCTATATTACAATTGATGTGAGCACGACCTTGCATCCACACGGGAGCGCTGAGGTGAATGGGGGCAGGGGAACATACTCAGTGTGAAGCGGAGTTGATGTTCGACCAAAGTGGTCAAAGCTGAGGAACAGAGGCGAAAATGAGTCCAGCAAGAGACAAGCAACGCGAATGGCACGCACGCAAGCTCAAACCACTTGTATGTCTCAACATGCAGGACGTTGTACTTGTCGCAGAGCTCCCGGGGAGTCAAACCCTCCTTCAGAGCTTGCGTCTCCGTAGCGGTCCCATACTCGTCGGTACCGCAGATATAGAGTGTCCGCCGGTTTCGCGTGCCTGAGGCAGATTAGATGAGTGCACCGAGCCTGTGCGGCACGAAAGCGATAAGACGCGTACGATTATAACTGCCCTAAAATGAGCAAATGCAATCATACATGTGGGGAAGCACGTACCGAGCAAAGACATCAGCACTCAAAGTGCTTCCGATGATGTTTCCTAGGCAGCAAATATCAGCCAGTTATCAGTTGACTTTGCATGTCGAATCGCACCGAGGTGAGGGACATTATTACAGTATGGCAGAGCAGATGTGATAAGGATGTTGACCTCTCCCTCCTTAGGCAGTCTACCAAGCATCAGCAATGCGGTCTACATCCTCGAAAGAATACTTTACATTGTCTCTCCTGGGTTTGGAATCGACCGTAGAAGGCCCTCGGCCTCCCGGATCTTTTGAGGCATTGCAGCAGAGATGATGGAAAGCAGTGACGAAGAAAAATGCTCAGCAGTACGATGAAGCAGGGAGAAAGCAGTTGGGCTGAGCGAACTGGAGTGTTCTGAATGACTCAGCGTGTACAGGGCCGACGCGCTCAAGCAAAAATGTTGCCGCAATTACTAAGCGCCCGTTCTTTAGCTTGAATCCTCGGTGAACAGGTTACGTACACTACATAGACCGTTAGACTGACTAACGCTTTTCTTTCCCTAAAAATGTATTGATAATAAAGTACACGACACAGAAACCATGGGGCAATTGGCACAGTTGGTAGCGCGCACGCTTCGCATTTGAATCTGCGTGAGGTCCAGGGTTCGAATCCCTGATTGTCCATATTTTTTCTTCCAATCAATTTGCACGATCAGACGCGAAGTTGTGTTAGTTTTTGCGTGTCAGAAAATGCATCGGAATTGACAGTGTAAAAAAGTGCGGTGCTTAACGCCAAGACCCGTTACGCGCTTGTGGCGTGAGGTAGTCAGCCCGACAGTTGGCGGGACATTAACCTGTTGACTCGCATTGTCGGACTAGCGCATCTACAGCGAACAGTGATAGATTTTCGTAGGTACATGACAGTGAGTACTGCGTACGGTCGTGACGGGGTCATAACACGCGAAGAAAGTACTAGCAGTCAAAAGCAACCCAAACTAAGTCAAGAGCAAGGCTAAAGAGTGACGAACAGGTGAAAAGGAAGCACGATAAGCAATGGGATGAGACATGCAAATATATATATGCGTCAGACTCATGAAATCGAGCGTAACATAGACCTGACGGGTGTTGTGAAACCAAGAACGGATGAGACCTAAATATTTGCGGGGGGGGGGGAGTCCAGCCATGAAAAACAGTGAATGAAGATATAGGCACGCAGGTTACAAGCACCTGGTAGTACAGCATGGCAGCGGAGATGCCGCGTAAAAGCAAGGACAACAGCTTGACATGCATATTCCGTAGAAAGGTGAAAGATAGGCATTGAGACATTTTGCGTAGTTTCTTTGAAATGGTGAGATCCGGTCGACGTGCATAGCTGCATATGAAGGGGACACGTAAGAAGGACCAGCCCTTGGACTTTGGATGAGTGGATGAGTCGGGATGTTAGTAACCAAGCTGGAAGAACAACGATGTATGGGCAATTGAAGCTGCAGATTGTTCATTCGCGGGACGAATTGGAGGAGCTACTGTTGCGTCTGTTGCCTTGCCCAAAGATACCGCCATGAACTTGTGCCATACCACTGTCACGCTGAGCGGTACCGGTGGAGGCACGAGAACCCATGTGTGTCGCTCCGGCCACGCCACTCGGGTTGCTTATGTGTTCCGCGGTGGGAGACGCTTGGACGGGAGCGTCGCGATCGCCCATAGGATGAATAGCCGTCGCCGTCATAGAGCGGGTCATGCGTACAATGGAGGTGTCCACAACGGAGGGCGCTTCCTGGCCAGCAGAGGTGGGCATCAACGGAGCTGGCTGACTTGCTGATATCTCGCTCTGAGGAGGAACGGGTCCCCAGACAGGCTGCTGAGGCATACCCGCTTGAGCCATTCCGAACGTTGCCTGCCAGTTGTTGGACAACGAAGACTGGTTAAACGCGGTCTGACTGAAGGCAGTCTGAGCATAAGCACCAGCCTGGCGCGCGATATGCTCCTGGGCAGTCAGAGAGGCCGCAGGAGACGCCTGAACGGCTGGCGCAGCAGCAACAGGCGACGTCGTGCGGCGACCCTGGGAGCTTCCTTGAGTGACACTCATCGAAGACTGATACGGCGACTCCGCCCTGCGGGCACTCCTACGAGCGGTGGGACCAGTGCTCGTGCGTGCGTGTCCTTCCCCAACCGCATGGCCCTCGTTCCTCAGTTCGGGATCGATGTTAGCTTCCTCGGCATCTCCTTCAGGAGAGGCTGCTTTGCTGACGTCGGATGCGGGAGTCTGCGGCTGAGTCTGCGATTCCGACTGAGTGCCTTCGCCTTGATCATCCTCGTACGAACTGCTCGAGTTGGCCCGTGCAGCAGTTTCTTTCTCCCTGGCGCGTCGCTCGCGTTCGGCTTTCGTAGGCCTCTTGTTGCGTTTACGGGGACGCTTGTTACCCTCGCCGTTCGAATAGTCGACCATCCAATAGTAGCCCTTGCCCGGTTCCGTGGCCGGCTTGAACACTTTACGGAAGCACAAATTCAAGGACAGGTTGTGGCGTATGGAATTCTGACAGTGATCGTGATCAGTTAGATCGGAGAAAATGCCACGCAGATATTCGCGACGTACCTGCCATGACTTGTCATGAACGTTGTCCCTGAACCATTCAAACCTTTCCTGCAGCGCAGCGTAGATCTCCTGAAGCGTCAAGCGCTTCCTGGGGCTCCCAAAGATGGCGAGCTTGATCAACGTAGGAAGTGGATAGTTGGGTCTCTCACCCGGCGGTGGGTCAGGAAGAGCATAGAGGTTGACTTCCTCGTCAGGACCGAGTCCGAGAAGCTGTCGTAGGTGGGGGCTCGGATCCGGGATGTCCGGAATGTCCGGAACGTGCGAGTGGCTATCGAGTGGCTGCGAGTGGCTCATCCTAGATTGAGAGTAAGTTGGGCCAGAAATGACAGAGACCGGTACACGGCTATCAGGTAGGGCAGGACCACGCATGTTATAATAGATCGGCAGGCCTCCGGTAGGAGCAGGAATCGGGCTAGGTCCAGGACGCATGAAGGTAGGGACGGGCGGGGCAGTCGATGCGTCGAAAGTCATGACACGAGGATCGGTGTTGCCGACGGGATAGTTGTTCGTCCTAGGACGATAGTGAGACTGTCCCGTTATGTTTGGGGTCGATGTCGGGTACAAGACGTGCTCCATACCGACGCGACGTGCATTCGCATCGTACGCAGGGTAACGCACCCGGTCGAAAGCGGGTAAGACTATGGACTCCTGCACGCGTACGAAATTGCTCGCAGGCAATTCAGAGGCCGAATGCGAGTGCTCAGTGTCACTCGAGACCCACATCGGTGAACCTTCATCGCTTATGACGGTTATGCGCGCAGGCCCTCTGCTCTCTTGGCTAGCCACAGAGTCCGTGGGGCTGCTGCTACCGCTGCCACTCCTCTGCACGAGTTGCCAGCCAATCAGGTTAGTTGACGTGTGATCAGATAAGCGAGGAGGTAGGCCTACCTGAGGAGAGGGAGTTTGAGCAGCGGCTGAGGGCGAGAGTGCCTGAGAGTCGACAGAGCCTTGCTGAGACGCATCAAATCCACCTCCTTGAGCGACCCGAGCGGCCTCAAGGACCTCTGGAGGCACATATGGTGGGTCGGAAGCGTAAATCGTGGCGCTTTCGTTTGAGAGACGTCTAGGAGGGTGAAAAGGCTCGCTGTTGGCTCCAAAACGCGCGCTTGAGGCGTCGAAGCCTGGCTGAGGCTGCTGAACGTCCTGGGGATGCTCAGCAACGCTCCCGCTACTGGAAAAGCCAGACTCCGAGCCTGAGCTGTGTCGCCGATTTTGAGGTCCGGGATTGCTGCCAGAGGTCTGCAATGTCGGGATATTGGCGGTGGGGAACGCGGGGAGACGCCCTGCGGAAGCATCGGTGTCCATCTATGGCAATTGGACCCACAATGAAAAATAACCTTCAAGTCAACGTGAGAGATTAGAAACGGCATAAACGCTCGGACGAGTATACTGTTTTAAACGACTTTATCAGGGGTTATTAGCGTGAGGGATGCTTACTTGTTTGTGTGCGTTCGTGGGTCCGCAGGCTCTGGTCCACGAGGAGGCGAACCTTGTTCGACCTCAGTCCTGTGGCTCATCAATGTCTGACACCGCAGTCAAAGCCCCATTGTGGTAGAAGGCTTGGGCGCGTGCCCTTGAACGCGTCGTACGCAGGGGCACTAGGGCATGATGTGTGGCCATACGCGAGTGGCACCGCCGTCCCGCTATACCGTGTCCGGACCTGGAAAAACGCTATCCGCTCGTCAATTTTCGCGTACGCGGCAGAAATGCTGCACTGGTTACCGACGCTGATGCCATGCAGGCAAAGGTGAGTTTTGCTCCTCGCCAGCACCGTTGAACTTGATCAATAGCTTGATTAGGCAATAGCGCACGTCTCAGGATTTACTTCCGCTGGTTGATCGCGCTGTCAGAGCGGCGCGTACAATGAGTTTTTGCTGCCAGAGAATTGCAAATCGTGCGCACTGAAACATTGTTTGACCGTGCTGTTATCCAGAGAAGAGTTGTTTGTCAAACTCGCCCTTGTTCTTGTGCCAGCACCGGAGACGCCCAGTTTGGCGGACAATGCATTGCTCGACCTCGCGCTGCACGTGGCATTCTCTGACACACCCCTGCCTGCTTTTGCGATGCTCCATTCACGCCATTCTCGTCAAACTATATGCTTCCTACTTGCGGTCGGCCCCTCCTGCAAAAGCTCGATGGTCGTCTAAAGATTCCTGTCACGGCGCCTTTTCTCTTCATTCGCATGGAAAGCCGCCCTCGCCGCTCTTCCTGAAGATGGGATCATCAAATGCATCACCTACCATGTTCCATCAACGCACTCAAATTTTCTTTCGTCATCTCCTCTATCGCCGCTGTCCCAACCTCCTCAGCGCTAGCCTTTGTCCTGGATGTCAGCGTCACTCTGAGTTACGCACCTGCTCGAGCACATCCATTATGCTTGACTTTTTTCTCTACTGCTCCACTCGGCCATCGTCAGGTCTCCAACTGTTGAAACCTTCAAGTGCCTATCACTGGCACACCAGAGTAACGGAAACAGAAACAAGGATCGACCAACGTAGCGCGATCGGTTGCGACCGAACCATTCGGGCGTCTCAATTTTCCAGGCGTCAGAGCGTGGGTTGAACAAGGCTAGTTACATGGATCACGATACGGGATGCGAGCGAGGTCGAGCGTCATGCTACAGTTGACGTTCGTAGATCTAGCCAGTGGAGCGGCGTGTGTGTCTTTGGCAGCTAAGGACCCTTGTGCGAAGGGTGTCGCCGAGTAACACAGTAAGGATCCCGAATCGCGTACGTGATCCTGCCACGGTGTTAGCTTCACATGTGAAGTTTATTGTAACTGATCGCCGACTAGACCCGCCAGGCATGGGGACTTGACGCTTGCACGGTCGAATATGAGGTGCCCTTGGGATCGAGCAGACCCGATGGACCACAATCGGCAAGAAAGACGAGCCTGGTTAAAGAAAGGGCGTGATGCGATCACGGGATGGGTGCTGAACCAGCTTGGGCCACAACAACACATCGTAACGGTAGGCGCGCAGCTTCCTTACTGCACTCTTGCTCTCACCGTCCTTCTTCAGCTTCTCGCCTCCATCGCATGCTGTAAAAATGCTATGTGGTTCCACCCATCGTGTAATCATCTCGAGACCGTTCATGCCGTTCAATGGCTGGATCACATTCGGAATGCAACTTATTCTTCGACAATCCATCCGCACCCATGGCCAACACCGTCCCCATGCTTTATTTACGACGCTGCGCGTTATCTTCTGCCGGCCATCCTCTCACATTCGGCAAAACTACGTGATTCCAGGAAGGACAAAATTCGCGCGCCTACAAGATGGTTCGCTGATGAAGTACAGAGGAGTGTCTCCTTCGCCTGACTTTCTGCAGCTACCATCTGCTGCGGGTGTCTCTATCCTTTCTGCCGTCTGTCTCATAGTATCCTCAGTTGGGAGCGTGGCGATGATGGTGAGCCCGCTTTTCTAATCGCACTGCGACATCATGGGCGCCATGCCACAACTGATTATGCTCAGATTCAGTCTCGCTTACTGAGGAAGACAGTTATTCCTTGATACTTTCAAGTGACACGTCAATAAATGTGGAACGTGATTTGTGGCCCATGCCTAAGTTCAAAAGGCGTCCCCTTCCTGTGATTCATTCCGTGGCATTTCTTTCCAATGGTCTTCGTATGCTCCGCGATCTAGCATGGCCTCCGTCAGCTTTTGACGGAATGGGTGTCTGGGCACAGGGACAAGGTGGGTCTCAATATCTCTGACCACAGCAAGAAACTGAGCTATTTCTGCTGTGCTCGAAAGCCTGCTGTGTGGTTCTATCGATCGGTTGGATGAGCTAGCAACTTGCGGCACGTGCGTCCAAAGCCCAAGATCCTGGTGCAAAGTAATCTTACATGCGGCGACATCCTAGCGTAGAGGTCGTCTCAGCCAATGCCACTACGCCCGACAGCAGATTCCAGCGCTCAATTTCCGTAAATTTCACCACAGGTACTTGTGACACTTCACTTCTATCCTTTCGATCTGCCCCGCTCACGAAATCCAATGTCTGGCCCTAAAATCATCAATAATATCCTTGGTCGACTCTTCGATCGAGCGATACTTTATCCCGAGCAATCTGGCCGCTTTGGATGTGTCATACATGACGTGGTGCGTCGCCGTCTTGATGTTGTAAGAGGTGTCGCCCTCGGATATGTTGGCGCCGTACTTGCGGGCTGCGTTCACTGACGAACGATATGTCAGGCTGACATATGCCAGGAGGATGCATCTGTGAATGTATTCACCGAAATCCTGCCACATGGACACGCCCTCGGATACGATGATACGTTCGCCGCCTGCTGCTTCTTTTTGGAGAGCAAGCAAGTGTGCGTTAGCCAAGTCGCGCACGTCGATCCATGGCCATCTATGCACCAGTATCAGTGTCCAGTAAAGCGCAGAACACCACTATACACTCACCCTATGGTGGAAAGCTGCTTCGCATCCAGTGACCCCTTGAGCACGCTATCAAACCAGTCGAGCATGCTCCCGTTCAGCGCCTCCGGCGCGCCGACCTCTTGAATAACCGGTCCAAACACGTACGGTGGGTTCAGCACGACGAGGTCCCACCCAATGGCGCCCTTGTCCTTCTCGACAAACTCCCATGCCGCGCGCTCTGCAAGCGTCTTGCTTGCGCGATACTTCGCGGCCGGGCTCGCCCCGCGCCCCTTCTCTCTCACCTCGTTGACCGCGGCGTCGTTCCAGTCGAGCTCGGAGAAGGTGCGCGGCGTGTCTTGTTGCTGCATCACGGACGCGACGGAGGACGTCACGACGACGCGCTTCACGGTGGTCCCGTACGCGAGCGCGGACTCGAGTATGCGGGTCGTGCCCTTCACCGCAGGCACGATGAGCTCGTCCGGGTCATCGGACTTGAAGTGGAAGGGGGACGCAAGGTGCGCGATTGCATCGACACCCTTCACAGCCTCGTCGAATGCTCCTTCCTACAGAAAAACCAAAGCAAGTGAGCCTTAAGGGGTGCCTGCGTGATTATCCAAAGAGACGTACCTTGGTGATGTCCTCGACGATCACAATTTCCAGTTTGTTGCCATACGAGGCGAACACCTGTCGGGGGTGCTTCGCCTTGCCCTCGGAGCGCACGGTCCCACGGACAGAGTATCCCGCGTGCAACAACGTGCGCACCACCCACATAGCGATGAAGCCATTGGCCCCGGTGACGAGGACTTTGCCTGAAGTGACTGCTGGCATGATGATCCACACGTATTGGAGAGGGTTGGAGGACGATCAAGTGAGCGGAAGACACGGGCACCCTTTCACGCCGGGGTGTCTTATATTCGCTGGACGACATGATTGTACCCACAACGATCTCCGGTGTTTTATAAGCCATATCACCGTCAGTGTGGGCCGGGTCACTACCAGAAGCCGAGATGACAATCGGCGGTGTCGATTCGATCTCGGCTACAAGCGGACGCAAGAACCATGACAAACTTTAAGAGACCTCGCCACTCAAGAGAGCTGAAAGCAATGCGTTAGGCAATACAGTAACGCGAGCGTCATCAGACGCAAAATAAAATAAAGACCTCACTAGATAAACCTCACCTACCCGGCCAATCTTACCTGCAGAGGTGACCGACCAGCTGGGACCTGATCGCGTTTGTGGTCGGTCCCTTTCCGGCCAAGGGGTAGTAGGTTCGCACGACCAGCGGACAAGCGGATGTGGCATCGGGCGACCGGTGCCATGCAATTGCAACTTGGTCTATGGCGCTTTGGCGATAGTTGGACAGAGTGGTCCACTGTCGGAATTCGAAACACTTCTTCGCCCTCAACCACGATCGGCAACGCTGGCTAATTCAACAATCATTGCTTCTTATGATATAAATCGGTGAGTAATATCCGCGTCATGCTCAGGATGCTGAATATAAGCCTCCAGCTGAATCTATGGGCTGAATTTCGAGTGTAGTGCAGGTTGCATGGCCGTTCAATTAAGGCGGATTTGTACATCATGTTGCGATCAGCATTCGTCGGTGAGCCAGTGAACTTCTCGCTTCATTATGTAATGTCTAACGGCCTCTGGCATAGTGCGGAACAGCCTTCGGCCGATTATTCAGTGGTGCAGGCTTCGACGGTCAACATGTTCGTCGGGTCGCTGTGCCAGATGGGGTATGAATGTCTACGACAGGCTCTTTATGTAGTGCTGTATGTTATATTTTCGTGAATATTTGCGATTTTCTGGGAACTTCTATATATTTTGTTCTGCAATCCAGTAAAAATGCTGGCCAAAACTAGCCAGAAGCGACCATGGAATCCCTCCCGAACATCGCGCTAGGTCAATACATCGCGGCTATCACCTGGAGTCGGCGTTAGATGCGATCCGGTCTGTCTTCCACATTTCTTCCAGTGACAACTGTGGGTGAGATTTGGGCGGAAGCTGGTCCCTCAGCGGCCACATCTCTGGGCCCGGGTGAGATTCAGCCCCTACATGCAGTGCGGGGACATGTCCTCGTGGCAAGACGGTCACTTGACTTAGCGCTCAAGCGCTGACGCGGGACGCGTCGAGACGCGTCTGTGGCGCCGCCCGCCGTCTGCATTGATTTTGCCTCGCCATAACTTCGTGCAAATTATCCGCTGATATATGACTCTGTACAGTATACATGATCTTCTTGAGTGCTTGAGCTCCGTCAATTTTATCAAATTGGGCCCATGGCTTGACATCCACCTCTCATACATTCTGGCTGTGACTCATAGATGTGCGCTTTCCAGCCAATGTATATGATGGATGCTCACGTAGGCTACTAGTACATGCTCGACGTGCTCAGCAGCTCTTTGTCCTACTAGACGTGAGTTGTCCGAGTGACGTGACCTTCCTGTAATCCTTATTGACGCACGCATGAGCTACGCTTTTGGCGATTAACACAGCACGAGATCAAATGGGAACGTGGAGGAAAGGCATCTGCCAAGGGTTTCCTCGCGTATTCTAAGGCGAGCACATCATCTGACCTAACCCGCCTATACCGGCTTGTGGAAGGCTCGCGGCGTTGCCCTCCTCCATTGAGTCATGCAAAAGAGGACGATGTCTCCGTTCAGCTCCGTTCGCAGAAATGTCATGCATCATGCTAAAGTCTATCCGAAGGGAGATCGTGGCTGTTGACAGATGTCCCGTAATCCGGGATGCTGGAAAATGTGTTTCAGCCTCGAACAAGCGAGCACCGAGAGCAAAGTAGCACTCGAGCGAAGGTCACGGCAGCAGTGGATCGTGCATGAATGTCCGTTAAGTTGCAGGACTGGCCGCAGAAGCTTGGGACGGTGTTCATGGACTCCGTTTCATGAAGGTGAGCAAAGGGTGGGACGTCGCAATCATGGTGGCTCAAAGTCAAGCAGACTTGGTAGTAATGACATGGACCGTGTTGGTAGCTACAGCACCCTTGGTGAGAGAAAAACGAATATTCATAGCATATAGTGCAGCTGGACGGAGAGGCGCAAATGAGAGTCAAATTGACGCTGTACTTTGCTCACAACTACTCATGAATGCAGGTGCTCTTTCCTCTTCGGCTTATCTGCTGACACAGCTATCGAGCGCGTCTGCATGCTCTCACCAGCCGTGCTTATAGGCGAAGCTCTCCATGCTGCGCGTCCGAACTTCTGCTGACTACTTATTCACCAGTCGCTCCAAAGTTGCGTATACATTTTGATAAGACGGAACATTGCGCACACATACCGCGTCAAAGGCCCCCATGATACCCACCGTATCATATCCGATGTATGTGCCTACTCGTCGACAGAGAACCTCTCCCACCCCTGGCTTTTCTGTGATACCACATGAAGGGGTCCTCCGATGGGTCGACAGAATTTCGCCAAGGCCATATAACTCCCAATGCGTCCGAACGAAGTCTTGCCATAATGTTACTCATTGGTCCCAGGGATGCCGACCGGGGAGGTTGCGGAGTGCCGCACGACGTCTTATCACGCAAAATCAGCGAGAACACACGGATGGATCCCGTCATAATCGCACCTAATTCGAGCACAATACCATGCAGTAGCCGACGGGCAATAGGTTCGACGCACGGCATTTCGCCTGCTTCCAGGACAGAACTTGAGGCTGTCAATCAGGCTTTTCTCGCCGAAAGCTATCGGTCGTGCTGTCGGTACAGAACAGATGTGCTCACCCTCTTATCTGCCACTGACACACTCTAGCGCCGTCGTGCTTCCATCTGTTGTACCGTCGTCGGTAGCATATCCAATATATCCTTTGCCTTCTGGCTCGCGCTGTCAGCGTCGTGGCGGTCGAGGTAAGGACGGAACGCCTTCTCGATGAGCATCGCCAGCCGGACGTCCCGCAATGTCACTCCTGGAACATTCTTCCTGGATTGTGCGCTGTCGGACACAGCGCGTGGCCGTGCAGAGTGCGTGTGCGTCCTGACACTAATTACACCTTGAGTAATCACTAGAGTCGCGTGATGCTGTATCGTTACATTTGAGACACGATAGAGGCTAACGTGTTGGATGAATGTACATACATCTTCTTTAATTTGGATTTCATTGATATCTCGCACGAACTGCATCGCCAGTGAGCGATGCTGTTTGGTGAAACGGAAGCGCTTCACGAGTTCCGGAGCAGCACGCGGAAATGACTCGAACTTGACATCCCGTGAGCTGCCCACATACCATCCGCAGGAGTACAAGGGCTCCAGGTATTCTACAATCTCCACGTCGTCGAGATATGGACAAGGATATGGAGGTGTCTCTGGTAACGACGGCAGCTCGACCGCCGACCGATCGGTGTCACCCATGTGCTGCAGATCCGCTATAGCTGCCTTCTGTGCAGTTCCAGAAGTCCCCAGGGTGTTTTCGGGCTTCTTGACAACCAAGGCTGAATCAATGTTGATTGAAGTGTCGGGCGCAGAGCCTTGTTCGACATTTCTGCCCAGCTGAGAGACGAACCGAGTAGCGCCCGATGTAATGCACACCGCTGGCCGGGAGCCCATCCGCAAGATATTTGAGCGCACTGTGACCTTGATACTCGGAACCCGCGACCTAGTGAGGGATATGGCTGCCATTGTAGCTCAAGGACGGGGAGGAGAGCGGTCAGGAGCGCAATATTGGACAATGATAATTGTCCCAGGAAGTTGGCAGTTGATCACAGGGTCGCCCGGATCGATATCTCGCTTGCACCGTCACCGTCACCAGCTGCAGCTCCGACGGTCAGATCTCGTTTGGCAGTGATCTCCCATCTCGCTCAAAGACTAGACGAACACTCTTCAAAGTCCGAGCAACAAAAGAAACTGTTTGAGATATGCAACGATGGCGGGAAGCCGATATGAATACGTGAAGAAGTTTGAGCTGCCCGACCCCCTTTTGCCTGGGACATTCATGGTCTTGCGCGTTGACGGGCATGCATTTCACCGGTGAGCTCTGTTCTTTCGCTGATCGCTCTGGTGTTCATAGTATGGGCAGGCTATCCTCTGATCATGACTTCATTAAGCCAAATGACGAACGTGCTCTACAGCTTATGGATCGTGCAGCGCGAGATGTCATGAATCAATTTAAGGAAATTGTGCTTGCATTTGGCGAATCGGACGAGTACAGGTAAGTGTTATCTGAACCAGCTTCTTGCCCAGCTTGTTTTGACTGGATCGCGTTGTAGCTTCCTATTTCGCAGAAATACGGTTGTGTACAGTCGCCGCCAGTCTAAAATACTCACTAACGTCACCTCACTGTTCACGTCTTCTTATGTTTTCAACTGGTCGCAATACCTTCCAAACACTGCGCTGAAGTATCCTCCTTCATTCGATGGCCGAATAGTGCTCTACCCTTCTGTAAAGGAGATCCGAGATTATTTCGCATGGCGACAGGCAGACAGTGCGTCCAGTTCATGCGTTAATGATTGCTCTTGCTGGACCGGGCTGACATGCAGCTTAAAGCTCACATTAACAATCTGTACAACACCATATTCTGGGCATTGGTACTTGAGGGTGGTGAGACTACTGCTCAGGCACACGCCACTCTAAAGGTTTGTCTCTTCAGCCCTCGTTAGCACCGCGTTTTTGATCTCTGTGCCTTAGGGAACCAGTTCGAGTGTGAAGCACGAAATGTTGCATTCGAAATTCGGCATAAACTACAACACGCTCCCGGAGAGATATAGGAAGGGAAGCATCCTGGTCCGAGAGGAGGTTAGTGGCTGCTGGGCTTCCTAAAGAACAATCCTCTAACGCCGTGCACTCCTGCTTCTGCCCAGGTACTTCAAGAAGCGGTGCTGCTTCAGGGAAACGAAGCGACAGGCGATCAGAGTGATGGTGCTGCGAGACGAAAATCCCAAACCAAGGTAAAAGTCAGAACCACTGTAGAGCTCCTACACTGTGATATCATCGGCGACGAGTTCTGGGACAAGCGGCCTAATCTACTTCTTTACTAATGTCGCAGTCGTTGCCCACTGCGCTTGGTGAGATCGCGTGAAAGGAAACGAGGTTCCCTGCAAATGCCATCAGACTGCGACTGCGGTTCACGTCAGAGTTTATGGCATGTAAAGTTCAGGTCCACGACTGAACCCATTACTTCCGTTTCGGTCCTCAGACAAGATTTGAGTCAGGTGGGAACGTCTGCGTGAGACCCTGAACAATATTTATGGTCGTGTTCTCAAAGTGCGGCGGGTATCATTGACATGTCTGTGATCCGAGGAACACAAAAAGAACATCAATTGAACCGATGAATTGGCTAGTGGCCGTGCTTTCTGGAAACAGCAGCAGGTGGTGTTTGCCGCGGATGCCCCGCGTTGTGTCCAGCTCTGCCCACTATCCGTTTTGTAGCCTCCAACTTCTGCGACCTGCTATTACATGCAAGCTCGCCTACCATCCAATGGTCGACATCGTGCTATCCATCGACGTTTTGCAAAGCGCGCTGCCGCGCGGATTCAGCATGCGTCGTTAAATTTGCATGCAGGTTCTAGCTCTCCAGGGCAGGTACGCTCGTGTCCAGGAACAGCTGGCATGCATTGTCTCCGCCGGAACGTCCGCAGCTAGCTAGCCCCTCGAGGTTGGCGGGAAAATGAGAGCCGTCGACGGGGTCTCGCTCACCGACCGCAGTCGTCGTGTGACAGCTGAGACAATCGCTGTGAAGCCCCGCTTCCTTGCGGCCCGCCATTCCTCACTCCTGAACCTCATGCAGAGATGTCGAAATGCCAGCAAGCGGCTCTTGTGTTTCAGGGTGCCAACCATCGACCGCGAACTGAATGGCGAACCATAGATCGACGGTCCACTGATACACGAGGCTAGCTGTCGCATCGAGAAGCAGTCCTCATGTCGTCGGCTGCTGTAGTCGCGCCTAGCTAGGTCCGATGTAGTATTGTTCATATGTCCCGGACCACGGAGGCTCAGTGTCTGCATGATTTATCTAGTCAGTTGTGTACACTTCATCCTCCGCAAATGCGGTTGGGTCTGCATACGGAATCTTGTCACTCTTCACTCTGCGTGAAGCCTGGAGCATGGCGCATGGAGCGGACCCAGGGCGGTCAGGCATGGACAGAGTCCTTGGGAGATGATGGTGGTTACCATATGAGGGAAGCGGCAGTGACTCGCCTGTGCATTCCCCGCCCCGACTCTTCACAGATCACACGCCCCCTTAGGCTCCGACGCCCGTCCGACAGCCTTGCCTCCGTACCACCACCATCTCCTCTCGCCAGCGCTCGTGCACTGTGATCACAACGACGAACATTATGAGCAACACAACGGCCACGACGACCTCGGCCTATCCTGAATATTTCCGGCGACGGATCGGACGAGCGCCTTCGCCTCCCACATGGGCATGCTACGAGCAGATCCCATATGGTGACGATTATAGTGACAGCGGATCAGAGGAGGACTCCTGCTCTGAGGACGAAGAGGACTACGGTCGAGCCGTCCACCATGGGAGCGATGACTCGGACGGCGAGCATGCCGCCGTGCACGAGAACGAGAAGTCTCCCCCACCAACAGACGGCGATCCGGGCATTGATGACGGCGACCGTCTCATGTCAGCGCAGAAGCTAGCGGAGCGCAAGAAGGACGTGAAAGGGAAGCAGCGCGCCACTGAACCTGAGCATGAGAGTCCCAAGAGGGAGACCCGCAGGAAACACCGCCAGCCGGTGTTCACTCTGCGGCCGATTCTAACTATCCAGAGAAGCCAAGGTTTCGTCTGGAACCAGGTGAGATGCATGCAGAAGTGCCGGGATGTGTTTGTGATGCTGACATGATGGTATCCTTGCCAGGACTTGTTTGTCCCACCGTATATCAAAGACAGATGTTCGTTCAGCTAAATTCTACTCTTGTTGCGATTGCTCATCTTTTTGCCCGTTCGTTCCTCATGGCGTACGTGTGAACTGACGGAACGGCTTGTAGATGTTACCTCCACTTCTCCGAACGCCTCCGGGTTCGTGTCGTCATCCGTGTCGTCCACGAAGATGGATTACGAGGTTGAAGTTGTCGAGATTCGTGTGAAGGAGGGCGAGCTGAACGATATCATTCCCTAAGTATTATAGCAGTTACTCATGATGATGTGGCAGTTTCACTGATCTCCTGTCGCCTCGGTCATAGAAGACCCTATTTGTATCTCATCCAGACCATATACCTACTACTCTGTATCTGCAAACACACATTCCGTAACCTTTGTCCATAATGTTATCTATCTCTTTGAGATACCCGTAGCTAGCCATGGGTTTCTTCTCCCATCACGACGACATGCCGTATCAAACTGTCGCCAGCAAGGCATCCTCCACTTCTCGCATTCTGGCGGCCTCTTTCTCTCGCTCCCGTTCCTTTTCCCTCACGGCCTCCGCCTCCCTTGTGATCTTGTAGGATGGCGTCACATACGGTGTGTAGTCCAAGTGTCGTTTGACATAGAAACACATATACACCTGAGATCGTGAGCTGAGGCATTCACCGAGACTTGAGTGCGTGACTCTGGAGCGAGGGCCGGTCAGCAAGCAAGATAGGTCTGACTAACGTGCACATCGATCTCACTTATCGTCGTCGAATCTGTACCACTGTTCCATTGATGAGAATGGTCAGAAAGCTCTCACACAAACAGCCAAAGAATACCTCATCCTGAGAACGCGCAAAGCACGTGTAATGGCCATTGTTGATCTGACCTTCGTGGCATACCACGGAGAACAGGTCATATTCGTACATGGCCCTGAGCCCAGGAAGTTTATGTCAACATTCCAGGAGCAGATGTCATTGTCAGCGGATCTGTGCGGGCTGAACAGCGCATGCGGCTACCCACGGAGTTAACACGGAACTCGTCTTTCCGTCATCCCTGCTTTCTTGACTCCGCACATCCATTGCGAGCGTAGTGTACGGGCCCATGTTGATGTTAGAAGGAAATCGAACCGGTGATTCAATCTTATGGGCCGCGGACTTGTCTGCAGACTTGTGTTCGAACCGCTAATCCAGGGTAAACGGGATATGTAGGATCTGAAGAATGCATATTTGCTCACCTTGAACTGGAAGCTCAGAACCGGCGGGAGCTTTCGGATGCTGAGCCGTTTATTTGCATCCTACACGGAGAATCAACACGGAATAATGAGGGGATACCTATAAATATAACAAACATGGGAAGCTTTCCCACATTTAGCGCAACTGTACTCGTTCGAGCCTAGCTTTTCCGGCTGAGTGAATCTGCTGAATCGTGAAAGAAGAATCTTGACGATCACAACGAGAGTGCTTACTTCCTGAGACATGAAGCAAGGGTTAGCTCCTGTCCGGTTGGCTCGTTGCCCATTTCTGGCAAATCTAGGCTGATGTCCAGCATCGGATCGGCGGCCGTGGTGATGTTTCCACACCGCTCACATTTGACGTCGCTCTGAAGCAGACCCGCAAATGTGGAGTGAACAATGCAAATACATTGGAATTTCGTTGAGCCACGAGATGTCGAATGAATGTTGTTTAAGGCGGAAATGAAGAACTCGTGGGCATCTTGTTGCGCATAGCCAGACAACTCCGACGATGCGCGCCACGTCGTCGCAAGGAAGCTGGTAGGCCCATATGGAGAGGTGTTCTCCGAGTAAATCTGGCGAAAATGACTCAAGGGTCAGTAAGTACGTACACCGGATAGACCAGATGGAGCACGGATGGAGCACCAACCTCTCCAAAAAGCTTATCCATTTCGCAGCACGTACAGTCTTTGTTCTTGCATAGGTGATGGTTGTGCTTATCGCTGAGAAAGTGGTCGCGCAGTAGCGGATTCATAACGAAAGATTGCAATATGGCATTGAGGAAGCAAGTTTGCCCAAGATTCAGAAGGCCTCTTCGACCTTGGTTTCCATGAACACCGCCTATGGTCAGCTAGGAGCTTCTAGAGCCGGACAGCCCGAGATAGACCTGCTGACCTAGGCATGGAATAGCGATGGCATCTTCAAGCAGTGCCGCTTCCTTCGCGTTGGGCGACCAGGGTCGGAAAGGCTCGCGGTTCTTTTTCGCATCTGAAGGTCATATGAGACTAAGTGCGCAGCAATTCCTTGATGCTTACCCGGAAAGGATGTGCTTTTCTCTTCTGCAGCGCGCATAGCGGAGACAAACGCCCCATACAGAGCATCATCGTATACGAAATCATCACACGCGCTGCAGAATACACTCCCGGTCCTGGCATCAGCACCTATAGGCCGTAGTTTTTCGTGAGCCCTCGAATATCCACGAAACCGAGGTCAAACATGATAGTGGGGCCCAGGGTGACAGCTCAACCCCGATGATGGCATAGTGATCCACATACGAACAGTAGTTATGGACAGACTCCTGGAGATGCTCCTTGACATGGCCATTGTTCCAACATCCAGAGAACGAGCAATGCAGACACGCAAATGGGCGTGACAGAGTGAGGTCGCATTTGCTGCATATCAGCGACCCTATCTATTTCCATAAACTCATTGTTCCTGATGGTGCATGTTATGAAATGCACACACACCTTTCGCCTTTTCGCTGAGCACAGAATGCTTCTGGATCGCTTCACATTCCAATTCCCGATGACAGCGAGCTTGCGAGACACCGTCTCAAATTCTGCGGGAGAGGAAGGGATATGAGGACAACCCCGGCTGATGATGCTCCCGTGCGATAGATCGGGTGCCATCGGGTACGTCCTGCCCCTACGCGTTCAAGTGAATATTCTGGAGTTCACTTGGGATTAGGTAGTGCCCAGGCCGGTGAAGCAGTGCGTGCACCACATTGAGCTGAATTGTGGCAACTTGAACCCCAGCGCCAATCAAGTCAAGATTCAAGATTTACCAGATGCGATATACACGTGACCTACTTTCCTTATATGACAAGTGTGTTCGAACTTCGAAGTTCACTCGAGAGTCGTTCAAGCAACTTTCAATGTCGTAGCCTGGAAAGATTGACATGAGGAATGCCTTGGGCGTTTGCTGGACATATTTGTGCTCCTTATTCAGGAAATTCAGTGCTACCGCTCGAATCTGACGACCCTTTCAATCGCAGCGGGAATCAAGACGGGTGCATCTTTTGCCGTGTATCGCTCGATACTGGCTTCGACATTGTTTGGGAGGTCCGTAGCGTATTCGCCTGTATTCGCACCTGCTCGACGCTTACTCATGTTTTGCAACTTCTAGGATGAAGAGTTCGTGGTATTTCGGGATCGTGAACCAGCGTCCCGCCCACCACCTGCTTGTCTCCCCTCGGCAACACATTGGTGAGTGATCGCTTGCGCTTTCCTTTGTGCTCACTAATACTTCTTCCATAATCAGATAGTGTGAAGTCGCTGTCGAAAGCTGATGCCAGCCTGGGTGAGCGGACAGTTTTATCTCACTGGTTCCAGCATGCTGAAGCGTCTCGGTCTCACAGTGAGACACATGGCTCAAATAAGTCATCGGCTCTTGGATGACCTACATGTCCCGGTGCATGATCGCCGGTTAGCGTTGGCAATAATATCTCTCTTATGCAGCTGACTTGTGCACCGTTAGTCTCGGGTTTCATATACCCCTTTTCTACTCAGTCTCGCACCTCCATTTGCATGTGCAAGGTCTATCATATCGCTCCATGATGTGCTCCTTGAAATATCCTATTTGTAGCGGCGAAAAACATCACTCGAAAGGTTTGAGTTGGTTTGTTGAGGCTGAACAAGCAGTTGAAATTTTAGAACAGGGTGGCAGAGTCGGGGTTCTGCCTTGCTAAATGAAAAGAATGAAAATTTCGAGACCAATTGTGAGGTCTGTTACGTAGTAACGTCTACTCTCCCACTTGGAGCCTTGCCTCTGCAGCCAAATTACACCTTGCAGACGCGCGTGGTATCCTCATCTTGGTGAGATTTTGTCTTCCCATAGTCGCACAATTGTTCATCACATGGTAACCTGTGGTGCATGCATATCTGCCAATAATAACGCTCTTGCCTATAGGTTGGAATTTGCGCATGTGAATCCACGACTTCAATCCGGTACGCGAGCCGCAGTCGGAGCCTGAGGCGACATCTGCGCAAGACGATGGCTCACGTGCCCACTTACGCTTTGGATTATTTATGTTCCCAAGCCTTCCGAAGGGATTTAATTTGGATTATACTCGAGAAAGTTGTTTTTACAACGCCTGCCGTATCCGATTGTTTCAGCTGCACTATAATTGGTGCATCTCTTCTCAAATCGTCTCAGGAGGGCTGACCTCTACGGTATCATATACCCGTCTCAATTCATGTCCGGCAGCGGGGACGGTTCAGGTGAGATTCGGCATATCGTAACTTACTGCATTAATTCACACCTGCAGCACCTCAGGAAGCATCTTCTCAGCGACTCATCATGGTGTTTCCATATATAGCTCGGTCATAGACCATTTGTGGCGGTACGACACCGAACTTCTAGTATTCGAGCACATCCTGCTGACCTCGCTGGTCCGTCGAACTGGGCATATGCGCATTCATTCACACCATCTCACCGGAATGGGACTGCTATCCTCCGGAAAGAACGCTATGCTTGTACAGATGCCGGTCACACCACGAATACTGAAATCCGTTTTTTTTCGCATTTCTAGCTGCTTGCCAGCACCAAAAAAAAGACCGTAAGTCCGGGAAAGTTTCAGAATCTCCTTGTTTTCGGCTTTTCCTGATTTCAACATTCTTGCCCAGTTGTCAGCGAGAAGTGTGGGGCTCGTACAAGCCAATCTTACTGCGACCAAGTCAAAAAAAAGAGGTTCTCAAGCCACAGCACGGTTTGCCTTGCACGATGCGTTTCTATTATCGTGTCTGCTCTCTGCGTTCAGTGAGCCGTGGGGAAAGGGGAACACGCTGCTGTCAACTGAACAGAGGTACATGTTTCTGTGTACGAAATCCTCACAGTTGGCATAGGATCCGAGTGCGCAATAAGATGGTCTGATCGTAGGTTACCGCGTTTCACGAACAGGCCATAAGGCTCACTCTGTACATGATAGTCAAAGTCCATGCAGATTGCACTCGCAGCCATGCTAGGCATTCACGTTCTCGCGAGTAGTGAAAACCGCGAAAGCGTTCGCTTCACACGAATACCGATGGAACTTTTCGCCCTCTTCTCCGGCTCCGTAAAGGATGACATTCTGGGGGACTGCATGCACGTGTTCACCTGTAAAGGATGATGAATCCAACTGGGAATGTTTCCTACTTCGTCATCCAGTCACAACAAGCGGTCGAAATTAGAATGTTTTGGCCACACTATTCTTGGAATTTCTTTGGAAAAGATGCAAGCGAATGCACCTTGCCGGCCTTCAAAAAGCCGTCTCTTGAAGCCGATTATTATCGGCTCAGGCTCATCGTGGAGAAGAGTAATTCTCGCATCATCGGTGTGTACGTACTTCGCATGGTGAGGAACATGTGCTGCGAGAGTAACAACTCTCACCGCTCCCAACGTATGCCAGTCGGCTTGTTCACTGCTCATTTGAACAGTCGGCACCTGGTGCACCGACTTTCCGCTACGGGATCGAACCGCGTCGCAATTGCCGTCTGACACTTTTCTATTCTCAGCAGCTGAAGACCCATGTCCCACCGACCCTTAACGACTTTACGAGAAGTCAACCACGCCGCATCTCATGACATGTGCTATGGACCGGAAATGCTACGACATGCGTGCGATCTCAACATCATAATTAGTTCATCCAGTCTTGTAGCGGCCGAATTATGGACGGCAAACCATCGCAAAATAAGTTCTGCTGCTGCTAGGAGGCGGCCGAGGCGTTCCACATAGTGGTGCATGTACCATGGGCATTTGATCGCCACGTGGATCTCTCATATACATCGATCTCCTCAGATCTCTGTACCAGTGAAGATTGAAATGCGTGGCATACAGGATGATTACCATCATCGTGGGTAACGTTCAAAGATGCAAAATTCACATAGCGTGTACAGTTTGCAGTCTCACGGATCACTCAAGTCTGCGAATATTGGTGTCAAAGCAAGAACCCCCGAAGAATCTCGCCAGTTCTAGAAGACCTGTCGATCTCTGGAGTAAGATTCACGTTGAAGTCCGCTTTAGCCGTGCGTGCGTTATTTTCGAGGTACAAGCTCTTGCTGACAATTTTCCTCAACGAAATTACGCACTCAGGGCTGCAACGCTCCGAGACCATACCGAGGTAAAAGAGGATTATGACTCTTTCTATTTAAACCTCTGCGTTATCGAGCAAGCACCAGGCCTCCCGCATTCGCATTCGCTATGGCTAAGCTCCTCACTTCCGTGCTCTGTGCCATTCTGCTGTCTGCAGCGGCCAACGCTGCTCCAGCGGGCCATCTGGGTGCATCCGCTAGTGCCACTGCATCTGCGAGTGCAGAGGCCTCCACCGGAGCAGCAGCGTCTGGAACCATCTCCGCTCTCCCTGAGCAAGTAACGGTAGCGCATGCCAGCGACGACCCGAATTCTGTACTGTGGAACGTCACCGTGGCAGATCCTCCGACAAACAGCGAAGCAGAGCCCTACCAACCGATACGAGGCTCACTTGGTGCTACTATCATTGCTCAACAAAATCCAGCACTGCAGCAGATGAACCCCGACCTGTTGGCTGGTCCCACTACCGACAATGGTGATGTGTAAGCTGTCCATGTCAGCTGCCGGTTACCGCACTGATAGTTTGCACTTACCTAGCCCGAACTTGAAGTGGCCATTCAGTATGAGCAACAACCGATTACAAACCGGCGGTTGGGCCAGACAGCAGAATGGTATCTTCACCGTACTAGACATGCGTTGAATGATGTCCGATTTTCTTTTGATTTTGCAGTGGACCAAATGCCTATTGCGACTTGTGAGTTTACCCATGGATACTGCGAATGCAGTTTCTCACCCACTTCAAGCAATGGCCGGGGTTGACATGCGCCTTGAGGCTGGGGCTATACGGTGAGGCCACTGCTGTCCGTGTTTCGCTCATGACATCTTCATTGAAACTGTTCTATAGTGAACTGCACTGGCATCAGACAGCTGAAGTGAGTATCCAGACGCTAGTAACGACAGATAACTGAATCTTTCGGTTAGTGGGCTTACGTGCTTAGTGTATGTCCACTTCGTTACGCAAGCGTTTCCTTCGTTGACCACCGCTATAGGGATATATGCAAGTGACGGCAGTGGACGAGAATGGAAGGAACTTCTTGAGCACAGTAGTATGTACCACTTCATCTGCATGTCGACATTTCCCTTATCCGCGCGTCTTCTTAGGGACCCGGTGATCTTTGGTACTTTCCTCCTGGTATTCCCCACAGTTTGCAAGCGACAAATCAAACCGCAGAAGGAGCAGAATTCCTCCTTGTAAGTGTTTATTACCGTTTCCTGCTACTCCTTACTCACCAATGGATAGGTCTTCAACAGTGGCGACTTCAGCGAGGATTCTACTTTCTTGGTAGGGATGCAAAAGTTGTTGTCGCATCCTGTCGCTCAGGCTCCTACAGTTGACAGACTGGCTGGCGCATACCCCCAAAGAAGTATTAGCAAAGAATTTCGGTACAACGATCTCCGCCTTCGACAATATCCCTGCAGAGCAGCTTTACATCTTTCCCGGAGGTGCGTGACTTGCTTAGGAATGAATGAAATCCATGACTGACGGGTTATGTATAGCTCCTCCCTCGCCTGACGCGGCCGCTCCTGAGGACCCCCAGGGCCAAGCTCCTCTCTCATACACGTACAAGCTCTCCGAAGTCACTCCAACAGAATACGCCGGCGGATTCGTGAGGAATGCTGATGCGAACACGTTCAACGTTTCCACGGGGATTTCTGTTTCTGACGTGACGGTACAACCTGGTGGCATGAGGTTCGTATAATGGTCCTGTTCACGTACGGCAACTGATACCTGCGTGTGCCGTTCTGTAGGGAGATGCACGTGAGTAACGAAAGCAGAGCATGGCATCAACGCGACTGAACTTGTTGCAGTGGCATCCGACACAGAACGAGTGGACCTACTATATGTGCGTCAATTTTCGAATCAGTCACGATAGAGTTTATCTGTCTCCATAGTTCTGGCAGCGCGCGCGTGACTGTATTTGCATCGTCAAGCACTGCGAGGACGTGGAACTATGAGGTAAGCATGCTTCTTTTCTGGTGTTCTAGTGCTGGAGCTCATTCGCACCATCGGCAGCCTGGGGACATCGGCTATGTGCCAGCTTCCTACGGTATGGTCGACAGGAAGCAGTCATGCAATATGTAAACTCATCGGCTGTTCACAGGGCATTACATAGAGAACATTGGCGATACCGACCTCCATTTCCTCGAGATCTTCGACAGCGGTACGTCCTTGAGAACTTGCCAAAAAAAACGGCGTCGCTGAGTCATTTCATAGACGTCGTCCAGGATATCAGCCTGAATCAGGTAGGTAATATTCGAAGGCGTCTGAATTCATATTGAGATTGATCCTTGCAGTGGCTGGCTGTCATTCCCACAGCCCTCGTCGAGGCCCACTTGGATTTGGATGAAGAAACGATGTCTATGCTGAGCAAAACTAAGCCAGTCATCGTCGGATCCACAGGCGTATGATCATGTTCAAGTCTATTTGAGTCACATTAGTTTTTGCGGTCGATGTATGCTGTTATCGTGCACACTGTACGAATGGACTCTCCTATGCTTAGCTCCCATGTTTCTCGCGAGTCTTGTGGAATGGACAACGAATATGATTACCTTATACGTCAAGAAAGTTCCGAGTTGACCGGGTTTTGCCATCGACTATCCGATTGGAGCATGCCTTTAATTCGCGGACGGATTGATGAAGATCGCTCACCCTACCAGTTTCCTGCTTGTCTCAAGAGCCTTTGCTAAAGGACTAAGATAAAGGACATGTCAGGCGCGATGCAGCATTGCAGGACGGAGTGATCACTGCTCACAAAAATAGGTCAGATTCTTATAGGTGCAGCTACAGGAGAAGAAACTTCATTTCATCCAACGAACGTTTCCGAGCCGTGGGTGGTGGGCGAAAGAAGCTGCAATTCGGGAGACTTCGGATAATACTCCCAGATTGCAAATGTCGCTGGCTACGGAACAGTGCGGAATTCCTCGAAGGCTCAAGAAGCCCGGTAAATTGTATCTCATCGGTACACGCAAAGAGCCCGGGGATGTTCAACTCCGGCCCTCGAAGCATACTTCGGAGTCGCGCCACGAAAGAATACCCGGAACTATCTTCGTGACGACGACGAACTGATTATGACCAGTCACGCTTCAGTGAAAGCTGTCCGGCGGGGCGCAATGGATGCAGGAGGCTGGGGGCGTGCGCCTGAAAACACTGTTTTGAACTATACAGTTCTAGCAAGATTAGGAGTCGGGCGCAGCGACGAGTGTATATCTCGCAACGTGCGCGAGAGCCGTCATAACGGTCATGCGAGACAACAGGAGGATCATAGTACGATGAATAGAGCTCCCACCGTGACGGACGGTTTTCCGAGCAGCGATAAGATCGAGGGTCCCAGGCCGACATTTCAGACCGTTGGAAACCCAAGTTTGTCTCACAAGTCTCACAAGTTCAAGGCTGCGAGTAGTATACCAGTGTGAGAGCAATACAGCTAACAGGTATGGATGACGATCCTTCGGAAGCATAGAAGTACGAGATGAAGCAGATAGAGTGACATTAGAGTGAGTAGATGTGTTTTAGGTCATCTTTTCGCCTGACCGTCACGCTTATCTTGTAAATGGCATCAGCAACTTGATACATGCCGGCAAGACATAGTTAGTTTAATGTATTTGCCGCATAGCACTTTATACTTACCACCGACTAGTTTTCCTTTGCTTGTGGACAGCAAAATATACGATGCCGCCGGTAAACGGATATGCAGATACTCGGCGTCTTTGCATTATTTAGAAGGAACACTTTTTGCGGTTAGCGAGTCCTAGAAGGCGCATGAATGTGTGCTCTTCCGCTTTCCCCAGTAGGAAGATTCTAACATTCGTTTCATTCTCATCGTCGCTTGGATCACGGCCGCCTTGTACTCATGTACGAATGCCACTATCGGATCGTATCTGCGGCGGCCATGAGGGGAAGAATCTTGGGACTCGATAGCGATGCAGGGCGATGTTGAACGTTCTGCCATAGTTATTGTGGACGGCATTTTTCTGAGGATGCCGAGGATCGGGGGAGCTCAGGCGGCAAGCACCCAAAAATAGATTAGCGGGGAGAAGTCGTCGGTGTGTAAGAAATACACCACGGTATCCATGAAACCTTTCGTCACGAGACATCTTCGCCTTCCTCACTTCTGCACGTGCATGAATGAATGATGAATGATGATTTCGGTCAGACAATTCAACGGTGATAAAGCGAGGAATCGCCGGACGAAGCTCTATTATCATCCGCCGGTACTACCTGCGACATTCGAAAGGCCACGAAGCTGTTAGTGGGCACCAGCAATGGTGAATACTGTATAACGCAACGTAGATGAGCGAGACATCGTATCTGTTGACGAACAATTCAATCATAAAGTCACTCGGAGAAAAGATCTTGGAGGATTGGGGATCGCGGCTGTATTGAACTCGTGTGTTTAGCTTCCTGCTTCAGTCTATGCGAGAGTAGCTTGATGTCTGCATAAATTTCTCTGTCTCCGCCGGCAAGCCTGCGAAGCGAATTTAACGCACTCCAATAATAGATAACAAGGCTCTCCTGAAGTGGTCACTCACATTCGCAAGCTTTTCTTGTCGCACTGGATTAGAAGCCGTCCTGTCAGCCGCTGGTTTGTGATCAATTCCTGCAACTTGCGTCCAGAATTCACGTGCGGTTTCCTAGAATACTCCAGCACCTCTTTCCACAACCAGCTCGTCGGGTCACGCTGCAGGGCTTGGATAAGATGATGGTCACAAGGTACGAATGCTCACTGCTCACGCTTGTCGCATTTGATGAAACCTGGATCGTTTTCACCGAGAGGCTCTGCCCCTGATCATCCACTTCGTGACACATCCGTGCACCGATTTGCAAGCCAGACGGCTCCACGGAGCGGAGCGGAGCATCCGGGGAGGCGAATGAGGCATGTCCTCCTGGTAAAAGGTTCCTTGCCTCAACCTCAGCATGCTCTTGTGATACGTCCATTGTAACCGATAAGGATGATTATTCCACCACGGATCTACAAGCAGCTGGCATATGCCGTGTATCGGCGGAAACCCGTGTAGATCAGGATACTGTTGACTGACAGCGTTATGCCGCTATTTCTCCAGAAGTGTGATCTTCGGGCGCGCAGACAGCTTCCTAGGTGAAGACACGAATAGGACGGCAGAATGTGCGATAACGGCAATGCACAGGATGAGTCAGAGGGTGCTTGATAATCCTGCGAGAGAGGCACGAGCCTTTCATGCAGCATTGGTGGATGCCAGGAAACTTTGAAATGATGCGCCGCATTCCCCATCAGTCCAGCGTCTAGTCGATAATTGATGATTGCGCGGTCCATATCACGCAACTCGCCGGAAACATGAGTTGCAGATGAGATGAAATTGCTGTCGAATTTCACTGACTATGTTGAATAGTGAGGAAAACGTTCTGCAGAAGAATCTCTCATTCATTGTACAGGACATTCGGCGAGAGGTTGAGCTTACCTTGACACTCATAACTATGAGCCTTATCCGAGCCTATGACCTTGTAATATGCATGCAGCCTGAGACATCAAGAGAAGTAGATAAGCAGCTGCTACAAGAGGATTGAGATATATGACGCGATGACAACAACAGCGAATTCAACCCCATGGAAAGGAGCCCGGCCACAAAACACAGTAATTCGTACGGTCATTTGTTGGGAACGCGAATTCGTGTGAGCGACTCGAAGAGAATAGTTCGCATTTTTATCTTCTAGCATGCTCGACTCATCAGATCGTAGAACCGGCCGAGCAAATGTCGGATGGGAGTCAGACTCTTTCAATTCAATAAGGACTCTTAATCAAATTGAGAGACGCTCAAGCATCGCCGCGGAACTGGAAGTCATTGTCACTCCGACCGAGCAAACTAAATGACTTGACTGATGACCCATGGCAAGAGCCCGGTAGCACCAATATTGCCATTACTCACGATTGTAACGGCAGCTGTATTTGGGCTAAAGACGACGATGTGAGTGCCAGAGCGAGAACTTCACAAGATCGTTCAAAGAGGACATGTAGCTGATGGAATTGATGAGGTCTGATGATGAAGTTCATAGAGTACGATACGTACGTACTAGCATAACTTTCTTCGGGCGCTGTTGGAGGGATCGCAGATTTCATGATATCTTTGATCAGAGAGCGTCCAGCATTCCGCTACAGACTTCCCCGCCGATGTGTCACCATTCAACGTCTGTGGGCTTCGACATCTAAAGAGAAATAAGTTGGCCAGCACGTGTACCAGAGGGTACGAATTAGGCACCAACCGAGGCTGACATTGCAATGATTTGAAACCTGGCGAGGCAAATGCTGCAGGGTCACGGTCAGCCCTCGGCTGGAACGAAGTGGTTGGTTCAGACAAGTTCAGAATGAGAATTGCGACCAAGTCTCCTGGATTAAATAGCGAGCGGCGAACAGAGTTTGGCCAACAACTCCTTCTTGCTCATCACCGTTCAAGAAAGTCTTCGTTCTAGTGCTCATTATGCCTTCGCTCAGCCGTATCTTCGGTAGTATCCTCGTGTTCTTCTATGCACTGTGGGCCTTTGTGTTCAGCGGCCGTCTCACTTCGAACGGACCTGACCTCGAGGCTACTGTTCTGGAATATGCTCCAGCAACAACGCCTACGCCTGCTCTTCACCAGCAAGTGGCATCGGTGTCCGCCAGAGGCTCCATGGATGTTGAAGTTGTCGTAGGTAAAGGTGAATAACTCGATGCTGGTGTTCTCGCACAGCTATTAAGCGAGCCTTGCAGTCGTAGTCGGCGTCGGCAAGACTGTCCGCGACTATCGACTAAGCCAAGCTGACTCTCGCAAATGCGAGTACATCTTTGCAGGGTATGTCAGTTATCGAGCCTGGTTTGACGATGACTAATTGCACATTCAGGGAGGATGGTGTGGATGCTGCTGGTCCTGCTGTCACGTCAATATCGCGTACGGAAGAAATGTATTCGCCTTCTCCTGCTATACAATCCTCCTCTGTCTGTCTCTCCCCCGACATGTCTGTTGCTTCTTCGGCTACATCGAGCGTCTCGACCTCTCCTCCGGTGACACCGCAGCTTCTGCCTGAAGATGATCGGCTCCTCCCTCGCGCAATCGTCTCGGACGACAGTCCAGCTTCTTTCCTCTTCCTCAATCAAACCCCTCTATTCACTTCCGCCGCTGACCTCTTCCCGTCCATTTCGCCCACGGGCACTGCTGACGATGAACACCGCAAATCCTCGTCCCTCATACTCCACCATCATCTCCGTACCGTTCCCAAGTGGACCCGGAAAATCCATACATCGTCTGCCCCTTCTACTACAGCGCACATCGAGCATGACAACGAAAAAGCCGGTCCCGATCCCTTTGCTGCGGGCGGCGAGTCCTTCTTTGCAGAGGAGCTGCCGACCGTGAAGACCGAGACAGACGAAAACTCTCCATGCCTATATGACTTTGAGATTTACTATAATCCGCCAGCTGGGCAGCAGCACGCACCAAATCTGACATCCATGACCCGCCCGTATAGGACACGCATCCCTACTGTCGTCAGCATATCTCCAACTCTAATGACTGACATCGCGCCGCCGCACGATGCACTACGCGCTGGGCAACAGCCGAGGCTGCGCACCCTCATGCTGCCCCAGGAGGTCGCGAGACGGAGCTGGCCGGAACTTACATCGGCTCCGACGAGAGGACTCAAGCCTCTCAGACTCCCCATGGAAGTTGCACGACGCGCTTCCCTCTATGTCCCGCAGGATACATCTTCTCCCGCCGGACCCGACACTGCAAGATATACCGAGTCCATGAGCGGCTCCGTTTCCTCGGGAACGAAGCAGTCCGAAAGATTAAGCGCAGTTGTGTCTCTTCTCGACGCATCCGGCCTTCTAGGAAGCACCAACGTCCCGGTATTTCTGGCAGACACCTGCCAGCACACACACGTAAAGACCGCTTGCCCCACGGTCCAACAATCTTCGATCTGCCTGTCCTCGCGCTCTCATGAGATGCAAGATACGCACGCCAACGATCAAGGCACGCCTTCCTGTCACCTCGAGGAAGCTTCCCTACGCCTTCAATCACTGGTCTCCCTTTTGGAAGGATCAACTGCACAGCCCACGGAACATCAGATTTGTGAAGTCGAGGTGCACATGGATGAAGAAACATGCGGTTATGCCATCTAGCCTCGCATTGTCAGACTCCCGAGTCGTCTCACACGGCTCGACGACGATCTACGCGATCCGCAAGAAGTCAAGTTTAGAGACCAATTGGACTATCGCAACTCACTGGCTCGGATCCGGCTTTCCCTCCCATACAGTGCATACCACGGATCTATTTATTGTAACACTGCGATCCTGCTCTCGTATTGCCGCATCAATAAGTCTTCTGGAATCTCGCGATCAGCATCTGGATTGCACTGACGGAACTTTGTACGTCACCCCATTTTTATTGCTCGCCGGCCCCCAGTGCTACAGCTTTCCCTGGTCCTCGAACGGCCCATGTTTCACCCGACCAAAATATTCTTGGTTTGACACTCCTTCAATCGCCCACACTTCTTGAAACGCCTCACATGCACGACGTATCGCTTGGATCTTGCTCTACCCCATCGGAATCATTCAACCGCTACAGTTCTCAATTTACTTAACTAATGTGGCCACGAACGCAGCGCCTCCGCATACTTGATTACGATGTCGCCCTATCGTCTAGATTTGCCAGGCCGTCTTCAACAGCTTGATTCTAGCATACTTTCCGCTTGACAGGTATTCCGTTATCGCAACACTGCCTCTCCACGTTCTATTGCACTGCCTCGTCGCGTTGGCTTGGCGTGGCCCATGTATCCACGTTCTTCTTTGCACGCTCATCGGATAAATGATTACCATCAATTCTTCCGTCGCTTGATCGGAGCAACGTATCTATATCCACAGCCCTGTCTACCATGTCAATGAGTCCTTATGAAGTTTGTCACTAGCTGTTTGAACTCGTTGGGCCTGAAGCATATATGGTTAACTACACGACGAAATATTTCGAGGGAATTACCCACTTCTCAGCGTGCACTTCAAGGGAGCAATACATAAGCGGAAGTCATGCGTGAGTACGAAAGAGGACGTACCCCAATGACCTGCTTCTAAACGTTCAAGGATCATATTTGGAAAGAACTGCTTGGCGATAGGTATGTTGTGATTATTGATATACCTTATATGATGGTTTGCCAATAGGTGATACAAGCGAGATAGCGGCACGTACTTGCTCTTCGTACCCTTTACGAATAGAGTGGGGCCATTCCAGACACGTTCGCCCGGTTCATAGGGAAATGAACCGAGCTCTGATATACTCTTGCCAATGATGTCCAGCGGAATCTGGAACGACAGCGGCCCGTGATGGTGAATATCTGTGTTTTTCAGATTCGTCAGTAAGAATGCGCGGATCGTTGGGTCCTTGTAGTGGATGGATGATTCATTAATGTCTCCTGAATGACCCCATGACTGTTTTCTCCCCACCTGTTCCGTCTCTGACAGAATATGCTGAGCTTCTCTTCTATTGGTAATCTTCCGCCTTTCTATCTCCTGCAGGGCGCCGACGTACTTGTTGAATTCAGGCGAAAGTTCTCCCCTTGATGGCGCAATATCCGCAACAATCAAGTGGGAAAGTAGATCTTGAGGAAGTTCCGGATTTAGCGCGACCGTCATAGCTACTTTCCCTCCCCTGCATAGGCCGTAGTTAGGCCCAAGAAAGTAAAATTGCACAGTAACTTCTCACATGGAATGTCCAAGGAGGGATATTTTTGTCAAGGAATGAACTCGGCAGAAGTTGAGCACATCCACAGCCATAGCGGCATAAGTCATGGGTTCCGCATGAGGTGACGAGCCGTGATTACGGAGGTCCTTATCGAGGCTTCATGGTCGTTGACACTTGAGTTCCAACTCAGGGGAGGGACTTACTAAAGTATATATGGGTCTACCCAAGTCTCGCAAAAAAGCCTTGGAGAGAGACAACCAATTCCTCTTCATACCACTGACGGAAAGTCAAAGTCATGGTTGCGATGGGTGAGAAATCCACTGACAATAATCCGTGCAAGATCACCAGCGGATGGCTCTTCTCGTTCCCATCCGGTGGAATGAGTCTGTCATAGTGTAGAATAACCGGCGTAATCGCAGACCCTCGAGTTGCGGGATGTCCACCGGACAGCCTCCGTGTGAATTGTTGCCTTGCGCAGCAGTCATGCGCCCTCTTGGCAGTGGACAGAAAACTGTGCATCCTGAGCGGTATGTACGCGAAGTGAGCGTGTCGAGGGTGTGAAAGCTTTGAACTCCGATGCGGATCACGTGCTCTGGAGTAACCGCAGCCACATTCTACAATTCTATTGCTGATTGGACTGAAAGCAACATTCCAGAAGAAAAGGTTTCAGTGGGACCGAATATATTATGCCGTTATCATTGTGATATGGTCTTTCTAGGTGCCTAAAAGGCAAGCGGGCAGTCAAGGGGACTCCCGGGTGCTTGGCACGCCGACACGATAAGCGCCGACGCCACCGACGCGTTCCGCTTCCAGGCGCTGGTACCAATTCCGGGCGCTAACACCACGCGACAAACTCCAATACGCCTGCCCTAAACCGACTTTCTTTACCAAGCGTCAAAATTCTTCGCGACACGCATTCTGACACCCTCCTTCGCGGCTCGCTGTCTCAATGAAGACGATTGTGAGTACTTCATCTAGTTTGTTCCATCCTTACTCTACTATTCGACGCGATGATACCTTTCGTTTACCTCGAGTGTTCTTGCCAATTACCAAGGCATGAACGCGATGCTTTCGAGTATTTATGTCATAGTTACACTGATCGGTTCTTTGCTCTGACGCATTTTCGCAACCTTGCTGAGCTGACTCTTCCTCTATCAGGTACGCTAGCGGGCAATAGGCGCAAGTAGAATGTGACAGAGGACGTGAGGTACTAGGTGAGACTTTGTCCTACGTGTCATACGACGCCTCGCACGAAGCGATGAAATTAAATCATTCAAACTAGAGTATCTGAGAGCCGCAGGCTCGATGCTTTACCTTTATCTGTCAATCCACTGATCATTGTCCTGCTCTTGCGTACCTCGCATTGTGTTGAGCGATATACTGATACATCGCGATATTAGGTCCATTCGATCCGCAGCTTAAGCCAATTGCCGTTTGAAACTTGTGGACGTGAATACGCGAAACTGTAATGTTTGTATGAGAAAGTGAGTCTTGAGTTCCATTCCTTCCGACAGTGATGCAACAAATGGAGTTACCGCCTGATCATTCGTCCTCGGACGATTGAGTTGACGACAATTCCACGGCTGTTTTTTTTACAATTCTGAGCGCGTTTCTATATCCATCGTGAACGTCTTACTCACAAGCTTGACAGTAGTCCCATGCTGTCGCAAGCGTTATGCTTGCACGAGTACAATCGGACGTGAAGAGCCGTTCCCCATTTTCGGCATTCGGTGAGTATGACTTCTAATCGCTTTCTGATGATGCTTTATCACGACGGTCTTCGTAACATCACTGCCGAAAATGCCCGCCACAGCTCAATCTACTCGGGCAACCCCTTCTGATCTTCTTCATTCGAAGCCAGCTGTTTAACATGTTCTAATTATCTATTTATTTTCTCAGGATATTGCTTCTCGGTGCCCATTTTGACCACACCTCGATGGTACGTTCTGCAATCCCTCATCCCCCACATATTGCATATCGATATCGCGATGAATCAAAATTCAAATAATCAACTAGAAGCTGTTGCTGAACGCGAAGCTCGCGTCTTGATTACACCCTTTTTGTCTGACGCCCAAATCCCCGAGATCCGAATGTTTAGAATGCTTACAATGTTTTCCAGGACCGCGACACGAGCAGTTTATCAATGTCAGGAGGCAGTGATGGTAGATGGCCGTTGTACATACCCTCCATATAGTTCAATATATTTCTTCCTTGTGCGCAGTGTACTAGGGGATCGTGAGTGTACATTGTCACATGGATGGCGCCCCATGATACGCCGCTGAATGGAAGAACGCTTGAGCGAACCCAGTGGCAGAATGCCCAGAGAATAGCGAGGTTGTTCGCCGCGTTCATCCTTAAGACTTGAAACACATACGGCACAGCTATTGACCGCTCAGGTGAGCGCTGGCCGCCTTGCTGTCACCAGGGCATTTCAAGAGTATTCATCTCAATCGTAAAAGGCAGTCATCGTCGCTCCTGTATGCAGGGGCGCTGTTGATGTGCGCTCCGCTCCCGCTGGATATCCGTAAAGTTTACCAAGCTCGCACTGTAAGCTCCCTTATTTGAGGATCATCATTCACTTATGTGGCGCCTGTGGCTTCGGCCACACAGCTTAACGGTGTACAATCACCGTTGGACTCGAGTGAACTCAATCCTCCGCAATGACTCGGTCGCACCTATCTTTGAAATATTGGCTGGGCCACATCACGAGGGAGAAACTATTCGATACTTTTGGCGTGGTCAGGCGTCGGAACCTACGCGAGCATCGGAGAAACGTTTGCGCTCACTCAGAGTAGCTTAGTTCGCCGTCCAAGGGATTCAAGACTCCTTTGACCTCTTTTCTCGGGGCCAGTTTGGCCATTGTGTTCTCCCAGGTTTAGGAATAGCTATAGCGCACATCGGTAGGTATATATACGGTGAGCGAGAAGGGGTCCGACAAGCAGTCCTTGACAGCTACCCATTCCACTTCTACTCATACTCACTGAAGTCATGAAGTTCGCCACTGCTCTCATTGCCGCTGTGTGTGCTGCCCCTGCCGCACTCGCCTGGGAGTACAAAGCCACCTGGGACTCCACGTACGATGACGCGGCCAACTCCGTAAACATCGTTGCTTGCTCCGGTACGCTTGATGCTGACGGTTAGTGAACTTTTCACTCCTCGTCAAACCGGTCCATTGACTTCCCATGTAAATACAGGCTACACGGACTTTGGTTCTCTGCCCGGCTTCCCCTACATCGGTGGCGCTTTTGCTGTTGGAGGTGAGCATCGTAAGAGAAAGATTCCGCGAACCGCGTTCACCTCCATTATCCAGGTTACGACTCACCCAGCTGTGGCACATGCTGGGCCATTACCTATAATGACACCACGATCAACATTTTCGCCATTGACACCGCCGCGAACGGGTTCAACATCGCCAAGACGGCGTTGGACGCGTTGACAGATGGTCAGGCCGAGGAATTGGGCTATGTGTACGTGACGGCGACGCAGGTAGCTACGTCTGATTGTAGCAAGTGGAACTGAGAGATGGTGCGACTTGGATGATAGTATCGACATGGTGGTTCCAGAAGTAATGTGGGCATTCTCTTGTATATTTGCGACGTCGACGTTTGGTTTGTCTGTGTAATTGTGATTTCGAAGATTCCCCAATCCGGGCTTTCTAGGCAGCGCTAAATGAGGACGATCATATTCTGAGTGGCTGACGCGTTCGATCATGATTTGGTTCAAGAGGCCGTCATTCGTGCACTTGCGGAGACAAATGCTAAAATCTGCACAGCCTCACATGAATGGCAGCAAAGATGCTCGAGGCAGCTCTGGAATCTGCAAACGCTCTTTCTTTAGCACATCAACCACTTCTCGGTCCGTGTGACTTCGACTTTTGCGGTGTATTTTGACCGTCAATCAAAGCGTAACCTAGTTCTGAAACGGCTTGGCTGAATCATGAGGCCAAAAAACGCTTCTTGTTCTTTTCCCCGCAATGGCCAAGGCCGCCTTTGCCACTTCCTTTGCTCGGTTTGTCTGACCAATATGGTCCCTTAATCCGAACTTTGAGAGTGGAAAAGGCAATCGCCTGAGTCGCAGCATATGCAGATATAAGTGAATTGAATATCAAGGTAAGCAGTCCTCGATAGTTATATAACGTACGAGGATCACTGAGCTACCCTCATTTACTGGAAGCAGGAAGTTGACCGCTGCAATTGTCGCCGCTGTAAAGCGCCGTTTCGAGCGTGCTCACCCAGATTACCGAGAACTTACAGGTTGCCAAGTTCACAGTACCTACCACAACACATTCTATGCTGTTGACCATGTTGAATGTTCTGAATGTTTCCGGATGAAGGCCAGGAAACCTATTATCGTTGTCAGTACGTCCAGGCGCCCATTCAAAAGACTCTCGACTCATAATTCGGACGTGTACAGTGGACACACGGCCCCGGTCAAGGACAGCCAACATGGACTTGAACGCTCTATGTGGATAGCTCAGCTATTCTTGGTGAGTGTACCCAGCGCTTCTGGTTTGGGCATGGAATAGAACTCCATTGACAACGTCGCAGGCAGTAATTTGTCATCGTACCCCGTAATGTGACCTACTCAACGTCCAACGGATGGATGAAAACCGCTGCATTTCTTATTAAAATATCCTCCCAAGTCAAGTGGCCATTGTATTCCATGAACCTAGTTGGAGCATTAGTAAGGCCGAACGAAGATGATATCACAGAGAAGGTGGGCCTTTGACGACGAGTACTGACATGGCACCAAGAAAACCCGCAGAGCAGACCTCAGCATTGTCACTGCAAGAGGGATTCGAGAATGCCTCTCTCAGAAATTGCATGGGTATAACCTAGCGTGTCGACGTCGGACGGCGGTCTCATGACGACGGGCGCATCAGCCAGTTACATTTGAGCGGCTATTAGATCGCTTGCATATTTCACTCCACGACGCTATTTTCAGCATAGTTCCACTCTCCCTGAGTGACGGCCTTCAGCATTCGAGCTATAAGCTCATGATATGCGGCGCCTGAGCAAAATAATTTGTGTTCGAGGTTATACAAAAGTAGTAGGCTCACTAGCTATCGTGAACGAAGCATCAGAGCTGAGCGTGAACTGCTTGCAGCCATTTCATGGCGATCCCTCGACTCGTCGAGACGTTACGAGCGTTCGGGATATAGAGGGTCGATGGCTCCAGCGCGCAGGGTATGAGTCAAAGTGTGAGCTCAACAACCAGCATCTCCGAAGCGCTTCTTATTGGCAAGCTGTGAGGTACATCCGCAATGTATCTACGTGGCTCGAGCGAAGTTCGGACAATGCATAACCATGAATTAGTAGGTTCACGTGCAACATTCCATAAGTGTCTGGATGAAGTCTCAAGCCGATTGACGTGGCCAAATTCAGCGTCTCTCGATGGTCATCTAAGCTCTCCATATCGACAATTTCACAAACCTGTATGTCCAAAAATATTTTCGTTGTTGTTGACTTAGTTGTGACTTGTCGCAGGTGATAGAAACTGGCCGACGTGCTCGCCGCCGCACGACCATACTGGATTATTGTATGCAACTCCATTCTAGACAAGGTCATCCTTACTCACTGAGTGAGCCTTGGCAATTGCAGTAGTGAAGCTTTTCTGATAACCGCCAAGGCCGCTTGTGAGCGCATTTGTTTTGGTTCATCTCCCACATTTTGATCCCAGGGTACGTCGCCGTGTCCGCGCGATGCAACTGTTGCTTGACTGAAGCACGGTCTGATTCACAGTAGAATGGGTACCATAGATCATTTTGACGCTGGCATAGCCGCTCCGCGAGGGAGCGAAAGCTTATTTACTATTTGACATCAGCAGACTGCTCCCCGCGCATGAGTCGGAGACTCTGAGAACGCACTCACACGAATGGCTGATTTCGCCGCACACAGAGGACTCGATGCAAGGTCGCTTTGACCGTTCGTCGGGGTGGGTCGCCCGTCCGAGTACTCGTCTGTGTGCTCAGCCGAGAGTCGCTAAAATGCACACGTGAGTAGTATCATGATACGCATATAAAAAGAATAAACAAGAAGAGTGGACCAGCAATCTTTCGATATCTACGTCCTTCAGCACCTTCGATCTACTTTAAGTTCTTTCAAATCAAATCATGAAGCTCACCGCAGTTTTCTTCGCCACTGCAGGCAGCCTGGCTGCTGTCCTCGCCCAGCAATACGTAGTACAGCTATGACACCGTGTATGACAACGCTACCAGTTCTGTGTGCATTTTGCCTTGCTCTGGCACGCTTACTTCCGAAGGTATGGTCTGTATACCCTCGTCGCTGCGACCTGCTAAAATTTTGCGCGGCCTCAGGTTACACAGTTTCTGGTGGTCTCCCGGCTTTCCCTTGTATCAGTGGAGCCTTCGCTATAACGGGTGAGCATATAACTGGACGAGATTGTCGAGCAAAGCTTACGAACATTTTTAAGAGTATGACTCACCGGCCTGCGGAACTTGCTGGGAGCTCACCTATAACAACACCTCCATCAACCTCCTCGCCATAGACACAGTGAATGCTTTGATGCAAGGAGAGGACGAGAAGGTCGGCTTCATATACGCAACGGCAACGCAGGTCGATGCATCCGCTTGCGGCGGATATTAAGGGGTGGCACGACCGGCAGGATAATGAATGCCTTGCGATGCGCATGATGACGATGTGTGCGTTAGTTGTCTGGCATAATAATAGAGTTGGGGTCTTATAGCCCCGGCTTATTGAGCGAGTTCCTTCATCAACAGCGCATCTGGCAACATCGATACTTGAAGAACAGACGCTACATCCTAGGCAATGATGAGAATTCATAATTTTCGCCAATCTGACCACTAATATAGTCACCTGCGACAATTCAGGCATTTGCGCGCAACTATCGACATTGTCTGATTCGACAATAACGAAAATACTTTTAGACATATACAATTGTCGATCTGGAGAGTGTCGATGACCATAGAGAGACGCTGGACTTGGCACGTCAATCAGCTTGAGACTTGATCAGGATTGCTTATTGAATGTCTGATGCACGAAAAGCCATTAATTCGCGGCTTATGCGTTGTCCAGAAACATACACAGTTTTGAACATTCCTGCCCACCCTCAGTGTTGCATGAACTGCACTCAATCTCAGAAAAAGAGAATTTTACTCGAGGCGTGCAGATAAATTGTGGAAATGTGCCTAACAGAAATAAGAAAAATACTGAGCAATGTTTTGACTTCTCGAAATTCTCAATCTGAGCTTGGAGCCAAAGCGCACCTGATTGCCAATGAGGAGTGCTTCGGAGACACTAGCTGTTGAGCCCGTACTTTGATACCCTATGCTGGAGCCCTCGATCCTCTACATGCCGAACGTTCGCGACGTCTAGAGGGATCACTATATGACGGCTGCAAGCAGTCCATGCTCAGCTCTGATGCTTCGTTCGTGATGGCTAATGAGCCCACCTCCATATGATCTCGAACACAAACAGGCGCCGCATATCACGAGCTTATGTCTTGAACGCTGGGGGCGGTCACTGAACGTAGCGTCGCGGAGTGAAACATGGAACGATCTAATAGCCGCTCAACTGTAGCCTGGCTGATGCGCCCATCATCATGAGACCGCCGCCGACATGCTAGACTGACCCGTGCCATTTCTGAAAAAGGCCTTCTTGGGTCCCTAATGAAGTGGCAATGCCAGTGCTGGAGTCTGCTTTGCGGGTTTTCTTGGCCGCACATCAGTACTCATGACCAGGGGCGCTCTACAGGCCCATCTTGTCTGTGCTATCACTTTCGTTCGGCCTTACTAAGGTTCGGGCTGAGTTCACGGTATACAGTGGCCGCTTGACTGAGGGAGTATGGTTTGATACCAAGCGAAGCGGGTTTCATGCGTCCGTTGGACGCTCAGTAGGTCACATTGCGAAATATGAAGACAAATTACTGCTTGCGGTATCGTCAGTGGAGTCTTATTCCGTGCCCAATCTCGAAAATCTGGGTGCGCTCATCAAGAATAGCTGAATTCTCCGCATAAGGCGTTCAAGTCCATATTGGCTGTCCTTGACTAGGGCCGAGTGTACACCGTAAGCCTCCGAATTAGATATCGAGAGTCTTTGGAACGGACGCCTGAACGTCAGCGTACACATATAAAGAGGACGAGTAACAAGAGGTTGGACCAGCAGTCCTCGACAGCTACCCACTCCTCCACCACTCGCATTCCTTGAAGCCATGAAGTTCACCGTCGCCCTTGTTGCTGCTGTGTGCGCCGTCCCAGCTGTACTCGCTGGGCAGTATAAGGTCACCTATGACACCATATACGACAATGCGAACGACTCCGTGGACAATGTCGCTTGCTCTGGGACGCTCTCGGGGAAGGGTGAGGATACTGAATGTGTTCATCGATACATTTTTATGAACTCAGGGACGGCCAGGCTACACCACCTTCGGTTCTCTCCCGGACTTCCCCTACATCGGAGGCGCATTTGCTGTTACAGGTGAGCGTTCAATGGGACAAGGTCGCGTCGCCAAGTCGGGCTTATCCACATTCTTCAGGATACGACTCTCCCGGCTGCGGCACCTGCTGGGAGCTCACCTACAACGGCACCTCAATCAACATCTTCGCCATCGACACTGCCGCTGAAGGGTTCAACATCGCGGAGGAGGCGCTAAACGCCTTGACTCACGGTAACGCCGTGCAAGATGGATATGTATACGCGGCAGCCACGCAAGTGGATGTATCTGCTTGCGGTGGATATTAGGGTGGAACGACGTGCACCGTGGCGGTGCATTACTGTACTGAGAGTAATACAGTTAGCTGAAGTACGTCTATAACGTAAAATTATGGATTACCTAAGCAGCGAGAGCATTATGCAGCCTGTAGTAACTCTAAACTCGTTATGGGCGGTTTATTGCGCAGCTTGTTGTGAACTCTGAGGCTATTGTGATCGCATGTGTAAATGCAGCCCTCACCTATTGAGGCCACAAACTGAGGCGCACATAAGCATAGGATCAAAAAGGCTTACCTTTCTCGGATCTCTCTCGCGATTCACTGCAGCGGGGAACGTTTGCCGAGCTCAACCCGTGCTCATCGGATGCAATGCAGGTCAGTCTGACAGATCGCAGGTAGATGATGCCGAGAACCTCACCATGCTATCATTCATGTTCTCTGCATTACACGAATATAACGATGTCTCAGCTGATGGAGCGCGATACCGCGGATGTACTGATGTCTTGGCGGACCCAGCTCCCCCCACTCCACATTTTCATAAAAGGAAATGATATGTTCTGTGTAAATTCAATCAAAATGTGCTCGGATCCATCCATGCACCTCAGGCCACCTTACACTGCCTCTACTGTTATTTCCAGATAACATTGATGATTTCAATGCATAAACACATCCATATTTACCTCCTGTCATGAGGGGAGCGGGTGTGTTGATATTCACTGATGATATTCTTAATGGACATTGGCTTCAAATGACATATGATATAAAATTACTAGAAACAGGACCATCATGGTCACTTAGCCCAGTGGCTATCATTGCGATTTCATTTTGCATGTTGCAAGCCGGCCAGTTTCAGCTACTTTTCACTTTCTTTTCCGCGTTAAGTTCACATTTGCCTGCCCTAAACTTGTCATGTGCCGAGTTGTTTGCAATGGCTATTTCACCTTTCTGCCTCTTATCATATCAAATCTGTACATTATCGTGCAAAATTGACTGGTATTACCATAAGTGGAAATGTGGAGCGGGGGTGAGCAAGGCACAGCCTGCACAGATTTATTTTTCCATGGGAAACCTGATGGGAAAATAATAAAAATATCTTAAGTCTGGATATGGAAATAGTTTGGAAATCGGGTGGAGACAATTGAATTATGTTACAATTGCTTCACCGAAACATATCAGTATCACATATTTATGGTCTGAAATATCTTCCTTTGGGAAATAGTTTCGCTATTGCTGATATGTTTCGGTAAAAACAATCGTAACATAATTTAATTGTCTCCACCCAATTTCCAAACTATTTCCATATCCAGACATAAGATATTTCACCATTTTTGCATCAGGTTTCCCGTGGAAAAATAAATCTATGCAGGCTGTGAGGGTCGCTCTTTGCGACACGCGCCTAATACAGAAGAAATGAACAACCAGAGAACCAAATCGCAGTAAAGTTCTATGAACCCATACGGACGTTCATTATCATAACGTGTTAATGCGCAGGAAAGCGCTAGAAGTCATGCTAGCGGAATGCACTGAAATCAACGGAATTGGTCATCAGGTCTGTCTTAAGACTTGAAATACATACGGCCCTACATTGATCGCGTAAGTGGAAGCTCGCTGATGCCCTTGTCGTCACAAGATTAATTTTTGAAATTGTGGTTATTCCATATCAGACAAAGCAGTCCTCGTTTCCTCATGCTGAGGAGGTAGCATTGCTGTCTGCTCGCTTCCAGTATAACGTGAGCAGATGTTATTGGGACCGCATTGCAGGCCTCAAATTTTGGGCTATCGCAAGCCTCTCAGTTTCTACGCACGTGTTAACTCAATTAATGACAACTGACCTGAAGCGGACCCGCATCGCGGAGGCAAATCAGCGGCGTTCATACATTTGACGCTAGATGGACCACGTCCCGAGGCTAGAAGAGCTCTCCGTATCTTCCTGATGTCAAAAGCATTTGAGCTATGCAACAGTTGAGTACTCTGTACGCTCTCACTCGGGGCGGCTAATTCTGCCGGCCCAAACGTCCACGCCATCTAAACCGATCTGACGTCAGGACTCTTTGCCCGTCGTGTCCATTGGAATGGTGAGTCCAATGGAGCTCAGATATGAGCATACGCATGTAGTCAGGGTGAGCGATGAGAATGCTGGCCAGTGATCCTCGACGGCTAACACATACCACAGCACCCTTGAACTACCTGTAGGCGCTGAAGCCAAGAAGTTTACCGCTGCCCTGGTAGCCGCTATATGCGCCGTTCCTGTTGTGCTCGCTCGGCAATTCAACATCACCTATGATAGCGAGTACGACAACGGAGGCAATTCGGTAGACCTTACTGCCTGCGCCTACACGCTTCAGGAAGAAGGAGACGAAGTGATGTCTGCTGTCAACGCAGTCCGAGATAATTTTGCACGGTACAGGCTACTCTCACTTTGGCTCACTCCCAGGTTTCTGCTATATCGGCGGTGCTGTCTTTACCGATGGTAAGAACACGATAGGATAAGGTGGCTGAGCTGATCTCACCTGCATCCCCAGACGTCAACTCGGATTACTGTGGTACCTGCTGGGAGCTTACCTACGACGATACCACGATCAACGTCCTCGCAATCAATGTTGCCTCAAACGGCTTTACCATCTCAGAAGACGCGTTCGATGCCTTGACCAATGGTGTGGCCTTATACATTAGCTCGGTGAACGCGAGCGCGACACAGGTGGATGCATCTGTTTGTGGCCAATGAAGAGGTGGTGGTGGGGATGACGTAGGATTTTGCGGCGCCGAGAATGATATCGACGACACTACAAGTGACGTACTGTGAATACCCGAGTGTTACGAGCATGCAATCATACATACCAGAGTATTTTGTCTGGACTAAACACTGAGGGTCGTCACGGGGCGAGACCATTTGTTGGTACCGATGAGATCTGGACGATAAGCCGCTGTCCCCACGGTGCCGACGAGTGGCGGAGAGTCTTGACAGGATGTTCAACCATTCTGATGACGGTAGTACCCCTTGTGCTGAGTCCTGAGTGTTTCCTCCCCCCTTCTCCCAAACTCGAGCGTAGTCAGGCATTGGGGGGAAGGGAAGGAGGAGCATATAGACGTAGGGACGTGATCACCGTAATGTTCGAATTCCACGTTCAATGACGTTGGTTGATGGCCTAACCCGGGCATGCACGGTGCTTTGAGCCCCGGCCGGGAACTTGCCGCATGTTCAATGCACGACAATCCGATAAGTAAAATCTCATACACACTGTGGAGGGAACGTGAATAGAAATGCCATCAAATCCAGGAAGCTTTAGCGAGAACAATGCAGACGGCATGCACTGTGTGGCCAATGCCGTGCTTCCTCCACACTGCAGGGACTTGCATATGCCTCGACAGCAGGAGAATGCGCCTAACGCACGCGTCATAACAATAAGATGAGCAGCTGCCTTCCGAGGGAGTCGGAACACTGGTGACGTGATAGCGTAGCCTTAAGCATTCGGACGTTCATTACGACCTGTTCCGCATGCCTAACAAGCCGCAATGCATAATGAAACCCGATGTGATCGCAGATGCGATTTTCAAGACTTCCAGATAGGCGAAGACTCGAGGTGGACATGTGCGGAAAGAAGTGCAGGTTTACTCGGGTTGGCTGGCCACTCGTTCGAAGCGAGGATGTCTGCAGGAGCTCGGTTCCAACGTACACGAGATCTGGTCGTGCAGCGGAGCAGTAGATCATACTGCAAGCTGTGTCGGAGCGGAGAAAGGCTGGCACTGGATTGGAGATCCAGGCAAAGACCACGCTGCCTCCAGAGCGCTACCCATCGCTATATACGGTAGTGGCCTTTAGACTCCGCCATCATCCCCTCGTTGCAGGCGTCTCTACGCCTGCTCCTCCTCCTCCTCTATTTCCTTACCTTATTTCCCTTTATCCGCCCTCCTCTCTTTTGCCATGGCCACACAGCATGTCGTAGCCTCCTCGTCCGTGCATCATTCCGCGTCGGCGACCTCCAACGGCATCGTCGGCGGTCATTTCCGCGTCGGCAAGAAGATTGGAGAGGGCTCGTTCGGTGTCGTCTTCGAAGGCATGTGTGCTTCTTCTTCGTAGGCACCGTATCTTGCTAAGTTCAGTACGCATACAGGTATCAACCAGCTCAACAATCAGCCCGTCGCTATCAAGTTTGTACGTTCAGATACCTCTCCTTACTGCCACGGACTCACGTCCCCGTATCTACCGTCAGGAACCGCGCAAGTCGGAGGCTCCTCAGCTGCGAGACGAGTATAGGTCGTATCGGACATTAAATGGCACTCGTACGTTGCATTTGGCGCTATCCTTTTTTCTGCACCACCTTCCATAAGGCCGTCTGGCTCCCCGCGCTCTTCGAGACGCTTCCGGCCTTTGCCTCACGATGCTCTTGGAGGATGTCAAGCTCTGCTTGCCCAATCGTACTCCTCACGGAGACAATGGAAGCGATCTCGAGCCCCGTCGCCAAGGCTGGTAGGCAGGCGCATCTGTGGTGGACGGCAACCGTGCGCTCATCATCGTGTCGATCGAAACCTTCTCATCATCATTCATCGCCTGCGCACGGAGCATCCACGGCGGATGCCCGTTCGCTACATTGGGCATGCCCACGTATCATCCGCTTCTCGCTATTGTTCGTTCATTGTATGCCTGCCCTACTAACATAACGCCACAGCTGGCGTCCCGCAAGTACACTACTTCGGCCAGGAAGGACTGCACAACGTCCTCGTTATTGATCTGCTTGGTCCTAACCTCGAGGATCTATTCGACATGTGCGGCCGCAAGTTCACCATCAAGACTGTTTGCATGGCTGCAAAGCAGATGGTGAGTCTTCTAAACACGTTGGGGTTGACAAGACACCGCATGGCTTCGCGACGCCAAATTCAGTGCGACAGAAGCCCATTCTATTTGCCATCCTGATGTCCGCGCTATCGCTGTAGGGCAGCGGGTATCATAAGCCCTCGGAGCGCTGGAGCGTCTATTGCAGTGTTCTCTTCGCCCGCCGCTCGCTTGAGCATGGCAGGAGATATCGTGGGTTGCGGGAAAACGAGCGGTCGCTCCGTTCGGTTCCTCGGTAACACCATTGCGATCGAACTATATCCATGTCGCCGTCATCGCTCTGGCGCATGCATGGGACGAGAGCGAGCTATCCACGACGGTGTTTGCTTAGTTGCCCGGACGTCAGGGCCGCCTTAACGGATTTGTATGGGTTCTCATCACACTCTTGTTCTCTTCACCACTGCTGGTATGCACATCGACGTGTTGATTCTAACCCCAACGTTTTCTTCCAGATCACTCGCGTACAGGCGATACACGAGAAGTCACTCATTTACCGTGACATCAAGCCGGACAACTTCCTCATCGGGGTGCCAGGATCAAAAACCGCAAATACGATTCACATAATAGGTGAGAGCGATCCTGCGGTTGAACCATTCCCCCTAAGTTCCATGAATTCTTCACGTTTATCTGGTGCAAGGTCGCGGTGCGGACCACGTCGCTGAGATATGACGCCTCGACCCTCACGTTTTGATTAAGTTACTTCCTTGCTAACCCGTGTCGCAGACTTCGGTATGGCGAAGCACTACAGGGACCCGAAGACGAAGGTGCATATACCCTACCGGGAGCGTAAATCGCTATCGGGGACGGCGCGATACATGTCGATAAACACACACCTGGGACGAGAGCAGTCGCGGCGAGACGACCTCGAGTCGCTGGGACACGTCTTTATGTACTTCCTGCGAGGTGGTCTGCCCTGGCAGGGCCTTAGGGCGGCGACGAACAAGCAGAAGTACGAGAAGATCGGCGAGAAGAAGCAAAGCACCCCTATCGAGGAACTTTGCGAAGGTTTCCCGGGTGAGTCCGCGCGCTATCAATGTGCGCTCGGCTGTGCACCACTTCACATTATGATTGACTCGCCCGTCATTTCTGCGCACAGAGGAGTTTGCGATCTACATGAATTATGTCCGCAAGCTCGGATTCGAGGAGACGCCGGACTACGAATTCCTGCGTGAGCTGTTCACGAAGGTGCTCAAGACGCTCGGCGAGCCCGAGGATGGCGTCTTTGACTGGATGCTTTTGAACGGCGGCAAGGGCTGGGAAGCCGGACACGTGTGTATTATTTCTTTGGCCTTGTCACCGCCGAACCTGATGCTGAACGGCTAGACGCCCACCAATCTGCTCCAACAGGCACACGCAAATGTCACTGGAACGCATGCAACGCACCGCGACCACCGTGCCCGCGACCATAACGGCCACCGTCGCGTCTCGCGGCAGGCACCGCAGGCAGATGGCGTCCAGAGTCCCGCGTCGCCGCTTGTCCTTCCGCCCGCGCCCGTCAAGAGCAACAGCCGCCGTATACCGCAGCAGCCACTGCAGCAGCCTCAGCAGCTGCTGCAGCAGGACGTCTCGCGTGGCAACTCGCGTGAGCAGATCAGCGTGCAGCCGCTGGCACCTACGAGCCGGCGCCAGAGCCAGCAGCAGATTGGGCCGCGCGGCGAGCGGGACAGCACCGGGCTGGTGCATCCGTATGCGGCTACGCCGAGCCCGGGTGGGTACCGGACGACGTATGACCGCCAGTCGCCGACGGGGGGCGTCGCGCAGCTGTCTCCCAACGTGCCGAACGTGGCGACCAACTCGGACTCGTTCGTGTATGGGCAGCAGCAGCAGCCAGCGAAGACGGGGACGACCTCGCGCGAGGGGACGACGGCGGGGGCGAACAGGGAGATGGCGACCGGAAGCGGTACGCGGGGGATGGGCATGTACGACCGAGAGCAGATGGCGAGGGTGGGAGAGCCGGACGAGCATGGACATGGGAGGAAGAAGTCGTTCTGGGCCGCGCTGTGCTGTCGAGGATAAGAAAAGGCACCGCGCTGACGGCTCAGTAAGTCCGTGTGTGTTTTCGGCGTTAGGTGTGTTCGAGACTGATATGCGCCGGCTGTCCAGGCTCTGCACGCTCTCACGACAACCGCATGACGAAAGATATCATACACTACTTACCCGACCATCCTAAGCATATTCTTCACAGCACGACGCCCGACCGACCGATACAGTGCCAAAACCGTTTCTTTTGCGTACCCGCGATATCCCCCCGTTCACGACCCCGAAGCCCTTCGTCCCGTCGCTCGCATCGCATCCTTTTCGTCGATCGCTTTGGTTTCCGCTAGAAGGACATTCGCCTCACGCCGCGCGCTTGGTATCCACGTATTATTCTTGCTTCTTTCCTCTTGCACATTCCGTACCGTAATTATGCCAGTTTGTTTAGTGTCGGTATTTGCGTTCTCGCATTGCTCTTGTATACTAGTTGCCTCAACCTCCGATTCGCTCGCAGGATGCCGGACCAGGTAGTGATTTTGTGCGGTGGATGGCGTGGAACGCTTTGACCGTTTATGATTGACAATATTCCTTCGCTTGCGCTCATTCATCTATCCTAGTTGCTCCATTCTTTTTAGGTGGCGACAGCCTTTGCGTGACTGTACATAGGCATCAAAGCACGTGACTAACGCGATCGACTAGGCGCGCTCTAATTCCACGCGACGTCAGGGGCATCATGGGATGCTCCGGCTCAATTCAACGGGTGACGATTATTCCCTCTGCGCTCTCAGTTCCCGGTAACTGGGCTCGCAGTCGCAGGGTGCGCGCACGATGAAGGCCAACTCTATAAGCTAATTCGACGCGATTCACAATATATACTCGTACAAAGACACGACAACGAATGCAGTTACAACGGAACAACGGCTGCTTCTCGAACCTTCAAACCCAAAGTGAAATCTACTCATTTTCTATCCTTCCAAGCGTTGTCAATGCCCATCTTCGACCACCTCGCGGCGAGTGCGGGATCATCAGGAGGTGGGTTCCTATCTGCCAGCTGCCCCTTTCCGCTCTTCGTACCCGCGCGATCCATCAAGCCCAGTCCGCCGTAGCTTCCACCTCTCTCATTCATCTCGCCGGGAGCCTCACCATACCGCACGGCGGAGCTCTCCATGACGCCCGATTCATTCTGCGGAGCGGCATTGGTTATGGGGTGAGCAAGGTCAGAACTAGTTGAGGAGCGGTGCGCACCCTGGGACGACGGCGCCTCCGTGGCGGGGTAGCTCTTGTACGGCGCCGAGGTGGGGTACGCGCCCGAGGGCACTTGGTACGGCGTGTTGGCGGGGTCGGGCTCGGACACGACGTACATGCGCGTGCCGGTCGACGAGAGCTGCGGGTCGGGCGAGTGGTCGAGCTGCTTCTCGTACAGCGGCGACACCTCGGCGGGCGACTGGACGAGGGGCGCCTGTGACAGCACCTTGAATGGGGAATGGAAGGCGCGCGTCGCGTTGGGTTTTGTGGGGAGCGTGCGCAAAAGCGCGCGAGCGTGTTTCGACAGCGAGCGGAGAGAGGACATGATGATGGTAAGACGTAAGAGGCGGTTTGTACAACGTGAGTGGGTGGGAGAGAGAAAGGGGAGAACTTGGGATTATAAGACTAGGAGGTGTGGGGTATTTTGCATCACTTTTCCCACGGGTGATTTAATTCGGTCTGTGCCAATCGAGGCCCCGCGCTTACTCCGAAGGGAGGTCTTCTCGTACCACCGCTGTCGGGCGATGCGCCACCATCACCCGGGCTTTACTGCGCTTGTCGGCCGTGTCCATCACGGTGCGCTGTGCACACGGCAACGGCAGCAGGGGAGGAACGTTCGTGCGTCAGCGCGGAAGTAAATATCGGCCTCATTGACGCCATTACGTCGGCATGCCAAGGATGTTGTTCCATGAAAAGATCGGCATCGCTGTCTTCGGCACGCGTGAGGAAAACATAAATTATTCCGTTGACTTAGATAAGTGGAACGCGTGACAAAAATGATCCTTCGAGCCGGGATCGAACCAGCGACCTCAAGATGACAGGTAACCCATTACAGTCTCGCGCTCTTCCAACTGAGCTATCGAAGGCTAGAGGACACCTAGTTATTGTATACTATATTGTAGTTTCTATAAGCCTATTATTTTTCACATGTGGCGCTGCTCCTGGTAGTCCGCATGCGCTCGTGTCTTTCAGCTATCACCTATTCAACGTTGCGAGACATGCCAAGAATGATGGAGGAATGTGGATGTACGACAGTGGCCTGGCGGCCCGGCCTCATGCGTTATTCACCGTATATGGCGCACTTAATCCTCAGTTTGTCGCGGCGAGCAATGTCTTCCACAGATGGATCGAGATCCTATGAGACAGGGCTTAGCGCATCACGCATTTCGATCTCCTTTGCTGTAAGAAGGAAGGGTGTTACAATGGACGATCCTTCCTTGTCACAAAGGATCATCGAGCGATGAGTGAGTTGCCCTCTACCGGGCGATAGCTGGTAAATCCGTTAGTTGCCATACCGTTTTAGCATGAGTTTAATGACGCTCCACGTACTAGTATGAAAGATCAGCATCATGATGCTTCTCAAAACCGCGGCGTAATTCCCGCCCACCGTGCTCGACTTCCACCAAGAGATGCCTCCGGAATCTTCACAGTGCATTCATGCAATCACAAGCTCTAGCTCGGCTGGCCCATGCTAGGCAAAAGCGACCTGAATACCCGGCTCGAGTATATCGCACACGGCGGTCAGGCTGCACACGTCCAGTGTCATTGCCGTGGGTAATGGATGCGCCGCCGAGCCGAAGTCATTCACAGCGCATTAAGCAGGATGCGTGGGCAAAGCCGACCGGGTGCTCGACCTTTGGACACCGGTTCGGCCGCGCACCGTACACATGCACTGTGCATGTCAAATATCGGCGATACGTACATGGAGACACCACCGAAGAAGCACACAGCGCACATCCCCCGCTATGCAAGGCTAGATGTTAGGAGTGTATGCGGTTTCTCGAAAAAAGGAGACGTACACTCTGAGCGGACCACTGATCCTCCTTTTCAAAGCTCGCGACATGACAGCTGTCATTCTTAGCAACTCCCCTTGGAGGCATGTCGCCTCGTGCAGGTATATGCGCGCTGCACCGTGCTGAGTGATAGCCGCTCCTTGGCCGATTTGAGAAAAGCATACCCTTGCTTGCGCAAGACGCAAGAGCTCGTCGTCGTAACGCACGCCGTCGACGAGGATCGAGCCTTGGACGTCTGGACTCGAAGCTGTAATGTGTGCTGTAATGTTGGGAGTGAAAGGTCCTAGCTGAGAGCGCTCCTCTCTTTCGGATGTTTCATGAAAAGTTCTCCTATTCCTAGTGCCCCCTCGACCCTTCCAGTTATGGCATCTCAACTTCCTTCCTAGATCTCATAATTCTTCGCCTCAAACGGTGCTGCCCCCCTGCTATTGCGCGCTTTGCTGCTCTTAGTCGTTCAGCAGAGGACCGTCAAAGGTATCTCACAATTCCCGTCGCGAGACTCCTCCCACTGAAATTAATTCCGCACGTTCAAATTATTCATAGGTCGAAGCTCAAGGACCGTACTGTTGCGTCAGCCTGAGCTAATTTTCACCGAGTGAGAAGCGGCTTGATGTAACTGGGGGGCTCCTACGTATAAATCTCCGTGATACAGCAGCGATAGAAATTGCGCACCGTCGGTGCTGGGCATACGGAACGGCATCCATAACATGAGGCCATCCGACTCCACAAGCTGTACCGTCTTGTCACTCTCGGTGCAATCGCCTCTGCCGAAAGCCTGCGCGTTCGACGTTTGCTCCGTCCATCCGGTCCCAGTAGCTCTGCTGAATGACAAGGCAATCGATCGCGACTCCATCGACTCCATCGGCCAGATGCCCACTCACGCTCTTCTCCCTGTCGTAGGGTGCTGGGCACTCCGAGACAGGATGCGCCGCCTCGATTTTTAGACTGCGCTGCGGTGCACTATAATGTGCTCGTCATACGCTCTCGAAGCACAGCACGGCCACTGCGCAGGAGCGACAGCAAGTCCGGCTTCTGCGTTATCGGTGCGTAGTACGTACTACGTAGAGGAGATGGGACAATACACTTGCGAGTGCGTGCTTCTCGTACGCATTGACGATCCCTTTTGCGCGAGCCACAGGACGTGCTCGTTCAACGCCTTAACGCCTTCCAAGCGAGAACAATTGCAGCGGCTGCGCATCGAAGATAGTGAATGCGTGGCGTGTTCTCATTATTGAGCTCTGCTCGTAGTCCAGAAGTCGGCAAATGCGCCGGGCATCTACCTCGAACGACATGTACACCGTTCGAAGAGATAGACATGAACCGATGGGACTCACGGTGGACATCGACGAGTTTGCGAAGGCAAGGAACTCTGGCATGTATGGCACTCGCGTGTTCACGAAGTTTGCGCTAACCCATTCCTCTCCGATCCATCTGCAGACTAGTGCGTTCGTAATGTGGTCAGCAGACGTCCGCGCCCACCAACGGCAGAGTGAGACATCTGAGTTCCACAGCGAATAGGGTTTCTCCATTGAGCTTCCATTTCTCGTTGAAGGATTGTTCTCACAGGTATGGCTCAGGATGGGTACTTTGAAGTGATTTCAGGGGGATAGACCCACACTCCTTGACATTGAAGTAACCAATTTTGCTCAGTGCAGGGAATACCGCATCACACATGATCTGCTGCTTCTATAAATTCGCCTGTGGTCGCAACGAGTCCGATTGCGTGGACATCCCCGGACGGACTTTTCATTTCGTCCATTTAATAATTGCAGAGCGGGATTCTTCTGATGAAGGTACGCTATCTATTTAACTCCAGAAGCCGGGTTATTCTTCTCTGGACGGTGCATGTCATTTTCTTGATAGACATTCAGACGCGACACGATCACAGCCTATGTGGACTCCGTCGTCGATAATGCTCATTCTCAGCGGCCTACCGATGGGCATCGCCATCCCGTTGCTCCTCTGTGTGCTTTTGCTAACATGGCTGCTGAATAACACTGCGAGGCGCAGTGTTCGAAGGCTCTTTCCCGGACCGAAAACACTCCCATTTCTCGGAAACGTCCATCAGATACCCCGCGAATCTCAACACACGACGTTTGCAGAATGGATACAGCGTTACGGTATTCGTTTCTGGTTCGCGTCATGTCGTGGGTATCCCGCTGATGCGTCATCTGCCATCCAGGACCAGTTGTCTATGCACGAATATTCCAGTGATCGGTCTTGATCGTCAACTCGGTCGAAGCAGCTAACGATCTCATGGATGCCAGAGGCGCCAACTACTCAGACAGGCCGCACTTTGTCTTATTGGGCGATATGTAGGCATCGGGCTCGGCTAATAGGACAAATCGTTCTGATCAGATCTGCAGGATCGGAGTGGGGACCATAACACAGTTTCTCCCATATGGCGCACGATGGCGTCGGCATCGTAAGTGGATGCAGGGTGCACTGATGGACAAGCGTGCTCTGGACTCGTACCGCGAGATGCAAGTGAGAGAGGTCCGCCGCTTACTCTCGGACTTTACCGAGCGTCCGGAAGATTTCATGATGCACATCAAGCAGTTAGTACTCTCGTGGCGTCACGGCATATCCTAGTCTTCTCATGGCCGCATTGCCGAGTAGATCTGTTGGCAGATTCGTACTGGACCTCGCGTATGGCCATGCAATTGGCTCTTCTCAGGACGAGTTCGTCGCAATGGCTTCGAAGGCGATCGCAGATGCTGCGGAGGCGGGAAATTCTGGAGCTGCGTTGGTTGATCTATTCCCGCTATGTAGTCTCTTACGTTTGCATTGGCATGGTTGAGAGCAAGCATATAGCTTCTCACTCATTGTCTCAGTGAGGCATATCCCTGCTTGGATGCCCGGAGCCGAATTCAAACGAAACGCTATACGCATGAAGCACTCTATCCGAAATGTCATGGAGATCCCTTACAAATTGGCAAAGGAGGCAGTGGTAAGTCAAACTACTTTAGCTAGCAGATAGATTACTCAGAATGTTGGCCACATCCAGCTGTCAGGAACTGCGAACTCGTCCTTCGTTACTTCTATTTTACACGAGCTGCTGCAAAATGGAGAACTTACTGAAGAGGATGAGCATGATGTCGTGGAGGCTGCGGGAGGTCTGTTCACAGGTAATGCTTCGTTCCGTTACAGCTACGTCTCATGAAGTGACAAAATCTTCAATCTATGCAGCTGGCATCGAGACTGTAAGCGACTTTGCTTCGCATACTAACTAATCTATTCATAACGGATGCAGACCACAAGGACGCTCCTCGCGTTCATTCTCGCGATGGTTCTCTATCCGAACGTGTGCAAGAAAGCACAAGCGGAGATCGATAGCGTCACCGGTTCGACACGGCTACCGGACTTCGGAGACAGGGCCTCTTTGCCATATCTCGAACGAGTGTTGCAAGAACTGTTTCGGTGCGTCCGTGTCAGGAGAGATAAACACTTTATGTGTGATGATACGAGAATCTCAGGTGGAACTGCCCCGTTACGCTGGGTAAATGAAACAGACCTTGATATTTCAGCCGTTACCTTCAGCTCATACACCTATTAGGAGTTCCACACCAGTCAATCACGGACTATGAATAGCAAGATTGTCATATACCTGGAGGGACCATGATTGTCCCAAACATATGGTCCGTCTAAACCAAATTTCTATCATTGTTGTCATGTAGTGAATACCGATTACTTTCACTACAGGGCCATGACTCGCAATTCACAGCTGTACTCAGACCCGGAAACATTTCGTCCAGAGCGCTTTGACGAGCTGGACTCATCAACCGTGGACTTGCATGATCCCCGCAAGCTCGTCTTCGGGTTTGGTCGACGGTGAATACACCAAAAACTCACATCATATTAGTTTTTAAGAGGGTGTATCACCGCGCATAGTATCTGCCCTGGACGCCACCTGGCCGATTCCACTATCTGGCTTGCGATGACTACCATCCTGGCCTGCTTCGATATCTCCAAAGCCTTAGACGAGAAAGGGATTGAGATAACGCCCGCCGCCTCTTTCACTGCCACCGCTGTTAGGTAATGCATGCGGTCTTTGATAGCCATTGTCGCTCACGGCGAACGCTATAGGCACACGAAGCCATTCAAGTGCAATATCAGCCCTCGATCTCACATTAGCGTGGAGCAATTAGTGGTGTAGAGGAGGCAAACAATCAGCGGACGGGCTTGATAGGACCGATAATCCTGCACGCGACAGTTAGTTTGCTCAATAACCCAATGTGTGTAAATATCTCACTTTCGAACGAGCGCATGTAAGACAGACTAGAATGATCGTTCGTTCCGACCGTGCCGTGCTTAGCAGAATGCGGTGGTACCAATTGTCTGCGACGCTGAGACCGAGCCGAGAGATTGATAGAACTCGAAAGCTGTATATAAATTGTCGAAAAAAAGGTGGGGACTGTCGTATAGCCCGCTCACGACATTAGTATCATAACATTCATGCCAGATGCAAAGTCGACTTCACAGAGCCAAAATGATTGACCGAGAGAAGAGTCGAACCTTTGTCACAGAGCCAAAAATGATTGACCGACGCAGGGGTCGAACCTGCAATCTCCTGATATTACGTAAGCCGAGTCACCAGCTTTGTCGTAGTCAGACGCGATGCCATTTCGCCAGACGGCCTTGATGAGGATACTGCAAAAGCATATTGAGTCTAGTTGACAATCGGGATATTAAAAGCCACCGCGTGGAAACACCGAGGGAGATTGTTGGATGGCAAGTGTATTCCCGCTCTTCCGAGACGAAAGTCAAGAACAGGCTGCGCGCGATGGCCATCGCCGAGAAGAGGCGTGCCAACACGAGACGATGGCTTCTCCGGAAGTGCACCTGATCACATTGATCAGAATCTTGAAATTCGATTCTGCGTAACATGTTGTTGGCCATTAGCTCGATTTCAAGAGGAACGTCGTCTTTGTTTCATCTACCAATGCTAAACTACATGCAGTGTTCAGCAGAATCTCCAATGTCAGAACCCAGCTAATAACCGATTATAGTACTAATTCACTACTTTCGGTCTAGGATATATTCGCGCAGTGAGGGGTCGGTAAATATCCACGAATCAATCAAAATTACGTCGACGATATGCAATTTGACAGGGCTGTGTCGGGATGACCATCATGGACTGAAACGATGAAAAGCAAGAAGTCAGCAAATGTAAATGTTGCACGAAACGAAATTACACACCGTGTAATCAGGCTTGGGGAAGGGACCTTCCAGCCGCAGCTCGAGCTTGCGAACGATAGATGCCACGATTGCGCCAATTTGAAGCACGGCGAACTACAACAGCAAAGTGAGCGGGCGGACACCAAGCCACAGATTAGGGGACACATACATGTTCACCAATGCACCGATGGCGGCCAGCACCGAACGGCAGGTATGGGCTCTGCGTGCCTTTGCTGACGAGACCGAATCCAAAGTCGACCTTTGAGCTCTCGTCATACTCCTTCCGCGCCTGCGCAGCCATGCCTGTCGCGTCCAGCCAGCGCAACGGGTCCCACTTGTTCGCGTCCTTCCAGATCAGCGGATCGGCCTGACTCAGTCCCGGGCAGGCAAGCACTGTATGTCCCTTCGGCACGACGTACACGCTATCTTCCGATGGGGCGGCCAGCGATGCAGGGATGGGGACGTCGCTGCGAACGTAACGCATGATGCTGTGAATGGGCGTGTGCATCCGGAGGGTCTCGCGAAGAACCGCATCGAGCATGGGAAGCTTCTTCAGTTCCTCGTATGTCACCTCGCGGAAGCCACCGCCAGGGAGACCAAAGTGCTCGACTTGTTCTTGGTAGACCATCTCACTGCATGGAAGGAATGAGCGAAGCAACAGGAAAGAGAGTGCGACGGAACTTACGCAATGTCCGGACGATCTGCCATGTGCAGGAGAAGCCATGATGTCGATGAAGAGCTCGTGTGCTGACCAGCCATCAGGAGTGCAATCATGATGTGGGCAATCTCATGGTCAGGAACGGGGCGGCCGTCGCGGTACTTCTGTGTCATCAGCGAAGACATGACATCGTCCTCGGACTACGCGAGAGATTTGAGCGCTGAACGCTGAAAGAAAGAAGATGATTTACTTACGTCGTCGCCTGCTTCTCTGCGCTTCTGCAGAATGTTCTGATAGAACTGGCTCATTTTCTCGTGTGCAGCATCGCGCTTACGGTAGCTGGGAAGAGGGAGGTTCTCAAACATCCAATGGAGAGGAGTGAAGCCGTGGTCGAGGTCAGAATACAGATCAGCGAAGCCCTTGGTCATATTCTGTCGGATCTCCTTGCCCTGGAGAGTCCTTGCTGCCGTCAGAATAGTGATCTCGGCCATCACTTGGTATATGTCGATCGCGCCCCATTCGTTGATGTCGTTCAACTGCCAGATACGGAATGCGGGATCCGTGTTCATGAACTGCGAGACCTCGTCTTCAATCATACCGACGTAATCACGGAACTTTTCCGTCGTCAGGGACACCTTGACGAATTTCTTCTGCTCCATGAGATGGTCGTTAGAGCAATCGTAAACCACATCTTTGCCGAAGATGGGCGTCGTCAGGGGCTGATCCCAGGTCATCAGCGGTCTGTTGCTTGGCATGATGTGTGAATTTACTCACCGCATACACCTCCTCAGCAGCCACCACAGTGTGCTTGCCGCCAAACACGAAGTCGTTGCCCTTGGTGCCGAGAGTCGCGGTGACGCGCCTGCCGAGCAGGACGAACGTAAACACGTTGCCGTACTGCAATAACCGATTTTAAAAAAAGCGGAGTGATGCGCGAGTAGGCAATCATACCTTCTCTCTACATGACTTGAAGAACTCTACAGGATCTTGCCCATATGCTGCCGCGGATCCAAACCATGGGATCCAATGGAATACCAATGGGGGCAATGATCGGTCACGGGGCAGCTGGGAAGCGTGGTTAGTGCGCTGAGAGTGACCTCAGCGGCGTGTGCACGCACCATTTGGTATAGTACATTCAGCGCGATCGCAATAATGGGTATATTGACGATAAAGAAGAGGGCGAGGCGTGGTAGCGATGCGGAGGCAAACCGGGACTGCGCCTGGTCGAGATAACCTGCCCATGGTTCGGAGTAGTTCGTTGTGAGCGACATGACGGCTGCAGGACGAGAGCGACGGCGTCGCTGCTGTAAGATACGAAGAGGGAAAAGGCTGGCGACGAACTGCGGACTGGGAAATGAGGTGTGGAAAATAATATATATAGCGGAATAGTGAGTAGTATCGAACCATCCTCATATGCCATTTTAGGAAGTGTCGCACCCGACGGCGGATCCAATGACCCTCGTGGGCCCCGCGCTGCCACAAAGTCGCGCGTACCCAGTCCAGGGCCATTCTGGACACGTCCATCTCTCACATAATTTCCTGCAGTCGTTCAATGCCCTGCGAGAGTCGGATTTTTTTTTCAAGGTGGGCATCTGCCGCTATCGTCTAGCGTTCTACAAACTACAATAGTCGTATAATAACAGAAGATGCGTTGGAGTGGAGGTTATGGGCCAGAAGACGCTGATACGACGGCGCATCTTACGGAACCCGCTGTTTTAACGTCGCACGACAGTCATGTATGGTTTCATCCCAAGCCGGATCGACGCAATTTTAATATCGACCGACTCTCCAACAGCGCCAGAGAAATCGGAATCCAGGCCGGTCAACGTAGCTTTCAGTCCCAGCTCTGGTATTACCACCGGCTGCTGGAACTCCTGTTTCAGCGCGTTCCTCATAAGAACCTCGGTGAACCTCCCGACGAGCGAGTCAAGTGGGCCCGGCCCATCCCGCCAGCCCTGTTGCCGCTCGAACATCCATCTCTCGATGAACTGATGCGCGTAATAGTCATTCTGCACGGCCCCCGCACGCTTGTCCTGGTGCTCCTTAAAGCCCGTGGCCCTCGCAAAGTCCTGGAGCCATTCGTCCGAGACCATCCGCGCCCGCCTGCCACCGGGCGACAGCAGCAGGTGTTTGATCTGCCAGTGCGTCAACATGTCACTGAAGCGCCGGAGAGGCGACGTTACTCTGACATAACCTTCGCCCTCGGGGATGCCCAAGGTTGCATGAGCACCCGGCTTGATGTCGTACGTACCGGCCGCGTACATAATTCCCTCGTTCATGGCTTGGAAGTAGTCGACAAAGCCATCGGGGTCACGACTGGCGAGCAACCGCTCTCTGCCGCCCGGTACAGTGCTCGTCAAACCTGCAGCCACACGATGAATGGCAGGCACGTCATGATCTCTCAAGAACATAGACGCGACACGACAGGCTGTCTTCATGCACTCGGAGACTATTTGCCGGGATCCAGTCTCGTACGAGCGAAAATCCGACACGGCATATTTCACTTGTGGGAATCCAAACCACTTGTATGGTTGCATCGTCTTCAACACCGACGGCACATCGGGGATGGGCTTGGGTGTGATTGACATGTCAACACTTGGCAAGCAGAACTGGAGCAGTCCGTTTTGCAATCGTTTGTGAACGAGACCTTTCGTGAGACGTTGCACAAATGATAAGTCATCCACAACAGCCTTGTCGAGAGGTGCAGCAGGATTTGCAGTTTCGATGTCCTCTCCGCCGAATGGGTACCGATTGGATACATTGGGCTCATTCATCGCGTCGTTCACCGCATCATATGTCATGATCTGTACATTCTTCACGATACCGGGCCGAACCTTGTAGTCGAGGATGTTCCCCTGTACATCGACCTTTGCACTGAACGTCATGACACATTGAGGTTCCCCACCCGCTCGACCCAAGCTGAGCTTTTCCAAAACCTTGTTATGCGGCAACATCGGTATTGTCCGTTCCACGAAGTAGAGAGTCTCCTTCAGCACGGCAGCACGGCGAGAGTGCACATGTCCGGGTGGCAAGACAGAGGTTGGGTCTGCAATATGGACATGTAGCCAGGCGGTTTCCGGCTCACTTGGTATGCGCTCCAGTGAAATGCCATCGTCCAATTCTTCAGCAGTAGCATCATCGATGACATAGACCGGCATGTCACCGAAATCGTGACGCAGTGAGTCCACGATATCATGGGAGTAGTAGTCCTCCGGCCCCAGAGGTTGTGTCAAGGGAGAAGCGAGTTTAATGGGATCTTCCACTGCCTCCAGCACGGTACCCTTCGGATCCGTGGACCACCATAGTGTAGGCTGGCGGGTCACCGCATCTTGCCATGGAGGGCAGACACCAAGTTCCATCAAAAAACGGTGGACAACGCCATCGTCAACATCGACGCCTGGATATAAGCCCGTCTTCTTGATAATAGTCGAGGTTGACACAGAATACGGGTCCTTCTGGACCGCTCGCCGTGGGATCAAGGAATCATGCAGGATGCGGATGATTGTGATATCTTCATGGTTGAAATGGTGGTGTTCGTCCACCTCATATGAAAGGGATGACCGCCATTCCTGGCGTTCTCTCGAGCGTGCGCGCTGAACGATAATCTTGGCCTTCTCCGCGAATTTGTCTACGTGCGAATCTTTCTGCAAAACCATCCGCTCGACCGTCTCTATATCTTCCAATTCTCGCTGTGGCCTGACCCAGAAGAGGCCCTTCGCTAAGAATTGAGAATGATCTGCGACAAAATGCTTGTATTTTGAGAAGAGATAGCCGTGGACCGTGTATTTTGTCATAAGAGGTATTGTTTCAGAATCAGGGTCAATGATCCTCGCTGCCTGAGCAGACGTCACGTATGTCCATGCATCACGGTCGGGGTCCTTGAAGTGGTCGTATAGGGTCCGCAATTTGTAGTAGAGTTCCGTGAGTTTGCGCTCATATTCCAACTCGAAGTTACGCAGGTGTTTGAGTACTCGGACGCGAGCAGCCACCTCGTGATCATTCAGAGCCACGATTTCTTTCCCGCACCTGTGCACAAGGTCTGTCGAGACGAAGTGTGGCACAGCGAACATGACATCGCCGGCTTTGTGTGGCCACGTCTCGCCGTTGGTGGTCAGCGTCAAGGTCACCCATCTCCCGTTTTCACCCATGTCCGTCACAACGACTCCGAGTGCGGTAATTCCACTCCTATAGAGAGACATCAACTACAACCTAATCAGCATGCTAGCGGTACTGACCTGCGAACCTCTACCAATGTCCCAGGCTGGAACCTCTGCTCAGAGTAGCCCTCTTCCATTTCAAGGCTCGTGAATGGGTCGTCATCTTCTGTTGCTGAGATGAATTGCTCCTTTTCTTGAGAGGGAGGCCTGGCAGGGTTTTGATATCCCTTGACCGCACTTGTCAGCCTACGAGTCTCGCCTTCGGGGCCTCTGGGATGCTTCCATCCCACTTTATGGTCCTTGGTAACAGCGGCGGAGACCAGACCTTTGGATGTCAACTCAAGCTTGTCATAAGATGCTTGAGGAATCATACGAGGTACCGGAGGTCTGCGTTTTCGGACAGGGTTCCATGACGCATGCCGACGAGCGCCCACCGCGCGTGTATTCGAGCTTGTTGACGCGATGTCAACCAAAAAATTCGCGCCTCGTCGATGCATAAATGGCTGGGAGGAAGCGAAAGGTGGACAGGGCAGAGAGCGTCCTGCAGGTGGCCGTCGACGGCAGATGCGATCTCAGAAAATCTCCACCAGATCTCTGAGACTCGATCACTACGTACGGACCACGTGGCTTCCGCCTCTCTGCCCGGCTGCATACATTCCCTCTTACACTCTACCTGCATCCTCTGTTCAAATATCTTGTTGCAACAATGTTTAAACGCGCTCAGAAACGACGCAGAAGGCAACAGAAGGAAGAAGAGCTCGGTCTGGACGCTGAGACGAAGGAAGTATTGGGCTTGCATGACAGCGACTCCGACGAGTTGTCCTCGGATTCAGACTCGGATGATGACTCAGAAAATGAAAATTTCGATGAAGGAGCTGCCGTTGATCAGGAGAGCGCCGTTGAAGGGAACGACGTTCCTTCCGATGAAGACGTGTCGGATGCAGATTTGGACGACGAGCCTCCATTGTCCGTTGCTGACGCCTTGGAGAATCCAGTGTATACCATTGAGCCTGAGCTGTATGCATGCGTAGTGTGCACCAGAAAGCGGTTCAAGAATCCTATAATGTGCGATGTGCACACGGAGTCTCCTGTGAGCCGTGCCGTTCCTCGCTCTGCATGAGCCTTGTTCGACCGAAGGCGTGTTTTCTAGGCTCATTTGCGGAGATATAAGAGATTCATTGCAATGGCGCGCGATGCCGACCCAGATCAGAATGTGAGAGAACTGGTGCACGCGCTTACGACAGCCCTCCCCAAGAAGGAGGTTAAAGAGGGGGCTCTGTCGAATCGTGCCATCAAAAACGTATGTCTACTTTCACGTAAATTCCATATCGTCTCAACTCGCTCTTCCATAGGAGGAAAAGATAGCAAAAAATACGAAGAAGCGCGAACGACAGAAAGCTGCCAAAGCCAAAGCGTTGGCGAAGAAGCATGCCAAGTTGGCTGTCGCCGACAACGCCGACTCTGTCGCAGAACAAACGAAGGCGACGAGCGGAGACGAAGGGAAACAAGCCGCAAAGTCCGAGGCGACGTCGCATACTCCTGCACCCGTCGCCCAGAAAGAGGTCAAGCGACCGCGAACGTCTGATGACACCTTGCCAGTTGTAAAACCCAAGGAGACAAAGCCTGTCGCAGAAGGGAAGTCCAGTACACGCAGCAAAAAGGGTGCTCACAAAACTGGCGCGCAAGCAGGGGCGAAGAGGAAGCGTAAAGCAAAGGATGTCTGAGCCGAAGTCTGATGTACGGTCACTACTTGGAGAAGGGCACCACATAGGTACCGTGGGAGCAGTGATAAATATTGGTCCATCGAAGCCATTGTCCAAGACTCGCGCGAGGAATCGGTCAAGGCACGGCTTTGTACGACGTTAAAGGTCGCCAGCATTGTCGTACGAGCAGCTACAGACAGAACTGCTGACCGTGCTAGTCAAAGCGCCTGCCCATTTATCTGCGCTGGACTGCGACAACATAGAGGCGGTTGTGCGCGACGTGAAATACCACAGCAGTGTAGGATGCATTTACGACCCGTGGTAGAAAATTTGATGCAGAATTCGCAGATCAAGGGGCTGGAAGGCACCAATTGATGACATCCTCCATCCTGGATGGGGATCAAGGATTGTTCATCTGAGGAATGACTGAGCATGTCAAACGGAAGCGCCAAAGACAAGGTTCCGAATAAGCCCCAGATCAGCAGAGAATGGTCGCACATGTACACATTGTACATCACAGCATGAACATACCGCCCCGCTGGAAGGCCTCACTTCATCGCTCGGACCGCATGATTCCACAACATACTCCAAGGCAAGTGTACATTAGCACAGGTCCGCCATGAATCAAACCTGATCGATGTCTAGCAAGCCATACATTCAACCTAAATCCTGTAGTTCGCATAAAAACGTAGCCCCGTGCTATCTCAGGCTCTGCAAGACTTGCCCAGTCATCTTAATGACCTTGGGGCAAAGCACGTATCAGTCCGAATCTCGAACACTTATATTTTGCAGTACCGACCTCATGTATATCCGGTCTCTCGGCAGGATTCACCTTCAGCATGCTGTCGATGAGGTTCTTCAGTCCCTGCGAGTAGGCTGAGTCTGGGTGCTTGTACTGCGCGTTCATGACCGCCATCGCGATTGAGCCGCCTTGTTCGGTTGTTTGCAGATTCTCGAAAGGCGAGTGCGAGTAGGCTAGTGCGAACAGTGTGCAGCCCAGGGACTGTGCAGTAGATCATATATGAGGATGCCGCTATGCATCGCAGGCCAACTTACCCAGATATCCACTTTCTCGTCCAGCGTAACGCCTGTCTTGACATCGAACAGTTCTGGAGCGCGATATGCCATTGTGCACTGCTCCGCCGCGATGTCCTGTGATATACAATGTTCAAATCGATGATCATTTTCTGATAGACACGATTCACACCTGTTGGAGTAGTGCTTGTGAGCGGTTCTCAATCTTGACTCTCGCCTTCATTGCGCTGCCAAAGTCCATCAGGATTGGAGTGCCGTCGTCCGCAATCATGACGTTCCTGATGCACGATTTTCGTAAGTGTCTCTGGGATATGCGGCGGGATCACTTGGATGGCGAGCCTACCCTGGCTTCAAATCGCGGTGTGCGTACGGCACGAGCTCGGTCTCGTTGCTCTGCGCGTTCTGGCCCGCGCCATTCTGCTGCATCCGCGAAAGCTCCTCGTCACCATCGAAGATCGCCTCACCCTCGTCAAGAGGCCGGTGCTTGGTCATGAGTGGAACTGACGACGTGTTCCCATTCCCATGGTACGAATAGCCGTCTCCATCCCCATCGCCCTCCGGATGTGGGAACATCTCCGCGTCCTCGTCGAGGGAGTTCCGCCCGGAACCGCTCGGACGACGTGCGGCGGAGGACGAGGACTGGTTCTCCCGACCTGGAAAGGGCTCTGATTTGGAGCTGATGGGCGCACGGTGGTCGTGCATGGCACGTACGGCCTCGCAGGTGCCCTTGAAGAGACGTAGCATCTCTTGCTCTGAGAAGTGTGTCCCGTTGATGGTGTTTGCATTGATGACATCTTGCAGGTTGCCGCGCTACAGGATCATGAGGCTATCACTCTCACTGATCGCATCAATATGTACCTTATATAGAGGCAAGAAGAGATAAACCACTTGGCCGTCTCCATTGGGATCTTGGACAACAGCTGAATCCTGTCTCGTAGGTCAATAAACCATATGAAGGGGATGAATAAATGCGCACCAATATGCGAATGATATTGGGATGTCTATGCCAATTGAGATCGCTATCCTGCGCCTCCTGTATTCCATAACAACTCACTTGAATCTCCTGTATGCATCGACTTCGCGCATAGCTTGTCTGACGTCTTCACGACCACCAGGACATCGAATTTTCTTCAAAGCGAATTGTCTCTATGCGCAGGGGCAACAATTTAGAATATGATCGTATCAAGCTCCGAGCCGAGGCTGATAATTTCGTGAAGTATTGTGACGTGAACGGTAGGGAGAAACTACGGCCAGCTTGATATGTGTCCGGAAATGAGAAGGTAATGCAGTATCATCTCGGAATGCGGAGCTAAGCAGATTGAGCCGTGGGAGGACGTTAAGGCTGCAGAACATATCGACAGATCTGCAATGGCGTGCAGAAAATGCAGAAGAGAGTAAACGAGGCACGTACCCCACTATGCTCGTCCTCAACTAGATATACGAACGAAAAGCCTCCCTCTCCAAGGACTCGGATGATTTTGACTATAATAGCAAGTGCCATCATAACAGATAACGGCTTCAGACCAGATATGACCTTGATAATGCACTGTACTGACATGTACGCCCATTGATCTTGACCTTTGCCGCCTGTTGGCATATGCAAGACGAGAGTGCCCAGAATGCGTCCTTGACCTGATACTTCAGGCTGTCCAGCGCAGTATGCAACTGTGGGTGCACAACAGACATGATAAATAAGCAAGAGGTATATGTGTGAATGAGTAGGTGAGAAGGGAATGGTGCGCGGGCTGAGTTGCGATCTGAGCTGAGTGGCTGCGCGTACCGCCACCGCGTCCCTGAGATCGGGCACTGTAATAGTTGTCTGAGGCCACAAATGTGACTGATGCATAACTCTCGCTATAGTGACTCCAACACAGTATATTTTACATGCCATATTCCTTCCAGATATGTACGACACTCCCGACAACGTTAATCCAACTAATCCTCGAAGCCCAGTTCCGCATTCCTCTTTGCCCGACGCAGCGCAGCGCGTTCCTCTTCAGGCAAGCAGTACCAACCTTCGATCGTATCTTCCAGCTCCATTTCCCACTTCTCCTCAAGCTCGATCTGTTTCTTGGTCTTCTTGGGCGGAGGCGGGCGCGGCAGCGGGGGAGGCGGGGTGCGACGGTTCGGATGGAGTGGCGCGATCCGAGACAAGAAGCTTCTGGAGGTCTTCAAGAGAGGGGAGTACGTCGGACGCGTAGACGCGAACGGCGATCCCGGCTGTGAATTCACCTTTCGGAGCAGTTCAGACATCGGAAGTGACCGTCTCGATGAGACAGAGTAGGAGCGATTGCTTGTGGACAATTTGGATGGCAAGGTCGCGGCGGGTGGCTTGAAATGTGAGGCAGCCTGTGCCGAGTTTCCTGTGCTCGGGTCGATGGGCACATGCTGGATGGGCATGATCAGCGAAAGTCGCCGCAAACGAACGCCTCGCTACTTACCACCGAACTGCCCGGGACGTTCTCCTTCTCGTGACCGTCGTAGAGCCGCTCCAAAGCTCCCGGCGCCGACTTTCTACCCTTTGCCGGCTCTCGTCGAACCTTTTTCGGGGGCGAGCCTGCGACTTCGAGGCTGTTGACGTCTTCCTCGTCCTCTGACAGGACAAGAGCTCGTTTCTTGCCTTTGTCCTTCTTCGCCGCTGAGCTTGACTGGCGACCGTTCTCATCTGAATTGCCACCCTTCGAGTTCGTACGTGTATCATCACTGTTCGCGTCCCATCCAGCACTGCCGAAGCTGTCAGGCTCTTTTATTGAAGCCAAAGGGACGCTCAAATTGTCGGGCGGTAGATGATGATGCGTAGAAGTAGACGCGATCGGCCGCACAGGGACCACCTCGGGAGGAGGCATTAAGTTGGCATCGCGTTCTCCATCCGAGTCCTCGACACACTCTGCGCTCATCGGCGGCGGCTTCTCCTTCGCTGCTGCCTTCCGCTTACATTTACTGACGCTGCTCGAATTTGACGTGTCGCTCGCTACGCCCCCTTGTTTCTGCTGCTTTGCCTTCTTTTCCCGCTTCTTCGGCTTCGGCTTCACGGGCGAGTCACCATTCCATTCGTCTTCGTCTTCCTCATGTCGCTTCTTGCCCGGCATGGATGCCACAATCTGCACATTATCGCCATCCCACTCTTCATCGGTGTCCGCCACGCGCCTGCGTGCCTTTGCCTTTGCCTTGACTTTAGACGACAATGCATCTGACCGGTCATGGTCATCAGTATCATCGTCGTGCGCCCTCTTCTTGCCCCTGGATCTGACATTACTCTTGTCCGACCGGGAGTCGTCCGAAGGTCCCGCGCAAGAGGAGCCTTTACTTTGCAGATCAACCGCAGGCATCGCGGTGGTAGCCGACGGAGGAGGAGGTGCAGCAATGACAGCGCTCCGAGGTTCCAAGAGAAGTTCATCCTTCTCCTCATCCAACACGACGTTCCGGGATTTCTTCCGCTTGCGCACCGGCACAGGTGAAGGGGATAATGGGGGCGAAAAGCAGATGTTGTTTGCAGCTGCGAATATTGGCGGCGTGGCAGGTGGGTGAGCCCCCGTTGACGGGAGCGGCGGATCTGAGGGCGGGAGCTGCGAGCTATGATTGGCGCTGAAGTCTGACGTGGCGACGGGGAGAGGTTCCATCTCATCAAGCGATAATTCGGCAGGTATATGCGCGAAGTTTTCGTGTCTCCTTGCAGGAGACGACTTGGAGAGACTCTTCTTGGCTTTGGTCTTCTTCATCGGAGGGCGTAGGTTGAGCTCATCTGTGTCCGAGGAAGGGATCTCAATCACTTCTGGCTCGGATACAGTGGTCGATTTCGGCGCGACGCGATTCTTGTTAGCTCGAGCTCGCGCACGGAGCTTCGCACGCTCGGCGATGTCATGCGAGTACAGCTCGATAGGTACGGTCAGGGCCTCTCCTCTGCTTACATTCGAGTAAGGAGCGGCTGCAGTAAGTAGGGGAGTACGGGGAGTGACAACGGCTCCGTTAGAATCGACTGACATGCTATTCAACGCGGGTTGACGCGCCGAACTGGACTCGGAGGAGGCACTACTGGAGCTCAGAGCCGAAGCACCCTTGTAGGCAGGTTTAGGACGCGGGCGAGATCCTGTTGCTGGAGCCTTTGATGAGGAAGATGAGTTTAGCGCGATAATGGAGTGGGCCACGCTGGGTGAATGTGTGAAAGAGGATATTTCGGCCGCGCCTGCACGAGGCTGAACTGTAGTTGTGGCGGTCTGTATAGAGGCTCCTGTGTCTGCGCGAGACAGATTATTCTTGAATGCAAATTTCGTAAGAGAATACAGTCCGTATAGTACAACTGTGCATTTACCGTCATCGGCAGGGCAGGACGCGTTTCCTCCATCAACGGCGTCAACGCGAGAGTGTCCTCGTCTTCGCTGTCTTGAATGATCTCCTCATAATTCGCAGCTCTCTCCATCTCGAAGGGCTACGCGCGTGCAAGGTTGAAACGAGCTACGGTTGTCACTGATTGAGAGCAAGTCAAGGCGTGGCCGTGAGAAGATGAGCCGCGACGCGGTTATGGCCTGCACGTGACCGCGACGCGTGCGTAGCACGGTCCGTGCCACTCAGGTGACGATATGTAAGTGAATGCCCCTGTGATCCTTCATCCCTCCATCATACGGACCGATAACTCACCATGGCTCCTCCTTTCACCCAACCTCACATTGAGACCTCTCCGAAACGCGTGCGCGTGCTGTTCGGAGGAAAGTACATCGTGGATACGTCCGAAGCTAAGCTAGTGTACGCACGGCCATCGCTGACAGCCTGCTGAGTATCTGATGAGGCATCGGGCTGCCGCATAGATGGCTGAAGCCGAATTATCCCACCTATTTCTTCCGCCAGGAAGATGTTCCTGCTGAATATCTGCAAAAAGAGGCCGACGACACATCATCCGATGCGAAGGTGTACGACGTAGTGGTGGGATCATCGCGGGCGAAGGGCGCTGCAAAGAAGCACCTCGCAGGTGCCCTTGCTGACCTCGTCGAGATCATATTTGGCACGATGGATGCGTGGTTTGAGGAGGACGAGCAGATCTTCGTACATCCCAAAGACCCGTACAAGGTCAGCCCACCATGGTCATACCTGCTTGTACCGTCTGATGTTCCCACTATCGTAGCGAGTGGAAGTTTTGCAATCATCGCGCCACGTACGAGTAGAAGTCGACGGCGTTGTGGTGGCCGAGACGACCAAGCCGCGTCTGCTTTTCGAAACAAGCCTACCCGTGCGGACGTACATCCCAAAGACAGACTGCAGGATGGACCTCCTCACACCATCCACGCTCACGACGCAATGCCCATACAAGGTGCGCTGCCATCATCAACGGTTGCAAAAATGGTATTGCTGAGGCTATCTTCTTGCGTAACCACAGGGAGTCGCCAACTATTACAGCATCAACCTGCCCAATGATAAGACTTTCGAGAACCTCGTATGGTGGTATCGTGCCCCCTTGCTGGAGTGCGCCGCTGTTCAAGGCTTTGTGGCCTTCTATGATGAGAAGGTGGATGTTTTCGTGAATGGAGTCCGTGTGCCTCGCCCGAGCACTCAGTGGTCGTGATGATGGAGTCCGTTGTGCTATGGAACTCGGAGACATAGCGGTGACAAAAGCAGCATGCGTAAAAAAAACTCCGAGCAGGTACCCGGGGGCCAGCCTGCGGACCGCGGTTAATGGTGTATTGTAGAATATGGTATCATCATTCTGTGATACTCTTCACTAAGCCTCCAGCCGCGTGACAATAAACCTAAGGCTCACTAAGATATGAATATGTTGCCACAATCTGAGCTAATGATGCGATTGTTTGCCCCTCTCCGGCTTCGCAGATAGATAGATATATGAGTGTAGGAGGGTCCCTTCACTGATTCCGGCCGGAGATCTCTGTCGAGAGCCGTGAGATTTCGGAAAAGGCAGCTCGGAGGAGGTCCAGGTCAGCATCCAGGTTCTCCGCGCGAGATTTCATCTGCAGGATGCATGTTCAGCAAAGCAGCACAACACCACAGTCTTTGGATAGCTTACTGCTGCAATTGTGTCGCTGGCCGCGATCAGCTCGTGATGATGATTGTACACCAAGGACTGTCGCTCGCTGTCGAGCTGCCGAATCTCTGCGTCGCGGTCAGTCGACAAGTCCAGTGAAATGACAGAGAACCCACCTGAAAGAAGCTCATTCTCTCGTTTCAACAGAGTCGGCAGTGATGAGGTCGTGATGAGCTGCTCATAGTACGACCGTGCATCGAAAGCAGTCGAATCTGCATAGCACACCCATAACATGAGCCATTCGCTCACGAAAGGGCTTCAGAAAGCCTCACCAAGATCCATAGGGTCCGCAGCCCTCCCCGACAGCGGCGACGGCGGCCCGACGCTCAAGCCATAGTGTTTCCTCAACAAATCCCTCGCGCGCGTCTTTGGCCGTTCTCGCTGCGGCAGCGGCGAGGTTGGCCCACCTCCCTGCAGCGGGGCACTCGAATGCGATGGCCTCCGTGAATTATGCGAATCTGGGGTATCGGCACACATGGGGACGGGCGAGGTGGCTCGTAATGGAGAGGATGGCGGGCGCGGGATGGGCGTGCGTGAGCGCGAGGGCGTCTCTGATGGGCTCGTTGCAGCAGACATGGCTCGAGATAGCGGAAATGAATGATGGGGAAGAGGAAGGTTGCGTGGATAGGGTGGCCGAATGTCTCAGATAGAGCTTATAATATATGCGGCAAGTAGACTTGGGGGTGTTGGCGCTGCGTCCGCACGCCCGGGTCCGAATGACCGGTGGATAAGACCGACGAGCATTTAACCATTTGCGACTCGGAGGAGGGGATTGAGTTACGAGAGAAAGTATGATGGTTCGCGATATACAGAGGATAGAGTACCGATGGCATGAGCATTTGTCCGCGATATACAGAGTATTAATGAGGAGATTTGAGAAGGATAGTTAGGAATAGTTCAGATAGTTCGGCAGTGGGAATGTGAAAGTCAATGAAGAATGTAGAGATAATCACATACGTCGGCCTTTTACAGCAAAGCAACAACGGTTGTAGGCATGACAGACGGCCACACAACGTCGACAAAGTCCACAAGAGCAGTCGACAACAGCCGTTTAGGGACACAGTCGTCGACAGGGACCAATCGCCACAAGCGCGCTGGAGCGAAACTTTCGGGGCGCTCATCCAGCCACAAGCGTGGGAAACGGGCAACGAGGGTCATGATAATGTAAGCACACGCTCTGCAATAGCTCGCTATAACCCGAATGACTAGGGTCATTCGGAACATCTCGTCCCTCAGTGGACCCTCTCAGTTAAAACGAATCACCGATTCTTATTGCGTGAAAGTGTCAGAATTGGATTGAATGTTTCAGCCTTTCCTATCAAGTGAGTAGTATGGAGAAAAGACAAAAGCCCGTTTTGCACCTCTCCTGTTACGTCAAACTGCCTGTACTGACCAAATCAAATTGATGATGGCGGCCGCAGCAGGAGAATGTCCATAAATTTTCACTCTTTCATCACTTTAAGAGTTGGTGTTTTCTTTGTAACTTCTTGAGATCTCACCAGGTCTCGACCAGACATAGTCAACGCGATGCATATACTCTTGACAAGCTATGGGTACAGACATGGGTTCCGTACGTCGCGGACAAATTATACAAACACAGAAAAGAAAAAAACGAAACACAAGACGCTGTATATACGGACGCAGGCTCCGTGTAACGAGAGAGATTCGGAGAGAGAATGAAACAGAGAAAAGAAAAACCCCAGTGCCCTTTGCACTAAACGCTTCGTCATCGCGTCGACATGCTCCGCCTACTCAACGCACGGGCTCTTCCGTACGTTGTCACCTAAGCAAGGCGCAGAGGAAGTCGACGTTACACATTGGAGCAGAGATCAGAACATAAGGACGTATCTGATTCGTTAAATTACAGTATTGCTTAGCTCAAGTTCCGGCGCTTATATCCTGTGGTCCCTGGACGTACTTGTCTATGTCATGGGAAATAGAGGTCATGGATGCCGAGACAGTGGGCGGAGGCTCGGGACTTCCATATGAGCACTTGTCGACACCCGAGGTCACCGATGATGGGTCACTGTTTGGAATGTCGATCTCGTCCTTGATGAGGATCGCATTCCATTGTGCATGCGCCCCGGCGTTGAGCTCGTGCGAATGTCCCCAACGTTCCAGTTCCCCCACTAGCTGATTGACCTCTTTGTCCTTGCCCGCCAGACCGTCCTCTAGCTCGAGGATCCGTTGCTGGAACGCCTGTCTCTCGAAGAAGTTCTCCGCCTGCAGGAAGTCAATGCTGCCCTCTGCGGCCTCGAGGGACTGGGCCGCTGCACGCTTGTCGCGTTCGAGCGTGAAATTCTTCGCTATCTGCTTCTTGACTTCCTCCGTGAACGCCTGCTTGGTGAGCTTGTCTTGCTTCTTCACCCGCCTGAGGCCCTCGTTCTTTGCCTTGTAGCGGCGCCGGTTGTCTTCCTGCCAGGATAGAGCTGCTTGACAGAGAGCGAGGCGAGCCTGACAATCCTCCAACGATCCCGCAGGATACTCATTGTCGCAATCAAGGTCGCCAGAGCCATCTTCCGTCCCTTCCGATGCGTTCTCATACAATTCAAGCCTATGGTTGCACGCCCGAAGTTCCGCCACGAGGGCCGCATTGTCCGCCCGTAACTTGCGAACTTGCTCGTCCGATGCGACCTGGGCGAAATAGTTCTCCGCCACCAGGAAGTCGATGCTCTCCTCCGCGGCTTCCAGTGCCTCAACCGATGCGAGATTCGAGCGCTCGACGGTCGCAACCTTGTCCTGATACTTCCGGATCTCCGCGATGAGTGTCGTCCTGGTCGCCTCGAGGAAGAACAAAAGATCGTCGACCTTGCGCTTGAAGCGAGATCGATCTTTGTCACACCAGTCGAAGGCCACATGAGAGAGACGGAGGCGACCCTCGCAGAGCTCGAGGTCTTCCCTTAACTCCGTCACTACCGAAGACTCCGTCTTGTCGCCAACTAGATCGTTATTATCGCTATCGTGCTCGTCCATCCGTGTCGCTTGAGGAATCGATTCGGCTTGCTTGAGAAGTCTGTTGCTCTCCTCGCATGCATCCAAATCGTATCCGTCGCTGTCCCACTCGTCTATCCATGCCGCCTTAGGAATCAGTCCGGCTTCTTCGAGGAGGTCGTTCCACTCCTCGTATGCATCCGGGATACCATCTTGGTCGTTCCGCTCGTCGGTACCTGCATCGGAAGAGATGAGTATCTCAGGGGCCCTATCTCTCTGCTGACTCACCTGGGCCAGTACCATCGCATACCTGCTCGTCAGCCCGTATCGCCTCAACAATATGTCGGTCTTGCTCCAGGAGCTTGTTCCTCTCCTCAGTGACACTAGAATACAAACACACGCTCTGCTGGGTCCACCTCCCAGCAGGCTCAGATCCCCCATAGACGCCGTCGGAAACAAAGATCGCTCTAACTTCGCCAGCGAAGCAAGACGCATAACTGATTTCCGTGACGCTGCGGTACTCGTCCTCTGTGTCCACGGGCGGGGCACAAGAAGAAGGACTCGGTCCATCCTCAGTGACTGGTGGGGAGGGATGAACTTCGGCGAGGTCGCAAGGGGGAAGGGAGGGAATGGGTGTAGGATTCATGTTGGCCGGCTCGCGTTGGTCCTCGAAAGCCGGTGGGCAAGACTTGACTTGTACGTTAATATTGCTGAAGGCGCTACTGTTGGCCGGTGCCGGGCTAGCGTCGGCATGCTCGAGGCCTTCCTCATGAGTTGGGGAGCAAGACTCGAATTCTGACGCATTACTTGACGGGGCGGAAACATCTTGAAGGTGATTGGCATCTTCTAGCTCGGGGCTACCCCCGAGAGCTTCTCGGAATGGTGATACCTGTTCGACGGAATTGCACAAAGCGGGATCTTCTTGACTGCGGCTCGCGTCACCTAGCTTGAGGTCATCCTCGGGAGCTGGCAACGCGACATATTCGACTTGACTGGGAATGGCGGGCATCTTTTGACTGCGACTCGCGTCACCTAGCTCGGGGCCACCCCCAAAAGCTGGCAACGCGAAACGTTCGACTTGACTAGGCATAACGGGGTTCTTCTGAAGGCCGTTGTGATCGCTCAGCTCGAGGATGTCCTCAGAAGCTGGCAACGTGACTTGACTGGATATAACAGAGCCGTCTTGACCTGAGCCTGTTTTGACCGGTTGTATTCTATCCTCGCGGACATCCAAAAGCGACTTGACCTGTTCGACATTGCTCGAAGCGACGGCACTGGCTTGCGTACGAGTTGCATTGGCCTTGAACTGGGCGTTCTCTTCCTCCAAACGGGCGATCTTGGCTCGAAGGTCCTTGAGAATGGTCTGAGAACAAGTGAGCAACGAGATCACTACAAACAGCGAAAGCGCACCTCAAACACTGTTCTGCCATCGAGAATATCGGTTGCCTTATCATCGTATTGATCGTTCTCGCAAGGTATCGATGAAGCAGCGATGTCGGCGAAGATTGGTCTTGCGACGTCATCGAGACCACTGATGCTAGGAATAAAAGAGAGATCGTTCGACGCAACGGTCTTCTCCTCGACCTTGATGCTCCTGTCCTCGGGGCTGAGATAACCATCAGCAGGGTCGGTAGATGCATCGTTCCTTGCGCCATTTTCCGCACCACCTGCGAGAGCATCGACGTTGACCGCCTCGAGACTCTTGAGTGCACTATAGATAGGCCAACTGTCTTCGATATCCTTTCGGGTCATGATATCAGCATTTGAATCCTCCTTGTGGTCATCTTCGCAGAATATTGTCGTAGTGACGGCGCCCACGCTCGGCACTTCCTCGACTTCATCGAATCCAGTGAAAAGGGGACCATCCAGCGCGATGGTCTCCTCCTCGGCGAGCGACGACTTGCGACTCTCGTCATTGGGGTTGAGACGAGAATGCTCCTGAGAGACGCCATTATTAGCGGCATAGATCCATAAATCCTCCTCCTTAGTAACTTCCGATTCGTGTGCGAGAGTATCATTATTCAAGTTCTTGAAATCTTCGTCCAAATGAAGCTGTTCGTGATATAAAGTGGGCAAACAATACCCACGCAGTAGTGAGCACATACCTCAAACATAGGCTCGTAAAAGAGGTCGTCAACACTTTGGTCCTGCTCTTTGATGTCCTCACTGGGTATCGGCGAAGCGTCGACATCGACGATCGCAGTGCATAGACTCTCACCCTCAGAGCTGAGACGAGAGTATTCAACTGAGATGAAACCACCGATGGATTCCGTAGACGAGTCCTCCTTTAGTGCACTGATCTTCATGTCCTCGAAACTATCGTCAACACGAGTCTTCGGCGCAGGGAAAGCATCCATGAGCGAGGGCATCCCGACATCATCGAGAACGCCGGTCTCCGGAGTGAAGAAGGGACTGCCGGTTGCGCGAGCCTCTTCTTTGATCAAGGAGCAGTCGAAGAAGTCTTCTTCATCGCTGAGATGAATATCTAGATCCCGTAGATCGACTACGGACGTGGACTCTTGAATGCTTTCGTCCGCGAAGAAATCGACATCATCTTCTGACCGGTCCGAGGATGTGTCGAGTTCTCCGATAAAGTCCAATATCAAGTACTCCTCGTCTCGCCATTGCGAGTCGGCCATACGGGTGGTGGCTTGATGGATCCATTCGAGGAAGAGGTGCACGACGACCACAGAGGCAAAGACCAAGGTCCCAAATCGTAATAAACCAATGATCGAGGGGTCGGCTGACAGTCCACACAAGCCGCCTAGGGCCATCCTTATTGCCGAGACAACCCAAATGGCGTGAATCAGCCTAGCGAGGACGAGCGAGATGTATGGGACACCGTAGGTCTTCAATTCCTCCGAAAGTGTATTGAAGACGAGCGCCAGACAGAAGGAGCTTGTCGGGAGGATGAGAGAACCATCGTGAGAGGCCAGTGATGATACAAGATTCTGTAGGAGCCAGGACGGTAGAATGAAGCATCCAACAGGGAGCACGGCCTGCCAGATGAACTGCTTGATACGACGAAGAGCTTTGCGGCGTCTTGCCAGCCACACCACCCCGTCGTACGCGATGCACCCCACTACCAGCGAGAATGCCAACGCCGATGCGGGAGAGGTCGATGCCCAAGCAGCGAGGGACGAGATGAATGTGTCGCCAGGCGGGAACTCTTGAGCCCCATACTTGCCGAGGACTGCACCGAGCGACGACGACGGACCGGCGGCGGCGACGAGAGGACGTTGACCTACCTCACCGTTACCACCGCTGCCCGTCGGGGGGCCGGACTCGTCAAGCCCAGCCAAAGCAGAGAGGTTGAGAGTGAGAATGAGTTGTGAGATGATGTGTTCCATGATTGTGCTGAGGAAAAGAAAGACAGCGAGACACACAATTAAGTAGACTTCGAAGAGGCTGACAGTATTTCGGACCCCGTAGTCAGCCTCAGCGACAGTGAGTTGAGATGCTTCTTGTTTTGCTACCTCCATTCTAGCATGCCACACAGAGCGCAGCGAATTGTTAGGAAGCCCGGCGTTAAAGTGTCATGCCTACGAGAAAGCTCGCTGCATCGGCCCCTTGCGCGAGTCGTGCTGTGCAGTTGACAGGACCTGACAAAACCTAAATAAAAACAGAATGCGACACAACGCGACCCACAATGCATTCTCTCAGATTGTCCCCACAAGCCCGCGAACTTGACATTTCGGCTCTGAGTTTTGCAGTCTGGGAAAGAGCACGGAACGCATTGAGAAAGAAGAACAACCGGGTTACCGCTCCACGTTGCTAAAATTCTCTTCATAGTAAAAAAAGATGCCCGTCGACATGCTGGCAACGCACATAGCACGGAAAAGATATTTGGTGAGTCGAAGTCCATTGTACACCGCATTTTGCTGAACGTATAGAGCCCTGACTGCTTGTACGCCGGCCATAGGGGGACGAACTTGAAGGAGGGGTGACAATTCTTCACCGTGGCATGGCGTTCGACGAGAGAGCATTCATGAACTGCGCTAGAGTGGACCGAGCATTCGTGGACTGCGAATTGTACTGAAAGGTAGGATATCGGCGATTGGCCAAGTGAACGAATCGTTCATGAGGTTAAACCTTGGGCAGAGGACGGATTCGGGATTCAAGGAAAGCGATGATATACAGTGGATTGCGAAGGCATCTGTGCTTTGGCTGCCACATAGGGATCATAGGAATATAGTTCTCGAGTGGACGGCGTTTCAACGCGATGGTGATGTGTGGTGGAAGGTCAGACGGCACAAGCTCGAAATTCCCGTGCATTTCCAAATGCGATCGCACGGTCATCACATGATCGCGTCTGTTTCATTCTCAAGACCTTTGAGTTCGCGAACTTCGAGTCCGAGAACAGTCTGTGTAATCCTCGCTCTCGTGTTTGCACCAAGCTCCCTGTATCTTTATAGGCAACGATGTATCACACAACGTCACTAAAGAGATTATCAACTGCTCCAAGATCAAAATTCAGTAATGGTCTTTTCTTAATGCAGCACAAGCGTGATTACCGCCTTTCGGACAGTGTAAGGGCTCGACTCAGGAGATAAGGGCGACGCGAGGAGCGGAGGCAATGAGGAGCGAAGAGGATAGATAGAAGGGTACGTCGAGAAACTACTGGCGTTGTTCCTGCGACGATTCCCGGAGAATCGTCGCAGCTTATATACATGTAGGATGAAAGCATTACTAAGGAAGAATATAAGGATGATCTCGTAAGCGGAAGCGGATGCAAGAGTCATCTGAAGGAAACCAAGCACGACTAGAACGTCGTCTACAACGTCTGTGTCCAAAAGAAGAATATCCGCCTCGAGGCTATCCAACCTCGAGTAGTCGAGAGCGCGCTGCGGAGCGGATGCAACTAATGAGGAATGGAACGTACAGCGACGGAAGAGCGTCGGGAGTCCGCAGTGTGTCTGTAGCGCGACAGAGATCATGACAGACAGGCTCACCGCGTAATGACCAGTGTGAGGTAGATTCATCAATACTCTGTATTCGCCTTCATTTTTTGGTTCCGCTGATCCAGTGCCATTCCGCTGATGTCACTGCAACAGCACATTGTCTGCATTTTTGTGCAATGCAGGGATAACTGCGCGGCACGCTGCTCAAGAGGAGAGTCAGGCCAAAAGTTCTGAGCCTCAAGGCATTACCTCTTGGCGGAGAGCACTTTCGAAAATCCCAACATAAAGCGGAAAGCACTCGAGTTGGATCTAGTCATCAAAACGAGCATGCGTACTTAAGCTCGAGCTCAAGAGGCGTGAAGGCCGAACGCGCTGGAGAGTGTCCGAGTCGTCCGTCAGATGACCGTGTTTGTGCGGCAAGTCCCACCCGGTGCTATGCTACTAGATGGCCTTCTTCGTAGCAGTAGATGCTCGTTTGCTCGATAGACAACATACCCCATGTGCGAGTGACCCCATGAAGTTCGTCGACACATACTCCTCATACCCCGTCGCTTCGACTCCGAGTATGGTGTAACTCCAGCATGAACCATTGTTCGAAATATGTTAGCAGTAATCGATGTACAATCCACCATGAGGTATCCATTACAATACACATACTAGTAGCCTGATGCAAACACATACAACACGGCACAACATTGAGACTGAGTCACCAATGGATTCCATAGATGATTGCTCCATGATCTTCATGTCCTCGAAACTATCGTCAACACGAGTCTTCGGCGAAGGGAAGACATCCACGAGCAAGGGCATTTTGACTTCATCAAGAATGCTGGTCTCTGGAGAGAAGAAGGGACTACCGATTGCACTAATCTCTTCTTTGATCAAGGAGCAGTCGAAGAAGTCGTCTTCGTCGCTGAGATGAAAATCTAGATCCCGTAGATCGACTACGGACGTGGACTCTTGAATGCTTTCATCCGCGAAGAATTCGACATCATCTTCTGACCGGTCCGAGGATGTGTCGAGTTCTCCGATAAAGTCCAATATCAAGTACTCCTCGTCTCGCCATTCCGAGTCGGCCATACGGATGGTGGCTTGATGGATCCATTCGAGGAAGAGGTGCACGACGACCACAGAGGCAAAGACCAAGGTCCCAAATCGTAATAAACCAATGATCGAGGGATCGGTTGACAGTCCACACAAGCCGCCTAGGGCCATCCTTATTGCCGAGACAACCCAAATGGCGTGAATCAGCCTAGCGAGGACGAGCGAGATGTATGGGACACCGTAGGTCTTCAATTCCTCCGAAAGTGTATTGAAGACGAGCGCCAGACAGAAGGAGCTTGTCGGGAGGATGAGAGAACCATCGTGAGAGGCCAGTGATGATACAAGATTCTGTAGGAGCCAGGACGGTAGAATGAAGCATCCAACAGGGAGCACGGCCTGCCAGATGAACTGCTTGATACGACGAAGAGCTTTGCGGCGTCTTGCCAGCCACACCACCCCGTCGTACGCGATGCACCCCACTACCAGCGAAAATGCCAACGCCGATGCGGGAGAGGTCGATGCCCAAGCAGCGAGGGACGAGATGAATGTGTCGCCAGGCGGTAACTCTTGAGCCCCATACTTGCCAGGGACTCCACCTAGCGACGATGACGGACTGGCGGCGGCGGCGAGAGGACGTTGGTCCGCCTCAGCGTTACTGAGAGTATGTTGTGAGATGACAGGTTCCATGATTGTGCGTACTGAGGAAAAAGAAGACAGTGAGGTCAACACTCTTATGGAACTCGAAGAGGCTGACTGCATTTCGATCCAGATTCTGAGCATCATGGCATTACCTCTTGGCAGAGAGCACTTTCGAAGATTCCAACACAGTGCGGAAAGTGCGTACGCGTGGGTTGGATCCAGTCATCAAAGCGAGTATATGCGTCCAGGCCGAACGCGCTGGAGAGTGTCTCTGTTGGCCATCACATGACCGTGTTTGTGCTGTCCTACAGGTTTAGTACGGTCGCTGCACTGCAAGTCCCACCCTGTACTATGCTACCAGACGACCTCCCTCATAGCAGTTTTCTCGATAGACGATATACCCCATGCGCGAGTGATCCCATGAAGTTCGAGTTCGTCGACACATATTCCTCACACCCGTCGCTTCTCGCAGCTTCGACTCCGAGTATAGTGTAACTCCAGCATGAACCATTGTTCGAACAACGCATGACATATGTGTGTTAGCAGTAATCCATGTACAATCCACATGAGGTATCCATTACAACGCACATAGCCTGATGCAAACGCATACAACACAGCACAACATAGCAACGCCGCCTATCGTACACCGCCCCACAAGAAATCGCAGGCACATACCGTCCCATATCCGCACTGGCATGCGAACCTATCACAATCCATTTGTTCCCATAAAGACTGCGATCCATCACACCCAACTATCCCTCGTCTTCGCTTCCACCCTCACCATCATCCTCTTCCCCTTCTTCCACTCCTTCCTCCACGATCCCCACTCCTCCATTCCACTCCCGTTCCCACAGTGGCACGCCATCCGCATTCTTGTGCGCATCCGAAACGACCAGAGCAGGATGTCCCTGCGCGAGCGAACTGCGTGCAGACTGCAGCCGCGTGAGCAGCGATTCGCGGTCGTCAATGAGCGACGTGATATGCTCGATGGCTGAGATGACACGGACATTAGCACTATTTATCTCCGAATGAAAGCAAGGTCCACCGCCGCGAGCCGATAACGGCCAGACGCACACGTGAAAGCCGAAATGATGGACACACTGCGGCCGGAGGCACAGCAATGGACACGAAGGCGGAATCACAGACACCGCGCACCATCATCACACCATACAGCACGGCAAAAGGATCCGACACTCACTCTTCTGCAGCACCACATTCTCGCTCTTTGGCCCCGCGCGCCCATCGACAATGCTCTCTTCGCTCTTCTTCTTCCTCTTGCGTCCCTTCACTCCTCCCACAGAGCTTCCATCTTCCGTACCAGCTGCCACTTGTGCATCCTCCGCTGCAATCGCCTCGCGTAGCGCTGGCACCGCGTTGCATAGAGCATCGTACCCACGCCGAATATTGGCACGCCGCTTCTGCTCGCTCTGGATGTGATTCGCGCGCTTCTGCGATGGCGAAAGCAGCGCAGGCTTGTTGGTCGTCGCTGTCCCTGCGCCTGACGTGCGCGCCCGGTTGACGTTGGAGCCTGCCGAGGACTGGCGCCGAGAACGCGTGTTTGGCTCCGTTGGGGAATGTGAGGGCCGTGGCCGTTTTGGCGCGGATGAACCAGTATGTGAGTCGTCCTCTGGCAGAGATCGCTTCGACGAGGTCGAGATCGACACGGACGGCGCTGAGACGGAGGTGGGTAACGATGTGCGCCGGGGAACATCTGTCGCGTTGGAGAGAGGGGGCGACATGATTTTCTCGAGGGAGCGTATGGAGGGTATCTGCTGTTGGGTACTATGCGGGCGGGGCATGAAGGGGTCCTGCGAAGCATGTCGGTGGTCCAAGGCCGGGAACGGGCCAGCAAAGCTGTGGGGCCGCGCGTCACCCGACGACGACGACGACGACGCTTCTGGGCTGAAACTTGGCCAACGGCTCGAGCTTCCTGTCCTGTTCGTTATGCTGGAGCCCGCTGGTGACTTGCCTTGCGTGCCTGACTTTGAACTAGATGTGCTGTGGGCAAGGCTGCCCATGGCCATGAGATCCTTGGTGGCCTTTGCGAGGGCATCTCTGCCATGGGTGATATGGATCTTCTCTGCGAGGCCCTCGAACTCGAGGTGGTCATGGTGGTCGACGGCGGCGAGGAAGGAGTTGAACGAGACGGACTCGGACGGCGATAGGATCGACATTGTGCGGGGCCCCGTCTTTACATAGTCGCCCACGATGGCGGCTTGTGATAAAAGTCGCATCCACCGATGGCGAGACTCCCACAGGCGCACACGTGATTTCGGCGAGCGCGGGCGCGTGGTCAGCGAGATTGCGTGGCACGCGTGACACGCAGAAACGGTCGTCGTACGAGCTCCCTCGAGCATCGGAGAAGCTGTCAGCTGGTGCTGCAGGTGAGGAATCGCATGGCGGAAGAAAGAAGGGACAAATCTCAAGTGGCCGAGGACAGAATAGGCTATGGAGAATAATATGCGCGCTTGTGCGATCACTGATTTGCCGTGAGTTTCAAGGGCTCGGCAACTGATGAGAGGGGCATCGTCTCGACTGCGCGAACATAATCATCGTGACGTGTATTCGGCGACGGCGCGAATTATCCCTGAGCATTACGCAAGCTGCAATCAATGTCAATGGGACATTGCCATGAGGGCGAAGGAAGAGTTGAGCGAACAGTGGCAGTGCTGCAATTGTGCTGACCAAGATAGTATGACAACCGTCTTTACGGCTGGCTCAAAACGATCACACCGACGTGCTCAACCATCGTCGTCGGAGTCTCCGGTATTATGAACCGTATAGGGAAGGCACGCTACCTCTTTGGGTAATCTTTTCACGTGATCTGTGGCTGTGGTGGGGACATGCATAGATGCCACATGGAGGGAATATGTCGGGGATGCTGTCGCTGGCAATTGAATACTCGTTCTTGAACAGCATGGCGCAGAGAATGACAGCGACAACTCCAATGCGGCTACATCTGAAGACGATCTGTCATCCTAGTATAGCACCTGCATACAATGAAGAGTATGATGTGCCGATTCGAAAAGCTTCGAACTTGAACGTTCTCACTAGCACGAGCCCGGTGCCCAGGAGCGCGGAACCAAACCAAATAAGCACTAGTGGATTTGAGGTCGCATTTGAGGTCGCTTCATAGGAGTTTATAGGGGACAGGCAGTGCGCCCAAAAGAAAAATCCTCCGGGACATGGTATATGCCTGTGGTCTTCCGATAATAGCGGACATATGGACATAGAGAGCAGCCGGACCAGGATGGAATCGAGAAGACGTCCGCGGCAGCATCCAACTTCCCGCAGGCTGTGCATGAGATACATGGAAATGGCAGGAGAAAGCACTCAGATGGATTGTCAACTCGCCTTAGAACCCTCAGCATTCAGGTCAAGATAAATATCTGCAGTCGAGCAGAAGAACTTCAAGTATACGGACAAGCTGTGACGGGGCCCTCGTCCACGGCCCTCGTCCACGAGCTCGGACACGGTCGTGTGACTATCGACGCCTGCTCATCACTTGAGAGCTTGGCACTCCCATACATTAGTCCAACCTAACGCAATAAGGCCACATAGAAGGTCTCCTTGACAGAAGTCTAAAGGAGACCTGCAGAGCCCGGCAACTTACCTCCAAGAGAATTGGCTGTAACGTGGGGGGACTAGACGGACATGGTGGTTATAAGTATGTTGTTTCCGTCGCAACGGACCAACCTGAACATCATGCTTACAGAAAACAGGCCCTCTTTCCGCCTTTCATTCTCCATAAACAGTCGCATCTTCATCAATGCAGCTGATGCACACACGCAGCTCCACCGCATGGGGGATGACGACACTGTCAAACATGCTCTCCTGCTCTTCTCAGCGTCACGTAACTATGAGACACGCACCTCCTCCTGCACGGGGGCACACCCATTGATCCCCATCAACTCGTCGTCTCCTCGAGTCTCTCTCGCCCAACCTGAGCCGCCTTCCACATTGAATTCGACTCCCCTGAAATCCCATTCGTGGACGACCAGGACAAGGGGACGGAATTTGAGCGGACAAAGGATCGGCCTCGCGGTGAACGCCTGGGGGTTACATCAGAAGCAGAAGAGTGGTGTGTTGCACATGGCGACAGTAGGAGAGATCGTCGTCTAAATTGAAGAACGCGAAAATGTACGTCAGCATACCACCGTGCGCAACAGAACGTTCGTTGAAACACTGCCCACTTACTAATGCTTGTCTGCGGCGTCGACAGCGCCATGCGGCGGCGCAGCCATATTAACAAACCGTAATCAGAGACAGCGCGCGGTCATTGACGCAACCCAGTTCAATCGTGGTCCGTACGCTACGGGCGAGTAAGGTCGGGCACCCGACGGGAAGGACTAATGTACATGGTGGCAGACCACGAAAGACGTACGGACATCTACACCCGGGGCCAGGCGCAACGCACGAAGGGAGCAGATGGGGTCGATATTGGCATTGTGCAAAGGTATCTGGCACGAGAGGGATAAACTAGCGAGGTGTGTATAAGATACGCATACGCAGCGACATTGAGAAGATGTATCAGTGTGTTGGTTCAAGATGTGGCAGGGAGACAGATAGTTATGCTTAGGCTCTACGGGTGCAATAGATGGACGACACATGCGGGTGCAGCAAACGCGAAGGCAAGGTGCGAGTACTTGTCCAAGACTGTCCGGGAGCTGTATCGAGGCCATGTTGCAATCGGAAAGTCCATCAGCGTCGTTTGTTGGAAGGCACGTCGCATCTGGCCGTCACCAGGACAGTATTTTCGAAGGGCGGGGGGGCTCGTCGGCATGGAGCGCTAGCGACGCGGAGGCCCGCTTAAGGGGGCCTGGTTACCGATTCGGCGCGAGCGACGACAGCGAGAGCCCTTGTGCAAGCTCCGCCTTCCACGCGAGGCGGCGGATGGCCTCGGTGTAATCGACCCACTCGCGTCTGCGCTCCTTGCTCTCGAGCCAGTCTGCGTCGAGGTCGGCCACGTCGAGCTCGTAAAAGTGGTATGTCGACGACGCGGAGGGGATCGTGGTGACGAATCGTGTGATCTTGCCGCGCACGCCCGCTGCAAGAAAATGCACAGGTAAGGCATGAGGTGACGGGCGAGAGGAAAGGGTCAGGAAGGGGGATGGGGAATGGGAGAGGAACGGATGAGACCTTCTTCCAAGGCTTCCCGCGAGGCTGCTGCTTCTAGCATCCCGTCTGATGGCTCCCAACCTCCTTTCGGTACTGGCGAACGCGAACGTGGCATACGAAGCAACGTTAGCATTTCTCGTAGGATCAAAGGGAAAAAAAAAGGGGCGTAAGCGCGGACTCACAAACCCAATGATTTGGACGTTTGCGACTTGTGATGACGAGCACCTTGCCATTGGAACGTGCTATCGGGATCGCACAGCACACGACGCGCGGTGTTGTCCGGCCCTTGTTGTTGCTCATTGCGGATGGCGGAAGGGCGGAAGTTAGGTGGTTTAGCAGTGGAGCGTCCGTGGCGTGGCGACGACTCTTTGACGACGAGCAACGATCTTTCCCGAAAGACTGTGACTGAGAGGCGGTGCCGCGCGTCCTCAGGGGACGACCGGGCTGGAGCAGAATGGCGTGCGTGCACAACTAATGGATAGACGTAAAATACGCGTGCCGGTTTTGCAGACGATGCGCGTGCTACCTAAGGGCGCCCGCAGCGATACCTGTGTGTTAAAATTCAGGCGAGAGCGTCGAGAAGCTTCGCGCTTACAGCGTTGAATCTCGGAGTTGCAAAGCGCAAAAGCGGGAGAAAGTGTCGCGGAGGCGGCACACGACCACGAGGAGGAAAATTAAGGAGAAAGCAGGGAGTAGGATAGCTTATATAAAAGACTGATAGGGAGCGTCTTGGGCGGTGGGCGACGGTTGTGGTCGAGGACGCGTACGGTGGCGGCTCGGCGAGGGACGCACAAGCCAATGGCTTGACGCACGTTGCTCGGCCCACTGGCACGCCGCGCTAGCCCGAGCATCCAGGCATTCACCCGCATTCTCGTCCCTATCTCCTCAGCTGCGGTCACCCCGTGCAGATGGTTGAGGACATGGCTACATCCCTCTTCGGAGGCGCAGATCACTGCCCGCTTCTCATCTTCTGCAATCAAGATACGGCACACCCTGACGCGCAGATCCAAGCGCCATTGTATTCATAAATTCTACACCGCCCGACGGCAAACTACGTGCACTAGCTCCGGGTATACAACAGGCTCTCAACTCCCGCATCGGCCAAGCTTGAAACATCCGGCGCATGGCGTGCCGTCCTTTCTCTACTCGTTCCATCTGAAAGAAGCCATCAGTTGATAGAAGCAAGCGCTGGACTCGCGACATTGTACGTACGCGACCAGGAACATGCAGAGGACACCGAACGCCATCGCTGCGAACTACAAGGCAAAGTCAGCACCATACACTTCAAAACGGTTCACATGCACTTCAACGCACCTCCCGCAAGGCCTGCTTTCCGCTAGAGCTTTCTTCCAGCAATCTGTCGATCAGCGGGGAGTCAGAATGTCCCTTGGGGTCGCTTCTACAAGAAGACATACGTGGGCAACACTGCGACAGCGCCAATGTACATGAATCCACCAGCCACAAACGGGATCACCTGAAGACCACACCGCCGACATCTCAGTTCCGGAACACGGCACGAGGCGAAACGAATGTATTCTCGACTCACCAGGTCTGCTAGTTGGACCGTTGTCCCCAGAAGCCCCGCGGCAGCCTGCCGTATGGCTGCTGCGAGATCTGTCACCTCGTGCGCCGCGCTCCCGGACGCTGACAAGTTGCGGATGCCGATACCCATAAACGTGCTGGAGAAGAACAAGGAAGAAGATCCATCAGCGATGCGATGCTCCGTCCACCCACTGAGCGTATCTGCGTCTACTTACCCGACCTAACCATACCAGAACAGCGGACGAAAAGCACGGATGTCAGCAGATCAATCTAACGAGGGCGGGAGCAACTATGATGATGACGGGATAAATGTGCAGTGCTAACACAGCAAAGGGCTCAGAAAGTGCTCCAGTCTCATGTTGAAATATATGGAGAAGATAGACCAGGAACAAGATGTGTCCAACACTCGGCGAAACCGAATGCATATATAAAGGGCTAGAGGAGTCGAGAATAATAGACGCACAAATGCTCCAATAGCAGTCAGAAATTGCGACTGCATTGCTTGCTTTTTAGTGAAACCACTGCGTACTAGGATAGAATAGTCGGCAATTTCATGGGGAATTTCATGTGCGAAACATGCCAAAGTGGTGGTGGCGCCGATCAAGGGCGACGAGTAAAATGATGCAGCCATTCTGCAATATAATCATCAGTAGACCGCCTTACGAAAAGACGGAGCTTGATATCGCACGTACGCGAGACCATCTGTACTAGTAGAATCAATCGATCAGGATTATCTCAATGGACGCAGCAGAAGACAGCTCACATGTTGTGCACGAAGTCGCCAAAAAGGTTTAGATAGGCTGATAACCTGGACGTCTGCTTCGCCGCTTTCTCCTCCTCGTGCGCGGATGGTGAGCCGGCTGCCAACGTGTCTGACTTGTCCGAGCCGCGAGACCGAATCTCGCCGGTCGAAGCGGCCAGTGATACGCCAGACGCTTGGGCGGCGTCCTTCGCTGACTTCTCGCCGTGGACGTGACTGTGAGAATGTCCGGCGTCCCCGTTTTCGCTGCCCAGAACGCGGAGCGTCTTTTCCATCAAAAAGAACGACGCGAAGCCCACGAAGATGCCCAGTCTGCAGGCGCGTCGTCAGAGTGGTCTCTAGGCTTCAGTCTGGCCTGTGGCGCTCACCCGATGAGAATGTTGCGCTTCTCCTCGACCATGACAAAGTGGATACCCCCGTCCTGGTGCTCGCCCATGAATGCGTGAGGCACAAGATGCAGGAAGACGTCGGAGAGAAGTCCCCCAGTCTACAAATGGCCCTTCGTCTCAGAATTCCTACGCGCGACGAGGCAGAGAAGCACCCCTCACCGCAAACGCCGTCATCGTATTCAAGGTATTGGGGTTGATCTGTGCCGGGATGAATGCCAGGATGAAGTTCGGCACCCTGGAAGATGAGACGTAGAGGCAGGTTAGCCGATGACATTGCCTGTACAGGACGTGCGGAGCGAGTCTGCCGTGCAAGTGAGAGAAAAGAATTGGACTCACGAGCTGATGTAGAAAGTTCCAAGGACTGGCCCATTCGCAGGTTATGTCATGTGTAGGTCAGGCCGGCATTCTTCCAGCGACACGTTCGTCCTGAACGCTGCAAGTGCGACGTACCGGAGTTCCAGCCAGGGCCGAAGGGAAAGAGCCATGCAAACACCTGGCGCATTATGGGTGACTGCGCTTCCTCCAGCTCACGCTTGAGGGTGTTGAGCTGCTGAATCGGTGAACAGTCATAGATTTCCGTGTCCTGTGGGGTTAAGCGGGAAGCAGGGGCGAGGGTCTCTCGTTAGAATTTGGCCATCCTGTAGTCGCACGTGCGTAGGCGGTACTGACCAGGACGGCAAGCGGTGCCTTTGCCGTGTCCGCAACTACTGTTGTCCCTATTACAAGGCTCGCTGCGGCTGCGAGGAGCAAAAGAGCTCGTCGACGTGGTGTCGAGCTGAAGATGGCCATGGTCGAGTGCAAGCTGCTCGCAGTCGGTGTGCGGCGCGAGCACGAATCCGAATCCGAAGCAGTGCGAGGTACACTAGGTCACGTGGCCAACGCGTCTCTCTCAAGCGCGCGATCTCAGATCCGTTGCGGACGCGACGCGACACGCGCCCGAAGACGTGTTCCTCCCTACGGAATAGCTTTTTTCCTGCTTTGCAACTGCAATTTTATTCACTCTGAGAAGTATGTACCCCAGCGACGAGGAAAGTGCAGCCGTCAAGGCGGCAGAGGACCTCATGCTCAGCACCATGGCCCGCTACGACCCATCCCACGACGCGTTCCATGGTGAGTGGCGCCGCTGCCGAAGGCTCAGCGATTCCTTCATACCATCCACCAGTGCAACGCGTAAGAAAGACGGCTTTGCAGCTTGCACGTTCCATTTCGTCAACTCGACAACTTGACCTGCTGGTGGTCGAGCTAGCCGCCCTCCTCCACGACGTGCTGGACAAGAAATACGTCTCGCCCGAAGAGGCTGTAGAGCCCTACGCGTTCTTCACTCCTTTCTTCCAGATGCTCGCTTCTGATTGCGGAGTGGATCTCATAAAGGACGGCAGAGCGCGCACCATAGCTAGGATCGTGGACAACGTATCCTGGAGCACCGAGAAGCGGCTTCGCGCGACGGGCTTACTCGAGGATTGGCATCGAGACTGCATAGAGCTGCATTGTGTGCAAGATGCGGATAGGCTAGATGCCATTGGTGCATTTGGTGCGACGTCTGACCTTCCCTTCCCGTCTGCCCATCATTTGTACCAAGCTAAGTACTCCTCGTGCAGGGATCATGCGCTGCGCTGCTTATAGTGCCGTCACAAATCAGTGAGTTCTGATTGACACATGATAACTCAGCACAATCTGATTGAGCAATCTGTACTTAGTCCTCTGCATACTCCCGGTAATGATCCCGCACACGCCGCATCAGCTGTGCAACACTTTCACGACAAACTGTTGCACATCCGAGAAAGACTGAAGACAGAGCCCGGGATACGTTTAGCCGAGAAGCGATACCAGCTGGTGCGTGCAGTACTGGATTATAATCACTATAATTTTGGTGAGACCGCGATCAGATGTTGGACTTCTTGCAAGCAGTAGATGAGGAGTACAACGTCGAACACAGTTATTGAGACAGGCTTCCTCTGTCTGGAGGATGAGAACTGGGAGCGTTGGAAATGGGCTGATATGCATCATCTCCGATACAGCAGTGTAGATACAAAGCAGTTGGTATCATCCAGTGAATCATCTGTCGCATGCTTCGCGCACCCTCTTCCAGGGGTTCGTCCCGCCACGCGCGCCCTCAGACCCTTCCCTCCTCAAGCAAGCGCTCCTTCTCATCAGCGCGTCTGTGGGGATCACCCACCCTCCTGACAACACGCCTTCGCCTCATGACGTGAAGTAGCACAAGAGTCAACACGACTCCCGACGCCATTGCCGCACACAGCTTGTGGCCGTCCTTCCAAGCGATAGCAGGCCGGCCAGTCGTGGACAGCAGGGAGCCCCACCCAACAGCCCTACTAGCCAGCAATAGTATGAGCAACAATCCCGCTAGGACAGCCGTGCCGCATGTCAGGAGAGCGGCCAGCTTCCGACGATTTAGCGTGTGCGTCGTGTTCATTGACGTGTCGATTGGATGGACTATAGAGGAGGGTTTCTCCATGATCTTCTCTGGTGGGTCGATTGATGCAACCTTCTCTGCCGGACAGGTATCTGTCACGTTACCGATGTCCTCAGACTGTGCCAGAGTAGCATCCGTACAGGCAGTGCTCGGTTGGCTGACGACGGCGTCATGCGGCGCAACTTTCCGACGACCGCTGCATTCTCGTACTGCCAACGTTGCCGGATCCCTAGGATAGGCACGGCGGGCGGACATCGATTCCATATACGCCTCGTCGAACCCAAGGAGATATCTGCTGTAGATGTCCTGCAGATGTCGGCTAACGTCTTGCATAGAGTCGTCTCGCCCCCGATCGCTCCCCACGGCCTTCCAAAGGTCCATCCTGGAGGCGATCGATAGCCACATATTCCTTTCCATGCACTGACACATCGTCAGCGCCAATCGTCAGAATCGACGAGCATGCGCGGACACTCACGTAAAAGAAGCCCCCGGAAGTCGCGACGAGCAGGTGGAGTTTGTACAGGTCGATTGGCATGTCATTGATATACGTATCCGACGATCTCAGCGCGATGCAGTTCCTCTGCCTGTAGGCCATGTACTCGTGCTCGAAAATGTAAGGTGGTAGCGCGGGCATGACGACGGGTGTCTCGTTCACTCGCGCCCACTCCGAAGACCGAGGCATGGTTCCAGCCATCGCGCTGCGAGACTTGAAGAGGCTTGTCCACGACGGATGTCGACGATATCCTGCGATTTTTGAACTGGATACACCTCTCGGGTTGGTGAGACGCCGGCGCTCAGAACCAGATGCGACGGCCGTGGGAAATCTCGTGCTGCCGCCATCGATAAGATCTCCATCTCGAGCACAGTCCAAGAGCAGTGAGGGCTGCAATCTCTGATCGAAAGCAATAGTACCCGCGCCATGATGAACATCGGTCCTCGAACTGAACACGGCCGAAGGATGAGCTTTCTCTGCGCTACGCCTGAGGTGATGCGTAAAACAGCTTCATCAGCTGGTCTCAGAGAAGCAGGTGATGTTACGTACGTCCTTGCCTCCTCATCGCGCTCTGGACCCGACCCCGCGGAAGGCAGCTTGCCATAAGATGCACCGAGTTCTTTCAGCTCGGCGGCAAGGCCTTCTAGCTGGCGTCGCCTCTCAACGATCTCGGCATCAAGCCTCGTCCTCTCGGCTTCTCGTACCGTGCCTGCGTCAGGGCCGACCTGGTCAGCCAGCTCTTGGCGTTGCAATTCGAGATCTTTGAGGATCTTTTCAACGCTTCTGGTGCGGCTACGCATGTTGTGATATGCGAGCTGGCGGAGGCGTAGAGCCCTGGTCCGTTCTAGTAAAAGCTGTACGGTTTGCGCGCGGGATGTCGATGGCGAGGAGTGCCGCTGGCTCTGGATGGAAGAAAGTGAACGCTGAATCAAGAAGAACAGGCGGCATGTGTGGACCGCCGAAGACACAGACCTACCTGAGCATCTGTAGGGCCATCGCATGCATTCAGCTCATGGAACGTTGCGTTCAATGCTTGAAATGTTGTGCGATTTGGCTCCATTGTCAAGGAGGGGGCAGTTTAAATGCGAAGTCGAATGAGGCGGAAAACAGCGCGTAAGTACTGAATAGATATTGAGCGGCATAGCGGCATTCTGTGCACAGAAAGAGACCGGGGAGGACAACATTGATGGGTCTAGAGCCTACGTCAGCGGTGCTTCTTAACGTCGTCGGCATCTATCATGAGGCTAGCGGATTAAATGAGACGTTTAGTTCCGGCAACACGCCAGAACAGCGCCACAGCATACAAGACTCCCGCGCTTCGCCGTGAGTTGCAGCACCATGCTAAATTTGCCATCGAATCATTCGGAATGCACTGAGTACCGCGGTGCTGATGCATGCTGCGTGGATGTAGCGGATCATGCAGACTCGTCCATTTGAGAACGCGGCAGGCCGGCGGTTTTCCGCACCAATACAATTTCAATGCTGCCACGAAATGACACCTCGGCAACTGACTTCGGGCATTCGTAAGCACAACACAGTATAGCAAGTCGACGCACCACATCGGGCTGCCGTCGAGAGCCGCAAGCCACACGGTAATAGCTGGGTGGCCATCCGGGTATCGTCACCCGTTCGACAATGTCCGGCTAGTCATACAATACCGCTAATAGTACAACAGAGGAAACGAAGCACACCGGCAATCATTCCTAATCATCAAATTCCGACAGGTCTATACCATAGAAGAAATGCTGACGAAGACAGCGTTGGACACAGCGCGTCAGCATCAAGTACGATTCACAATGGTGAAAACGCACCTTATACAAACTCATCACCTTGACAACCCACGCCTCGAGATGGAAGATCTTCTTGTTGCCTACTCGCATGCGGACCTCCTACCGCGCGGCAATGAGATTACAATGACGTCTGCATCATTGAGAAGAGACGCACATATATCGCTGCCCAATGCATGATGTCCGCTTTGAGGCTTTCGTCGACTTGCTCTACCACTTGGTCTGCAATTGTCTGTACACGAGGTCCACCAGCAACGCCGCGCGGTTATTAGAGCGTTGCGCACCTTGAGCACCACTGTTGCCGGTATGCAATGGCTCAACAGCTCATACAGCTTCGCCCGCACTTCCATCACACGCGCTGGTGACTGCTCTTGCACGATCATATCTGCGACCTTCTGACAATAGGTCTCCCAGTCAGGTTTTGCGATGGTGATCGGCTTGTCGAGGTCGGTGCTGGAACGGTGAGTGACGTTAGAAAGGCCCACATTGGATATATCATGAGCGCGGTAAGACGAGCGTACGCACGATTGCATCTTCAAAGCCTCGAGCACAAGCACAGCTTTTCGCATGTTGCCATTTGCGTCCTCCACGATGTCGCGAGCAACCTTGTCAGGAATGTCGAACCCCTCCTTTCTCCCGACATAGCGTAGCACATTCTCCATCTGAGACGTCAGAAGGAATCAGTTCAGCAATGGCGCGTAGGCTAGACATAACACGGAGCACACCTCTTCTGCCGTCGGCGATGCGATCCTCACGAGCAAACATCGACTCTTGATGGGAGCGATCAGACGGCTCGTTGAGTTCGCGCAGAGGATGATGCGCAGGTTCGACATGTATTTCTCCATCGTTCGCCGCAGGGCTGCTTGTGCATCGCGAGTCAAGGAATCGGCTTCGTTGATCACAACCACTGCGCGCACAAGAGTTAGTACGAGATGCACCTAACGTGATAATATGGATGACCTTTGAAGCGTTGCTTCGCATTCAAGTCTATTTGCTGGGTTTGGGCGATCTCCTTCAGGAGTTCTTGGATCACCACTCGGTCGTAATTTCCGACTTCGCTATAAACGTTGGGTGGAAGCTCAGCAGTGAAAATCCCTAGACGGCAGCTCCACATACCTTGGAGTGATCTCGATATGGTAGTTGCTTTGCACGAGGTTCACATCCAGTTTCCTTCTAGTTGGTGTCATGAACACACGTTGGTCAATCTTGAGCTGAAGGGGTCGTCGTTTGATGAGGTGTACAATCATTATGAGCATATTGCATCAGAATCACACCTTGTCGGCGCCCTTGCCGAACAGCTCCCTCAACGTGCATGCAATGCGAGTCTTCTTGCCCGCACCAGAAGGCCCATAAAAGAGCACGTGCGGAAAGTCTCCGGAGGCCGCCTTCAGGACACGACTTGCGTCGTCAGGGGTAGTTACTCCGAATCACAGTAATCACACGTACCAATGCGCGCAAGCGAGCGGATAGACCGGCGTGATAGTGCAGGTCATCGAGGGTGCGTGGCCGGTGCTAGACATAATTCAGATACGTCGTAGCCTGTTGGCGGCAAAAGACTAGTCGAACACGTACCTTGTCGACCCAAAGAGACATTTTCGAGGTAGTGGCACGAGAGGATGATACGGCGTCGGCGGTGAGTATGGTGGAGGCTTAAACTAGATGGGACGCGTTGCGTCACGCGTCCGTCACGCGTTGACACGCGGTTTCACCTTGGGTTGGGACGGGCCTGTTCTGTTTCGATTTACTGTGACCTCCACAATTTATCTGACCCGGCTGACGATTGACACAACTTGAGTATGTTTGTCGAGCAAGGACATGACGAGTTGACTGTGACTTTCTATCCCCCTCTGCACTTGCAAAGAAGAGCGTGGGTGCTCGACGTTCTCCGAAGGGAGAGAGTGCACATGGTACGAGTGTTGTGAACTACTGTGTAGTCAAGTCTGAATCAGTCTCTCAATAGGTTCTGGACGTTGGCTGCGGTGAAGGCGAACTAATCTCTTGTCTATGCAATCCTGCACCGTGGCTGCCACCGCCGTCTCTTACGGTTCCTGATTCTCTTTCTACATCTGGAATCCCTGGCGATATCCTCTCGCTACCACTTACCGACATAAACCTGCACCCAGCGAAGGTCGTGGGGCTTGATATCTCTGCAGCTGATCTCAAATATGCTGTGGAAAGTACAGCACCAGAATCATCCTCTGGCGAGGACTGTTGGACGGGCACCTTGCGTTGGGAACCTCTCGAAGTCAAAATCTGGGAAGGCGACCTGCAATCGATCAATCCTGAATTCGTCAATGTGGAGTGCATCGTCTCCACGGAGGTGTACGTCTGATCTCGGCATCGATGCAATGCTCAATATTCACGAGTTCCTAGTATCGAACATTTGCCAGAGGGTGTGCTGCAGAACTTTGCCCCAATCATGCTCGGCGTGTATCATCCACGGCTTCTCCTGATCACCTCGCCATCTTATACCTTCAATGCACGCTTTACTCGTCCAAATGCACCCAAGGAAGCACGAAACGGCTACCCCGATCCCACAGGCAGAACAACGCGTATATTCCGCCACCACGATCATAAATTCGAGTGGACAGTACAAGAGTTTACCGAATGGTGCAATCAGATCGCCGATGAGTGGGGATACGAGGCACAAATTGGCGGCGTTGGAAAGGCTCGTGAGAATGATGAATGGGGCCGTGACGATGAGCTAGGTTGGGCCAGTCAAGTGGCTGCATTTCGGAGACGGGAAGGAGACGTCTATGAAGATAAGCGCAACAAGGCTGTCGAGAGGATGTCCAACCCAGAAGCACGAACCGAGCTGAAACTGCTGGCGACGCATCACCATCACGCACATGAGAAGGCTGGACAGCCAGCGTTGCTGGATGAAATCCGCCGTCTACTTGCTTCCGAGGTTAAGCAAAGCATGCATCCTAGCTTCAGGTTGGGAGAGCTATGGTATAAAGCATCTATCGCGAAAGCGTGCGGAGGCTGGCTGGAGGTCTTGCTTGCAGTGATTCGGCAAGAACCGGCGCTACACCTACGTAGAATGGATTCCTCAACAGTTTTAGATTGGCAGATAGAGTTGGAAGACTGGTCGCCGCCCGGAGTCCCTTTCTGGGGGCAGGAAACTCAGTACGAAGGGCAAGATGGAAGCAGTATCTCATCTGATGAGCAGGGCGGTGAGGCTGCAGTTCCTGGCGATGCGGCTGGATTGGGAGAGGCACAGCCGTTTGGAAACGATCCTTGGAACAACTTACTAAGTCATGAAGCGGAAGTTGGGAACAATGCATGGGTGCTCGCAGAGGTGGACGAGCAATGTGGCTGGCAAGACGTGGTTAGCAGCTGGGGTGGACAAGTGGTCCAAGGATGAACTATTGAGCAATAAAACAGGGAGGTCTGTGTTCGTTGAACTTCACCGCGTGCATTGTGAGAGATGATTGAGTATCCGCATATATTACATGGTATCGCTGTGACAGACATGAGAAACTCAACGCATTACTCATTCCATAGATTGAGAGAGACTGCTGGGTGCTATGGTCGATGCAAATCGCTGAACAGTGCGTCTCATACGCGCATGTGAAGTCTACTCCTCCACCAGCAATCGCCGTGGTCCTGCGGATAGCGTGACAGTGAGAATGAGACTCTACTGTAAGGATCATGCCACTCACTCTCTAGAGGGTGTACCTGTGCAAGATACGTAACAGCCCACATGAGATAGCAGCATGCCAATGTAAGCATGCAGGCGGTCCGAATGAGTCTGGTGAACGTCAGTCTCCTATAGCCATTGCAGTTGCACCGACTTGAACATACGTCTGCTGAGGCCCCTTCGGTGTGAAGAACCAAGCACCCGCCATACCAGCTAGGATGATGAGTAGCACGATAAGTGTCGGCCACGACGAGGACATGGCTGTTGCTGCTAGAACATGAATTCGCGAACACGAGCGCTAATCGCGCACACCCTCTCATCTCTGACCACTACACCTACCATGGCCACTATACCAACTGTTGCTTCAGTCTCATCTGCACCTGCCATGACTACCACTATATCATCTGGATCCTCGGATAAGGGCATCAAGGTCTGTCAATTCTACTGGCCATATCACTCGGCGGACTGACAGGGCGTTGCAGCGAAAACTCGAGGATGCCATTCTCAGTTTGGACGAGGCGGTCGGACCGTCGTATTTTACACTGGATCAACGTCCTCCAACAAAGAAGGCTAGGACGGGGAGATCCTTCTACTCGACACTAGCGAGGTATGGTGTCGGCAACGAGATTAAATCGTGAGTGGCTGCAATTGCTGTGCAAGGGTATACGTTGACATTTTCTTCTGCGACAGTACAAAGAAGGACCTCGATTACCTCTACAGAAATGCTCCACATTTGGCTGCTATAGTATCCCGTGCGGCCACTCGCGCTCGTAGTTCGACCCCATACAAGTTGAGCCATGTGGCCAAAACAACAACAAAATCCTTCAGTGCAGACTACCGGCCCTCCTCTCTGCAATCATTCCTCTTACGTCTATCCACTTACAAGCTCAGCACATACGCAAACAAGCCTCCCGCCATAGATGCGGTCGCCGCGGCAAAATGTGGCTGGATCAATGACGGCAAAGACCGTCTAGTATGTGGCATTTGCAGTGTTTCATGGGTTGTTGCGGGACGCGAAGGCCTCAATCGAGACGCCGGTATGTAGGATGGCCGAAGGTAGGTGCGAACCACTGATCATCCCATAGCCAATGCCCTGCTAGAGAAACAGCGCGTACAACTGGTGGATATGCATAAGGATGGTTGTCCGTGGAAGACCCGGCAGTGCGATCGTGAGTGACTATGCCTCTATGCATATGTTACAAGGCTAACGTGCTTTCAGCTACGATTTATCGGATCCCTTTGCACACTCCCTTGGCTATGGCGAGGGATGTTAAGGCAAGGGCGGTGGCGTTGGACACCGTCTTACAGGATGTGGAGATCAAGCATCCCCTTGTGAGTATGATCAGCTAGTCTCACGAAACGAAGTTCTTAGCGCGCTACAGACGCCTGCACAGATTCATTCGCTGCTGTCGATCATATCCTCAGTGCCATTGCTGCAATCCGCAAACATGGGTCGTCCAGCGCGTACGGAATCGGCAAATACAGACGGAGTGGCAGATTCGCCGGAGCCCTCCGAGACGGCGGTCATCACATCTCTATTTGGGTGGTCGGTGCTTCCATCATCGCCCTCCTCAGAGCGCGTACGCACATCGTCTCATTCATCTTCCGACTCTTCGGCTGCTTCATCATGGGCCCACTCGCGCACGTCGTCCGTGGCCTCTCTTCGTGACGGCACTTCTACGCTTAGCCCATCAAGGTTACATCGCTCTCCGCAGATCCCTTCGCCTATCCGCTCAGATGGGAGCCCACCTGTTGCTGTCCCGTCTCTCAAGCCTGATACCACATTGCTTCATTGTGCACTATGTCAGCGGCGCATCGGGCTGTGGGCATTCATTTCCCCTCCGCAGACCAACGATCATTCCAATGGCCCAGGAGCAACCGGGAATGCAGCCAAGGCTAAGGCAAAAATGCGGCCGAAGAGACAACTTGACGTTCTGAGGGAACACCGTTCCTATTGCCCGTATGTCATACGCTCGACGACCGTGCCTTCGCTTCCCGCGCAACCTTCAGGAGACGCAGGACATACAACAACGCCATCGACGACCGTGCAGGTCAACGAGCAGATAGAGGGATGGCGAGCGGTCTTGACTGTCGTCCTGCGCCATGGCATGGCGCGCAGACAGCGGCTAGGCGCGATTAGGCACACCAGTACAAGCAGGCTGGGTGCGAGTAACGGTGCCGAGGCGACAGGTTCCGGTATCCAGGCGGAGGAAGTGCAGAATCAGATGAATGCGGTTGAGGCCATGGTGGCGGGTGTCAAGAGCCGTGGGGTGAGCCGGTCCGGTTTTCTCTCGAGACCGTCTGCTCATCTGCAGTTTTAGGGCAAGGATGTCTTGCATTATGTCAGGGGACTCCTGCGTTGAAACGTTGATGGTGGTATGCGTCGCGATCAATGCTCGGTGCTCTGATCTCACGCACCATGTTCAAATGTCTTGAATTGTCATAGCGTTTTTGTGCTTGTTTGTCGGGCTCGTTGCTGGCTTTATTTGCTATCTCCTTAGTGTCATTGTACTCATAAACTCTCGAAATCCTTTCACGGCACTACCTTCTCACCCGTTCTCACCAATGTAACAGATGCTTGGATGTAACAGATTCTGAGACAAAATTCATGTAACAACCAAAACTCTCACACGACCGATTCTCAAGTCAACCGCAGGTGGTAGACGCCCAGCACATCGCCTTGATCTCTGCGCCATCTCTCACACATGCTATCTTGACTGCTGCGCTCGTTGAACTGCTGAACTATGCCGGCAGGATATGCTCCTCTGCCAAATCCTCGCTCTGAGCCAGAGGCCGAGCGCGAGCTGGAGGATGCCTTTGAAGACGATGACGAACATCACACAGAATCCACGCCCTTGACGCATGGATATGCACCAACAGAATCACTTTCCTCTACAAGCTCGACAGCGCCCGGAGCATACGATTTCGAACGGGAATATGACTATCCACCTCCGGGGTCGCCACCCAGTCCATCACCATTCGCACTGCCTAACAACATCGGGAATACCAATGGAGAGTTGCCTTCGACTCCTGTCCGTCCTACTCCTCCACGTCCATCATTCCTCAGGCGCGCAGTCGGGGCACTGCTGCCTCAGTACTACACTAGGGTGCCCACGGAGCTGAGCTCCTCACGGCGGGTGGGCGGAGGAGAGGACAATGATGGCGTGTTCGCAAATGTGATGGCGAAACCTGGGCGATCAGTGGCGATGACCGGCCAGAATGGGGAGGTTATCATGGTTCCGGAGGAGGCACAGAACGACTTGCCGCCGGTGAGTACCTACCCCGTAGCGTCGATGATGTGCACGAGCAATGAATACACAATGTCCATCTAGTCCTATAACGAAGCGCAGGCAGACGCCGTCCCAACCTACTGGGAGACAACCGTACATGCACCGTCCCTGCTCTCCGCAAACGGAGAGATGCTCGTGGACGACCTTCCGACCGGCTCTCTCATCTTCTTCATCACGACGGCATTCATCTCATACTTCTTCCAGTTCGTCGGCTTCGTGCTCACGTATCTGCTGCACTCGACCCATGCGGCCAAGTATGGTTCGCGCGCGGGCCTCGGCTTGACAATGATCCAGTATGGCTTCTACTCGCGCTCTCAAGCAGCCGAGGGCGAGGGCGGGCAAGGGCAGGAACTCGTTTATTGGAATAAGACGACTGGAATTCCGACCGTCATCCCACAGACTAGCTCGGGCATGGCAATGCTCCCAAACGGCACGATGATTGACGTCTCCACCTCTGACTTTGGCGCGTCGTCTCGCGAGTGGATGTCCCTTCTACTCATTGTCCTTGGTGAGCATTTAGCAGGCTCTGTCCTTGAGTTTTCGTTGAAACCAATGCGCAGGTTGGCTCCTCTTCCTCTCATCGGTCATCGGCTTTTATCGTGTAAAACGCTGGGAAAAGTCCATTCGGGACGCTGCGAACCAAACACCGCTCACGCCGGAGCAGATTCAACGTGATGTTGAGGTACGGCGGAACATCGAGCGTGTCTTTGGTATCCTCGACTACGGCGGCAGCGACGAGAACGACGAGAGGCGTACGGAGCAGATGCAGCAGACACCCATGCACATCCCTGAGGCCGACATGAGAATGCAGAGAGACCTGAGAGAAGCCGGCTTGTTGTAAATTAAAGATGGAGCTAGATTCCGGACTTTTCTGCATACCCGTGATGTTATCTCCGTCTTTATAGGATTGTACTATGTTCCCTACAGACTATGCAGTTGTTTGCATTCCATGCTCCATTTCTTTAATGTGATACAGTACATGACACCTTATTACCTGAATCATAGCGGAGCAGTATCGCCATTCTATGGGAACTGCTGCGCTACCTTGACAAGCCGACCAGGATCCCGTCGTCCCTGCACCCCGAGTCTCGCAAGACCTTTCGTAATCCACTGTCACACTTTCTTCTGTCTCCCCAGCGCATCAACAAACTCCGTTTCAACAGCTTTCAGTATACCAATGACCGTATGCGCAGCATCTATGTCTCCTCGTGCGTAGAATCCCCTGATGAACATCTTATATAACGGCCGGACATGTCGCGGAAAGTACAGGGGCAAGCCAGGGTCTACATGTGGAACGCTGATCAACGGCGACGGCTGCGAGCTGGTACCGAAGGGCACGGCATATCGAAGCTTGACTCCACCAGTAGGGTAGCCGTTTCGGACCACATGGTCGAATATCTCGCGCAATTTCTCGCTGTTCACCATAGACACCCAGAGGATGAGCGACTTCAGCAAGATGTTCAGTGTCACGCGATCGGGCACAAAGCCATGAGTCTTGATGAGCTCGTTCAATGTATTCAAAGTCTTTCGCACCCGCCGTAAGCTCTGCCGAGACGGGTGGGAAAGACTAGCGTGGAGAATGTGATTTCCGATGAGGGTTCTCTCTCCAGGTGACTGCTGCTCTCGCAGCCTATCGAATAGCTGCTTTGACGCACGCAAACGGCCGGCTCGGATGAGAACATGCATTGCATCTCTTCGTGCGTCCGGATGCACGCGACGACGACGAGTGAGAAAATGGCGAATCTTCAGCGTCAGCGGGCGAGCAGGAGTCACTTCTCGGAAACGGAGCATACGAGCTAGACGTATGTCATCTGGTCGGAGAGCGGTTCGTCGGAAGGGTAAAGCAAGCTTGTAGGCAATGGAGGACACATCTCGCCGAGCAAGCTCCAATATGAACGACTGTAACGAGAGAGTCTTATCATTCGGCCAAAGCGCGACGGACAGGCGGTATATGCGCTCGGCAAGGCGGAATTGCCTGTGACGAAGTAACCTCTGAATGAGCTTCATGTAAAATGGCGCCTGAAAGTATGCAGGATGTGCCTTCGTGACCACCCGAACGATCGCGACAGCAGCAGATGCTTGACTGAAACGCGGCATTAGAAGTAGAGTAGACTGAAGCCTGAGATGCCAAGTACGCGGCGGGGGAATGAAGGAGAATAGTTTGAGCATCGCCCCACCGACGGCAGGTACGAAGTGTGCAACGCGAAATCGATGGCCTTCTTGCAGAAGCACGTCAATGATCCGACGGAGTACCGCCAGATGCTGTTGAGATGTCAATCGCGTGTCTTCCAGATATTCGAGCGCGGTCCGTATCCGACCGTGGCTTGCAACAGCAACAGCTACATCTGTGACGACATCCGAATTTACGGCAACACCGCTACGCCGGGCAATGAAGAGTAATTCTCGTGCTGTTCCCACATCTACTTGAGCCCAGGAGGATATGACACTGCCGAAGGCATTCGATAGCGAGCCAGCGTCGGAGACGCGTTGCAAGGTCGATGCTACAGCAGCCTCAACACTCGATCCGCACAACAATGCAGAGGTGAGGAGCTCTTCCGCCAAAGAAGACATACCGAGAAATCCTTCAGCGGTTCCCTTTGCAGACCCCAGCTCATGATAGGCACAAAACCGCTTGCAACTTTCAACAAGATCATGGCATCGAAGACGTCCTGCTAGACGTAGGAACGACGCGCAAACCACACGGGCAACAAGGGCAAACGGATGTCGACGATCTTTGTCAATCTGAGAAGACCAGCGAGACCACAGAGCCTCCAGAATATCCTTCAACTTTTCTCGTGCGCCGTCGTGGATGGGTGCAGTGATTGTAGCAAGGTTCGGAAGGAATGATTGTTCCAGTGAGGCGAGTGCACAGATCGTGTACCAATCAGCAAATGCCATCCCGAAGGTACCACTGTGCGCGGATGCTGGACTAGCTCCTCTTCTGTAAGATGACGGATTGCACGCTATCGCAAGCAAAACTAGGGCGTTCCATTGGGAATGCGTCTCATTGGCACCATTCAAAGCGAAGATAGAATGTGTGGTGAGGAACGCCCACTGTGACAGGACGCTATGAGATGTATCCTCCAAGCTTGAAGGCAGCATACGAGAGAACAGTGCATCCTGCAGATACGTCACCAAGCTTTTGATGCTTGGCGCGTCAGGTTCGTCCATAAACGTTCGGATCCGAAGGGTCGGCAGCTGCTCTGAATCCACTGTTAGAAGCCTGGGCTGCAGTGCTGACAGCACTAGCTCCTTCAGTGCTGACATCAAATTCACATCAGCATGCAGGACCATAAGCCATAGTAGCTCCGGGCGCAGCCCGCGCTGGGAGACAAGATCATGTATTCTGCGGAGTGATTCCTCGACATGTCCTCGTTTCCAACTCGAGAGCAAAATCTCTAGGAAAGGAATGTGCGCCGCGACGTCAGAGTGGTACTCCAAGTGCGAATAGTACTGTCTCGCGAGCTTGATGATGACTCGTGTACGTTTGATTACATCTGATCCCACCAAAGCAATGTTAGACATTCATCGATATTAACATAAACTGAGGATACGCACGAGGTGAAAGTGTCTTGCCTTGCAAGCCTCTGAACTCGAAACATAGTGCTCTGAGCAGCCAGTAATAGTCAGAGTCACGAAGTCCACCTTCGAGCTCGCATTTATCTGTGGCGATGCTTCGGATAAGCGCCCAATGTGGACGGAAAGCGCTGTCGAGCATGTGCGAGATGGCAGGATGCGAAAACACGGAGCAATATGGGCTTTGCGGAGTCGAGACAGAGAGCGAACCAAGCAGACTGATCAAAGCACTGAAATCCGCGGTGTCCAGAGACGGCAGCTGGTCAAGCACCTTGGTTTTGTGATAATGATTGCGAATGTAGTTGAAGCTGAACTTGTGGAGAGAGGGCCCATGCTCCCCGGCAGAAAGCAACCTTCGGAGCTGATCAGCCGACGATGGCTCAGATGAGGGTCTGGAGTTGTCATGCGCTTGAACCTGTGAGTGTCCCAAATCTGTATGCAGGCAGTGAAGCTGACTATGTGGGTCAACTCGAGGAGCTTCACTGCAATCGACAGCAGCCGCTGGCGCTGACAGAGCCGACGCAGACAATACGTCCGATTCAATGAGCCTCGTGGATGGTATGTCGGTAAGATCAACAGCGCCATCCCGATGGTGTCTGTGTATGCACTGAGGCTCGGGTTCCCGTTCAGCCACACCAGCTGAAATCTGGTCGCCTATGACAGCGTGGGTTGATGCCGTTCGAGGCGTGAATGAAGCGTCGCATCGCGTCCAATAGTACGCATTCCGCTTGATTATCGCTCTCGACGTGAATGAATCAAGCCTGGAGCGTATGGAGAGCGCGTACGTCCTGCGCGAGCTCAGCGACAACTTGCACTAAAAGCGTAATAACAACGTACTGAAGTTGCACCGCATGTCTAGCAAACATGCCCGCCTCTTGGACAGTTTGCAGGCCCCATCGCCACATTCCATTGCATGAAATGCTCTTCGGCAGCACGCGTCGGTCGTACCGATACGCGTCCACACAAAAGCTGCACGTCTAGCCTGCCCACTGAAAATCCGTGAGTCGAGACAGGCAGGCCGGAGGCGTCAAGAAACAGCAACGGTAAGCGGAGAGAACAGCTCACAGTCGTTTGCAGGCTCGGGCGCCTCGAAGTGATCACGTGTAAATGGCTAGCTTTTGTTTGCACCTCGGCGGTTGCCGGAGAGCATCAAACTCAAGATCTGCAACTGCAAGCCACAGTTCTCGCCACACTGATTCGGCATCGCGTCGCCCGTTCCGCCACATCCAACGACCAGTCGCCTTGAAAAATCCTTTGGCACGACAGGTGAGCAACCACGACGATGGCATGGTATGGAATGTCTGGCTGAGCGCGTGCGCGTGTTGCAGAGGTCATAGGGAGGCACTGATTCACCTTCACCGACACTTGTCATCTTCAAACTCTTCGTGAGTGTTCATGGAATGTACATACCAGCGTCGCTCTGAGATTTGGTGTAGTAACCGAAAACGCAATGGGAGCTACTCGCGCTCAGAAGGCGTTATACTTCGTAAAGCTCAAGGAGCTAGTCGTTAAATTCCGTGAGTCCATATGAAGCAAGAACCCATATTATTCCGGCTTAACGCGCTGCATCAGCCTCGATTTTCATCGTCAATGTCGACAATGTCGGTTCAAACCAAATGCACCAGATCCGTGTCGCTCTCCGCGGCAAGGGCGTCGTCGTGATGGGTAAAAACACCATGGTCCGCCGTGCCCTCCGTTCGATCCTCAGCGACTTCCCTCAGTTCGAGCGCCTCCTGCCCCACGTCAAGGGTAACATCGGCTTCGTTTTCACCTCGACCGACCTCAAAGATGTCCGAGACATCATCACCTCGAACAAGGTCGCTGCCCCCGCCCGTGCAGGTGCCTTCGCCCCGAGAGATGTCACCATCCCTGCAGGTAACACTGGTATGGAGCCCGGCAAGACATCCTTCTTCCAGGCCCTTGGTATTCCGACCAAAATCGCCCGTGGTACCATTGAAATCGTGTCCGACGTGCAGGTTGTGACTGCCGGTACCCGTGTCGGTCCTTCCGAGGCGACACTGCTGAACATGTTGAACATTTCTCCGTTCACGTACGGTATGAGCGTCGTTCAGATCTTCGACCAGGGGAACGTCTTCCTCCCATCCATGCTCGACGTCTCGGAGAAGGAGCTTTTGGACCGGTTCCTGTCCGGTATCCAGACTGTTGCTGCTATCTCCCTGGCTCTGCACTACCCGACGATTGTGTCCGTCATGCATTCGCTTGTCAACGCGTACAAGAACGTGCTCGCCGTCTCCATCGCTACTGACTACACTTTCGAAGGCTCTGAGAAGGTTAGTTCGAACCTATCTTTTCATTTGTTTCGTGTCCTTAGGATGTGTATTTACTCTTACACTGAAAATGCTGAGCGTCCCAAGGACGAATGCTGTTCAAAATGATTTCTGTTCTCTGATGGTTTTCATTCTTGCGTATTCTTCCGAGCGCTAAGCTGACCATCGTTGCACCGACAGATCAAGGAGGTGCTCGCTAACCCTGAGGCGTTCGCTGCTGCTGCTGCCGCCGCTGCCCCGGCTGCCGAGGCTGCAGCTGCTGAGGCTGAGGCTGCACCTGCTGCGAAAGAGGAGGAAGAGGAGGAGTCTGAGGGTGACATGGTATGTGTACCTGTGCTATGTTCTCAGCATATATTGACGGGTTCTCGTAGGGCTTTGGTCTCTTCGACTAGATGTTACGCTACCTGCACACTGCCATGCTATGTACCATCTTACGCTTGCAATGCGACATCGCCCACGCTCGCATTACTGTATTGCCTAATGCATTGCTTTCAGCTTCCTTCCGGTGCTTGAATGGCGAAGGAAGTCTCTTTGAATTTCTATTTGATTCCTCGGTATCATGGTTCTTGCATCCGCTTGATGGAGCGCTAGTAAATCGACACCACCGATCGTAATTTTTCGCAACGATGTCATCTCGGCCTTTACTTACCTCTTCTGACAGTGCCTGACCCACACTGGCTTCGATGTGGCTTATTAACCCTGGGAACGGCCCCACGAAGTCGCTGCGGGTTCAATACCGTCCAGCTAATATAAGACACCCCGGCGTGAAGGGTGCCCGTGTCTTTTTTTTTTGTACATTTACTAATATACCGCGCTATGTGCGGTGGGCCCGTGTCTTCCGCTCACTTCATCGTCCTCCAACCCTCTCCAGTACGTGTGGATCATCATGCCAGTGGTCACCTCAGGCAAAGTCCTCGTCACCGGCGCGAATGGCTTCATCGGCGTCTGGGTAGTAAAATCACTGCTTGAGCAGGGTCACGCTGTCCGAGGAACCGTGCGCTCGGAGAGAAAGGCGAAACATCTTCGCCATGCATTCGCCCAATATGGCGATAAGCTCGAGCTCGTCATTGTTGCAGACATTATCAAGGTACGCTTTGGCGTATCGTATACTACCGTATGCTATGCAGTGTGCAGTCGCTGACTGTTGCTCATGCAGGAGGGAGCGTTCGACGAGGCCGTTAAAGGCATGGATGCGATCGAGCATACCGCCTCGCCTTACCACTTCAAGGCTAACGACCCCGATGAGCTCATTATACCCGCTGTGCACGGTACAACACGCGTACTCGAGTCCGCCCTCGCGTACGGTTCCTCCATAAAGCGGATCGTCGTCACCTCCTCCGTGGCCGCCGTCTTGGAGACCCTTCCCGAGCCCAAGGTATTCACGGAGGCAGACTGGAACGATGGCTCCGTTGCGGAAGTGAAGGAGAAGGGCCTCGCAGCGAGCCAGCCAGGGAAGTACCGCGCGAGCAAGACTTTGGCGGAACGGGCTGCGTGGGAGTTCGTCGAGAAGAACAAGGACAAGATTGGTTGGGACCTTGTCGTGCTGAACCCGCCTCTGGTGTTTGGGCCAGTGCTGCATGAGGTGGAGTCTACCGATGTGCTAAACGAGAGTATGCACGCCTGGTACCATACCGTGTTCAAGGGGTCGCAGGACCCGAAGTCGCTGGGCAAGAACGGGTGAGTTTGGCTCCAAGCGTATATGGATGGAATGATGCTCATGAAACACAGGATGGCGTGGGTCGACGTGCGCGACCTCGCAGATGCTCATGTCCGCGCGATTCAGACAGAGGAAGCCAGCGGTCAACGCTTCATCCTCAGTTCTGGTCCCTTCAAATGGCAGGATTGGGGTAAGTCTGTCAGATCCTTGATATATCCTAAGTCTCAACCATTTCTGTGCAGTGATCGCATCACGAAAGTGTGGCGCAGACGCGCCGGAGGGCGACACGACCTACGATCCAGCCAAAGCGGTGCACCACATGATCTTCGACAACACGAAGAGTGTCAAGGTGCTCGGGATGAAGTACCGCAGCATTCAGCAGACAACATCCGACATCATTGATGACTTTAAGAAGAGGGGCTGGGTGACAGCTTAGGATTTGGTTCGATTGTGATGGTAGTACTTGTATGGGATGGAAGGAAGCCTCGACAGAGGCTCTTGATCAGGCCATCAGTTATAAGATGCAGTCAGCCACAGCTCACTTCCTTCTGTTCAACTAACATCTTTACAGTTCGCGTTTCTGATCGCTGTCTGGACTGCGTGCACGATGTATCTGAATGATCTTGGCATTGATTAATCTGTTTGCGTGAAATATGGCCCTTAGTTGGCGTATCGGATGCTGTTGGCAATAAGATCGCACCTCCGATGCCATATTTCTGACAAAGCTGGTGCAGGGACCTGCGTCTATATAAAGGGTCCCGCTGAGCCTCGCAAGGATTCCGTTTCTCCGAACCCGTCTACGCAGCAGCCACGACACGGTCCTGACTCGGTACGCTGATCACCATGCCGGTAGTCGCGACAGGGACAGTCCTCGTCACCGGGGCCAATGGCTACATCGCCATGTGGGTGGTACGCACGTTGCTGCAGGCGGGATACTCTGTCCGTGGGACCGTACGCTCCGAGGGCAAGGCGAAGCACCTCCGACAGGTGTTCGCCTCGTATGGCAACAAGCTCGAAATTTTGATCGTCGAGGACATCACTCGGGTACGTCTCTTCGCATAATTACGCAGGCAACCCCCATGAGGCTCACTTGCTTTGGTACTCTATAGCAAGGAGCGTTCGACGAGGCTGTGAAGGGCGTCGATGCGATCGAGCATACTGCCTCGCCCTTCCACTTCAAGGCCGATGACCCAGAGGAGCTCATCGTGCCCGCCGTGCAGGGCACGACCCGCATACTCGAGTCCGCACTCGCGAACGGTACCACCGTGAAGCGCGTCGTTGTGACGTCGTCCACCGCGTCCGTGATGCACCCGCAAGATACGCCGCGCGCGTTCTCCGAGCTCGATTGGAACGACGCCGCGATCAATGAGGTGAAGGAGAAGGGGCGCGGGGCGAGCCAGCCCGCGAAGTACCGCGCGAGCAAGACGCTCGCGGAGCGCGCGGCATGGGAGTTTGTCGAGAAGAACAAGGGCGCGACTGGGTGGGACCTCGTCGTGCTGAACCCACCGTACGTGTTTGGACCGGCTACTCAGGAGGTCGGCGCGCCGGAGGCGTTAAACGAGAGTATGCTCGATTGGTTCCATAGCGTGTTCAAGGGGTCGCGGGATGCGAAGCAGCTCTCCGCCGTAGGGTAAGTGTACGATGGTGCTCTGCGCCTTACTGCTGATACTGATACTCGTGCATAGATCATCATGGATCGACGTGCGCGACCTGGCTGATGCGCATTTACTTGCTCTTCAAAAAGAAGAAGCAGGCGGCGAACGTATCATCATCTCTGAGGGCGTGTTCAAGTGGCAGGACTTTGGTGAATACATTCATGGATGCATTCACCTCGCATACATTAGCCTGACACATCATTCGTCAGTGAACGCAGCCCGCAAGTATGGCGCCAAGATACCCGAGGGCGACACTTCCTATGACATCAAGACGGCGACGCACGACATCATGTATGACACATCCAAAGCGGCCAGATTGCTCGGGCTGAAGTATCACTCGATCGAACAGTCGACCAAGGATATCATGGATGATTTTAAGGCCAGGCACTGGATTCCGTGAGCGAGTAGATCGAAGGAATAGAAATAAAGTGTAGTTTGTAATGATACCTGCCGTGAAATTTACGAAAGGTGTGAGCACTAAGGTCTGCTGTCGGGCGCGGGTGGCATTAGCTGAATCGAGCTCTGCGCCAGGACGTCACTGGGTGTGGGATAATTACTATGCGCCAGGATCTTGGGCTTAGATGCATAGTGATCGCAACTCTTTTAGTGGCCGACAAGTCGACAGCTCATTCAATAGACGGACATAGTTATTCGACAAACCTTCGAACACAGCAGGAATAGCTCAGTTTTCTGACGGAGGCCATGCCAGATCGCGGAGCATACGGAGACCACTGAAAAGAAATACCACGGAATGAATCACAGGAAGGGGACGTCTTTTGGAGTTGAGAATGGGCCATAGATCATGTTTCACAATTGCTGAGGTGTCATCTTCAAAGTATCAAGGAACGACTTTCTTCCTCGGTAAGTGAAGGTTGAATCTGAGCACAATCCTTGATCAGTTGGCTCTCATTTACGTTTTTCTGTCCAGCTGCACAATATTCTATGAATATCTCATCACAGGGCGCTGTCGCCAATGTTCATGTCAGTGACGTAAAGCCTTCATGATGTACCAAGTCTGTTTGACTTTGAGCCACCATGATTGCGACGTCTCAACCCTTCGCTCACCTTCATGAAACGTCCACTGACATCGTTCCAGCAACTTCTGTGGCCAGTCCTTCGAGGGCTTGCCGCATCCTTCTGGCAAGTTTCCGGCTTGGACGCTCATGGGCGTTTTCCCTCGGTTCTCGCTTGTTCGGGGTTGAAACGATTTGTCCACTTTATATCTCCTGACTTCTCTTCCCTCCAAGAAGGGGATATATGCTATCTGCCAAAGGGAGACAAGTCCAGCGTTTTAGATAACGGGACCTCCGTCAGCAGCCACGATTTCCCTCCAGGTAGACCGTAGTGACGCCGTCTCTGAATAGTCCCGGTCTATATCACCTCAATATCCACCTCAACGACTTCGCTCCTACCCGACGCATTGATAGCCCTGCGAATGGAGACATCGTCCCTGTTGTCGCATGACTTAATGATCGAGTGCAAGACAATCTTCCCCGCAAGGTGGTGTAGGCGAATCAGATCGGCAATGTGCTCACTTTGATATTTTTGATGAGACAGATTAATCTTCAGGTGCCCTTGATCTATTTTCCCGTTTGATTTCTCCTATCGCGAAAGGCGTATCTCTATCTCATGCGTGCGTCAATCAGGATTACAGGAAGCTCACGTCACTCCGAGTCGGACAACTGGCGTCTGGTATGCCAAAAAAACCGCTGAGCACATCGAGCATACGTGAGAATCCATCACACACGTTGGCCGGAAAGGGCACATCTACTCGAATCTTCACATCGACCCTCCAGAAAGAGCCGGTAGAAAGATCATGAGATGTGCTCAAACGGTAGAGCCCCTTCTTGCTTTCACGTTATGTATTATGTATTCGGGCTCAATCGAGAACAACCCAGTGACGGAATTTCAACTAGAGGGCCCGGGAGTGAGTCGTTGCTTGTGCGCGCCGGAGACTACATGGCGTAGATCCTCAGCGGAAGCCGTGGAAGGCAGTGCTGCCTGCGATGGAAACTGATAGTGAACCGCGGACTTACCAGGTCCAGAACGTCCATGCAGCACTATATTGTAGCCTCAAGCATGTTCATCATATTTCTAGCTATGCAAATAAGACCACGACCGTTCGTAGAGGCATGCCGGTGGACGATTCTCGAAGTGCAACACCTGCCATAATGGGCGGGCAGAGTGGTATGGCTAAGGTAAATAACCGAAATCGAAATCCGTTGAAAATCCCATTGGACGGATATCAGATCAGGCTAAGTCTATGTTTGAGCGTTTATCAAAATCCTTTCGTTCAATCTTCGTGCATGTGACATCATGGATAAGTCCCTCGTTGACGCGCTTTATTACGCGGGGGATTGCGTTCTGCTCCTCCGCATTTCTACCCTCGTCGTCGTTCTCGTCGTCGACGCTCCCGCCCTCGCCACCGTATCTGTCGTCGTCTGCCGACTATGCCCTCCCTTTCGAGCTCGCCCATCGAGTTGTCCTCTCCACAGCTCCCGGTGCTCAAAGGCCAACAGGGTCGCCTCATCGTAGTCTCGAACCGTCTCCCCGTCACTATCACCAAGGATGCCTCGGGCGAGTACCACTTTAAGATGTCATCCGGTGGGCTCGTATCCGCCCTTTCCGGATGTAAAAAGACCATGTCTTTCATGTGGATTGGCTGGCCGGGCTTCTTCATCCCTCTCAAGGACCGCCCAATAGTCGATCGCCGCCTCAAGGAGGAGTATTCATGTCAAGCCGTGTACCTCGATGATGATGTCGCCGATAGACATTACAACGGTTTCAGTAACTCCATCCTCTGGCCGCTCTTCCATTATCATCCCGGCGAGATGAACTTTGAGGAAGAGAACTGGCTTGCGTACAGGCAAGCGAACATGGCGTTCGCAGAAGCCATCCTAAAGCAGCTCTCTCCCGGATCGATGGTCTGGGTACAAGACTACCATCTTATGCTACTGCCGATGCTTCTCCGCACTCTGATTGACGGACCGAAGAATTGCAGCAAAACGACGCGTGCCGAGCTCGCGCGCATTCTAGAGGGTATGGAGGTAGACGAGATCGAGCCACCCCGGCTGCCAGACATCAGGATCGGCTTCTTCTTGCACACACCATTCCCGTCAAGTGAAATCTACAGGTGAGCTGCTTCGTAGTCAGCCATGTTATTCCAAACGGACGGAATCGAGCTGCGGATTTTACGGGATGCGCCTTGTCCATGGTGACCTGATCAATTCTGAGGTCCGCAGACGGAGTGCACGGGCTACTATGAGTAATTTAATTGCATGCAGGCTGCCGGATTGTGGCGAATGCCGATGTTATTTATGCTCACCTGCCGGAATCTAACTGACCTCACTTTTTCCAGAATTCTGCCTGTGCGGCGAGAGATCTTGCTTGGAATTCTCTACTCCGACCTGATTGGTTTCCACACCTACGATTACGCGCGGCACTTTCTATCTTCATGTACGCGAATTTTGGGCCTTCCGACGATGCCAAACGGAGTCGAGTTCGAAGGACGGCTCGCGCATGTCGGAACGTTCCCAATCGGGATCGATCCAACTTCGTTCACAGATAACCTGAAGAGGGAGAGCGTACGAAAACGCATTGCACAGCTGCAGCAGCGGTTCAAGGATGTGAAGGTCATCGTTGGCGTTGACCGACTGGACTACATCAAGGGCGTGCCGCAGAAGCTGCACGCGCTGGAGTTGTTCTTGAGCCAGCATCCGGAGTGGATAGGCAAGGTGGTACTCGCCCAGCTGGCTGTGCCGTCGAGGCAGGATGTGGAGGAATACCAGAATCTGCGAGCAACGGTGAATGAGCTCGTCGGGCGGATAAACGGTCGATTCGGGACCGTTGACTTTGTGCCAATCCATTTCATGCACAAGAGTCTTCCATTCGATGAGCTGTGTGCTCTCTATGCTGTCAGCGACGTGTGCCTGGTTAGTTCCACGAGGGATGGTATGAACTTGGTGGGTCCTGTCGATTGCTGGTGATGAATAGGATGCTTATGCGACGCAGGTGTCATACGAATACATCGCGTGTCAGCAGGAGCGGCAAGGTGTCCTAATACTGTCTGAGTTTGCGGGGGCAGCCCAGAGCTTGAACGGTAGCATTGTCGTGAACCCCTGGGACTCGCAAGAAGTCGCGGATGCGATCTTCCAGGCAGTCACGATGGATGCGGAGACGAGGGCTGAGAACGAGAAGAAGCTGTTCAAGGTACGCTTTATACATGCTTGCCGATCCTGACTTGTCGTTGACCCTTGCAAACCAGTACGTCACCAAATATTCCGCGGCATACTGGGGAACGTCGTTTGTTGGCGAGATGACAAAGCTGCGTACGCCGGAGTCGGACCTGGCAGATATAGATGGGGGCGGCCAAGCGGAACTTAAGCCCCAGCGGGAGGACGCCACGGGCAGCGTTCTCGTCAACGGGAGTGTTCCTTCGACGCCACCCGTGAATGCGCCTGCAAAGGCCGCATAGCGTGTTGCGCAGTCATGAGGAGACAGGAGTATTTTTATTCGATTCCGTCAACTGGAAAAGCGGTGTTGCAATGTTGTGGATGTTGATGCTGTACAATTTCTCTAGCCCAGATGTACGTGAAAGGAACAGTGTGAGAGATACAGCGCAAGGCGTCGCCGCTCCGTGATCTGATCCCTCCCGTGCCCATGTATTTGTCCCATCTTATCCGCACATCACAATTGGCGTTAACGACCATATATGTTTCGACGACCACAATTCACGAGCCATTATTCGTTCATCCATCGCACACTGATTCATATTGTTTTTCCTATACTGTTTCCCTTTATGTCGCGTTCGACTGGTATTACACGAAATTAGTATCTCGAGTACTTAGATGCACATATATGATCATAGAGAACACAATGAATCTCATCGACGATGACCACCGTTCACGTTCAACGTTCAGGTGCTGTTCAAAATTGATATTAAACAACGCCTATCGTTCAGGTTCGGATTCCGATTGCGTCGTGAGGGATACGTTCATATAGACGAAACCATGCTCCAGTATACGAGGGTACCAGTGATAATGAACTTCGTTAGGTCAGGCTAGTATGTCATTGTAGCAAGGGACTCTTGAAGCTTGTCTCCCCTAGGCAGACAACAAAATACCTCCTTCTCTGAGGGACGGAGGTCAGGAGGTAATAAGGTCTGCTTCAATTCGCGCCTGTCAGACCGTAGCACAGACATTCAAACGCGTGTCGCCTCGATTAGGAAATGCCGAGACATGCCGCATGAAGCCGACGACGTGCCGCTGTCATGTCTCACGGATTCTCCCGGACGGTGGCGCGAGCTCATAGCACAGAGGATGCCTGCAGCTTGCGATGTCTCTGGATGCAAATGAGCAATGAAGATATATCAATATTCATTCTGGATCAAAAGCCATGATTTTTTCGAAAGAAACCAGCAGGCTTCCTCTCCTTATATTAGTGAATAAAGCTACCTAACACCCTGTCACGAAGCTGCTGAATATGTCATATGAGTTTGGAATGTAGAGAATGGCATACAGTTGTGAATATGGAAAGGTCATCAATTAAAATTTGGATGTTCTATGTAGACTTGGAGGATCATAGGGTAACAGAACCGAAGGTGGATGCAGAGGTAGACCCATTGTACAAGATCCGATCGACGTGTTTCGGAGATGAAAACGCTTACGTAACTCCGAAAGCGTGTCCTACGGTCTAAGGGTAGGGAATTGAACCAGACTACCTTGAATTTGCAAAAACTTACCAAAGGAATCAAGACCGACACCAGCAGGGTTCGAACCTGCGCTCCCATAGGGAAACAGATAAGAACACATTCGAATCTGTCGCCTTAACCACTTGGCTATAGTGTCATCTTTCAAGGGAAGAGAGTAACAATATCTGTTCAGTTTATTGCCGGACGAGCATAAATCAAGGCGCGCAATGCGATGGTCAACTCAAACGCGAAACGATTGAATGAGCGGATGATCACGAACAACGCCTGCGTAAATGAGGTCAATCGGGTGTGGGACAATGTAGTGGCGACCACACACCAAACGTGTAACGATGGCCATCGTGACAGATGTGATGGCAGTGGAAGGGCTGAGTGCCAGTTAGAGCTGGGATTCGTGCCTATCGCTGGTGCAACTGTAATGACTTCTTTAGTAATTTCATTGCGCGTCCGAACGTCTTATCTGACAACGAAGAAGCGCCTCTGGTAAGAAGAGGTCCCACCATAGGCCTTCAAGCAGCGTTTGCGACATGAGTGATCGTACTACGCGTATTCATCGGCACCCGAGTCGGATGAATGTTATGGCCAGCCTCCGGATTGGAGGATCACTTAGCATATTGGACTTCGAATCAATGAACACCTAGACGAAGCAGTGCGTCTAGAGAACAGCATGTAGTTAGAGTGCAACCTACCCCGCATAATCACCAGTGGCCTATCAGATAGAAATAGATGCCCGCCAACAAATCACATGAATAAGATCGGTGGCACTACGAAAGCCGCGATAGCGGAGGCCACCACTTAGAAAGTGCAACGGAATAGCAAGCAGAGGTAGATCATGAGAGCTGTCGCAGTCCCGCGCGGCAGTGCGGGTGCCTTAACGTACCGCAAGCGCAGCAGAAAGTGTTGGAGAAGGTAGCTTTGTAATACCCCGAGTAGAGCGGTGCTTTCCTCGAGAGCACAGAAGGTGAGATACGAGCCGGCATGCATTGTATGGGAGGCCTGGGATCGCCCATTTTAGTCCGGCTGACAAAGCTCTCATCAAAATGACGTGCTATGCCACACGTCCACTAATGCGCTATTTTTTAGCAGACGCAAAGAGCATTCAGAGCATGTCCGGAGCCCGACAGTGCAGTAGAATGGCATAAATTGTAGCTGGCAAACTCGGGAGCCGCGGCAGAAGATATGACGAGGGCAAAGAAGTTGACGCCGGGATCGGAGCAGCGCACATCTCGATCAACACGTGATCGGTCCAGCAGCGCCTCCGGAGGAGTTGCTCACCAATTCGTGACCAATCTTAGGGGACCATTTGTAAAGGCGCTCTTATACGCCCATTCACGCTGATTCCTCCGCTCCTTGGGTCTTTACATATCGCAGCGCGACGCTCCTTTCGCAGCCGGTCGACCAACTCCAGGTGCTTGCTCGCGCTCTTCGCTCTTTGCCTCCGTTCTCAGCACTATCCTATACTATCCCGGACTGTTTCTCTAACACATCCTCCCCGCCATTCCTGCGTGCATTCATGCAGGACATAACCAACATGCAGCGGGTGGTATCCCTCGTCGTGATCGGAGACATTGTACGTGGTAGCTGGTTGTCACTCCGCGTGCGCTGACACCGCTCCTAGATATGTCCCTGGTGCTACATTGGGGAGAAAGAGATGGAACGCGCCATTGAGGCCGTCAAGGATCTCCCCATCACTATCAAAGTCGAACACAGACCGTACCAGCTGCAGCCGTCATTACCGGAGGAACAGGCGCTGGTCAAGCGCGAATGGTACCTCAACAGATTCGGCAAGGACAAGTTTGCATCATTTGAGCAGATGGTTACCACTCGGGGAACCCAGCTTGGGCTCAACATGTGAGCGACAAAAGGCCACTTCATGCGCATACATACTGACCGCATGCCAGCAATTATTCCGGTACAATCACTCAGAGCACCCGCGCACATCGTCTCAGTCTGAAGGCTCTGAAGCTGGGCGGGCAACACATGCAGGAAAAGTTCTTGAACAACATTCACAAGGCATACTTTGAGGACGGAAACAACATTGGCGATTTTGAGCTTCTTGGTGAGCTGGCGCAGGCAAGCGGCATCATGTCTAAGGAAGAGGTGAGTTAGACCGACGTTGCCACCCCTGTGCTTGGCGGCTCACACGGCCTTACCCAGGCAATCAAGTTCCTCGAGTCGGATGAGTGCCGGGGAGATGTCGTGGACATGATGGCGGAAGCCCGCAGGAAAGGCGTGACCGGCGTCCCATTCACAATTATCGACGGTCGCTGGGCGGTCATTGGTGGACAGACCGCGGACGTGTACATCCAGGTACGTTTCATTCGCTGAGGACATGTTGTTAATTCTCACCGTCACCGGCCGCCTGGCACAGATTTTCAAGAAGCTCGCACAGACTGAGAAAGTGACACCTTTGTCTCATGTCAGCCCAGGACCGCATTGCTCAGTTAAAAATTGATCTGATTTGTAGGGTGCGCCACTGTGATGATCGTGGCTTCGCATCGCCTGATTATTCCGAGGGAAGTTGATTAGAGGACGGATGGTGATCGATTGACTTATATACCGAAGCTGTTTTATTATTTGTTGTAGTATCATCCGAGCAGTTTTCTTACTTACCGTAGTCCATTCCTTGGTGCAGCTTTGTCCTCGCGTTTGGTGCAATTTTATAACTGTTTCTGCTGCAATCGCCCTTGTTATGAGCATAGACGAAGCGTGAGCTGTGTGAGCCCGTGGAGCCTGACGTCAGCCAGAGCGCGTATACACTTGGCTGCGGACCAGGTCTTGCTATAATCCAGTCTGCTCTGCGATGCCGCTGCAGTCCTCCACCAGTCGTGTGCTCGCCAGCCCCCCGCTCTGGGGTCTCCGCTCTCCCTCACTATTTCGTCTACCCTACACCGACGCGTAATTTGGAGCACCACCCTCGCTTGTCTGGGCGATCACAGACATTATGCCGTGGGCATACGAGCACCGCTACTGGCTCTACGCGTGGATACCAATCTTTGGATCTTTCATCTGGTTCTGCAAGTAATCGTGACGGTGTTGTGCAGATATCAAAGCTGATTGGCGGCGTCATAGTCACATTGTGGGCCATGCTGATAACCTGGCTTGCCACTGGCCGCCCGAAATACGTCCACGAGCAGGGAAGTATCGCTCTCATCTCCGATATCGGGGCGAGCTACCTCAAGCCGCTGTTCATCGCTTGCTGTTCTATAACGGGAGCGTCGTTCTTCCTGACGCTGGTGACTGAGAGATGGTTGCGGCATTCAGGCCGGTGAGTATGCTTGCTTCTGTAGTTGCGCAGAGATACGTGATTGAATGGTTCGAACTTGTAGATTGATCCCGAACATGCGTCGTCGGGAGAAGGTGTTCTCGATACTCGCGATCATCGGCTCCTTCATCGGAGGTGGGGGGCTCATCATGCTCTCGATCTTCGATGTGCGCCGGTTTCACTCGGTGCATGACTCGATGCTGGTCGTGTTTATTGTCGGCGTCGGGCTCAGTGCCATCTTCATCATTATCGAGGTACGTTCGGCGCCAGTTTCGCGAATCTGCTTTGCCTGATGTGCACGCGACCGCTATAGTATCGCTGGCTCAGCAAGAATTACGCCGAAGAGCGTAAGCTCAAGACAGCATACATCATCAAGGGCGTCATCGCGGGAACCCTCATCATCCTCGCGATCATCTTTGCGATCACCCTGTGGGTAGCATCCAACGTCGGAGGTGTGTCCGGATGCTCGACGCTTCTCTCTGTCATTCGCTGATTGACTCTGATCTGCAGCGGTATTCGAGTGGGTCATCGCCTTCGGGTACACGTTCTACCTATTATCCTTCTACTTCGACTTGCGCATGTCCCGCGGCGTCCGCAAGGGCGAACTGCACCCGCTCGCAGCGCAGCGGACCGGCGTTCCGATGCAGCAGGTCAACGGCAACAATGTGAATCAGCCGTACACCAATGGACATACGAACGGGCATGGCAATGGCGGGGTCTACGGCTATGCTGCGAATGGACCGGCCGCGAATATGTCTGAGCGAGTGTAGAAGTGACTACATTGTTGTAGTCACGACCCTTACGATACTGGGCACGATGCCACTGGCATGTTTTCTTCGAGGATTGCGTTCACATTGCTTCCACCACATACCTTGTTACACGACTTACTTACAGTACCATCGACTGACTCGCGTTAGTATTAGTCTAATGATCGTGGATCCCAGTATTATAGCAAGCTCCCCTTGCAATCTCCGTGATTGAGCCGTAATTAATCTTCCCTGGCCGCGAGACACGCGAAATGCGTCGCCGTGAAATCCAGGCCGACGTCCACGAGGCGCGTCCACGCGTCGCCGTCACGTGGGACGCGTCAGCGGCGGTGCATTCTCATTCTCCCACGCTTGAAAAAAAAATGACATGTACGGCAGGAGACCTTCCATATTTGGCATACATGGATAGGTAGGTGCACGTGGACCTCAGGTGTCATATACGGCTGCTGCCACTAGGCGCTCAAGCGCATCTGCTTCCGACACACCAAATTATCTAACTCATCTGAACACTGAAATCCTTGACTCTGTCGCTTTCCTCTTTGCTGACCTCGAATAAACAGCGACGATGTCGAAAGACCCGACTCGCCAACAGCTCTCGTCCCGACTCGCCTACAATGCGCACACCCCAGCCTTCCTGCTCCGCATGCAGCAGCGCGTGTCCGGAGCGCGGGGCGCAGACGACGACGAAGATGACGAGTATGAGTACGACGGCTCTGGACGTCCGCCTATCCCGAAACGGCCTGCGATACCTGAACGCCCCTCGAACGATCTGGGCAGCGCGGACGAGGACGACGCAGATGAGCGGCCGCAGGTCGTGGTGCTGAAAGAGGGGAAGCACCTCAGCGAGCGGGAGGTGGAGGATGAGAGGCGAAAAGGTGTGTTCAGTCCGCATATATGCATGCTACCGCTGGTTGAGGGCGAGCAATCCAGCGAAGGGCCTTCCTCCATTGCCTAATTCAGGCGCACAAGGAGATGAAGCGCAGACATCGGCGTCGGGGTCGAAGATGGCGGAGAAACCTGCAAATGCGGCTAAGCAGGTACAAGGCCTATCCTTCTCCTCTGGCGCCGCGCCAAGGGCAAAGTCGACGAAGCGCAAGGCCGTTGGCGATGGGCGTGACCCCGAAGCAAAAGACGGCAAGGGCGGCAAAAGCCCGAAGAAAAAGCACAAGAAAGCAGAGAAGAAGCTCCTGTCGTTTGGAGACGAGGCGTGATATCTACGGATTGCACTTTGATACCTAGATGATTATGATGTTCAGGTGAGTCCAACCATTTGTCTCGTTAGCAATGCCTCATTGTGCGACTTATCTTAAGGGACAGCCTATCTACGGGATCAGCAGGGCTCTGAAACTACCACTCCAGGTCGTGCTTGAGAGGACCGACCAGGTGTGCAGGAACGTGGCCTCCGCGGACTGCACAGGCATTAGCCGATGGATGCCACAGCGTTTGGGTCGTACTGCCTGCAGCCCACCACTGGTGCTACGAGGAGACATGCCCTCAATATCAAGTCTTCTCCCTGTAGGCTGCAACGGCGAACTCTTCCTCCAGAAGTCATGACGCCATGGAGGACGAAGGAGCAGAACGTATCATCGAATTGACATGCGTGAACGTGAACATTGCACTATTGGTACAAGCAAGAACATCTGCATCCACCAAGAAGCAACAAACGAGAAAGCGCCAAACGACGAGGATGCGTACAGCAATATAATACATACATATGCGAAGCTTGTCCAAAATGCAGCTCAAGTCCAAGCATGAATGCGTCTCGAGTCCTCCCCATGCAAGCGAATCGTAACCGCCTTGACACGTGTCACCGCCTCCCAAGCAGCGAGAAGCTGGAAAAGCGCTTCCGCACTCGCGAGACAACGCTTGGGCTCCCGCTATGAGTGCTTCCGTCCTCCTTCGTGGTCCGCGCTCTCTCGCCCGCGAAGGGCATTGCCGAAAACCGCTTGCGCTCCTTCGTCGATCTCGAGCTCGCGATCGACGGTGATGGATGCGACGGGCTGATCGCGAGCACGCTAGCAATAGACGGTGGATGGCGGGCAGCGCCCATGCTCACATCGACACTGAGGCCTCTCGTTTCCTCTCTCGTTGGCGTCATCGTCTCCCTTACATTGGACCCCTCCCCACTCATCCCAGCCTCCGACCTCGACTGTGCGATCGTCCTCCGAGTGGCAGCAGGCAATGGCGCGAGCGAGACATCGAGCTCGCGCGCGACAAGCGCATCAAGGAGCTCGAGTGCGTATTCGGGGACGCCCGGGTTTTCGGCGATGTCTGCGAGGTCCATGTCGTGGAGGAGCTCGTCGGCCGTGCGCGGATGCGAGAGAGAAGACATGTAGATGCTCGCGGTGCCTGCTTCGATGTGCGATGACGGAGACGGTGAGGAAGGAGCTGATGGTTCGGGCGTGAAGTGGACACGGCGGGTGCCAGCGTGTTGTGTAGATGACGAGCGCTCGGGCTCAAGCGCCGAGGTAGGATTGGCGGGAGAGTCCGATGAAGAACCGTTCACCATCGTAAATATAGAAGTGGATTGCCTAGATCCATTTTCCTGGCGGGCAGACTGCGGCGTACATATAATCGTCGGGCGCAGGCGTAGTGAGCGCATGCGATTGATCACCTTTCGCCGTGGAGGCGTGTGCGTCGCGCGGTGCGACCGTGGGCCGGGGAACAGCACTGGCACGCGCGTCTGCGACCGCTCACAGTAGCGGACGATATTCACGTCAGCGGCGACCATCCGACGTGCGTCGTCGTTATGCGAGATCTTGCGACGTGTAATGTCATGTTCACTGCCTTCGCCTGAGAGAAGCCTCGAAAGCAGCTGCTTCGTGGCCTTAGATTGCTCTTCTCGCGCGGCTGATCTACGTTCTGCCATCCAACGCTCGCGCTGCAAGGCGCGGAGCTCGCCCGGCTCGAGCTGCTGTGCAGACTCTGATGCGGCAGCCTTGCGTGCATCCGCGAGACACGCACGCAGCTGTGCAGCACGCTCGCGCGCCTCCTGTGCCTGCGCGCTGAGGGCCGCCGTCGCGCGCTCGAGCGCGCGGATCTGCAACTCGGTTGGCGACGGTTCGGATTCGCAGATTTGGAGTGTCGCTGTGAGGGCTTCCTGCGCGCGGAGGTAGCGTAGCTGCCGGCGCAGGTGCGGGCTGAGCGGATGCGAAGGAGAGGAGGACGCCGGGCCCTGTTTAGAGTAAGTAGCTTTGAGGTTGTCAGGGTCTGTGGCGTGGCTGGTGTAGCTCGACCTCGAGATGGATCGGGTAGACGATCCTGAGGAATGTGTCGCATCGGGAGTACTGGGTTCGGAGAACATGGACGTGGTCGTGATTAGATGGAAGGGTGGATACGGAGAAGGAGAGAACCTGACTTACAGGGTGGAGGTCGGGGAGGGCAACTGTAGCAGCGGCGAGTTCATCCTGTTCGTTCGATCCTGCGTCATGCGGTCAGGATGAACACCAATTGCAGGAAGCGTCGTAGGTGAGGAGGCTGAAATGAGGCACGCACCCCTAAAGCTCCGGTGGGCATTCGCCTGCAGGGCACGGCGATAGGGGACAGCCCCCCGGCCTTCGCGCTCCTCGTGGAGGGCGACTTTCGCGGGAGCTGGGCTGCGCTGTGGAGCTTGTCGCCATCGAGATGGGTGTCCATGAGATGGATGAGGGGGAGGGCGTCCGCGACAATCTCATGCATGATGCAGGACGTGAGGAAAATCGCCTGGGAGAGATCGATGGTAGAGTGCCAGCCTCTGCGTGCGCCGGGCCCGGGGATATGATGATGATGATGCAAGCGTGACCGCGTCTGCGCTGTCAGGCACGCTAAAAGCGCGGCACTAGTGTTTCAGCACGAAAATAGTACAGCTCCTTTGCCAGCACAAGAGCAGGAGAAAGACAGAAAGTGGGAAATAGACAGAGTGCAAGAGGAGAGGCAGGTCTCCGTGCAGAGGGCTGAGAACTCAGAGGGGACTGCCAGGTGGAAACCAAACCGAACCGAATTTGACCGGCGCAATGACCGCGGGGATCAAATTTGCTAAGATGGATGTATCTAGGCGCCCGCACTTGGAACGTCTGCGCTTCGCAGAACACAACCAGTCGGCCGACGTTCATGCTTGCTCTCTCAATTACACCTTGGGCAGGATAGGCTTTCTAGGACGAGCTGCATGCACCTCACGGCAACGAATAATAGGGCAGTGTCCCATAGACCAGCGGTGAACCGAATAGAGCAGGCAACGTCCTTGATGAATCACGAATGGGGGTAGCATCACTTAAGCTTGCCCACTATGTACATAACAGTCAGGCAGAGAAATACGTACATAACTACAAGCTGAGCCGAGGGAGACCAGATGCTACCCGTCCTCCTCGGATAGCAATTGCAGCTTCCTCAGCTTCTCCTCTGTAATGTGCTCCGTCTCGCGATCCTCGTCGGATGCGATGTTCTGTAAGATGAAGAAAGCCCTTCCCGTGAGTCCGGTGACATAGTCAACGACGGTAAGTTGTTCGACTTCTCCATAACCGTTCGGGCGCACAACAACACGACCGATGAGGTCGTGGTTTGCAGCCATCTCTTTGTCGCGTGAAGTTTGAGGGCCAAAAGGGGGCTGATCTTTGCCAGTCACGTTCTTGTATCTGTTCATGTAACTGGCGAGTTTGCGGTGCCACGATATCGAGAAAAGTAGCATGATGGATCTTACAGGCGCCTTCCAACTTCAACATCTATAGCGGCAAGGGCTCTCTCTGGCATGTTTAATAACTCCTGCATACGAATGGCCTCATCGGCACCGTGGCAGGCAAAGACCCTGATAATCCATTTAAGATAGCTGAAACAGATCGCCAATGAGGCTGAATACTAGGAACACTTAGCAGCGAGGAAGGAAATTGAACTCACTCGTGAGAAGCAGGGGCCTGCATACATTTTGCGAAACCATTGCTGCCGTTCTTCGACAGAGTGCAGTGGAGGAATATGATACAGCCTGTGTTGGGTCCATATCCTGACGGCTTGTGAGTGTGTTCAAGTGCTTGGACACGTGATTCATTGAAAGCTGAGAGATAGTCAAGTAGTGCGTGAGCCGCTGGATGTAGGATTCAGTGGTCTCGGGAGAGAGACTGTGGGCCGTTTGCGGCATGATGAAGCAGGGCGTTGGCGTGAGCGAGCTTGTGAGAGATGACAAGCCAATTGATCAGGATGTCCGACGAAGCGTAAGCGTGACAGGGGACGCGACCTGTCACACGACATTGGTCGTCACTGTCATACGATGCACTGTGATCCTTCTCTCTGCGCCAGTGCGCCATCACTATCAATCTGTTCTGCATTCCATCCGGACACGCGAAAGTCTGCAATGTCGGAAGGGAAGAGGAAAAGCTCTGGAAAAGACAAGGCCAGGCGGAGATATCGCCAAGTATGTCCTCATTAATCCTGGTCAGCTATCTGCTTGAACTTTCTCAGGACGGCACACCTATCTGGGGTCAACGAACCGTTGACGGGCCAGGCGTATGGGTAACTTGTGTTAAGGGGAAGGAGAAGCAGACAGTGGGAGAGCTGTATGACCTTTTCGAAAGTGTAAGTCGAACGCACTGTCTTGATGTCCCAGCAGCTGAACGAAGCGTCTCGACTTTGTAGCTTGCGTCGGAGATGTGGCCAGATGATAGTGCTACCGGTACGCAAGCTGACGATGACAATTCCGATGATGAAGGAAGCGATGATGGCGACATCGAGAAACAGTTGGCAAAGGAAGTCGCTTCCATGAAGCGCCCTCGGAAGGAACAAAGGTTCGGTACGTCCACGTTCGTCCTTGACGTGACAGACACTCATGATCTGCAACAGCTAACTGCCAAATTAACACGCCTTGTGGTATGTAGTGCTAAGCGACCATTGGCCCAGAAACTCAGGTATATTATGTATATGTAGTGGTTTTCATATCGTGCAAGCCACCGGTGGACCCTGTCAAATTAGTCATGAGACACGTTGAAAACGTAGCGCAGACGGGTGTGACGCATACACGGTGAGTTCACATGTAGGCCGGACATGCATCAGCTACCCAACCATCTTAGGTACACCCAGCGGCTCACGCCAGTATCTGCCACATGCGCTGCCAATATCCCGGAGATCTGTTCATTATGCAACCGCATAGCGAATTCATTCTTTGAATCGGATCTGGAGAAGACCTACACGGTATGTCTATCTTCTAGTGCTGTTTTCAAAACGGACGCTGAAGACGCGCTAGTACAAAATCGAGCTCAGAATACGCAATCACAACACGGTGACTCGCTCGCAACTCATTGAAGAGCTAGCAAAGTGCGTTTCAGAGCGGCATAAAGTCGATCTCAATAATCCGGAGGTGTTCATCCTTGTGGAAATATTCAAGGTATGTTCGCGAGCAACTTTGATAGCGGCTGTCTCTCAATATTCGGTTGCAGAGTGTATGCGGCATCAGCGTCGTCAACGACTACTATACCCTGCACAAGTTCAACGTGATGGAGATTGCCAATGCGAAGAATGCGACGGTGGAGGAGCAAGGGCGCGTAGCAGATAAGACAGTTACGAGCGAGCCTAGCAGTGTAAAGACCGATGGTGCTGATGGCGCAGTCTGATCCATTGCTTACATGTACCTGAGTGGTCGTATATAATGTGCACTTTAGTACAAAGCTGCAGACACCGTAAGAGGACGTGCTATACGCGTCGGGAACGTGACCGTGGCGACAGCGCCCACCTCCCGCGCGTGTACATCTTGGACTGCAATCACTGCCGGATCACATCTGCACATCGTTCTTGTCTGATCTCGTCCGCTGAATATTCACGCCTCGCCGCATTGACCTAGCAGCCCCCAACGACCTCAGCGTTGACCCCGCATCACTGACAGCATACTCACTGCCTTTCCCCACCAAACACCCTACTCGCCATGGTGGACCGAGTCGACTCGATGCTCGACCTCATGCGTCGGCTGCCGCCCATGCAGGTGGAGGAGAACGTCGCCTCGCTTGTGGCGATGTGTCCAGGTTACGCGGACGAGCTCCTGGGGAGTGTAGACCAGCCGCTGAAGGTGATGACGGACCGAGCCACAGGAAAGGAATACTTGGCCTGTGACTACAACAGGGACGGGGACAGCTACCGGTGAGTCTCTCCGTCCGCCAGTTCACTCCAGAATTGTAGTATGTACCTTGGCGATTGGGAAGGGAGTGCAGCTGCCAGCATGATCGGAACGTACCATGTGCTGACTATGTATGCGCATGCTCCAGGTCACCGTGGTCAAATGAGTACGATCCACCATTAGAGGATGGCACTGTGCCGTCAGCGAAGCTCAGAAAGCTCGAGATCACGGCGAACGAGGCGTTTGATACGTATCGGGAGATGTACGTGCTGTCCTGCTTGCGCAACATTACCGTTCGATAGTTACTTGCCGCGCTTGGCAATCCTTGCTATAGGTACTACGAGGGTGGTGTATCGTCGGTGTTTCTGTGGGATTTAGATGATGGAGGATTCGCCGGTGTGGTCTTGCTCAAGAAGAGTATGTGCTGTGCTCTCACAGTGGACATCGATTCACCATGCAGCTGATCTGCTGTCATCACTTCCACAGTCCTGAATCCTTCATCACCAACAGAGCCTTCAGGCTCCTGGGATTCCATCCACGTCTTTGAAGCGGCGGAGCGCGGCCGCCAGGCACACTACAAGCTCACCTCTACCATCATGCTGCAAATGACACACCGAGCTGCGGTGGCAAACGGGAACGGCAATAGCAGTATGAAGGATGGGAATCATAAGGAAGGAGAGAAGGACGATGTGAAGCGGGAGGGCGAGGTCATGCTGAGCGGGAGCATGACAAGACAGGTGTGTCTGATGTTCGCAGCTGATACACGCGTGTGGAGACTGAGGGAATGGTTATCGGTCTCAGAGCGAGCAGGACCATCCCGTAGCCGACCAGTCGTCGCATATCGTGAACACTGGCAAGATGGTCGAAGATATGGAAATCAAGATGCGGAATCTTCTGCAGGAGGTACGTCGTCGAGATCATGCCCGCTCGAGCGAACTCCTTATCCCTACCTCGTACAGGTCTACTTCGGTAAGACGCGAGATATCGTCTTCGACCTACGCAGCGTGGACGACCTCGAGAAGGCGAGGCGACAGCGAGAACTGCAGAAGGAGCTCGTAGGCTTTATCAAGCGGTGATCAGTCTCATCAATACCCATTTCGTGTGGCACGTTGGCATGGGGCCGACGTATTTGTGGATAGCAGAAGGGAACCTAGGTCTGTACATTTTGAAGTAAGAATGGTATTTTGCATTGCTAGACCGTACAACCTCGTGCGGATCGCGCCACTCATCAATGGAGCTCCTGCGAAACCGCTTGACCTTCTGTCGTATTTGAGACATCCTGTTCAGCATTGATCATGATGCATAATGTACGCCTCTAGTGTTGCCACATTGTCGTCGGGCTCATTGACAGATTCTGACGATTTACAGTATATTATAGCAAACCATGTTATTGAGAGAATCACCCTCTCGTTCCCATGTCAGTGGATGTTGGGACAAGATGCAAAGATTTACTGTGAACGCTCTGAATATCGAGACTTCGGCATAAATCGACACGGGGGCAGCCAATTCACCGTCTTAAAGACTCTGTCGTTCGCGCGGTATCACTGAGCCTTGAAGAGCGGCAGCGGCGAGTTGACACCCTTTTCGATCCTTAACCCCATCTTCCTCAAGATCTCCGAGTCACGTCTCTTGATGACGGACTTGACGGTGAGTTGTCTGTTGTCTGTGGTCGAGAGAACTTCGAGAATCTCGGAGTTCTGTGCTCCCTGCATAAGTGATTTCTTGCCCATCATTCTCACAACGAGCCGGGCTGATTAAATCAACGCGATGCATAGACTCGTAGCGAGCTATGGGTACAGACAGAGGCTCCGTATGTCGCGGACATTTACAAAAGAGACAGAAAAGAGAAAAGAGACGAGAAACACATGCATCATAGACCCGGACCGAGAAAGAAAGAAGAGGAAAACCCCAGTGCCCTTTGCACTAAACGCTTTATATTGCGTCGACATTCTCCGCCTAATCAACGTACGGGAGGATCCGTACGCTGTCACCTGCGTAAGGTGAGGAGATCGAGTCAGACATCGGAGCGAAGATCTGAATATATGAATGTACCTGATTCCTGTGTTCTGATAGCCACGACTCCGAGCTCAAGTTCCGTCGCCCGACTTCGGTGCATGGACGGGCTTGACATTGTCCTGCGAGATCGAGGTCGCGAATGCTGAGGCCGATGGCGCTGGTTCGGGACTCCCATACGAGTACTTGACAACACCCGAAACCGTCGCCTGCGAGTCGCTCTTGTCGCTGCGAGTTCGCTTCTGCTCCGCGTTTACGACGAATGACCACGACTTCTCTCTCTCTCGGATCGCGTTTAGGTCGGCCTTCGTCTTCTTCAGCTCTTTGTCAACTGATTTGTTGTCCTTCGTGAGGCTCATGACCTGCTGGACTAGCGTATCGACCTTCTGCTCGAACTCTGCCGTTCGCTTGCGGAGGTCCGCGTTCACGGTGTCGAGAGCCTGCTGAGATGCACTCTCGGCGTCCCTCTTGCCCTTGACGAGAACCGCATTCCATTGTGCATGTGCAGCGGCGTTGAGCTCGTGCGAGCGTCCCCGGCGTTCGGAAGCAGCCAGGTCCTCTTGCAGTCGACCGATATCCTTCTCCTTCCCTGCCAGACCCTCCTCTAGCTCAAGGATCCGTTTCTGGAATGCCTGCTTCTCGAAGAAGCTCTCCGCATGTAGGAAGTCAATGCTGTCCTCTGCGGCCTCGACGGACTGGGCCGCTACGCGCTTGTCGCGTTCGAGCGAGACATTCTTCGCTATCTGCTTCTGGACCTCGTCTGCGAATGCCTGCTTGGTGAGCTCGTCCTGCTTCTTCTCATGCCTGAGGCCATCGTTCTCTGCCTTGTAGCGGCGTCTATTGTCTTCCTGCCAGGATAGGGCTGCTTGACAGAGAGCGAGGCGAGCCTGACAATCCTCCAGCGTTCCCGCACGATACTCCTTGTCGCAGTGCAGTTCACCGCAGTCATCTTGTGTCCCGTCCGATTCGCTCTCGAGCAACTCAATTCTGTGCTTGTACGCCCGAAGCTCCGCAACGAGGGCCGCATTGTCGGCCTGTAACCTGCGAACCTGCTCCTCTGATGAAACCTGGGCGAAATAGTTCTCCGCCTCCAGGAAGTCGATGGTCTTCTCCGCGGCTTCCAGTGCCTCAGCCGATGCGACATTCGAGCGCTCGACAGTCGCAACCTTGTCTTGATACTTCCGGATGTCCGCGATGAGTGTCTCTTTGGTCGCCTTGTGCAAGAACGAAAGATCGTCGAACTTGCGCTTGAAGCGAGACCGGTCCTTGACACACCAGTCGAAGGCCACTTGACAGAGACGAAGGCGGCCCTCGCAGAGCTCGAGGTCCTCCCTCAACTCCGTCATGTCTGAAGACTCCGTCTTCCCGTCGCTGTCGCTGTCGTCCTGCCTTTCCATCCGCGCCGCCTGTGAGATCACTCCGGGTTGCTCGAGGAGCATGTTGCTCTCGTACGCGTCCAAATCCCTTTCGTCGCTGTCCCACTCGTCGATCGTCGTCGCCTTAGGAATCAGCCCGGCTTGCTCAAGGAGGTCGTTCCATTCCTCGTACGCATCCAGAATACGATCCTGGTCGTTCCGCTTTCCGGTACCTGCGCCAGAAAAAGTTAGTATGCCGTGGAGCCCCGTCTCTTCTCTGACTCACCTGGGCCAGTACCATTGCATACCTGCTCGTCAGCCTGTATCGCTTCAACAACATGTCGGTCTTGCTCGAGGAGCTTGTTCCTCTCGTCAGTGACACTAGAATACAAACACACGCTCTGCTGGGTCCACCATCCAGCAGGCTCAGATCCCCCATAGACGCCGTCGGAAACAAAGATCGCTCTAACTTCGCCAGCGAAGCAAGACGCATAACTGATTTCCGTGACGCTGCGGTACTCGTCCTCTCTGTCCACGGGCGGGACACAAGAAGAAGGACTCGGTCCATCCTCAGTGACTGGTGGGGAGGGATGAACTTCGGCGAGGTCGCAAGGGGGAAGGGAGGGAATGGGTGTAGGATTCGTGTTGGCCGGCTCGTGTTGGTCCTTGAAAGCCGGTGGGCAAGACTTGACTTGTATAATAATATTGCTGAAGGCGTAACTGTTGGCCGGTGTAGGGCTAGCGTCAGCGTGCTCGAGCTCTTCCTCATGACTTGGGAAGCAAGACTCGAGTCCTGACGCGGGAATCGACATGGAGGAACAATCTTGACGGCGATTGGCATCATCTAACTCGGGGCCATCCTTCGAAGCTAGTCGGAAAGACGACGTTGGATCGACGAAATTGCACAGAGCGGGATCTTGATTGCGACTCGCGTCACCTAGCTTGAGGTCGTCCTCGGGAGCGGGGAACGCGGCATCTTCTACTTGACTGGGCACGGTGGAGATCTCTTCATTGCGGCTCGTATCGCCCAGCTCGGGTCCAACCTCAGAAGCTGGCGAAGCGAAAGGTTCAACTTGACTGGGCACGGCAGGGTCCTCTTGAACGCGACTGATATCGCCCAGCTCGGGTCCAACCTCAGAAGCTGGCGAAGCGAAAGGTTCAACTTGACTGGGCACGGCAGGGTCCTCTTGAACGCGACTGATATCGCTCAGCTTGAGGTCGTCTTCAGAAACTGGCGGCGAGACCTCTTCGACTTGACTCGGTACGATAGGACTTTCTTGCGTTTCCTCGACTGGCCGCACTTGAGTTTCTGGAAGAGCATCAACTTCCACGACATTGCTTGAGGTTGCGGTGCTGGATCGCGCGCGACTTGCATCGTCCTTGAGCTTGGCATTCTCTGCCTCCAAATGGGCGATCTTTGCCTGAAGGTCCTTCAGAAGCTGTGAAGAATAAGCGAGCAATGGGAAGCACCATAACAGACAAAACCTTACCTCGAGCATTATTCCGGCATTGGGAGCGTTGGTTCCTTGATCGTTGTATTGGTCCTTCTCGCAAGGCATCGGCGAAGTGGCAACGTCAACGACAGTTCGTCTCTCCGTGACATCGAGACCGCTGGTGCTGGGAGTGAAGGAATGACCGTTCAGAGCGACAGCCTTCTCCTCAATCTTGACCTTCTCATCTTCGAGGCTGAGACGAGAGCTCTCCCGGGCACCACCGTCAGAGGAGTCGGTAAATGCTATGTTGCTTGCAGCATCTTCCGCTCCCTCCACAAGAATATCGACCTTAGCCTGTTCAAGGTTCTTGGGTACGCAATATATCGACCAGTTGTCCTCGATATCCTTCTGGGACCACCTGAGAAAAGAGCGGCGTTACATGAACAGATACGCACCTCAACAACTATCCTTTCATTTATAAAATCGGACTTTAGGTTCTCCCCGTCATCGTCTTCATACGGTACTGTTGAAATGGCGGCGTCCACGGTCAGCAGATCCACGTCGTCATAGAGATCTTCAGCACTTGGAGCGAAGACATGACCGTCGAGAGCGACGGTGATCTTCCCCTCGATGACCGACAACTTGCAGTTCTTGTCCTCGGAGCTGAGACAAGAGTGCTCCTGCGACACACCACGATCAACGGCTCCAATGCATAAGGCCTCTTCGGGATCATGTCCCACTTCATCCCCGAGAGCATCATTCACGTTCTTGAAGTCTTCATCCAAAAAGAGCTGTTCCTAAGAGCCAGTGAATAAAGAAATATACGCATACAAGCGACAACATGCCTCGAAAGTCCGTCCGTCAACTCGAACTTCGATCCTTGGTTCCTGTTCTTGATCGTCCTCGCAGGATGTCGGAGAAAGGACTGCGTCAATGATGGATATCTCTATCCCGTCGAAACCGCTGTTACTAGCGATGAGGAAGTGACCGTCCCATTCAACGGTCTCTTCGCCAACAGACGCAGTCTTGAAACTTTCGTCTTCAGAACCGAGACAAAATTGTTCCTCCAAGATACCATCGTTGAGTGAGTCAGCGGGCGCGACTTCCGCGAGAGGGTGAATCTTGTTATCCTCGAGGTCGTTGTTGGTATCTGTCGTCGGAGAAGGGAAGGCATCAAGGAACAAGGGCGTTCCGACGTCATCGAGAACGCTAGCCTCCGGGGTGAAGAAGGAAGCGGTAATTGCGCTGGCCTCCTCTTCACCGAACGAAAGATTGCAGACCTCATCCTCGTAACCAAGACAAGGATCTGCACCCCAGTGACGGACGTTTGACACCGATTCCTGAACACCACCTAAAACGGAGCGTCAAGTTCATACTGCCCTCGAGAGAAGGAAGTACTCGCCATTGACTATCTTCGACACTACGTGTTTCTTCCCTTGCTGGTCCGACCTTGCCAAACGGTACCCAGCGCGATAGACCCACAGACCAAGGTAGTGCGCGTAGACCACCGACACGAAAACCGAGAACGTGAACTTGAACCCAGAGAGCCCAGAGAGCTCGGCACCGGTCAGCTCACCAAAGTAGCCTAGAGCCGTCATAGTTGTCGAGACGACCCACACAGCGTGAACGGAGTAAGCGACGATGAGCAGCAAGCGTGAGAAACCACGAGACTTCAATAGCCCAGCGACCGCATAGTGTGCGAGATCCAGCACAAGGATGCCTGCCGAGGTGAAAGCCGAGCGAGGATGGTTGAATGAGAAACTCATATAGAAGAGAAGTGATGATGACAGAAGGATGAATCCGACAGGGAGCACGACCTGCCGGAGGGGCCACTTGAGACGAAGACGACAACCCTTGCGACATCTTGCCAGCCGCAGAGCCGCCTTGTACGCGACGCACCCCAGTACCAGCGAGAATGCCATCGCCGATGCCGGAGACCTCGCCGCCCAGGTAGCGATGGACGAGATGAACGTGTCGCCAGGCGGGAACGCTTGTGCCCCATACTTGCCAGGGACACTACCCAGCGACGATGACAGACAGGCGGCGGCGGCAAGAGGACCTTGACAAGCCTCAGAGGTACCACCATAGCCCGTCGGGGGGCCAGACTCGTCAAGCCCGGCCAGATGAGAGAGGTTGAGAGCGAGAGAGAGTTGTGACGTTACGAATTCCATGTTGTGCTAGGGAAAGAGGGGAGTGCGGAAATTTGCAATGAATATAGCTCTCAAGGAGGCTGGCTATATTGTGATCATGCCGGCCTGCACTGGCGAGCCTCTACAAGTCCAATCAGCCGAAATCCTGAGCTGGACATCCTTGAGCTTCCTTGTACTTGAGTTTGCTGTCTCTGCTTGCCACAGTGAGGGTGTATTAAAATCGATGTCGGAGGAAGTAGTGAGTAGGCCGCCAGCTGGAGTCTTTGCTGGTTGAAAGGCAGCAACTACAGCGCCTGCCAAAAGCGGACACAACCAGCGACCTTCAAATTCATCTCCGCGAGTCTACGGACCACCTTTAAGCGCTTGCGCGGGCTCCTCGCCCACAGAACGCAAAGAAAAATAATCATTTCACAGTACTCTCCACATGCACAGCCTCAGCAACACGTTCATCAGACCAACCGCTCATCAAACAATATGTAGCAAAGCCTGACAACGAACAAGGGGGAACAACTGTCGATAGCACGCCCCTTCCTCAGAGGCTTAAAGGAAATAATAAATAAAGAGCGGCACGGCGTGCGCGGGGATTAGTACACTAGACAGTGACTGGGTACGGGACGGGTGGACAGCAGGGGGGTGTTATAGTCGCATAGTGGTGATGCAAAAGTAAGCAAGATGGCTGTCAACTGGGTGTAAGGGGGCCTCCCCGGGAGTACGTTAGACTAGTTTGAGCGTCCGCAGGAAAGTACGAAAGCGTAGAGAATAAAAGGTCGATGCCAGATCTAGCGGAGACGCCTTGCGAAGAGAGAAAAAGACGGGAGAGAGGGATCGGGGTTCGCGTGAAGCGTGAGGCACAGCGAGTGCAAAGGCATGGAGCAAGCGGGCGGGCGGCGGGTGGTGAGATGTACATGGACGAAGGGCAGGGCAGGGCAAAACCGCAGTAGGCGAGCTGACATCTGGTGGCGGAAAGACAGGGAAGGGCGGCGCATACAATCAATATCGAGTGAGCAGGTGGGGAGGCGATATCATCTTCGAGCGCATACAATCTATCCATCCTCATTCTACGGCGCAGTATATACCTTCTGCGGGGGCATCGGGAACTCCCCCACAATCGCCGAATCTGGCTCTGCTGAGTTAGGCTCTTCAACGCTAAGCAACGACGCCCGCAAGTCGGGCGTCGACAGCTCCCCCTCATGCATAGACACCGCACGGAGGCGTTCCTCCACTTCCTCCTGCGACAGGTCGAGCGCAGCAATCAGCTGCTTGAGCGCGTGCTCACCGAACATACCCCCGCTCGAGCCGCTGGCGACCGACTCCGAGTGGAGGTGCACTGCAGCGGGCGGCGTCACGCGGTAAACCGGCACCTCCTGGATGTCCGCGAACGGATTCGACATGCGCTCGCTCTGCCGCTGATTCATCACGGTCGCGCTGCTGTTGCTCCGGCTCAGTACTGACGCTGCCTCGCTTGCGCTGCGCGCGCGGCTAATGCGGTGGTTGCCGCTGCCGCTACCGTCGGCGACAAGCACGCTCCGCGTGCGCGACGCGCGGAAGTCCTGGCCCTTGAAGAACGGATTTGCGACGCTGCGCCGCTGCTCTGACGCGTCCGTGAACGGATTCGTGTCCCGCACCTCCTCGGGGCCCGTCACCTCCTCCTCGTCCATCGTGAGCACCTCTGCCGACTCCCACTGATGCATCGGCGAGAAAGATGACTGTGCCGACTGCGACTTGGCCCGTATCAGGCTCGGGGAGTCGACGCGCACAGATCGCATCGACAGGAATGAGTCCTCGCGCGCCGTCGAGCCGTCCCATGACGAGCCGCTTTCTCCGCGCTGCGCAACCTGGCCGGCAAACGGGCGTGCGGGCGAGTGGAGTGCGAGCTCCTGCGCAAGGCCCGGCCGGTACTTGTCGAACTCGAGGGGCGGAAGACCAAACCCACCGACGTCCTCATCGGACAGCTTGGTGCGCGCCGTGCGGATGCTCGGCGCCGGTTTTTTAAACATGCCACGCAGGTTCTTCTCGTCGGGATCGCGCGTGCTGTCCTCACCGGCCGAGTGCGTGGAGCCGTCCGCACCTTCGCTTAGCTTGTTCCATTTCTCGCCATTCTTAGCCGCGCGGCGGCGGATGGAGCGCTTGACGCAGAGGTAGAACACGAGCACGAGGAACGCGAGCCCGGCGAACGCACCGACGCATGCGCCGATAACGGCTCCGACAGGGATAGACTCGTCAGAGACCGCAGAGGCGGAGACGGTGGGGCTGGTGGAAGCCGAAGACGAGGAGGACGAGGTCGAGCGGGCGACCGACACTGTTGAGGTGATTGTGGGCGTTCCGCTTGTGGCAAATTGATACGTGACAGTCGGAATAGAACCATCGGCGGTGTCGAGAGCGAGGGTGCTCTGCAGGGTGGCGACGCTACTTATCAAGACCGAGCCGCCGATGGATATACTACCGGTGTTGGTGGTGTCCGATTCCGCGGCGCGGCGCATCCTTGCGCGATGGACAGGCTTGGAGATGTGCATGGGTGCGTGTGCGAAATGACAGGATTGCGGTGAGCTGTAAAGAGCGACGTCTGAAGGAAAGTACGCCCTGCACGCGCAGGGACCGGTGAGTTCAGATCAAGGCCGTCGGGAGCCCTGACGGCGGGTGAGCGCGGGAGCGACAGAAGCGAAGAGGGCGTCGACGCACCTGTGAAAGAACCCGGACTTGCGCGAGTGCGCTGGTCGTCGTGGTGGACAGCGAAGAAAGGTGAGCGTACGGTGTCGCCTGCGGAGGGGTCACCGCCGGCGCAGCCCGCCGGTCTCAGTGCGCAGTTGCTTGACGACGGCCCGGCCTGTCGCCCGTTTTGGGTCGTGCGCCGGGCTGCGGTGCGACTCAATCAGCAAGCGCTGTCGTACTCAAACGAATTCAATACTTCGCATCTATACTGCCGTCTCGCCACAACGCCATATCGGTCTTATGCTAGCACAAGATGCACCTACCATGGACGACCACCCGCAAGAGGGATCAAAGATGCTATCATGCTACCTGTATAAGCCTATATTGATTTTGCAGGCCACGGCCACGGCGCGGCGATGAGACAATCAAAAGAAGATCAATTGGTGATTAGCAGATGTCCTCTGGGTATCATGCAACGCTGATCATCTCCATTGTCTATCATCAACCTCCTACGTCGATTTGACCCCTTCAGGGTGCTCAATCATCGCCTGCATCTCCTGCTTGATACTCGCCAGCGTCGTCTTCACCGGCTTCCACTCGATCGAGCGCGATCGCTCCGCCCGACAGCATACGTTCGAGCCCAGAAAGTCAGACTGCACAGCCCAATCAGCATTTCCAGGTATCTCAGAGCACTGGAGATTTGTCTAGCTGCTCACCCCGCCAAAATACTTATCTAGCTCTCTCTTCGAGAACGTCGTAACCTGGTTCGTGTGCGACTTCCGAGCTCCATCATCGCCTCTCCAGTCGCCTTGCTGATATCGTACAACATGTGCTCTCCATTCTCGCCAATGTAGAATCCCTCCCGCCCGTGTCCGATGAGCTTGCCAGCCATGAAATGGTCAAGGATGATCAGATACAGATCCGCCACTGCGCATCCCGATCAACATCGATATTGCACGCATAACCATCATGGAAGAGATGCAATGCGTACCTTCATCAGTGTTGACGTTTGGCCAGAAGTTCTTGCCCTTGCCGACGGTACCCGTCTGGCCGCAATCAAGGCTTGCATTGATGGGCTGCGGGATCTGCTGCGAGTGCCGCTCCATCAACCCCGCATCGACCAACGTACAGTAAGCAACCAACCCGAAGACCGATCCTAGTATTATCTGACGTACCCTGCCCTTCAGCATCCAGCGCCGCAAGGTCCACGTTCCGGTGCGGCTAGTTCGGCGAAAGAGACTCGATCTGCTCCTGATTCGAGTCGTAATACACTGTCAAAGTTAGCTACATTCCCGCCACAGTGTCGGCGAAGACACCTACAGGATACGTCAGCATGGTGCTCAGACGGGCTGGCGAAGGGAAGCTAGGGCTCGCCAGTTCCGGACTGTCATATGCGATGGCCGATATGAGACGAGCGAAGCGGAGAAAGCGCGGGAGTCGCTCACGGTATGGATGAGAACAAGGACTTCGCCCATCTCCTGGTACCTTTGCGTCATACCCTTCAACATTGCCTGCCATGCAGGCAGGTTATCCGCGTCCGCCTACCCACCAGGCCAATCCAAGTCAAGTCATCACACCGTGCCTGGCATAGATCGGACGACAACTCACACAAGCGATGACCACGTTCGCCCCACTCGCCAGCTCCACCGGTCTCCCCGCATCGTCCAACGAGCCTATCACGGTACGCAAGCCGAACATCTCCTCGAGCTTGCGCGTCTCACCTTCGAGCGCGAAGCACGACGACGTCGAAATTGGCACGCTTAGGGTGCAGCAGGAAACGCGTGAGCACGAAGCCGCCGATGTAGCCTGTGCAGTGAAAGATGAACAAACATGCGCCCGAGCAGAAATCAGACACGTGGGTTGCGCACCGGTGGCTTCGACGAGGAATATCGAAGTGTTAGCAGTGGACACTGCCCAGTCGTCGAAAAGGTGAGTTCTGTGTTCACTATTCGCCAGAGGGCGTAGAAATCTCAAGTCCACAATCAGGGGTCAGTCGATAACCGTAGCATGATGTTGGGTCACATCAAGCAGGCGAGCGCGAACTTGTCGTTGGCGCCAAGTGGATCGAGCGAGTGGCTCGCAGCAGATGAACAACGTCAAGTTGGTTCTGCGCCCTGTTGATGCACGCTTGAACGCCATTACGGGTATTCCCTCGCGCCGTTTGAGCCTTGCGGGCTACCGAGGCAGAGCAAGAATGCACCATGTGGTCACCGCCGATGGGCGATGGGGCCGCAACCTCGAGTGGCCACACATTGAGACCGGTCTTGGCATGCGTTGCGGTTTGCGTCACCGTCGTGCCGAATAATGCTCGGTGAGCATGATCGTTCGCCGCCGCATCATACAGCTAATGTATTCGGAGAACTTATCGCTGTCCAAGTCGCAATCTGGAACCTTTGACGCAGCTTGAATGCGTGCCCGCGTTCTAGCGTTGTTGATGAGACTGGATCAGACTGACTTGATCGTCAATGATTGTAGTGAATGGAGGTCTATCGAAGAGACTTGCGGCGCGTGGAGGAGCTGCGATCAAGAGTTTGTGATCTAAAGTCTGCAAGAATCTCTTCCTGCTTTCATCAGCATCAAATTAATCTAGTCGGGCTTGTTGCCATCTGTCTCTGTCTGATGGCTATCTCGGCACAGCTTCAGCTCAATTTTGTCATCATTTACCGACGTCCACTTGGCCGATTACTTTCAACCACAATATATGAAATTTCCCCAAACATATATTTGGCACCATGGAGGCAACTATGTATTTGGTGAAATTTTATATGTTCTGGTCCTAAATACTCGGTGAGATGGACATCGGTAGATGTTTGATCTAGGAATTGAGCTGATGCAGTGCCTGCATAGTCTCAATACAGAGGCATGGTATGAAAAGATGATGATGCAGAGGAGCCTTGATGACAATAAGCCTGACCGTATATGATTCATTATATTCAGGTTGTTTAGATTATGATGCTAAGTGTCTATATATTCATGGTCAGCTTCTTATTGTTCTCATCAGCCTCTGCACAGTTTTGTTGCTAGCCAAGGCTACCCTGCTTCAACTTTTTAGCAGGAGAACACAAATATAATGATGAAAGCTACAAATAGTTGTAAGTAGTTGATCATGCCCTCCATCTTCTTGCCCTCCCATCTCAACTATGATGACCACAGTGCAGCAATTATCACAAGTTCTTCTGACAAAGGGTGGGCCAATGAGGACTATTTTTGGCAAGGTGGATATATCTCTTGTGTTGTCAATCTTTGCAACTGAACACTGAAACCTATGTAAAGGACGGACCTGCATTGAGATCCCAAAAGCTTTATACCTTTGTAGGCCCTGTTCCAGAACAACCCCATGCATTTTACTGGTGTTGTGGAGGAGTGTAGACGGCCATACCAGCTGAAGAATGATCAGTATGTGGAATATGAAGGAGAGTCATGCTGCGTATGCCCTTAGACCTCTATTTCACCATATCTGTGTGCGGCCATTCAAGCTCTCAAGCTCAAGTATCAGCGCTCAGTCGGTATGGATCCAGTGCCGCGCACGGTCAATGTTTCTGAACATCCGGTGCATTCTGTTGCATGGCGCGGTGGACAATTCAGCCAGGCTGCCTATGGCAGGAACATTGTGCATCTGGCATGAGACGGCATCAGCCAACCCGTCTACCATCACCAGATACAGTACTTCCCGTTCCAGATTGACAAGGTCGCTCCAGCATGCGTGATACGGCAAGGCCGGAACAATAGAGAAACTGATGCTGATGTAAATCGTACGCGCTCGCGAACTATCGATCAGACAGAAATTTCATACAGAGAAGATTGCTCTGTACTATATTACGACATCACAACAATACGTAAAGATACAGTAGACTCTGCACCCGGGCTGCATCTACACATGTACACTAAATAGCAAGGGCAAAACAGGGACAACACATATGCACAGTAAGACGCACAGGACAGAACAAGAAAAGCGTCACGGAATGATAGAGTACAGAAGACGGATAACAAATCGCGACTAAAACAGAGCGGTGTATGTACAAACGAAGTGATGCATGACGCGACGTGGGAAGCAAGCGATGACGAATACTTGGATAACAATAACAAAACAGGATGCGAGGGAAAAACTATGCGGTGGGAAAGATGCGTTGGCCGATGGAGTATTCGGCACAAGGACAAAGTCCAATTTGTGATGAAGGTGAAAGACGCGAGACAGAGGGACAGGACAACTAGACCAGCGCTGCCTTCTTAAGGTAGTCCCGGAAGATCGAGTCGCGCACGTTCGAAATGATGCTCTGCATCGCCTTCGTGTCCTGCACGTAAACCACAACTCGTTAGACTCTGCTTCTGGACACCAACAGTGAGCGGGGAGAAGGCACATACAACGACGCTCGTGAGATGCGTATACAATACGCGTTTATTCTCGTTGTTTCGTGTATGCACCTGCGTGAAGTGCGCCTTGAAATAGCCTACGACCGCGTCCACCTCGTTTGGCCGGTCTCCGTACGACGTGATGCTAACGAACACAACCCGGAATCAATGACCAATTCCCTACTTGAACCCACATTCACCACTTACTATTTCTTCACCTGAACACCTCGTGCAAGCTTCGTGGCCAAAACATCGACCTTGTCTATGCATATGAGAATATCCAGTCAAAAATAAGCGAAGATAGCGGTGAGAATTGAGACGCACTGAGGAAAAGCACCAGATGCGCGTTCTTCAACAGCTGATTTGAACAGATCTGCTTGAAAAGCTGTAATGAGTCGTCGACGCGGTTCGTCCGCGGGTCTTCGCTCAAATACTATCATCCTCATCAGCTTCTTGTTCTGATGTGCCCATGAGCATGTGCAGCTTACCTGGTCAAACGCGCTGACGGGCGCCAAGAAGATGATCGCAGTCCTAGAAGAGACCCATTGAGCAATGTGCACGCGATGGGATTTCACACGGACGAGTGACGTACGCATCATCGAAGTACGGCACCCATGTATGTCTCTGCCCCCGCGCGCCGCCGACGTCGTATAAATGCCAAGTGACGTTCCGCCCATGTAGAGGTACATCGAAGATATGCTCCGCGACGCCCATTGTCTGGATGCGCGCATGCAGGATGTCATCTGCCCCGCACGGAACCAGCAATCAATGAGCACAAATTGCCCGAGATTCTCGCGGACGCTTTACGTACCTATAGTCGGAACGTATCCTGGAGACGAGACACGCTCGATGTTGTTCAGGAAGCTGTGAGGAAAAACGTATCAAAGAAAAACTCCCGGAACGGGCGGGGAAGGAAGAACTCACTATTCCGCCCACTCCTCGAGCCTCAACTTCCTATTCTCCCGCAGCCTTTTGACCACTGCATGTCCCCAAAGCTCCCGGATATCGTCCTTGCACGCATTCAGCAGGTTTGCCACGTCCTCCACCAGCTTGTCCCTCTCCACCTCTGTAAGCTCCGTGACACTGGCATTGTCGTTCTCCCGGGGCGTATCTGCTCCGTTCTCAATCGCACTGCGTTGGCCCGTAAAGCTGAACCGACCCTTGGCGCTACTGGTCCGTTCGCGCGCCTTGCCGAATGACAGCCCGAACGCACGCGCTTGCCATCCCGAGCGCACCATAACACTGCCTTTGCCTGACCCAGAGACGGCGACGCCGTCGGACAATCGATTGGCGAGAGAGGCCTCGACGGAGCTAAGAGGCGACAAGCAGAGACGAAGGGCAGAAAGGCGTTGCTCGACTGATGGCGAGGGAGAGGGTGGTGGGAGAGACGCCTGGCTTGCGCTTGCATGTACTATGACCTGCGCACTGCGCCCCTTGTCCGAGTCGTCATCAGACTCGACCTCATCTCCATACACGTCAAGTGCTTCAAGGATACGTAGGACCGGTCGGACGATGTTGTAGTAGATGACAACTCGCCAGGAGAGTCGCTCTTCTTCCAGCGACGTCGGATTGTAGATCAGCTGGAACTGTTTCTGCAGGGTCGACTTGCCCGACTCTGCCTGTCCGAGCAGCAGCAGCTAGACACGTCGCGATCAGTCAGAATCGCCTCGTGATTTCAACGGCGCGGAGGAGACGCGCACCTTGACGTCCTCCTTGCTCTTCTTGTACCTCTCGCGGTCGAGCCTAATCTCCTCGTCGATGCTGTCGCTGATCCTTTTGGCCTCCTCCTCTCTCTGGAGCCTAAGCAACCTATCGCGATCCGTTTCGGTGGGCGGAGGGCGGAGGATGGCACTGAGGGGGTCGCCCAAGTCCGTGGCAGTGCTGTGCACGGAGGGGGGCCTGGAGGTGCGGATCATGGCGGTCGCTGGGAAGGGAAGGGACGAGCGGGAGGAGGAGGAGGACGAGTGGGAGACAGGGAATGATTGGGAGCCCTTTTAGGGGACCCGCAGGCCATCTGAGCAGCGCCCATGCGCGACGTGATGCGAGCCGGCCTCCGATCGCCGGCCGCCGTGCTGTGCCCTCCGCCGCGCCGGCCGGATCCGGAGCATTGTGGCGTCGCGTTAAAATTTAACGCGGATTTTGGTGCATTGTTTGGCTGTGTTTGTATCTTGCCTTTTTCGTTCGCTCACGTCATCCTTCGCCTTTGAGTCTGTCTGTCGCACTCGAGTTTAGAACAAAGTCCTGCACAGCACTTCAGTTCACGCTCAGCATGGTACGCAGCCTCCTTCCCATCCAGCCTCGCTCTGATGCATTCTAGTCAGTCACCCTCCATACCACCCTCGGCGACATCAAGGTATGCCACTGCGCCGTAGCACCGCGTCGAATAACCTCCCCTTCCATCATTGCAGATCGAAGTCTTCTGCGAGGCTGTGCCAAAGACCGCAGAGGTGCGTCTGATGTCCGCGTGTCTTTGATCTGCAGAACCCTGACCACTGCACCGCATAGAACTTCCTTGCTCTGTGCGCCTCCGGCTACTACGATGGCTGCATATGGCACCGCAACATCAACGGATTCATGATCCAGACAGGTGATCCGACTGGCTCAGGGAAGGGCGGACAGAGCATCTGGGGGCAGCCATTCGCAGACGAGCTCCGGACAACGCTCAAGGTGCGTGGTGGCCACGTACTCGTGTTCAAACCTCTCATTCACGCTTCACAGTTCAACAACCGCGGCATTGTCGCCATGGCCAATGCAGGACCCGACACAAACAAGTCTCAATTTTTCATTACGTACGCTAAGCAACCGCACCTCGATGGGAAGTACACCATCTTCGGCAAGGTTTGCCATCTCATCGGTGCCGCTGGCTATGATTTTGGCTCACACGTTCTTTCCGCTTCCGCTCTTCCCTCATGCAGGTGATCGACGGCGCAGATACCACCCTTGATGCGATGGAGCGCGCTCCGGTCAGCGCAAAGAACAGGCCACTCACGGAGATCAAGTTGACTCATGTGAGCTTCTCCACTCCGTTTTCCTTGCAATCTTCTTGCACGGCCACCGTCACAACCACATTCTCATTTCCTGTCAACGCATGACGTGTCCTTTTCGGCAAATGATAGCAACCACCCTTATGCTGTGTACGAAGCGCCTGTTCGGCTCCCGTACGCGAACAGAACCTTCGTATAGTGTATTGTGCTCCAATAGCGGTTCACCGCAGCAAGTTCGGGAAACCGAACAAACTGCGCCTGTTTCCGCAAACGCCGAGGCACTGATCGCGTTTTATCTCGTGTCCGGAACTTCCGTGAGTCGATGCTAACGCACCCCTCGTCACTTCCACAGATCACAATCCACGCAAATCCCATCGCCGATGACAAGCTCGTTGGCCGATAGTGTGCTCCGGACCTTCCATGCTCCGTCTTCCCTGCTGTGTTGCCGTAACCGTTGCATGATCTTCTGCTGCCTGTATCAGTATATTTTCTCGTTCTTCCATAAAGCCGTTACACGTGTGCGACTCCTCATGGCGGAGCCCTCCGTGACGCCCTTTGACAAAATTGGCCACGGGTGCAGGATCCCTGGGCGACCGCTTTGTCGGCTTTTGTCAGAGAAAGAATTGTTCGATGAATCTACCTATTTTGATGTCTCGTTGGGACCCGCTGGCCTGGTTCCGACCCCATGAATTTAAAGCTTGCAACCATTGTCGAGCTGCTTTGGGGATCTAGCTATGTTCGATATAAAATAATGGAAAGAAGGCGGGCCGTTGAAAGCGCTGCTACTAGCTCCGCGGTTCCCGCGCCCCCTCTTCTCGTGTTTGGTAGATGCACGTACTTGGCACAGGGAGGGAGTGAGCTGCCAGCACAATATATGTCGATTCTCCCTACCGTTGTCTAGGGATGGTCGAGCAACACAAGCCTCATTATTCCTTGTGCAAACCATAGATCTTCGTCATACACTAGTAACATTCCTATTGCTCACGAATAGTTCAATCCATCAAGTCTGTCTTTATTGAAAAGATCGTATTTCACTAAGACTGAAAATACAATCTGTCTACGATATTTGCGGTGGAGTCATGGGCTTACATCCCCACACAGAAGCATGATCAAGAACAAGTGACAGAAGAAGTTCGAGTCATTTCTATTGGATATTGGGGGCGATAGATCACGGCCAACGAAAGATGTAGAATTTCTCAAACAGATTGCCAAGACAACAACAGGGAAAGAAGAGTGATAGGAATCGATGAGTGACCACACACGGAATTCTCAACGAGTTCTCGACGAGTCAATGTGACAGATCTAAGCAAGATTGGCAAAACCCACGGCACCGTCATCAACCGAGAATGCGGTGTACACGCTGCGCATGAACCTGTACACCCAGTCGGATCAGTAACCGGATGTCATGCGCTGCTAGTCCATACTCACGTATCGCCGATGAGCCAGACGTTGTCACCAAAGCCAAAGTCATCGCCACCGAGGGCAGTCTGGCAATACCGTCGCCGATCTCGCCGAGGTTGAACCTGCACGCGATCAATAAGCATAAGCACAACAGATTCGACGTACGCATCAGCGGAGATTTGGAACGCGTTCTCGCCCCATCTGAGCGCAACCGTGGGGATGGAGTCACACGAGACGGCGTAGTTAGCATCGTCTATCTGATTGCACCCTGCACCGCCTCGTAAAACTGCTCCACCACATCCAGCGGGCCGTACATGAGCGTCGTGCCCGAATCGATGATCGTCTCGAAACTATCGACCACCGTCTGCCCGTCTACCAGAGCGCTCGCGCGGCCGATCTGCCAGAAGCCTCCGGAAGAGACGAGCGGACGGTAGTCGAGCTCGCCAGAGTAGAGTGAAGAGTCGGTTCCGCCGAGGTAAAGCTCCGATCCCGAGGAGGTGAGGTAGAAGGCGAAGACGCCCTCGGGGCCGGCGTCCTGCGAGACAACGGTCCAAAAGTATGGGTTCTGAATGCAGCATTCAGCAGGTGTGAAAGACAGTTAGAGAACGCGACGGACCGTATGCATGGTGGAGAGGGCAGGCCAGCCCACCCCGAGCAAGCCATCTTGCTGGCTAGCATCGATCTGTCCGTTGACATTGTCTACCGCTGAGAGCTCCTGCCCACTGACGGAGACGCCAGCAATGCTTACTAGATAGTAAAGGCCTCTCTGTTAGTACCACCAGTGTATATGCCAAAATGTAAAATACCAACCGGAGTCAGAATAGATAGGCCCGGACGCCCCGGATCCCTCCTCGTACCCAATCTCAAACGTGCCCTGCTCCTGCTCACTCATAAAGGACGCAGACGGATCGTACATATCGGCGAATCCACACCCGCCGCACTGCGCGGACCACACCCACAGCTCGGACGAGCCCCTGTCGAAGTCGATGTTGAACTGCTGTCCTGGCGTGCCGATGGAAATCGTGCCGGTCCGCATGGCTGAATTCTAGTCGGCTAGAGATTCGGACTGGCGCTTGGCGATATCCGAAGAGATATTCTCGGCGAGAGGGATATGGGCACCTGCGTGGAAGTTCTCGAGAAGTTCTCGATGCCGATGTTCTGGTCGATAGTCATGAGGTTGGGGCGGTGCTTGCTGTTGGACCGGCCCATTGTCGTCAGTGATTCCGTACATGATGTGTGGAAAGGAACGGACGCACTTGTGGACTCTAGCAGTCTCTCTCTTGAGGGCGTCCTTGTCGACGGAGCCGTCGGACTTGGTCAGCGAGCCACGCTTCTCGAGAGGGACGCGCATCCCGGTGTCCGCAATCGGGCCCACCGACTCGATGAGTGCGAGAGTGACAGTGATCAGAGAGGCTTTGGCTGGCGATGGTGGTGCTGGGTCGATTCGACGTGCAGGAGCTTGCTATTGGTGCAAACTCTCGCCTATCCTGCTTGATTTAATACAAAGTCATATCTTCCAGACCCGTACGCCCCTTGAGTTTCGTCGAAGAAGGGATGCACGGTAGTCACCATAAACAGTATGTGCTACGCATAGAGGAGCCCTGCGTTTCGCGCTTGTCCTCCTGCCACGAGGGGTCTCTTCGTGCTGCTCCGGTGAATTTTTCAGCTCTTGGTGATCGGCATTCAGGAGAACCGCATGTATAGTCACCGGGGAACGCAGATCAGCCTTCACGAGTCGGCGGAATTGCCGCATGGAGCACAATCCAATCTCTTTATGGTGCATTTCTCGCAGATGGGCCATGCAATTCACCGTTAATCGTAGGGACTCGATCATGATCGATGTAACGCATATCAAAGCATTATCGTAGCGACTGCACATTGCAAGCGATTGCAGCATTCGACGTCCATATTGTCTCTGTCGCATCGGATCAATGGGGATTTAACGTAGTGGCAGATTACATACACTAAGATGCGCAATCAGCATCGTATTGAACCTGGAGAAAGCAATAACTCTCCCCCACATGTTGAGAAAGCCTGTATTATACCTCCTGTCAACAGAATTTTGAGGTGATGTTCACCGACCGGCGACAGCATCCGCGCGGAAGCAAAATCGGACTAAAATGGCAGGTTTGGTCGATGATCTGACCACTGGTCAGAGAACGACCAGGTCCTTCTGAGTTCCGAACAAAAGCCGGCCGTTGTCATCGACGCGCCACAAAACGCGGTGTGACGAGAAGCGCGTGATCGCGACCGTCACTCATCATGAACGCCGCGTGGCGACGATGGCATGATGATCACTGTAATTGTTTTTTCGCAATGAGCACTATGTGCAAAACTTGTCACCGAGCTTTGATTTGCGTTGTACCTTGAGTGCTTTGTGGCACCGTAAACTAACTATTTCTTCAAAGCAGACAAGGGGTTCACTGAGATATGAAAGAAGACAACAGTCTCAGACTAATCTACATTATCAAAGCCATCAGCAACATGAGAGCAACGTAAGACAGGATATTACAAGGTAATGTGCAAGATCCAACCGTCCCGAGATATGAGCGTGGAAACATAGCGACCCGTGAGGCATATATCAGTCATTTGTTTGACCATTCAAACGATGGGCCACCAGGGCAGTCCAACGTTACCGACACTCCAAAGCTCGAGCTTCGCGGCGGCCGCGTCACCCTGACGCCCTCGATAAACCTCGCAAACACACACCCAGGCACTACTCCCAACTCGATGTCTCCCGAACGCGTCCTGCTTTCCCTCCCAACAACGCACCAGCCATCGTTGAATGTCTGCACAACCACCAACTGCTCGCCAAGGCTGAGCTGGAGCTCATCCGGCAATTCCGCCGCGAACACCTGGCGAACCTTGCGCTTATGCGATTCATCGAAGTACGATACGGAAGAGTTGGTGGAGTACGTGCTGTTGCGCATCGAAGAGTTGACTGTGCCCGTACCAGGCGGTACGGAAAACGATACAGTGGAGTACGTGCTGTTGCGCATCGAAGAGTTGCCTGTGCCCGTACCAGGCGGTACGGAAAACGATACGGTGGAGACACGGCGCGTGGTAGAGCTGCGGCTGGGTGGGCCTGAGGGCACGGATACGCGGCGAGAAATGCGCACCGCCGGCGGAGCAAGGAAGTCGGAAGGTCCTGGAGTTGACGGTCCAGCTTGTTCCGTCATTTGCACGCGTGGGGCGTCCTTCACGAGGATAGCCCTGTCTGGCATGACAACACTCGCAGTAAGCTGCGCGCGTGAAACAGCCTTTTGACGAAGAGGCTTTGCATCGCTGGGGCAAGAACTGATGAGGGGGGCTTGTGAACGATTACAGCTTTCCGCGACTTACTGGCTGTTGATCGTAATCTCGGGGAGTGCAGGCAGCTGAAGACCATCTCTCTCTTTTTTCGCTGCCCAGCTTTTCCTGAAGTAATATATGCTCAGCCAAAGAGCGCCCCCGGCAGCGATAACAATTGCAAGCAGTGCTCCGGCAAGTTGAGTATGGTCGCTGATCAGCGGAGATGTTGCCCTGCTATAGACGTGCGCATTGGTCTCGGTAGACGGCGTCGTGATCGTGACGTAAGCGTTAGGAGCCATAGAGACACACGGGTGCGCTGTTGACAAGCAGACGTCGAGTCGTGTATCTGAGCGGGAATGCCGTTATAAAGGGCTGCCGGTTTTTCACCCGGTATTCGCCCACCGGGAGCGAAGGGTCAGTAGAGACAGGTAGAAAGGACGATGGGGAGGGAGTCCCATTGCCATGCAGGCACGTCGTGGGCGATATACGTCCGGAGCGCTCCATCTACACGTACATCACTTAACCTAAACAGAGGAACCGGTCAACATGAGTCTTGAAACGCCCGAACAAGGGGAAGACGCTGATGTGACAGATAATGCTGGACAACTTACCGTCCGCGTTTTACGCGCTCCTGTCCACTCTCGAGACGGGCCTGGAGTCGGTATCCGAAATGAATTGAGGTCCTAGCTTGTCCTCGGAGTCGAGCTGCCCCCCTCGTTGGCGCCCATTCAGCTTGCCAAGCCGCCGTACGAGGCGTCATTCGAAACGCCAGCGGATCCGATACGGATGACCGAGAGGCGAGCGGTAGATAACATGTAAGCCGGAGAAGGAGAGGCTGTGTGAAGCAAGGCGTTATAGTAGCAACGTTTAGTATGATTCAAGCGAGGAGCCATCGAACACAGCAACAGAAGAGCCACAGATGAGAAGGGACAAATTTAGACATGTACTCAACGGGCTCCTTCCTGGTTCCGCAACTCGGACTGATAGCAATTGAAACCGACAGGAGAAGCGCCGTGCGGACGTAAAGCGACACTGAAAGTATCAGACGCATCCTGACTATCCTCATGTGTTCCTCTAATTCGCATCCTGCAAAACGAGTGCACTGGGGCTTGCAGAGGACCGAAACCATCACGGAGCTGGTCATTTGTCACCATTATTGATATGTTCTGTCTTCTAGTGGTTGCCGGAGAAGCAGAGATGCGAGCTTGAATGTGGGTGATAGTTGAGACAGCAGTGGAACGATCCGATGCTACCACCCTCCTCATTGAGGATGTAGCTCTGCGAAAACAGAGAGAAAACAACGCCAAAATACCCTTGTCATCGGCCAAGGCCAGCAAAAGGGAACACCACTGCTTATGAGACTGCTTGTATTTTGAGAGCTAGTAGAATCGGCACGCTCCTGGACACAGTCAACACAAGATGACAGCACATTAATCGCTGTCTTCTCGTCGGATCTTCATTCATAGAAAGGCCCACCTTTATATGCCCGCTCGGGGACTCCGAGCATGCCCAATTTTGACAGGCAAGAGTAGAGCTGGGTGACTGCCCAATCCGCAGCGCGCAGACACGCATTGATCTCATCACCACCGCACATCCAGCTCTGCGACAGTTCAGCACACCATGGGCAGGCCGAATTTGCGTGCGATGATGTACGTTGTCAAGAGCAAGATGGCCGAAACCAATTGTGAGGTGGCGCGGTGGCGGCGGCCCTGGCGGGCGGTTACCCTATTTGTGTCTTACAATACCCGGGTTGATGCAGCCGAAAAGATCATAATCAAGTCCGTCTCCGTAGCAATGCTCCCTTCGTCCCCTTCCTTCGCTCTGTACATCGTGTTCCCCTACTTGCCGTCCACTGGACGCAACTACGGGCTGAAAAGGAGTCGGCCGCCCGGTTCTGCTATCTAAGTTATCCCAGTCGTTCGTTACTACTCACAATCCTTTTCCCTGTACCGGCTGCGCCTGTTCGACCATTCGTACTTGACTAGAAGTCGCACTTCCAGATTCACAGTGACGCGAACGCGTGTTGGAGATGGCCCCCGCTGATGGCATGCTCGCCCGTCGCAGCGATGGCAGTTCGACGTCGTTGACAGGAAACACGGCTCAAATCATTGGTGTCTCCGTCGCCGCAGCCATCGCGGCGTTTGGCGCCATCTTCTTTGGCATCTACCTCTACCGGAAGAGGTTATCAGCCAAGAGAGAGAAGATTCGCGAGTCTGCCTTTATCAATGTTCGTGGCTTAGTTCGGGATGGTTTTCCTTCGCAGTCCAGTTCGCAGACAAGCTCTAGGTGAGTATCTTCCCCACTCTGAGCACTGGTCACAGCTGATGACACGAATGCGTTAGCGAATCGTTACCCCACGCACGAATGAGCAACCCTTTGCCCAGATCTCCCTTGTCCAACAGTGTCACGATGCCGCCACGGGTGGCTCTCCGCAAGAACGCGACGGAAGAGGAGATTGTCCAGTACTACTCTTCCCAGGGCAGATTACCGCGTCCATTCGCACCTTTCACCGCATCAAATGGTGACAGCAATCGTTTATCAGCAGTCAGTGCGCTACGCCCTCAGTCCACCGGCTCTTTCTTCTCCATGGTCTCCTCGTACTCCTCGCGTCGTGGCTCGACCGCCTCCTCCCTCTCTGCATTCGACGACGGCCACAAGCGCAAAGTCCGCCAGCTGTTCCATCCCACACTTCCTGATGAGCTGTTTTTGAGTCTCGGCGAGCGCATCGCAGTAATCAACAGCTACGACGATGGTTGGTGCATCGTCGGCAGAGACAGCATGCTCAAGCCAGGCGATGTCGAGCTTGGCGCAGTTCCTAGCTGGGTGTTCATGAAAGCTGTGAAGGGACTCAGAGCTGAGCGGCCCATCCGAACGTCGAGTCTCGGGGTAACCGTCACTCTTGATGCTCCTGGGCCTAGGCAAGATGTAATCTCCTGGTCGAACTTTTCGTAGCGACTCTACCTGTTGACCATCCTGTTCTCACTCAGTGAGATGATCAGCCTCTGCGCTCTGTTGTGTTCCCCAGCATCGTCTGTACCAACTCTCCATCTCCCGACCATATGTCTTCCTGCTCTATCTCAAGGGAGCATCGCCGCGTTGCCTTCAATCCTCAACCCAAATACCCTTCATGCTTCCTCGATGTCTCACTTCTCTGTGGCCGTTTCTCGTGAATGGATCCCGGAGGTCCGTCCACGATTCACGACGCCTATGCTACAGCGTCCTGTCACGCGGCGTGCCCGCCTCCTCTCATCCTTCCCGCTTTCTCTCGGACGTTGCATTATTACTAAATATAAGGCTGTCTCATTGTATGGGCATTATAGCCTGTTTGACACCCTTTCGACGTAGCTCGTATTCTAGAGGTATGGAACATTCATGACTGCCATAGTACTTGACGCAGAGTCAATGTTCTCCAGAAAAGCATTGTAGACTTATAATTGCCGTCTATGTACCGTACTTATAGTCCGGCTGTCGTCACAATTGAGCCTCTGCAATTTATTTATTCCGACTGTTCTGCTGCACTTGACATCAAGCGCTAATGTCCTCAACAAAGCCACCACCGCCATCTCCCTCGCACGTCTTGCGCACACACGCAGCCGCAGTGTGTGCCATCTATTTTTCTGATGATAACGAACGTCTCTACTCCGGCGATGCATCTGGTCGCGTCGTGATTACCAACACGCGTACTCTGCGGCCATCTGCGGTCTGGGACGCACATACGGACAGTATCCTCGGCATTCAGGAGTGGGAAGATCATATCATCACGTCCGTTCGTGCTGTCTTTTGCTGTTTTGCAAAATTACGTCCGGCTGCTCATTAATATGCATCGAATAGACATGGTCGAGATAACAAGCTGCACGTCTGGCAGCGCGTCCAGGAATTTGCAACGGCTCTCGGGAACTCTGCAGCCACACCCGGACTACAGACGCCTCAGTTGTGCTACTCAATGGATGTCAATGCCCTCAACTACTGTCGGTTTTCCTTGTGGCCCATTCCTGGAGCAGCAAGGGACAGCGAGCGGCGTGCTCTGATCGCGTTACCGAACCTGGTTGAGTCCTCCGTGGTACGTGTAAGACCGAGGCCGAAAACTCCCAGTCTGAACGTATGTTTGAGGCGGACATATGGGTTCTTCCCTCTAGACAGAGGCTTCATGCTGCAGTTGGCAAGATCGGCCTACCTTCGTCGACTTTGGAAGGTCGAGGTCTTAACCCCATAGGTGTGTTACGCATTATTTCTTTGATCTCACTGTCGTCAATAATAAACCTAGGTATCATCATGTCACTGCACCTTTATGAGGTGGAGCATCCCCACGTCTCTGGTCGTAAGCAGCTGCGGTTGCTATGTGCATACGAGAACGGTAGCGTGACGATGTGGGGATACACTCGACTTGACAAGGAGACGTCTGTGGAAGGCATTGGATGGGACTCATTGTGGAATGTCAAGCTGCATGTCGAATCAGGTAAAGAGCAGATCTCACGCGCATATAGCGCACTCAACGTGTATATATCCTCCAGTTATGGCAATGGCCGTGTCAAGAGATGGAAGTCTCGCCCTGACGGTCTCTGCAGATCACTTGATCGGACGCTACGATCTGCAGGTTGGCCTGTCCAAATGCGAGTTGATGACGATATCTGACTTTCCCTGGCATTAAGGCTGCCGACGGATCATCTCATCTTCACACAGCCTGCGTTGTTCACAGAACAAAGCACGCAGGCAATGGATCTATTGCTATCCGTGATGATGGTAAAGTATGCGCCGTGGGCGGATGGGACGGCAAGTGGGTGCATGCCGCTGGTCAGAATATTTGAGGGAATTGACTGCAAAAGCATTCAGAATCCGCCTATATTCCACCAAAACTATGAAACCATTAGGCACTCTCGAATATCACAAACAACTTGTACAAGCGGTCGCCTTCGCAAGACTAAATTCTCAAGTCACATCAGCAGATGCCTTGGAAACGAACGTTGAAGACGATAGCGAGGACGGGATGACGGAGCAAGAGAAATTGGAGAGATGCCGGTGGCTCGCCGCTGGTGGGCTTGATCAGAGGGTGTCCCTTTGGTCCCTTATCAGCTTCGGAAAATCTTGAATTTGGAGCAGCTTGGGATAGGTAAGTACTGCGTCATTTGTGACGGTGAGCTCTGTGTCTAACAGTGCGAGTGGCAGTAAGCTCCAGAATGACTCATACGCTGTTCACATAAAATTGAAGAGGTGGTCCTATGGCATCGACGAATCACTAGACAATCAGACAACCTCTCTATAGCTATCCTGAACTGTTCTCATAAGAGCATAGTCGTCCAAACTCTGAAATCGACTCATCGTTCTTGAAGCGTCGTCGGGACGTGCAGACACCTGAAGCCTATCGCTAGAGAGCCTCGCTGTAGGAAATCCGGGACTCGAAATCAGCATCTCTGTTGTCCAAATGTCTCATTACTTTGTCCTCCATGCCACGATCATCTCGCTATGTGCCTAACTAACGACTATTCTTGGGGTACGATTTTACGTGTGCTATTGCAGATGTTTCACGATAGTCAATTGCAACGTTAACAGCGTGGCTCGCACACGAAGTTTTTATCTCAAACGACTGAATATACGAGCCTCGCGGAGAAATCTGAGCCCGCAGTGAGTATTTGAGTAGCCAGTGATCGAGATCGCGCCTTGTCATGACCGTTTTTGGCAGGTTCTGTCGTTCAATGCAATCTCTCACTGTAGCCTCTCCGACACATACATTCTCTTCATCGGAAGGCTGCTGCATTGAACATATTCAGCGTGATTACAACAGTGGACGGATGCGAGATAGAAAATATCCGGAGTGATCTCACAGGCGGCGCGGATGGAAGGGCAGGATTGACAGCGACGGCAACGGCAAGACGGAGTGTTCGATAGTGATGGAGTTGAAGGAGGACCTCGAGCTCTGCGAGGGCCGCCTCCGTCTCTGTCAAGTGGCCTTCGACTGGTGCTACAAGGACCGATCCCGCTTCAAGCGCAACTTCGACGATCTTTCGTTCTTGCACGAGGCGATCAAAGAGACACTCATCGCTGAGATCCGGAAGTATCAGGACAATATTGCGACTTGCAAGCGCTCGAACCTCGCATCGGCTGAAGCACTGGAAGCCGCGGAGGAGACCATCGACTTCCTGGAGGCTGAGAACTATTTCGCCCAGGTTTCATCAGAGGAGCAGGTTCGCAGGTTACAGGCCGACAATGCGGCCCTCGTTGCGGAGCTTCGGGCGTACAAGCACAGAATTGAGTTGCTCGAGAGCGAATCGGACGGGACACAAGATGACTGCGGTGAACTGGACTGCGACAAGGAGTATCGTGCGGGAACGCTGGAGTATTGTCAGGCTCGTCTCGCTCTCTGTCAAGCAGCCCTATCCTGGCAAGAAGACAACCGGCGCCGCTACAAGGCAGAGAACGATGGCCTCAAGCATGAGAAGAAGCAGGACGAGCTCACCAAGCAGGCGTTCGCAGACGAGGTCCAAAAGCAGATGGCAAAGAATGTCTCGCTCGAGCGCGACAAGCGCGTAGCAGCCCAGTCCCTCGAGGCCGCAGAGGACAGCATTGACTTCCTACAGGCGGAGAGCGTCTTCGAGGGGCAGGCGTTCCATCAACGGACCCTCGAGCTAGAGACGGGTCTGGCGGGGAAGGACAAGGGATGAATCGACTGCGGGAGGACCTGGCTGCTTCCGAACGCCGGGGACACTCGCACGAGCCCAATGCCACTGCACATGTACAATGGAATGTGGTTCTCTTCAAGGGCAAGATCGACGCGGAGAACGCGTCTCAGCAGGCTCTCGAATCCGTGAACACGGACCTCCGCAAGCGAACGGCCGAGTTCGAGCAGAAGACCGATACGCTATACCAGCAGGTCGTGAGCCTCACGAAGGACAACGAGTCACTTGAGAAAGAGCTGAAGGACATGACGGCCGACCTGGGCGCGGTCCGAGAGAGAGAGAAGTCGTGGTCATTCGTCGTGAAGGCGGAGCAGAAACGAGTTCGCAGCGACCAGAGCGACTCGCAGGCGACGGTTTCGGGTGTTGTCAAGTACTCGTACGGTAGTCCCGAACCAGCGCCATCGGCCTCAGCATTCGCAACCTCGATCTCTCAGGATAATGTCAAGCGCATCCACGTGCCGAAGTCGGGTGACGGAACTTGAGCTCGGAGTCGTGGCTATAAGAACACAGGAATCAGGTACATTCCTATATTCAGATCTTCGCTCGGATGTTCTGACTCGATCTCCTCACCTTACGCAGGTGGCAGCGTACGGATCTTTCCGTATGTTGATTAGGCGGAGAATGTCGACGCAATATCAAGTGTTTACTGCAAAGGGCACTGGGGTTTTCCTTCTCTTTCTTTCTTGGTCCGGGTCTATACTGCATGTGTCTCTCATCTATTTTCTCTCATCTGTCTCTTTTGTAAATCGTTCGCGACTTACGGAGCCTGTGTCTGTACCCATAGCTCGCCACGAGTCTATGCATCGCGTTGACCTAAATCGTGTGCAATGAGGACCAGACTGCTCGAGCAGACTCGTGAGTCATACTGCGGACCTCAAGGCATCAATCTGTGTTCCAACCCGTTGAAGCGAGGAGCACGCAGACGACGGGCATCAACATATCTATTGAGTTTCTAGCAACACATCAGAAGACCGGCGAGGCTCGTATCAAAGCAATGTAATGATCCCAAGCTAAGTAAGAGAAGCACAGCCCACAGCCCTGTCGTCCACCGAGAACGCCGCGTAGACGCTACGCGTAAAGCTATCGATGAATCAGTTAGTTTGTTGATGCAGCATGGGGTTTGAGTCACTCACGTATCCTCGACAAACCAGACAGGGTCTTGCAGAGCATTGTCGAGGTTAGTTCTTTGCAGCTGGGTAAGTCAAATCTGCAGGAATAGATTTAACGGACGTCCTCGACGAGCATATATACTGGCTTTTATGCAAAATCGGAGGTTTGCCATCCCTCGTCGGTCTCAATGCAATGAACCTGACATAGCAACCTTGTCAACAGCTCCGGCTGCTTTTTTGACCATCGAGGAAGCCGGCATTCAAGACGACCATATGCTTCCCTCTCAGAAGACGACGACGATGCCGGTGGGAAATGCAGATCACCGTCGAGAAATCCACCGGATTGCCGCAAATGGACGCTCCGGTGATCGCTGTTCAGGAGAATGAGGACCATACTCGGCGAAAAATTGCATTTTTAACGATAGTCTGAGCAGCGATGCATAAGCTCCATGGCAAGTGGGAATGACGCACGCGATATTGCGTTACCAGAAGGAGCAATTCTGCGCATTAGACGCTTCAACATCGCCAGTGTGAAGACCCGGCCACTTTCGGAGATCATCTTCGTTGAGTAGAATGACCGTTATGAATACCGGAGATTCTGGTTTAGGACGGCCATTATCTACTGTGGGAGATCTGAGCGTTGCCGGAGGATAAGCAAGGCCCGAACGAGAAATGCTCCAACAGCACCCGCGGCGCGGCGGAAGCAAAATGGCCAACGTGTTTGGCAATGGGCTACAATTCAAATAGTTGGTCCTCACAACAATCAGGGATATAGACATGCACTTACCGTTCACGTGTTGGCTTTTGGGGCCTGGGAGGCACTGCGGGATAGCAGTGGACCTCGGGGGCATCGGAGCCGGGTACAGGGGCTGCAGGAATGGCAGCCGGATAAGTGCCGGGTGTGCGAGCTGCGCCGCCTGCCCTGAAGTGGCATGGTTAAAAGGGAGGTAGTGAACGTAGCGTTACCTTGCTCGTTTGTACCCAAATCCCAAGTGGTGTCGTGAGTTATTGGACGTGGCTGTCACAGATTTTCACCACAAAGTCCGCACGTGACTTTTCTCACACCACAGATCACGTGCTACACCAATATCTCACACCACTCAGCCACAGACGTGACGCGTAGAGATCAGGTGATAGTCCACATCACATGTTATGGTCCAGACCCGTGGATGATACGGTCGGACCTGTCTATTCCAGGATACAATAGAGGCAC